CTGTCTACGTGATACACCTACCTCTTAATTATCAGAGATTAACTGCAGCCTTCTGTATTTATAGCGAGTAAATACCGGATTATTATATAGTTATAGAGGAAGTAAACTTTTAAAGGAATAGACGCTAATTTACTAGATAATTAGACTATTTACTTTAAATCGCGCCTTTATCTTAGAAGGCTTGAACTATTAAGCTATAATCCGTATAAACTATAAGCTTCCTGCTATTAATAAACTATAGTAATTTCTATAGAGCCTAAACTAAACCGCTAGTCTCTAATTCTATAGGCTAGTACTATTATTTAGCTAGTATTAGATCTCTAGATAAATATAAGACTAGTCTTTTAATACTATTATTACTAATTTAGTAGATAGTAATACTATATCCTATTTCTTTACTTCTATTAATATATAAGATAAAAGACTTAGAGAAGTCTAGAAAAGCTAAGGTAGGAGCTGAATATAGATAGTCTTAGAGAGTCTTAAACGCGTCTTTATATTCTTAAAGAAACGCCTTATCCTTATTAATAGACTCTAAAAGAGTCTTCTTCGTAGTATAAGTCCTATAGAGCACCTTTTTAATAGGACTACTCTTAAAGCCTATAGTCTTAGCTATCTGAAGCGGTCTACTAATAATAGCGTAGTAATGGACGAATTTATAGTAATACCTAAAGAACCTTAAGATTATATTTAACTCCTATAAAGTACTAGGGAACTAAATAGCTCTAATAGCTTCTACTTTTTCCTTTACTATACTTATACTTAGCTAATCTACTTAATAGCCTAAGGCCCTGATACTTAGTTAAGTAAAATAATATTTAGATAGTGATAGTATAACTCTTAACTAGTATAAGAGAGTTACTATAGTACAGAGGTCCTTAATATAAGTATTAATATCCTTCGAGAAGATAATAATATTATTAATATAAACTAGAATAAATTACTAGAGGTATTTACTAAAGAGTTTCTTTATATAATATTAGAAGAACGTAAGAGAATTAGTAAGGCTTATAGTACTAACTATGAATTATTTATAATTATGATATTAGGTAATAAAAGCTATTTTTTATTGATTTTCTTTAAGTATAAGCTACTGAAAAAAGCTTTTTATAATATTTAGAGCTGAAAAGACTAAAGTATTATTTATAGCTAATAGAATATTATCTTGCCTTAGTAGAGGATAGGTATTTAGAAATAGCTTAGTATTCACGCGGTAAAGATTAATAACAACTCTAGGCTTATTATTATAGTAGATTATAGATACTAGTAACGCTACTAGGTAAGGCTTCTCTAGTAGAATATCTTCGATGATACTTATAGCTTTAAGAGAGTCTAGAATTGAATTTATATTCTATTTATCCTTTACTAATATATTAAAGGGTATTTACTTAAGATCGTTTAGAAGTACACTTTCTTTAAAAGGAATAAGTATCTTAATACTATTATTAAACTATTCTAATTCTTTACAGAATAAAGGGCTATTATTATAGATTACTTCTAGAATCTTCTAGTAAGCTTCCTCTCTTTATATTTTAGATATATAAGCCTCGGAAATATTGATATACTCCTCTATTAGTAATACTAGGAATAAGTAGCTATCTAGAATCTTCTCTTCTTTATCTAAGCTAAGAGGTTCTAAACCTTAGAAGACTTTTATAAGACTTAGATAGACTCTAATAGGTTCTAAGTTATTATTAATATAGTTTAGTAGTCCTAGGATTTATTTATATACTATCTTAATAGGAGTGAGGCTGAAGTTAAAGTAAGGGATAAGCGTAGTATAATTATCTATAATACCTTTAATAAGGGATCCGAATATACTAAGAGTAAGGTTACCTTAAGATTTAGGTATTATTAAGTATCTGTTTTAATATATTAGAAGGAGTTAGTATCGAATCTTTAAGTTAACCCTAGTGTTAAGATAAACTACTATAGACTCTGTAGTATATATAATAGCTTAAGAAGGTTCCGAGGTCTTCTTTATTATATAAGAGAATCGAAACTTTTTAGACTTCTACTAGAGGTAATTTATATCCTTAGACTTCTTCTTATATAAGATATCTATACTATTCTTTTTAAGAAAAGAATTTAAGAGTAGAATACTATACGCTAATTAATCTACTAAGTAGACTTCCGCTTAGAACTAGAAGATATTCCTTTTAACTAAGTATAGAGAAAAAGGAAGAAGTATATATTCTAATACTATAAGGCCTTAACTAATACCTAAGAGACTGATTTTATAAGGACTTATACAGATAAGTACCTTAGGAAACTTCTATTATAATACCTCGTGTAATATTAGAGAGATTCCTACTCTAGAGTTAAGGTAAAAGTCTTGGGTTATACCTAGTAGAGAGAATAAGATACTTTAGGCCTTTTAAAAGAAAGTATACGCTTATCTATTAATATAGTAAATATATTAAGGAATAAGCGCTAGTAGAAATAATAGTACTAGTAATAATAGCGAAAGAGTTGAAGTACTTATAGGAATAGAATTAATAATAGATAAATTAAGCGTGTATTAATTTGTTAAAGCGATATTATAAGTAGTAATATAGTTATCTTCTAAAAAGGTTAGATCCCTAAGTAAGAAGGTTACTCTAATCCTAAGTAACTACCTGAACTATTTTCCGGTTTAGTAGACTTAGAGGATAATACCTTATTTATTATCTGCGCGGACTCTATAGTATATACTTTCGATTAGTATATCTCCTATAGCGTATTATTAACTACTACTATATCCTTATATTTAGTTATATAAGCTAAGACTTACGTAGTAAGCTTCGCGTTATTCTTTCTCTTATACGAGTTAAGCGGGCACTAAGGATTAATATAGGCGAGAGATTTATAATAAGTATAAGAGTAATAAAGTCGGAAAGTATTTAGAGTAGAATAAGCTAGGACTACTAGAACTACTAGGACTACTAGTATTAATAAGGTAGCTTAAGAGTCGCCGGGCGCGATTAGTCTTTAATCTAAAGGTAAAATAGCTAATTATTCTATAGTAGCCTCTAGAATACGTTATACTACTTCCTAAGAGATAAACTTAGGTTATAAAGTACTATAGACCTATAGTTAGTTCCTTAAGTTAGTAGCTCTACGATTCTAATTATTAAAGTTCTTTCGCTTATACTCTACTACTATTGTAATTATTTATTATACTTCTTAGAATTAGTCCTTCACGGATTATTTAGTATTTATTACCTTAGTTATAAACTCGTTTATTAAAGTATAGTTTAATAAGTATATATTCGACTTTAAGATAGGATCTAACTTAGAGTAGATTTAGTGAACCTTTAGTCTCTTATCCGCTTCTCTAGCTTTATTATATAACTTAAGCTTTTTTATAATATAGTTACAAGTGTTCTTTATAGCTCTATCCTTACTATTAAATCTATACTAGAGGTTATTAGTAGTTTAAAGAGTCTAAGAAAAGTCTCTACAGAATTATAAGCTAAGCTTCTTAACTTATAAGCTTATATTAGTATTTATCTTAATTTAAATAGAAGCTAAGAGGCTATTAAACTAGTCCTAAGCTAAGTTCTTTATTATAAGAGGAAGTAATCTAAGGATTTATTAGTCTCTATAAGTAGTAGCTAAGTAGTTAAGATAGTTTAAGTAAGAAGTAATAAGTATAGTGCTATTAAAAGTTATATCTATAGCTTTAATATATATAGCTCGTGTTTCTAGTTTAATAGTACTTCTAGGTGTAGACTTACTATAAGAAGGAGTATCTACCTTTAGTTAATAGCGTAAGGTAATAATAAGGACTATAGGGTTATCTTCTTCTAGTATTACTAAAAAGCCCTTTTAAAAGCAGATTATAAAAATCTACTAAGTGTTATATAATCTACTAAAGTAAGTAAGATATATAACGTCTATAATAGCCTTAGTCTCTAAGTTAATGTATTAATTAGTACTAGTTATCCTAAGAGCTACTATAGCTATTTATAAGTCTATTAGATATAGAATCTCCTTAGCCTCTATAAAAGTTTTATCTCTTTCGATATTAGTAAGGTTATAAACTATTTTAACTTAAGTAGTGTCCGCGAGCTATTATTTAAAGGTATATATAGTAATATTATCTAAGTCTTGAATTACTAGAGTTACTATAATATTAGAATAGTTATCGGAATCGATTCTTAAGGATATTTCTGTTCTTTTATTATTAAACCTTTTAGGTTCTTAGTAAGCTAAAAGGCAGGCTTTTTATAAGAAAGGTAATAGCTAGTTAGAAGTACTAGAAGTAAAGGACTATATAATAAGTGCTATTAGTACCTCTAGTGCTATTAGTAAAGCTAAAGTAGATCCGGGGGAGAATACTTCTTCTAGTGTTACTTTTTCTAATATATTAGATATAATTAATATCTTTTAGCTAATTCCTTCTTCTTCTATATTCTCTTACTCCTTCCTTTTTTAGTAACTCTAAGAGCTATAAGCTAAGACTAAAGATATATCCCTCTTAATATAATAAGTAGTTCTTAAAGCTACTAGAAAGGTAGAGAGTTTATATTTAAAGAGATCCTTAGATAGTAGTTAAAAAGGTATAAATAAGGTTGATATTAAGCTTAAGCTACTAGGTCTATTAAAGCTAGAGATAAATCTACTATTTTTATCTCTACTCCTATACTTCTTCTTCTTATTATTTAGTATTTAGCTTTACTATAAGGAGATAGTTAGGAAAAAGAATACGCTAATTCTATTCTCTATACTTACGTGAGATCTATAGAGTTGGATATTAGATACTAGATAAATAGTAGTATAGTTATTTATATAGGGTTATTTAGGTGTAAAATAAGGTTAAATTCAAGGATTTTAGAATTAATCGAGTTTTAAGAGTTATTAGAATTACTACTATATAAACCTTATACTTAGTAGCTAAGAGGAAACTTAAGGGCTAATGGTATAGTATTAGTACGTCTAAGGAGAGAAAGGAGAAATAGAGCGTAGGGCTCTCCTAATATAGGTAACTAAGCTAGTGCACGTGACCCACAACACCGATGAGTCCGTGGAGTAACGACCCGAAGCTGAGAGATGCGGGGTCTTTTGTGATGACCAGTATGATGGAAGATATATCGGGCATGTCGTTGGCTGTATTTACGAGACTTCTAGGATGGGAACGGATCGATTTGGAACTGTTTCTGGGGGAGGTGAGGAAAGAGTGGAAGAACGGAAACATTCACGGATTCTGGCCTTTGTAAGTCTTTTGCACAGGTGAAATGTTGGGAAACAACTCACAGTTCTCTAGATTTGCTGTTTTTGGCCAGAAGCCGTCAGATCCATGAGGGAGTTGTAGGGAAATTGGTGGGAGTTTGAACGAGGATTTAACATGCAAGGAATTGGTATCTCTGGATTCCATCTAGATAGACTTGCTCGACTGTCGTACCACGACAACAACATCCATATCGGATTACATGAAGAATCTATTGCATTTGCTTGTGAAACCTTTCGTGGGATTGAGAACTGGAAAATCGAAGAGAAGAAGCATGCATTACCGCAACCCATGCATGATGCTGGAACCCCTGGAATCGAGGTGGTACCATTGACTGACGGAGCAATCAGTGAAGATGTACTGCCATAATGCCTAGAGATCATGATTAATTTGAGACTCAAGTACAGCTGGCGACCTGTAGCAAGTGGTCATACCTTGTCTCATGGATTGTTTTTAAAAGGAGAACACGTTTGAGAAGTCCCGGAGAATATTTGGACCGTGCCAAGCCACGAGTTTGCCTAGGTAGGCAGCGTGAAGTCATTGTCACGTGGAAACCATGCTTCCTATCACCAGGGCGTGTGTCTGCTATCTGTACCTTAGAGGCAGCATTTCCTAACATGGGGACAAAATATTATACTTGATTTCAAAACCGACGTTATTGCAAAGAGTCGTACACCCCAACGTCTGGAGATGGCTCGAAGCGATCATCATGCTTTTAACTTGCCTGGTGAAATTAAAGGGTGGTCCTCAACAGCATCACTTGACGATTTCAGAAGACGTTCCACCCCCCAGAGGAACTTAAATGTGAATCAAATGAGAAATAAGGGAATTATTGTCAGTCGTGGATACTTTCCCCCTCTCCTTCTTACGTCCCTTCTAAAACTAAGAATTTACTGACAGCTCTCCCCATTAACATGCTTCTCATGGCCAGGTATTTCCTTGTCATAAAGATATCAACAAGGTACCCTTTGACTAGTGTAAAGACGCATGAAAATCCTTTCTCTACTGATGTCTTCCAAGGTATCCTTCGCTGGGGACAAGATCCCTCAACCATATTTATCCATCCGAACAAGCATCTCCACAACCTCTGGCTTGGCCTTCATTACAAAATCTTTCATTCCCTGAGGCAAACAAGCAAGGACTCCAACTCCTTCGAGTAGTCAGACTCGTCGTCTCATTCTACTCGCTTATACATCCGATCGATGATTTTATCACAGCTACCACTTCGCGAGCCCTTACACACCCATTTCCAGCCATTCTCAACTCAACAACATTGAGCAGACGATCTGGCCGGGTTTGCTAAATTACATCTTGCTCAAGAAAACCCCCTGTATCAAGTGTAACAGGAAGGTATCGGGGCTTGTTCCCGAAATGATCGGTGAGTTTGGGGAACGAAGTAAAAGCATAGACAAGTCTGTAGACGAGATCTGTGACCCGGCGACGGATGCGGGATTGCCACAGGAGACAGGTAGCTCCAAGCAGCCCAGTCCACTTCCATGTCTGTCGTTTCTGTTCGTTCTTGTATTGTTCGTAATAAATTTTGCTACGTGATATTGAGTCATCGAATACTTTTTGGCCTGTCCACTCTCTTCAAATTAATAATGGTCTGCGAATTCTGTCGTTTGTTACTTGAGACATCGCTTACTACTGCTCGGCTAGGTAGTCCTGTGCACTCCACAGTCGTCCTCCCATCAAAACAAGGTTTCACCCTGGGTTCTTTGGTTCTACCAGCGCCAATCGTTCAATGAATATAATTCTGAACCGTTTATGACTATGAATCAATCTCAAGTCCTGTTGATCTCAAGCACCATTCTAGAGTACTACATTCCTCGAACCGAAAGAGTCACGTACCGGTATCTCCACTACCCACAGCCTCTCTCTCTCTCATATCTATCACCGAAACCATACCAACCCCCAAACCCCGACCAAACCCCCTTCAGCCTCTCATCGCAACCTGAACCACGAGTCCCACTACGCACGTGACACATTGCCTCATCCAGCCATTTGTCCACAGTCCCATCCCCTAAGCGAGCCAAGACCCACCCTCCCATTAATCTCAACGATCTCCCCCCCAAAGATCAGATAAGCTCACCCAAGAATGCGCAAACCCATCATCAGATCTACAGAGACAGGTAGCGACCGTTCCCTCTCATCCTCACCTCCCAGAACCGGTTTGTCCTGACTGAAGCTTACCTACCGACCTTCGTCGCAATGATCGTCCGCACTTCCGAAAATGCCGAACGAATCAGCAGCGTCCATGTCACGGCAGATGATGCAACAGTAAGACAAGACAAACAGCACATGCACGACCTCGAACCCACGCGACACCAACACCAACACCATCCATAGGGATTATCCGTATATTCATTCCCTAATTCGCTATCTAATCTCCCCCATCCACTCATCCCTCCATCAGTAGCTAGGGCCACATCTTATCTTCCCATCCATACCCATGCCTCCCAAGTAAATCCGAAAACTCATCCCTCAAAGCCGCGCCCAACACCTTCCCCTTCCACCACCCCATCGGAAACCCACACGTCCCGGCCTTCGTCCCCTTTCTCCTACTCACCGCCACCGTCCACGCAAACGAGCTATCCGCCATACCCATGAAGAAGCCGCTCCTGCTCAGAATCAGATAGTCGACCAGCGCCTGCTGGTCCCAGGTCAGTGCCGCCAGCTCAGCGGCGTCGTCGGGACTAGACAGCAGGTCGTGCTTCGTGATGACGTGTTTGGGTTGCATGAGGGAGGCCTCCTGCTCGTGCGTGAAGGCTGTGACGGATGTGGCGTTGCCGCTGGCGATGTACAGGACTGGGAGGGATGAGTTGGAGGAGAGGTGAGGGGAGGCTTTGATTCGCTGGAGGTAGTAAGCTGCTTGGTCGTCGTAGCCGAGCCAGTATGAGAGGATGTCGTTGGCGGTGCGGAGGTGGATGCCGATGAATGTTTTTGCGAAGGCGTGTGTCGTCGCTGTTGTGGGATCGATTGGTACGTCATATTGTGAGTATAAATTATACAGAGCTGTTGCGGCGAGGCGGTGGACGTCTTGCCTCAAGGGTATCAGATTGCCGAACGTGTCGGCAAACCCAACTGGGTCGTGGCATATGGGGCTGTTCAAGTAAATGTTAATTCAGATCTTACGTGAGATGAGATAGATAAGAGGACTTGGCAACGTACAAATGTCTCCAGAGGTTCCCAAGCGGAATCAAACTGATCTGTCCAGGTGGTGCTCTGATTTCTTTGATGTGCTCTCGGCACGAATATGCAATGCGCGAAGTCATCGCATGAGGAAGCTTTTTTGGGTCAATAAGCTCGGTCTTGGTGACGGTGCCAACTTTCTTGAGGTCTTCGACGTCCTGGTACACTCTCATCTGAGGACATGCCCTCTCCATCCGGGACAGGAAACGTTCCTTGTCGAATAGGTAATCCATCGACGTGGTTCCGCTTTCCAAGTTACTCAAGTCGCTGCTTTCTCTAAGATGGATCACGGGAAGTACTAATCCAGCTCCCGCATCAATAGCATATCGTATACAATGCAGTATCTCCTGCCTCAAGTTTCCTGTACTCAGTTAGATCTTGATCATATGGCATGTCGGGTACAGTCATACCAATTCCCCCGATCAAATTCTCACACTCAAAGACGACCGAGTCATCCCATTCCTGCGCATCACACATCTCTTCGATGTATCCATAGTCGAAATCATCCTCCACAGCTGCACTCATCGCTTCTGTGATGAAGTCCTCCCTTGACCAATTCTCTATCCTCATGTTGTTGCCCCATCCCACCTGCTCATCCAAATCCAACTCCAAACTCTGCATCCGTAACAGTCCCATAAACACCCATAGCGACACCAGCACTACACCAACAGCCAGGATTCTCGGTTTTGAAAGCATCGCGAAAGGGGGTATCAAATGGGTATCAATGTAAAAAAAAACAAAAAACAGAGAAGCAAGGGAAAAATGTGTGTGATAAAAACAAAGTAGACAAACACAAAGGGGACAGAAAACCGTATCGTAACAGACAAGTGGAGTTGGGGTATGTTTACGTATCCATCGTAACTTCCTTCAAGAGGCATAGAAGGTTCGTTAAGCGTGTTGGACCATTAAATACCAGGTGTCGTTGGAACAAAGGCGCAGGACCACGCTACTCATGCCAGGCGCGAGACAAGGCCAGGGCAGGCCAGGGCAGGGCAAGGCAGGATCAGACAAGGCCAAGTAGGATTGTTTATCCCTACCTAGGTACCTATGTAAAATGACGTTGAACGTCTTCGGTCTTGCACACCTCCCTACCTTACGGGAACTAACCAAACAAAGGCTGAAACCCAGCGCAGGGAGGGTCACGAAACAAGAGACACGATTCGCCGGTTCGCCGAAAATAGAGTAATCAGCTCCAAGCAATGCCACTCACTGTTTGGGTCGGTCTGGCGATCCTTTTCACACATAATGTCATACCAAGATGGCTAAGCCAGGATTTACGTAGGATCCATCATCCAAGGCTCAAGCTCCAACTGTCAGTGCCACTGACCTGACTAAGGTAGGTAAATTTCACAGATCCAAAAGCGTAATTCGAGATCTCGAAAACCACACCAGTGACACCACACCACAATACACCAACAAGCGGAGAAGCGCCTCCGTCCCGTTCGTTGGTCGACGGAGAATGGATGCCAACCTGAAAAAGCGGGTTTTCTTTCTTTCAAGATTTCGATGTGGCCTCCTCCTCCACTGCCGTTCGGGTGTGTGTCGCGTGCGCACCTGCAGAACGAGGCAGAGCGCAGTTCGCCAGGCCTTGCAGCAGACCCAGCGGGCGGGCCAGCCAGCCAGCCAGCGCTAATTAGCAGGCAGCCGCAGATCACCCCTTGGCACTCACGCGTTCGTTCTCGTAACTTTTTGCCCACCTGCAGGGAGATCAGATCAGATCACGACCAGAGGCACGCTCGCACGGTAGGTAATGAAAAATATCTTCCGTATGTTGCCCAACGCGGTAATTGATGGGTGGGATGAGGGATAGTGCGGCGCACGCGCTGCAGAAATGAAATACTGGAGGAGATTTGTGTGGAACACTGCTGCTACTGTGGATCATGGCATGGTTCCATTGTGCACTGGCTGGCAGTCTGGCACTCACGATGGCAGTCGAGGTCGCGCTTAATTAATGCCTGTGAGTAGAGGAGGATCTGGGTAAGGTACAAAAATGGTTGCCTAACAAAAAAGGACACGACACGCGTTACCAGAGAGCGAGATTGTAACGAAATTATGTTGGAGATTAAGGGGGTGAAACCGTGAAGTCGGATAGGATAGGTAGGCCAACTTACACAGACCTGGCCATTACCAGTTTTGAAGGTTTTGGTTTGTTGGAGTGGCGTATTTTTGTACAGCATTATGAATCACCTCAAGTGGTGATTCGGTAAAGCTTTTAGGGCCTTTGCAGGCATGAGAGACCTACAGAACAGGACAGATATAGGTGTGACAGAGAGGAGAGACCTGGTAGATAAATCAGAGACAGACTAAATAGGGACAAGGAAGGGGAAGTAGGAAACAAAGAGGGTTATAGAATAATTTTTGAAAGGAGGCTTGAAAGGAGATATAGCCAATGGCCTACAGGGTTACTAGGGCACGAGCCAAATAATGTATAGAAAAGTACAACAACAGACAAGAAACGGGGACACCATCATTTGGTTCAGCTTGATGATGAAATTGAAATTGTACTAGTTGGCGTTAGCATAAAAAGAGCAGCAAATAGACATCATTTTTCTACCTCCGTGAGCTGAACTTGGGTATTGCTTTTGAGAATCATGCCAACCTTCAACGATGAAGACTGAGGACTTGAGACGTCTTGAAGGCTCAACGGCTATGGGCCGATAAGCCACAGATCTTGCCCGCTGAGCTCTTGAATGCCTACCTTAGGATACTGGGTGGCTGAAACGAGAAATCTTTGCGGCATATAGGTGGGGCGTGTCTTGGTTTCTTGTTGCTTTCGCTCCTGGCTCTCTTCTTGACTTGTTATTTTAGGGTTTCAGCATTTAGATTGCCTGGAGAAGTAAATCTGCGGCCACGGATTATATCCACGTGGTGGTTACCAGCCAAATCAGACTGATCCACCTTCGCAACCCTCAGCCTAACGTACTTATAATCGTTGAAGCCTGATTTGGTCAGGTATCAATAAAAATCACATGGCCATGTCCTACCCCACCATGGCTGACAACATCCGGGATCCTCCTCTATCTTCACTCTTTCCATTCTGTTTCTACATAACATCTCACCCATTCCATCTTGTGACTCTAGTAAGGCGCAGGGCCCGCCCTTGTTATTCAAGACTTGTGGTATATATCTGCGCAAGCTAGGCTCTCTTTGCGTCTTCCAAGTAAGCAACTATCCCTCACCCAAAGTGAGAACAGGACAATGCGCTGGCATCAATAAGTCCCGCGAATTCGTTTGCCATCCATCTCTTTGTTCTGGAGTTGCCTTTGAACTTGTCACAAGCATCACACTGACGTATCCCGTAGGAATTGTCTCTCGCGTCTCATCATCGAATCTGAATCGAATACAAGTCGAGGCTCTATCCAACACGACAGCAATTACCCCTCAACCCTGCCCATCAACGCTGACCTAGAAGGCCTATACCGTGGGACAAACCCTTCCCAATTAGTTGCCGGTATTGCCAACAAGGCGACGCTGAAGGCAGCTAGCTGTCTTGAAACCAAGTCGAGTTGAGGTCTTGAACTTAGGCGGATAATTTCATCACCGCCATGCCTGAGGTAGGTTCCGCTTCGACTTGTATCCGAACGTCCTACTAATTTTATGCGGACAGGCTGAACAAACTAAAGACAAAGATTACGAATTCCTTAGCTACTGGACTTTTGAGGCAGTCGAATACGACAGATATATGGCATGGAAAGCTGGTAAGGGATGGATAGCTATAGGTCCTAGAGTAACTACTCGTCGCGATACAAATGGGGACGATGAAGATGTGCTTCGCCAGGGGCAAAGTGTAGTAGTATCAGAGACCGATTTCAAATTGGTGCGAAAGGCCTAACTTCAATATGACCGGTATATACTTCCAAATACCTCTCTACCCGTCGCAAAACACAATAGTACCCTCAGTATGCAATCGCTGCTGTCCTCGCTGTTCGGGAAAAAAAACTTGAACGGCTTCAGTGCGGTCAGACACTCGCTGTGTCTCCTCTCTCTGCCTCCAAACGCTGGCTTTCATAGCGTCGAAGAGATAATCACCAAGCATACTCCTTAGGGCTTCAACCGATCCCATTTGTGCTTGCGAAATGGCTCTCCCAACCGAAGAACATAGCCAGACGTCCAACTTAAAATCCTCACCTGAACCAAAGCACAGATGTAACAGTATAGTCTTAGTAAATGGCACAAACCTCTCATCCTTCTCTCGATGTCGCATCTGGCTCTTGTTCATACCTTCGAAAAGGTAGCTCCCAAGAACATCTGCTAATTTGCTTACCTCGGCCACCTCCGCTATTATCGGTTTGATTGCTTTAACCTGATAACCATGTTGCACTTGAGGCACGTGAAAGTTAACATCCCCAGGACCGCTTTCCTCAGCGGCCATGCCTCCTTGGCCAGGTATTGGCCCAATTGGTGCGGCTGCCAATTATTAGTGGGCAAGCAAAATTGTATCAACGCACGTGTACTTACTAAGAGATGTTGTAGGCATGCACATAAGAACCCCACCGGCAGTTGAGAGGTGCCCTTTTGTAGATTAGCAAGTGTTATTAATCAAGGGTATTTCTTTACCTGTGATATTAGGGTCAGCTGGATCTTGCAATGATTCTTGTGTGGTCAAAGTGGCAGGATTGAAAGTGGTGTCATCATCATTCAAGATAGCGCTGATAGTGCTGGTGCCCGGTCGCCCCAGCCTCGAAATATCAGGTTCTGATTCACTTCTACTCCGGCCCTGGTGTGTCTGGTAAACCCTATCACAGGTGCCAGGCGGCGGCGGCTCCTGTGAGACTGAGCCCGATTGTGGAGTAGAGAGCATATGCATGTTGTGCTGAGACGGATCTGTGTCGCTGGGACAGACATTCACTATTGCTAGTGACACATCAGCGAGGGGACCCCGTCCTTGATCGTTGATGGCCAGGGGCAGTAGCGAACGAGTGTCCTGATGGATCATTGCAGGAGATGCTTGTTGATGCGTCTGTGGCCTCATGACTTTTTTCTTCGGTATCGATTTAGTCACCCGACCAGTGTCAAGCCTTCTTGAATCAAGCAGAAGTCTTTCATGTCCCTGTATACCAGTATCGCAGGGAGGGAATGGTGGGGAGTTCGCGGCCCATTGGATTTGAGATTTTTGTCCAAGATAAGAGAGGAACGGCTTGCGGACGGTCTGTAAAATGTTGTTTCCCAGATTGTTCCAGCCTTCTTTCTCGCACATAGAAACAAGCCCAAGTTTACGAAGGAATTGAATAGCTTTGTCCCACACGTCCCCTTTCGCTGGCAAGACCGTTGTCCAGCTTCAAAAGTCAGTGATTTCCCCAAATGCAGATGGGGGATTTACAGATATTCGCTAATAGAATCTGGAAACAGAATCAAGCAGCCAGAACCCAAGGCATTCATAAATGCACGATACCGTCACCCAGTCTCCGCCCATGCCTTTACATCCTGCTCAACAGTTGTTCTGTCGTGCTCTCCTCCTCCACAAATCATGCCAACTACTAGAGCAACGCCAGCATGATCGGGATTGGAAAGTCGCCGTCTCGTATTGCCGAGTTCTAGGATCACGTCGGAGTAGAAAGTAGTCAGGAATCTCCAAATAACTCTATTCACTGAGAGAGCTGTTCGTATGTTCCGAGTGTATTGGTAGTGATTCGACGGAGGCAAAGGGTCGACACCATTTGACGATTGTCCTATGCCAAATCTAAGAAGGTTGCCTAGAGTATCTTGAGTAATGCTGAAGTCCTTGGCCTGAAGTCCCCATAGTGGACCCAGCCTGTCGCGAAAAGGCCTGAGCTGGCGTTTCTCGAATGAGATTTTCGTTTGTGAGGATGATTTTAGAATTCTAGCAAGATTCCTTTGCATTTTCTCGGGTATTGGATACTGTTCCAGCGCCTGGACAACCTATACTCTGTTAGCGGGCGTAGCTCCGAAACGATCCAAAAGGAATCACCTCGTCCTCGTCGAGTAGTTTCTCCAGAGTGGAATTCTCCAAGCGGGAACGCAAAGTGCTGCTCACGTCTTGACCCATTGCGGGATTGTCGAGGCCTAAAGTCTGTCGTTATAGGTAGACACCAAAGTACTCGACGGAGGTTTTTGTTCATTTGACTATCAAAGCTGTCAAAGCCCACCATGGATAAGTCCATCCCTGAAGAGCCAATCGCTCAGCGGGAAGGCAGTCCTGTTGGATATTGGATAAGGGATATGATCAGCCCTATCACTGCAAGCCTAGCCAATGGCCACTCCGCCCGGCCGGAGGCGATATGCTCCTTGTCGCGCTTAATGCGGTGTCTCAAGGAAGTACTCGGTGATGCTTTTGATGAGGGCCTCTTGTGGTGCGTGAGGCATTTTGAGGGAGGGGAAGGGGGGTAACCGAGCTAAGTTATGACCGAAAGACATTCACGCATTTAAATACGTAAATTTGCTGCCTTACTTGACCAGATCGATTTTGATTGGAAATACTAGAAAGTTTACTTATTAAATGAAATATGGATGTTGAGGAAGGTGACTTTTGATGGTATTCTCGATTGCTTTGGATGCTGGCCCTCGTCTCAAAAACATCACCGAGTAGGTTACCCCCACCTCAAATATTAATGGCAAGGGTGGTCGGATGTCCCGTCTCTGTTGGTCCATTGCGGGAAAGTGCCAAGGCGAATGAGACCAACCACACTAAAGGCGCAGGATTATACCGAGTAACAAGGAATAACGAGAAGCTGGGAGCTACTTCTGCCTCACCGCCCGATTCTGCCAGCAGGTAACTGCAAACGCATCTCCATCGTTCTCGATATCCATCCTTTACATCAATTTCCACGAATTGAATTCTCCTGTTGTCGCTACCCTCCTTGAGTGAGTCACAAGCAAGATCTCTGGTCACAATTCTGCGTCCGCCAATACCGCTGGTGAGTATTGTTTGTGAGCTTCTGAATGCGACCAACTGACATAGCTGTAAGCAGAGGCTACGCTCACTCCCGAGAGAATGGAAATAATTGAAGCTGCCCCGTGTTTTCAGATGCATGGATCGACACCTCAATTCCTCTACACCAGGATTATATACAGATTTGAGGGTGAATTATATAGTTCTCGAACCTCTCAGAGAATCCCATCTGGGAGCAAAGACATCGATCCGCGGTTGCTTACCAACACTACTCTTATACCAATCGACGCATACTCTCAACGATTCACCACGGGTATGACCAGAGCTCCGAACCCACCGCCGCCCAACACTTACATCAAACGGCCGAACTTGTTAGCATACGACGCGAAACTTTCGCCTGACTTGCACACGCTTGACGAGATCCAAGCATGCGAAATACTCAAGATGCATCCGCACGAAAATTTGGCCATTTATTTCGGCTGTGTGGTTTCGAGCGATGATCGAGTGCTTGGCCTTTGCTTTGAAGCATATTGCCAAACCTTAATGGAAAGGGTCAATCCATGCCACTTGAACAAACAACACCCTCCACAGTGCAACTCCACAACCGCCGATGTATACATCTCCGCCATTCGGAGCGGAATTCAGCATATGCACTCCCTTAACCTTGCACATAACGACCTCAATCCGAGCAACATCATGTTTGACGCACTGGACAAGGCTGTAATTATCGACTTTGACTCATGTCTCCCCTTTGGCTCTTCTCTTAGTACTGCTAAGAGGACTCCTGGGTGGTTCAATCCGGAGAACAAGATTTCCGCCCCGGAGAATGACTGGGACGCTCTCTCGGAGATTCACGCTTGGTTGCATGGCTCTGTGGAGAAATACAAGTTCACTTGATATCAAACATGTCACGGGCGAGTGAAGTAATCGACTACATAGCAATGCCAGTATTATTAGAGGCTGTACTATCTGTATGTCCTGTTCCCAAACGCTCGTGGCTGTCAACCTATGTAACCCAGGCACCTTCGAAATATCCCATCGATATCTTCCCTGAATTAGCGATTGAAGACTGATGGTCCGAGACTTAAGTTATACCTGAAAGTTACTTCTGAACATAACTGTCTGAGTGCGGGCAGTCCGATCTGCCGCAGTCAACAATTCTAATTGTGACTCCCGAGGTGGAAGAAAAGGTGCAGTTGTTGAGTGGAGGAGCTAAGTCGATCGGGCTTTTGGTGCAATGGTTGACCAGGGCCTGAGCGCCGACCTCATTGGGAGATAGATGAGCCATGGTGTACTGCCAAAGTTGTTAACACAGAGACAGTCCTCGCAGTTTTCACCTTACTAGATGGAATGTGTTCTGATGTTGATGGTAGTAGTGGTGGAGTTTACAAGAAGAATAGGAACTATGAGTGTGGGATATGGCTGCCTTTATACTTGCTAGAGATGATGGGTGCTGGCAATTGTGTTGCATTTGTCACCACATTGTGACTATCTCCAGGCAACCATCGCTTCTATAAGTTGGACTCAATGGCCGGGACACCTTTTGATTGAGCAATCAGTCTACATGAAGAACTGACAGCCGCAAGGACGTCTTTCTCCTACGGGACGCCCTTTTCTTACGCTGCTTCCAAGGCTTGAGGGTCAAGTTAAGGATCAAGGACTATGATTGGCGAAGCGGTGAATTAACTACCCGCTTCTTGCTGGTCACGTGGGATGCTTTCTATGTTTCTGACGGCTGAATTAGATGCCAGTCGTTGGTTGGCGTAGGCGGGTTGGGCCTGTTGGCCTAGGGATGAGTCCATCACAAACACCGCTAAACCATTTTTAAGAGTTATCTGAGGCACGCCCGAGATAACTCTTAAAATTGGTTTAGCGGCATCTACAAGCCTACCCCAGACTCTTCAAAGTGTGCATTGAGCTGAAACTCTTTCAAAATGATTCAGTCCAGATGGGAGCGGCGAAAAGAGGAACTCTCCCCCAACCCCTCTCATTATGTCATTGGAGGGCCTTGACCCTGTATTGATCCACCATCCTGCAATGCGGCCCATCGGGCGAGGTCGCCCCAAGCCAACAAACACATGACAAGTTTGCGTTGGTTTTTGAACCGCAACCCGGTGGCCAACCTCACCACTGTTGGGATTGACACTTGTAGTTTCAAATCCCGCAACATGACAAGGCAGGCGAGAGAAAATCAAAAACGCATACCGCCTAAAGGATCTTTCAGTTGTTTTGAATAAGCGCCGGGGAGCCCATTTGTTATCATTCAAGTGCTTTTTCCAAGGCGAAAATTGGACGGCTGTGGCTCCGAGTACTATGTGGGGTGTTTGCTATTCAGAGCTAATCCTCGAAAACGACAACCACTCACTACATGTGCTCCAACACATATCTCAGATTTCTCATTCAATCAGGCTTGCTTCATTCCAACCTTCTCGTCAACCGTACTCCTACGCCCATCTTGTCAGAGTGATTAGACTGACCCATGAAATGAATCTTCTACCCTGTCTCATATTTCATTCCAATAACCATGCGGGCATGAATCACCTCCCTGTTGTTGGATCTAGTAGTGGAGAAGACCCATATTAGCCCACTAACTAAAGGAGTGCATCCTCCATAATTTTAGGCAGCTGTATAACTGATCGCTTTCCTAAAATGGACGTTTGCGGTTCCGGCTTAATTGAGACAATGTCGGGACGGGTCGAGCGAGCGTGATGGAAGATAGACTCCGCTCTGAACGGATGGTATGCTGGGAAGATGAAGAACTACTGTGATGCGTTATGGATGGATTGGAAAGAAGTTGACTCCGAGGACTGGAATTGAGAAGTCGGGTTTTCAGTCTGGTGTTTGATTGCGGAAGTGACAGGAGATGGGCTATATCCGCTCAGTGCTGAGGAGGAAACTCAATCGGGAAACGAAGAATGACAATGTTAAGGATTCAAGGCTCTCGTACGAAATGTAAAGTTGCATGAAAAGCCGAAGTCGCTGCGAATCTTGTGCTGCCAGCTTCGATCGTGTTGAGTGAGCAAAGATCTATAAATCGTTGAGAACGGATAAGTATTCAATAAAACGACAATTGGCCAGTATTGAGTGAAATATTTGAGCGGGAAACCTGTAATGTATTGGCAACCGGTGTAAAAGATGCTGAGCTACTGAGGATTGACTGTGTTATTCGTGCCATGGCATCAAAACGAGGTCTTTCTTGTCCTGTCTCTTCATACTTTGGATCTCTCCTTTTCCTGTATCACCAATGATATTCCCAACTTCGAAAACACGTAGAATTCATTTGTAGGTATTTTACCGGACACTTATTGGGGTATCACCAATACTCTGTCGTTCAGCATCATAATATCAAGCAACACATTCTAATCTCCTCTTTGAAGGAGCACCAACTTAGCGAAAAGTATTTATACCGATTCAGGGTTTCGAGGGGATATTCTGAAAATATACCTTTGATAATCTAATCGCTTATAAAGTGAGTTGTAAACAGTTCCTAGTTAGAAAGACGAAATTTAAGAATTCGGAATTGCTTCGACCACTGTCGGTATGTTTTTGTCTACTCGTGATATCGACTGCTATTGATGGGCGCACAGAAGGCCAGTCCTTGCTCACCGGTGCATCTGAATTGTAATTGAACATTGAGATAGTTCAAATTTGGAGGTCGTCCTTTCAGCGTGCCTGCGTGGTTTCTAAGCCGATGCAGGGACTAGTAGGGAGGATATTAACATGTCACGTGGACATTCTCTGCCCTCGAAAGGATGCATCTAAATTGCTTCGGCATCTGTTTTATTCACGCAATGCACCATAATATAGATTTATCCTGAAATTCGGATTGTCGTCTCTCTTACATTAGAGTGCTTCAGCACCTCCATAGTCTTCAAGATACGCTCCAGTAGGAATACGGCGAAAGAAGCGATGTTTCGCTTAACAAAAACCGCTCCCTTCAGATTTATTCCCAATTCCCACTTTCAATTAGCCATCAGTCGAACCGACTGCTCATCCCGCTGTTTTCTCCGACTAGGAACTCGTAAACTTATATCTGCAGGCTGTCAGGGTCAAATATCTACCTAGGTACCTGGGCTAGATAAGTCAAGCACGTGACTAGCCAAGCCACAATCCAAATTTAGAATCTTACGCCGTAGCGCGTCAGACGCGATATTCGGACAGTTCTTCATCCTCTCTCCAAATTCCTTTTTCTGAATAGTTCCATGCCGGCCCAATAACCACACGTCCTGCTCTAAGCAAGAGCTCTATTGGATGCTATTGACTCTAGCGAGCTCCGCGTCTGACTGGGCAAGTGCTTCAGATGAGCTCACTTTTGCGAGTCTCAAGTCGCGTCCTGCCGTTTGCAATCCCCTATCCACAAAGGCCTTGAGAATGTTCGGATCGCTTCAGTTTTTGCTCAAACGATTTCGGAATTAAGAGAACGTTCAGAAAAATTCCTTAGGGGAAGCGCTCAGATGTATCTCAAACTGAAAATAAGCGTCGCTGGATTTATTATGGCTCATCAAGTCTGCGGGTGCGACCGCAAGGCGTTCAACCCACCTCCCAATCCGAATTACTCCAACAGCTGATAATTCAAGTTGAAAGACATGTGGTTTAATAATATTAAACCATTCTCAAACTCGAATTTCGGGCTCGGGGGTCCTTTTCGGTGCCGGTCACCTGAAGTCGGTGGCTTTCAGAGAGGCTGAGTTGGTGCTCAGCAAGCGCTGAGTGCCTCCCTCGAGAGGACTCTTGCCCTGAAAGCACGTGCTAGTACCACGATAAGCTTCAGGAATAAGCTTCCATAGTCCAGAAACAGACCGATCAGGCTGACCGACGCTGTCAACACCAACCCCCGAAGTATACGGACGGATACTTTGCTGTGTCGGAATGGGACGGAGTGGGGTTTCTCCCAAAGAGGCGTCCCGGCTGATGGTAGCCGGCGGCGTCTCATGGCTTCACATATCATGGAGCTGGTATCACGACTTATAGACTTATGATATCTCATCCACACATAACTCCTCATCCCAACTCTACATCCCTTGAGAATACTCGACTCGAACGACTCAAATTTTCCCGACTTTGAGCAACTCGAATCGACAGTCCCCCTCTCAAGACTTCCAATCACAACATCAGAATCTTCATCTCGAAAGTACTTGATTATCCCGACATCAACGAACCCTCGACTTGACCTTCGCTAAGTCTCAATCATCTTTCAAGACTACATCGAATTAGTTCTCCATTACCCCGAATTTTGGACAACTTCACTTGACATCTCTTGACTCTACTGTCTTTATACGACTGTGACTCTACCCCTGATAGCTTCATTGCCCCGAACATTGAAGACTTCCACCTCATTTCTCGAATTACTTCGCATCTTCCGATCCCACGTCAACAGCAAAATAATTCCCACCCAGCCTCAAATAATCAGTCAACATGGTTTCCACCAAGCCTGTCAACAGCGTCACCATGCAAGGAGGAGAGCCCATCGCCATCGTAGGCACAGGATGTCGTTTCCCAGGAGGGGCCAGCAGCCCTTCTAAGCTCTGGGAGATGCTCTTGGATAAGCGTGATGCCTTGAGGGCCATCCCAATGGATCGCTGGAACTCTGATGGGTTTCACCACTCCAATGGCGAGCGAGCCGGAGCCCTCAACGTCAAGCATGCCTATCTCCTCAAGGAGAACGTCCGCGAATGGGATGCCTCTTTCTTTGGCATCAACCCCCGTGAAGCCGAGGCCGTGGACCCTCAACATCGCATTCTGCTGGAGACTGTCTATGAAGCCATGGAATCTGGTGGCTTCTCCATGGAACATATGCAAGGCTCTGACACTGCCGTGTATGTCGGTGTCATGACTGCCGATTACTACGAGATGCTCCTGCGCTCTCCCGAGTCTCTGCCGACCTACTTCGCTACCGGCACGAACTCCAGTATCCTGTCGAACAGATTGTCCTACTTCTTCGATTTGAAGGGTCCATCCGAGACAATTAATACTGCCTGCTCGTCCTCCTTGGTCGCGGTTCACCGCGGTGTTCAGAGTCTGCGCTCTGGAGAAGCAAGAATGGCAATTGCAGGTGGTGCCAATTTGATCTTGAACCCTGAGTTCATGGCTACCGAGTCCAACCTCCACATGTTGTCTGCTGAAGGTCGATCTCGCATGTGGGATGCTGGTGCGAATGGATATGCTCGTGGTGAAGGTTTTGCTGCTGTCATCATGAAGCGTCTCTCGGATGCTATTGCTGATGGGGACGACATCACTGTAAGTTATCATCATTCCTTCTCTGCGTTAAAACCAGGAACTGACTCGTTGTCCATAGTGTATCATCAGAGAGACTGGCGTCAACTCAGATGGTCGTACCAAGGGTATAACCCTGCCCAGTGGCGAGGCTCAAACCAACCTGATTCAACAAGTTTACAAGAAGGCTGGCTTGAACCCTTACTCTGCCCTCGACCGCCCACAATATTTTGAGGCTCACGGTACCGGAACCCCTGCTGGTGACCCAATCGAAGCCAATGGTATCCGCGATGCTTTCTTCGCCGAGAACATCAAGAGAGAGGGCGAGAACTTGCTTGTAGGCTCCGTCAAGACCGCCATGGGCCACACTGAGGGAACTGCTGGACTTGCTGGTCTGATCAAGACTGCCAATGCCATCAAGCTCGGTGTCATCCCAGGTAACCTTCTTTTCCAGAGCTACAACCCCAAGATCCTCCCTCTCCTTGACCACCTCGCACTCGCTACCGAGACTCAAGCATGGCCTGCTCCCCCAGCTGGGCAGCCACGCCGAGCGTCAGTCAACTGCTTCGGATTCGGAGGAACCAATGCTCACGCCATTGTTGAGAGTTATCACCCCGCTCCAACGCTTTCGCGTAAACAATTGATGCCAGCTTCCACTCAAGCCCCACTCGCCACCCCATTGGTCCTGTCTGCCAACAACGAGGCATCTCTCGCTGCTATGGTTTCCAACTACCATGACTTCATCGAGAAGAACGAACAGCTCAATCTCAATGATCTTGCCTGGACCCTTCAGAACCGTCGCTCCGAGTTGGCACTTAAGGCAACCTTCTCTGGTCCAACTAGAGAGGCGCTCCTTGCCAACATGGCAGCGGTGGTCGAGAAGACCAAGCAAAGCCCACCTACTGCCATCGGCAAGCGCCGAGACAACCGATCTAAGAAGGCTCGTATTCTTGGTGTCTTCACTGGACAAGGTGCTCAATGGGCCAACATGGGCCGTGAGCTTATGCTCTCTTCTTCCATGGCCAAGCAATCAATTGTCGGACTGGATGCTGCTCTCGCAGGGCTCCCAGATGGACCTACTTGGACTCTCGAGCAGGTCATCTGCGATAAAGAAGCTGGCAAGCGAATCGACGAAGCCGAATTCTCTCAGCCAGTATGCACAGCCGTGCAAGTCATGCTTGTCGATATCCTTCGCTCTGTTGGACACACTTTCACTACCGTTGTTGGACACTCCAGTGGTGAGATTGGCGCTGCTTATGCTGCAGGTGTTGTCAATGCCTCCGAAGCCATCAAGATCGCTTACTACCGTGGTCTCCACACCAAACTCGCCCAAGGTCCATCCGGCAAGGAGGGTACTATGTTGGCTGCTGGTCTTTCACACGAGGACGCAGATGAGTTCTGCTGCCACCCAGCTCTTGTTGGACGTATTCAAGTCGCTGCAAGCAATGCTCCTGAGAGCGTCACTCTTTCTGGCGATGTTGATGCTGTGAAGGAAGCAAAGGCCATGCTTGACGAGAGAGGCATTTTTGCCCGAGCCTTGAAGGTAAACAAGGCTTACCACTCTCAACACATGAACCCTGTTTCCGTTCCGTACATGGCTTCCCTCAGAGCTTGCCGAATCCAGCCAAAGCTTCCTTTCGAGGGGTGTACCTGGGTTTCCAGTGTCACAGGCGATCCAATTGTCGATGAGATGGATCTCAAGGCTTTGACCAGTGTGTACTGGAAGGACAACATGCTCAAGCCTGTTCTGTTCTCTACCGCTGTTGAGCAAGCTGTTCTTGGTGAAGAGGCCTTCGATTTCGCGATCGAAGTCGGCCCTCATACTGCTCTTAAAGGCCCATTCCTCCAGACTTTCAAAGCTGCTACTGGATCCAACCTCCCATACGGCGGTACCCTCGCACGTTTCACTAACGACATCGGTGCCATGGCCAACTGCCTTGGTGGACTCATGAACTACAAGGCACCATCCGAGATCACAAGCGATGAGTATATCCGATCATTCCAAGCTGGTGTTTCTCCAACCCTGGCAACCGGTCTCCCAACGTATGCTTGGGACCACTCTCAGATCTACTGGGGAGAGACGCGCTACTCCCGCAAGTACCGCCAACGCAGCAAGCCTCGCCACGACTTGCTCGGTGCCCAACTCCCAGATGACCTTGAGCACGACATGCGCTACCGCAACACCGTTCGAGTTTCTGAGACTCCTTGGCTCGCTGGCCACAAGGTTCAAGGCCAGATCGTCTACCCAGGAGCTGCTTACCTAGTCATGGCTTTGGAAGCGTCAAAGGATCTCGCCAAGGACCACCCAACAAAGTTGGTGGAGCTGTTGGACATTGAATTGTCCCGCGCCATCGCTTTGGAGGAGGGTTCTGCTGGTGTGGACACCCTTCTGACGCTCAAGAAGACCCATGAAGGACCGCTCAACGGCGAGAACTTCATTGAGGCTGAGTTTTCCATATTCTCTGCTGTCGGTGTCGATGCCGACAACTGGGACTTGAACATGAAGGGTCGTATGCGCGTAGTGTTGGCCGATTCCAACACACCTGATATCATCCTTCCTGTTCGTGACGATACGCCAGTACTGCTCAGCTCTCTCAATGTCGAGAGCTTCTACAACTCGCTCGTGGAGATCGGATTCAACTATACCGGACTGTTCAATCGTCTTACCAGCATCGACAGACGGATGAACAGGGCCACCGCAACAGCCATCGAATACCCTGAAGACCCCGAGATGCCAGCCATGATGCACCCAGCGTTGATGGATGCATCATTCCAGACGGTCTTCGCAGCACTCCACTTCCCTGGCGACGGTGGAATGGCTTCACCATACCTCCCAACTGGTATCAAGTGTCTGAGAATCAGCACTGACCGCGACGAGGCTGCTGAGGCTACTCCTGTCACCATCGACACTTTCATTACTAGCAACGAGAACATGAAGATCGTTGCCGATATTGAGATGTGTGATTCTACTAATGGTGCCCCTCGTATGCAGATTGAAGGCCTGGCTTGCAGTAAGTGCTTCCTCAAAAGTTTCTTGGATTCTTAGAAGACTCTAATCCTGACTTTGTGCAGCATCATTGGAACGTGCCAATGCCGATAATGATGTCGAGCTCTACTCGCAAACTATCTGGCGTCCAGAAGTTACCAAGACCGCTCAGGATATTGTCCTCACTTCTGACGAAGCTTCCTCTGAGCCTAGTCTCGTTGACCTGTGCGAGCGCCTCGCCTATATGTATTTGCGCAAGCTCAACCACTCTGTTTCTCGCCAAGAGGTTGAATCCTTCTCATGGAACCACCAGAGAATCTTCCAATTCATCGATCACCTCTTCCCTGTCGTGGAGAACGGACAACATCCTACCCTTCGGGCTGAATGGGCCGAAGATGATTCTGAGTGGCTTGAGGCTCAAGCTGCAAAGCACTTGGATCAAGTTGATATCCAGCTCATCACCACTGTCGGACAAAATCTTCTTTCTGTTGTCCGCGGCGAGACAAACCTGCTCGAATGCATGATGAAGGATGATATGCTCAACCGATACTACGCACTCGGTCAACAAATCAAGGAATCCAACGTCTCCTTGAGCCGCGCCGTCGGACAAGTCGTCCACAGATATGCCGGAATGAAAATTCTTGAAGTTGGTGCTGGCAACGGCGCTGTTACTAAGGGTGTTTTCGAGGAAATTGGACACCTCTTCAAGAGCTATGCTTTCACCGACTCTACTGATAAGTCATTCGATCGTGCCCGCGAGACCCTGCAGAAGTGGACCAGCAAGATGAAGTTCCAACAGCTTGAGATTGAAGGCGATGTCGTTGAGCAGGGCTTCGAAGAGCACTCCTATGATATGATCATCGCGTCCAATGTCGTCCAAACTTCTCAGAACTTGCAGCGCACCATGGAGAACATCCGCCTGCTTCTCAAGCCAGGTGGATATGTCGTCCTCCAGGAGATTAGTGTACCAGACGTTCTTCGCGTCAAATTCATGACTCTTGGTCTCCCTGCTTGGTGGGCGGGAGATGAGGATAGCCGCCGCTTCGGTCCTGCTGCGTCTATGTCTCAATGGACTTCTCTTCTCAAAGAGACTGGATTCTCGGGTGTCGACCAAGTTACCAACGATTTGGCTGATCGTCCAATGTATATGACATCGGTTGTTCTTTCTCAGGCTTTGTCTGACGAAGTTCAATTCTTGAGAGAGCCACTCTGCCCACCAGTCCTACCAATCGCTCTCAAGGATATCTGCATCATCGGCGGCAGCCAAGCTCGAAATGCGGAGATTACCACCTACATCAACGAGTCCTGCCGACTTCTGGGCAACGAGCTCCCAACATTCTCCTTTGTTGATACCATCCAGAAGGCACACTTGCACACTGCACCAATTTCTTCTGTCATCTTTGTCCAGGATTTGGATGAGCCCATCTGGAAGAACCTGAAGCAGGAGACTATCACTGGTCTGCAAAGCGTCGTTGACCAAGCCCGCCAAGTCCTCTGGGTCACCTCCGGATGCAGACTCGAGAACGCCTACGCCAACATGTCTGTCGGTGTTGGACGTGGTCTCCAATCCGAGTACGCCCATGTGCAATTCCAACTTCTGGATATTGAGCCATCTGAGGCAGAGACCAGCAATGATCTGATTGCCGCTGCCTCACTTCGCCTCTTCGCCGACGATGCTATTCGCGCTGTCTGCCCCAACATCCTCTGGACAGCCGAGCCAGAATTGGTCATCAAGAACGGTAAATTCTTGATTCCTCGTATCACTGCTGATCAGGTCCTCAATGATCGTCTCAATGCACGCCGCCGTGCTATTCAAAAGAAGGTTTCGCCTGCTCAGACCCAAGTCGTGGTCTCCGAATCTGAGGGCTCTTACGTTCTCTCGGAGCCATACCTTTCGATGACTGCGACCAAGGATACCTCTGCTATCAAGATCAAGGTTACTCACTCTCTGCTTTCGGCTATCAAGGTAGGCGAGAACATGCACATGTACCTGGTTATCGGTAAGGTTGTTGAAGGTGGAGAGATTGCACCTGGCAAAGATGTCCTTGCGTTCTCTAACATCAACGCCTCGATAATCGATGTGCCTGTTTCGCAGGTTGTCCCAATCTACGTGAAGGTAGACTCACCACCCAAATTCATCGAGTCAGTCGCAAGCACCTTCGTATCTACTGCTCTGTTCTCCAAGCTTCGTCATGGATCCACCGTCCTGTTCTTGGGACCCGACAAGAGTCTCGCATCAGCTTTCCAAGCCACTGCCGAAGCCCTTGGACTCAAGACCTTCTCTGCATCCACGACACCAGTACCAGCAGGATCGAAGACTGTCTATATCAATCCCCACACCCCAGAGCGTGTCCTCCGCAACATCCTTCCTGCAAAGATTGACATGGTCTTGGACTTCTCTGGTGTTGATCAGCCATCCAGTATTGCTGCTCTCCAGAGCAATGACGAATGCATCAACACCAAAATTCATGATCTCTTTGGCAAGAAAGCCAGCTCTGGAATTAACAAAGTCTCAGACTGCCTCCACGACGAGCTTCTGAAGGCTCACTTCGTCGCTGCCAACTTTGTGGATCGCTCTGAGACTCCTGAGATCGTCTCGCTTTCCCAAGTCGCAAGCTCTACTAAGGCAATCGCGTACCCAGCAGTCTTGGACTTCACCAAGGACGCCGAAGTTTCTGTCCAAATCGCACCAATCAACACCAAAGAGCTATTCAGAGCAGACAAGACATACCTCCTTGTTGGATGCACAGGAGGTCTCGGACAAGCTCTCTGCAGATGGATGGTCCAGAATGGCGCAAAGCATTTGGCACTCACCACCCGAAACCCCAAATCAGTCAACCAGACTTGGCTCGACGAGATGGCAACCGCAGGCGGCAACGTCGAAATCTTTGCCTGCGACGTCACAGACGGCTCGTCCCTCCGCAAGACCCATGAGGAGATCTGCCGCAAGATGCCTCCGATTGCAGGTGTCGCCAATGCCGCAATGGTTCTCGCTGATCGCCTTTTCAACGATATCACCCTTGAGGACTTCCAGATCTCGCTGAAGCCCAAGGTTGATGGCACGAACCAGCTTGACGAGCTGTTTGGTGAGGGCAGCGATTTGGATTTCTTTATCCTGTTCTCTTCTCTTGCTAATACTGTCGGTAACCGCGGTCAATCCAACTACCTCGCTGCCAATGGATACATGCAGACTATTGCTGCGCAGCGCAGAGCTCGTGGTCTAACTGCTTCGGTCATGCACATTGGTATGGTTATCGGTATTGGAGTTGTGTCTCAGGATGCAGCTCTTGAAAGCTCGTTGAAGAGACAAAAGTGGATGGCTATTTCCGAGCCAGCTTTCTTGGATATGTTTGCTGAGTGTGTTATTTGTGGTCGTCCTGATTCAGGACATTCCAATGATAGTAAGTCTCCGCTCCCTTCAAATGATTGCAAAACTTTCGACGACAGGTTCAATTTTCGAAATCTTACGTATACCTTCTTTCTGAATACTGACATTGGCCTCTTTTCTAGTCATCACGGGTATTCCTCGCAACAGCGCACTGCCCGGTGCCGACAACCCTTGGTATGCATCCAACCTTCGATTCTCGCACATGGTCCTCAAAGAAGAGGGCGAGGATCAATCCTCATCCGGCGGTTCTTCCCTTCCTATCAAGCAACGTCTTTCAGCAGCAGCTTCACCAGAGGCACGTGCAGAGATCATCCAAGGCGACTTCGTCCAGAAGATGAGCCGTATCCTGCAAGCCGCTGCAGAGAACATCGAATGCTCTCAGCCTCTCCTGGCTCTCGGAGTGGATTCGCTCATGGCAATGGAAATTCGGTCTTGGTTCTTGAGCCAGATTGATGTTGATATGCCTGTCCTGAAAGTTCTTGGTGGAGGAAGCATTCAGACTCTCTGCGCTGAGGCCGGTGCTCTTGTCAAGATCGCAGCTGCGACTGAAGAAGTTGAACTTACAGACAGCACCAAAGGTACTTCTCCACCTTCTGAGGCGTCTGCTTCTTCTGGCGCAAGCACCCCAAGTCTCCTCGCTACCCCGCCATCGACCCCCGGCCTTAGCGAGGATTTCACCTGGATCTCCAGAGCCGGTTCAGAGACTGGCGAATACGATGGCATTGAACTCTTGCCAGGCATGGAGCGCGTTGGACGCATGTCCTTCTCTCAAGAGCGATTGTGGTTCTTGCAATCATTCCTCACCAACCCAGCTACCTACAACATCACCCTTGCTTACCGCATCAAGGGCCCATTCCGTGTCGCAGACTTCAACCAGGCCTTCTACGATCTCATTGACCGCCATGAGACACTTCGAACTGCATTCTTCACTGACAAGACCAACTACCTCGCGTATTTGGGCGCTGTGGAGAAGACTCCTTTCGTCATGGAGCAGAAGCCATACACTGGCGAGGCTCAGATCAAGGAGGAGTTCAACCGCACCAACGACCACAGCTATGATCTGGAAAATGCTGAGAGCATGAAGGCCACTCTCTTGATCGAGAGCCCTACTTCCCACGTCCTCATAATGGGCTTCCACCATATCGCTGTAGATGCAACCAGTTCCCAAATTTTGGTCCGAGACATCGCGGCGATCTACTCGGGAGAGAAACTCGCTCCATTGAAGTACCAGTACATCGACTACGCCAACAAGCAACGCGCAACTGTCGACCAAGCCCTCAGCAAAGATGTCGCTTACTGGCGCCAGGAGTTCCCAGATGTTCCTGAGACATTGCCTCTCTTCGACTTCGGAACCGTCAAATCTAGGAAGCCACTTACCGAGTACAACATCCGCATCATGGAGACCAGACTCGACGCCTCTTTCACTGCTACACTCAAGGCAGCCAGTCAGAAACTCCGAGTCACACCTTTCCATCTACACTTGGCAACCCTCCAAACCATGCTCCACAAGCTCCTCAACATCGATGATATCTGCATTGGTATCACAGATGCCAACAAGAATGACCCAGATCACGTCGACACTCTGGGTTTCTTCGTCAATTTGCTTCCTCTCCGATTCAAGGTTGAGGGTGCCCGCTCATTCGCTAAGCTCACTCAACAGGCTAGAGATAAGACTCTCGCTGCTTTGGAGCACTCTCAGATTCCTTACAATGTCCTCCTGGATAAACTGGAGGTTCCTCGTAGCACCACTTCTAACCCGCTCTTCCAAGTTCTGATGAACTACAAGATGGGCTCTCTTCGCTCTGTGCCTATTGGCGAGTGTGAAGCTGAGGTTGTTGACTTTCAAGGTAAGTTTCCATATTGCTGCTCCTTGGTCCTACAAAAATTCGAGTACTTCGAAATTACGATACTGACATTCAAATTACAGATGCCAGCAACCCATACGACTTGCAATTCGACGTCGAATTGGCGGTTGATGGAACCACCTTGATCACAGTCACCACCCAGCAATACCTCTACTCTGAGGAGGACCTGTCCACAGTTCTCAACTCATACACCCACCTCCTCAAGACCCTTTCATCTAAGCCATCGCTACCAATCAAGGATCAATCAGTTTTCAGTGTCAAGGATGCACACACAGCGTTGGCCATTGGCACCGGACCAAGAATCAACATTGATCAATCCATCACCATTAACAGAATGTTTGATTGGGCTGTCAAAGCTCGGTCGAACAACGTTGCTGTTGTTGATAATCTCGGTGGACAGCTCACTTGGATCGAGATGGCCTCATGGGTCAGCACGATCTCCGCTCACCTGCTCAGACTGGGTGTCAAGCCTCAATCATTCGTCGGTGTCAACTGCGAACCCAGCGCCATGAGTGTCTGCTACTGGTTGGCTGTGCTCCGTATCGGTGCAATCTACGTGCCATTGGATCCATCCAACCCTGTCAGCCGTCTCGAGCTGATCGTCAATGACTGCAACCCTGCTGCAATCATCTGCGACGAGCAAACCTGGACAGCAGCGCAACGCAGCTTCCGCGTCCCCAACCGCCATATCTTCAAGCTCTCGGATATGGGCGGTCGTCGCACCCACTACACTGAAGATATGTCACAGCCCGAAGCTACAGCATGTGTTATCTACACTTCCGGAACCACTGGTACACCAAAGGGAACGCTGCTGAAGAACTCCAACTTCGTCAACCACATCTATGGTGTCAACAAGGAGTACAACATCGCCAACGGCAAGGAAGTCGTTCTTCAACCCACTAACCTTGGTTTCGATTTGTCGCTTGCCCAGATGATGCAATTCATTGCCTCCCAGGGTAAGATGGTCGTCGCATCCCTCCAGACCAGAACCGATCCAATGGAACTCGTTAAGCTCATGGTCGAGCACCAAGTCACATACACCATTGTTACTCCTTCCGTCTACTCCCTCATCCTTCGTCAAGATCCAGCGCTTCTCCGCCAATTGACCGAATGGCGCTCTGCATTCTCTTGTGGTGAGCCATTGACCAGCGCCATCGTCCAGCAATTCCAAAAGATCAGCCTCCCAAAGCTGAGACTCCTCAATTCGTGTGGTAAGTACCCAAAATTTCTCTCCACTTCTACCTAGCCGACATCCATAGGTCCTACTGAGATCACCATCATCAACTCGGCCTGGGAGATTCCTCTCAGCGACCCAACAGCCAGCGAGCAGAACATGATCGTCGGCTCCTCGCTCCCTAACTACTCCACCTACATCCTCGACGAAAATCTCAACCCTGTCCCAGTCGGCCACCCTGGTGAAATGGTCTGTGGAGGTGCCAGCATCTCTCAAGGATACCTCGGGCAGAAAGAATTGACTGCTGCCAAGTGGGTTCCAGATCCATTCGCATCTGACGCAGATATCGCCAAGGGATGGGACCGCATGTACCGCACCGGCGACAGAGCTAAGATGCTTCCAGACGGACGATTCGTCTTCCTGGGACGTATCGCCGGTGACAACCAAGTCAAGCTTCGTGGTGTCCGTATCGAACTTGACGACATCCGCTCCACCATCGTTCGAGAATCCAAGGGTGCCATCACTGAAGCCGCAGTCTGCCTCCGTGGCGAAGGCGACAATGCTTTCCTCGTTGCTTTCGCTGTCCTCGGCCAGGAAATTGCCGATACTCGCAAGTTCCTCGCAGGTCTCCCTCTTCCGTCCACCATGATTCCAAACAAATTTGTTGCTATCGACAGCCTGCCAAGAACTCCCAACGGCAAGATCGATATGCGCGCACTCGCTGCCATCGAGCTACCTTCGTTCCAGGAAGTCGATGACTCTACACCAATCGACCTCACCATGACCGAAGCCTCTCTAAAGGAGATCTGGGGTCGATGCCTCCCAGCCGGCGTCTCTGTTGCCGGTGTCCGTGGCAGTTCTGATTTCTTCGTCCTCGGTGGTAATTCCATGTTGCTTGTCAATGTTCAAGCTATGATCCGCGATACTTTCAGCGCCAACATTGCCCTTTACACTCTTTTCCAATCTAGCACTCTCGAGAGTATGGCTGCACAGATCGAAGCTGTTTCTGATGTAGAGGTATTTATACCAAACATATCGCAGTCTGACATATGTACTGATTTTGAACTTTCACAGACAACCACTGCCATCAACTGGGACAACGAGACTGCTCTTGAGCCAACACTCTTTGAGTCTTCACCACATTCTCTTGGTCTTCGACCTGTGTCGAGGTCCTACGTCGAAGTAGTCCTCACTGGAGCAACCGGTTTCCTTGGTACCCAAATCCTCCGCGAACTCGTCGCCGATGAGCGCGTTGGCAAGATCCACTGTGTTGCCATCCGTCTCTCAGAAGGCAAAACCTCACGTACTCTACCAATCATGTCCTCCAAGATCATCAAATACTACGGTGACCTTGCCTCCCCTCGCCTCGGTCTCACTGAACAACAATTCATTGATCTCTCCAAGAAGGCAGACCGCATCATTCACAACGGCTGCGACGTCTCATTCCTCAAGTCCTACGCCTCCTTACAAGCATCTAACCTTGGATCTACCAAGGAACTCACCCGCCTAGCAATGGTCCGCAAGACTCCCTTCCACTTCGTCTCCACAGCAGGTATCGCCTCCTTCATCCCAGAACTCGACCTCGGCGAGCGCTTCATTCCCACCTTCACCCCTCCCACAGACGGATCCATGGGCTACGCAGCCAGCAAATGGGCCGGCGAGAAATACCTCCTCGCCGCCGCCGAGCAATGCAGCCTCCCAGTCTGGGTCCACCGCCCCTCCAACATCCTCGGCGACGGAGCAGCAAGCGTCAACATGACCGCCAACATCCTCGAGTACTCTATGCGCATCGGTGCCGTTCCTCACACACCTGGCATCGATGGCCACATGCAATTCGTCGAGGTCGAAGAGGTCGGATACATGGTTGTCAACTCTCTGTTCGCTCGTAGCGCAGGCGCTGTCGTCAAGAACCACTGCGGTGATGATAGGATCCGGATTCGTGAGCTTGGCACTTACTTGGAGAACAAGTTCGGCCAGAAGCTTGCTATGCTGGAGCTTGATGACTGGGTTGTTGAGGTGCAGAAGGCTGGTCTCTCGGTTGGTCTTGGATCTCTGATTAGAGAAGTCCTGAGGAATGAGGGTGGCACTGCGAGCTTGAAGACGCTGAGCAGACGGAGGTTCTAAGTCTATACAGAGACAGAGACGATGTCGGGTTTCTTTTGTCATGGGCTGGCATTAGATGGAGTTCCAAAATAGCGAGCGCGGGATAGATATCTGGAGTTTTCTTTCTCTGTCATTTCCATTTCATTTTCATTTGTCGTCGATTTCTTTTTATGTATTTTGAAATGTCGGGCTTATATCTTATCACGTCACTCCTTATGTATGACATGGATGAGAGATGAAAATGCTTTTGTCTGTTGGGAATGTACTTCCGTCGAGGCACCACTGCCTGCTTGGACTGAGCACAATGGAGTCGGGACCGGAGTGGGATGGCTTTGTGGGTTGGTGGTACCGAGATTGATGAATGGCATATAGATCGCTGGTCATTGGAATCGTTGATAATGAATAATAATTGGATTTATTTGCTACTTGATTTGCCCTCCTGCTTGCGGTGACTGTGATATGAATATGGGGCACACTGATTGAAGTAGAAAGAAAAACCCCGGGGTTGAACTTGTACTCAGGGACTGACGTGTAGACCTTCAACTTGATAGTTAAAAGTCGAAAGCCTGAGATTAATATTATCAGATCAGAACAAGATCGCGAATGTTTACAACTGAAGCCAGAGGCTAAGCGAGAACGAAAAACATCGTCACCTCTTAGAGGACCATGCCTTTTTGCAACACAGAGCAACAAAAAAGCAACATCACGCAACTGGTAACTTTACTATGTTCAACCGTTCCCAGTCAAATTCCAGACCACTCAAGATAGGCGGAGAGCCAACCAAAATCAGGGTTTCCGGCGCAGACGAAGCCAACACCCACGGAGTTTGGGTTTGGCGGCCGCAAGTCTCGCATTCATATGTAAGGTTTTCCACATTGACAATTGATTGAGCAGATATGTCTCATCGTGTCCACAAATACTTAATCATCAAAGAACTTCGGGCTCCGCTAATTCCTCTTACTCGGCTCTAATTCAATTGTGAGTCTGGGGTGACACAACCTCCCCGATTTTGCCATCGGCATCAACCCTCGTATCCAACTATTGCCACGTGTATCACAAAGGGACGTGTAATTACAAAATATCGATAGGATCATGAAGCGGCCCTTCTCGTGGCGTCCCAAATCCAAGGTTGAGCAGTTGTGGTTTGGGGGCAGCGGAGTGATGGAGCCGTGATTCCGACAGAGAAGTCTACAGATGCAGGACAGGGCTTCACCACTTCCTATTTTGGGCCAAGGCTACATATGCAGGGTCATTGGAATTGTGGAGTAGAGCTCCGTCTTCACAGTGGGGGAGCAGATGTCGGATGACTGCTTCGCGTTTTCATTTTTCGTCGCTTCATCTCAATATTTGTGACCCAAGAATAAACTAGATCTCAAATTTATTATAGTAAATCATACATATGATTTGCATATTTGAGATACAATATTAACCTATCTTACAGTACCCGCAGTTGCCAGACTTCGTCAAGTGACTGTCATGATTTCAAATACATTACTGTACCCGCGATGGGCGAACCCTCACCTCATCTTCTCAATCTCACAAGCTGATAGGCTGTATCTTACCAAGAAATAACCCAAGAATCTAAAATACAAGCTTTTGCTCGCTACCCTCGGTAAATACTAGTGACACTTACGCCTCATTCCATAAGCTTACTCGAGTGTCATCGTAGTACTGACCCCACAATCAGCTTATTTGGGCCCCCAAAGTTAGGATTCCTCGACATTTCTTTATATGATTGTATCTAAGTGCTGTGTCTATTATTCATCCTTGACAATTTGATGATGTTGAGGAGGGAACTAAGGAACGATCTGTCATGATGGATGAGCACTTACTGCTTTGGGTGATGTCTGACTTATGCTCAGACTAGACAGCAAGCTCTTGCTCAGTCCAGTGTATGGTAATAGAATAGTTTTAAGCTTTCCGGGACCAGGGTTTTCATGATTGACAGGCTTTAGGACAATTTTACTTCCAAGTAAAATTCCGGCAAGGGGGTTACTGTGCAGATACATGGTGACGTGATATTGGAACGAGATAGGAATGTGCATCCGACTCTCTCTAATTTTGCTGAACCTAAACTGATACCAACTAGATAAATATTCCAATATTCGTCTAACTGAGGCTGACACTCTTCAGGTGGTGTTCGTGGTGAGCTTCCTCAAAGCGGAGATGCTTTAGAGTCGGTTCATGGCACGTGCACTGCAAGTAAACCCTGACATAATCAGCAAGCGAAGGCACTAACACTGTCTAAAAATACAGCGCTCCAGCCCCGGGGATCCTCTTCATCTTCATCCTTCACAACAGGACCACGATTCAGGTGTCTGGATTGACTTGCTTGACTGAGTCGCCAAAGCCGCAACTCATCACAGTCGAGATCTCACAAAAGGTCCGTGACTTACTTCGTTACAGTAACGAAGGACATGTACCTGCGCTGTGGCACATCGGCAGGTTAAACTGTCATACGCCAATTCTCGTCTGAAGTCCAAGACCTCTCGTCCCGATATCCAGACCCTGCTCACCAGATCTCGTCCAACAGAACGCAAGATGACTTCAGCCGGTGCCGGCAACAATACATGCAAATAACTCTTTTGAATATCGGAAAGCCATGAATAGGATGAATTTGACGTTTATTGTGGGCATTTCGGTGCGTTTCGGCGGCTCTGATGGGATTCGGCTCGCCCAGACGCCAGCCTTAGGGGTCAAGCGAAGACAATCAGCGTCTTCGGCCTCGGGGCTGAGTTCCCCAAAAGTTCTTGGATATACGCTGCCAAGTATAATGGAGTCTGCAAGGAGAGACTATCGGCAGCTTATTGAGAATTGCAGCCTCTCACGATGCGGCGTGTTTTGGTTCTTGAAGAATACTTAAACAGATAGTTCTGTCTGCAGATCACACAGCATCAACAACCCAGTTCACTCTCTTCAGCAACACAACAGTCTCTCATCATCATCATCATCTTCTTGCTCCTCCCTCCGTTTGCCATCGTCTTCCTTATTCTTGCAAGCATCGTTGTTTATTTGCACATTACCTTCATAATCGTTTTTATAAGTTTTACCGGCTTCAAAAATGGTCAAATCAGCATTCTCCGCCACAGGGGTGGTCTCCGCTCTTCTTGTTAGTTCCGCATTCGCTGCGCCAACTGAAGATCGCAGACCAAAGAACGATGACTGCAAGAAGATCTTGCTTCCAATGACGGATTCGATCCATGGTCCCCGCATGAACATCACTGTCGGTAACCCTCCTCAGGAGATGAGCTTGCTCAGTGATTGGACATGGCACACTACCTGGGTCCACACCCCAGACTGCATTGGCAAGCACGATGTTAAGACTTGTATCCCGCCTGGACAACAATACTACGACCAAGCCAAGTCTTCTACTTTCAAGAACACCACGCTCAACGAGGCAACTTTCAACGGTACCGATTACACCCCAGGTCTGCCCTTCACTATGAAGTATGGTAAAGACACCATCTGCTTCAACAGTGCGGCAAATGGTGACCGGAAGTGCATGAACGATGTATACATGGGCAACACTGACTTTGGATTCCCACTGCCACAAGCCTTCGACATCGGTGGAGTCTTCGGCTTCGCACCTGTTCCCAAGGGTGCAAACGAGACATTCTGGCCCGCTCCATTCCAATTCTTCGAGGGCAAGGTTCTCAACCCAGTCATGGGATGGCACACCTGCGATCAGCTCAAGAACAAGGACAGCTGCTTCGGATACGAGCACTTGACGGTCTTGGGCGGAACCGATGAGACCGTTTACAAGCCCCGCGACATGGTCTACCACGACATCATCCTCGACGAATGCATCAACTCCGGCGAGCATTTGTCTCTGAGCCCCAAGCGAAGCAACTACTGGTCATCTTCTTGGACTGGCCTCTCAATTGGCGGCAAGTCCTTCTCCCTCAAAGCTACCAACTCACCAAACTACAACGCCACAACCAAGAATGCCAAGTGCGACGCCATCGATGCCATCGCCGTCTGGGACGAGGATAAGTTCGGCCATGGCGCTCCAATGCCATGGGACGCATTCAAGTACATGGTCAAAGTCACCAACGCCAAGCCCCTTGATGTCTTCAACCTCCCCGGAACTAGCCCCGTCAACCCAGGTGCAGGCGGTCTTCACGAGGTGCCTTGCGACAAGATCAACACTTTCCCAACTATCACTTATGAGATTGGTCACAGGCAGAAACTCACCTCTGTCCCTGCTCAGTACATCGATACTACTCTCCACGCTGGAAAATGCCTCTTGAACGCCCGTGTTTGGGACAGACCTGTTGATGGAGCGCAGACCTTCTTTGGTTTCAATGTTCTTAGCAGGACTTACCTTGAGTTTGACTACAAGAACACCAAGGTCGGATTGGCTCCTTTGAACAAGAACTTGTTCAAGTAGAGGATGTTTGTATTTCGCTTAGCGAATCATTGGCTCGTTTTCTTTTTGTTGATGGAGAGTAATGAGCATGTAAATGAGCATTTGGACTTGGTATTGGGATAGATTTGGATTTGAAAATTGGAATGTAATCAAATGGAGATATGTAGAGAGAGTTGAGAATAATACACAATTGTTCTGAAATCGTTCGTTCGGCGTGACACTAATCGCTTCCACATCACTTACTGATTACCCACCGAAGGGCAACGTCAACACATTTATTCCTTGGCCCTATCTTCGAAGCTAACAATAAAATTTGTCTACTAGTTTGCACTTTTGCGGAATACCATCAGCATCAAAGAATCCTGCAGCCCACGAATACAATGATCCCAAAGGACGAAAAGGCAGAAGGCTACTGTCGATGGGTCGTTTTTACTCATTCTTTGCCTAATTTTCTGATCGGTCCTTCCAAACCCGGCAAACAACAGACCCCCTAGACCATTTCGAGACGAATACTACCCGCCCGAAGAATTCCACATGTGATATTATCTCCGCATTGCACCTTTGAATTTCACCACACCATGTTTATCCGTTAACATGCGGCTCACATCTTGTACAACTTACCTCATCAGGTTGACCACCTTTTCGGACAATCAGCTTCGATGACCGATGGCTTAGTTCACATGTTCAACGTTCAATTCGATTAAATTTAAGGCACAGGTCTGCTCATCCCGTAGGACGACAGCGCAAATCATGTAAAGCGAGAATCAAAACAAGAGGGCGCTCGAAGAAGTGATAACCTGTAACACAAATTATTTCCGTTGCTAGTTTTCCACGTCGAAGTATACTGAATAGTCACAGAGTAGCGCCTGAAGTGTCCAAATGCGACGCAGCTGAGTGACTGCATTCCCGGCGAGTAGAAGAAGTACATACGGTAAAGAGAGTGTGTATTTTATGTAGTGTAACAGAACAGCTGCAAAGGCATCCCTACTTTCCAACTTATCGCAAGAGACACAGTACAAGGAACGAGAAACAAGGAGCAGGGAAGGAAGTCTCCTTCAATCGAGCACGCGATACCGCCATTTTCTCGTCGTTTTCGTCCTCTTTTATCACAATCGTCGGAAGTTCACGTCATAAATGTCGTGTAACAGAATAAGGAAGAAGAAAGCCACTTTACCTTCTGTAGCACAAACACAAGACCAATCGCAAAGACAGGGACAAGGAACAAAGACAGCCACGACTCTTCTACTTAGTTAGGCTACCGTATCGCAACACAGGGTAAGAACGAAAATGCATGAACCATTTTTGTCTCTCTCTGTTTTTTCGTAAGGCTGAGTTGGCCTTCGGATTCAGCACGCCTCTGTCGAAGATGGCTTGGTTTAGTTTCGGAACTTCCGCATCTAGTCTGGAGGTTCGCAGCTCGAGAACTCGGTATGTTCAGCTCAACTCGATTCGGTCCGGATAGATAGATTTACGTTATGTGGAGAAGTTGCGCGGGGCTGGCTGTTGCTCTGGCTGGCTGGCTGGCTGGGTTGAGGTTCAAGCGTCCCTGAACCACCCTAACAGTTATTCGAGGTTAAGTCGAAATATAATGATGCAGGAGATATTTCATGCTTCAAAGCTGGGGTCAACCAGGCAGAAAGAAGCAGAAAGAAGCATGGGAACGGATCGGATCTCCAGGTACCATCGGAGAAAGCGATGGTACGTGGCGTTTTGGGTATCCAGCTGTCTGGATAGATGAAATTGCACTTTCCATGACTCGAAGCAAGGGATGGCTGGATGCAGAACATTTCCAGCTCGCCGGGTCGGAAGATAATCTACTCTGAGTCCCGAGAACCAGGACTTGAATGAAGCTGCAAAGAAAGGGTCCGAAGGTACGGGTGAGACTTGGAGGGTTATTTTGGAAAGTCCCCTAGCCTGAATTATACTTCTTTGTATGACTTAATGCTAGGGTTTTATTATAATTATTGGTTTGCAGATACATCTCCTTTCAGTTTTTTACATTTTGTTGTTGCAATCGGTAAGTAAGTGCCCAGTCGTAGGGCTGTGCCAAGTCCAGGTCAAAGTTTCGGCATCGGCTGGGGCGATTTGTGGCGTTGTTCAGCGGCCGCCGCTGCCACTTTCAGCGCCTCAAACGCTGAATGCCCACTAACGAGGCCCTGAAAATCTATTCGCTCAGTGATTGAAGCTACGCGGGTTCAAGGTAGTTCACTAGGAAAGCTACGAGAACACTACTGCACGTAATTTTCGTACCTCAACCACTCAAATTCGATGAGATGTTTAAGACAAGCTTTACGCGGAACGATGCGTGATAGCCTATTGGATTAACTAGGTAACTATATTTCTTCTAAAACCGTAATACCTAGAGAATTAAGCAAACATCTAATTATGAGAAGGTTCATCCCATCCCTTACCACCCTCCCCCAATCCAGCCCGTCAGCATCCCTTACCCAACCAACCACCAAGTGTGGTATCACAAACTGCATGCACACCACCCATAACCCCGTCCCTGACTATTTACTAGGTAGAAAGAGCAAAAGAACCACCATACCATTCCCTCCTTACCACTGTCATCAAAGTCCGGCAATACGCAGCAGCTGCAGTCAGCATTCCAAACCACGGCAATCCCATCCCACCCCATCCAGCGAATCCAATATCATCACCAACAATCAACAATCAACAATCAGACTCCCAAGAGAAGCCTCTAATATCCCGCTCTCGTGATACTATCCCAAAGAAGGTCTTGAGCACATGCACGTAATACATTCCATGCATGAACGACGAGCTTTTTAACTGGTTTAATTAAGGGTCTTGAAAAATGGAAACCCTAAGCATGCCCTGTGTGGATATGCTGTACGAGGTCCTCTGCAGATGTAAGTTAGCTAGTCCTCGGATATGTGCTGCGTGTTCCCGAGATGCGACGTACAGTACTGTACTGTCCTGTATGAGTATGACAGCGTGACGGACGGGGAGGTGTTGTGCGAGATCCGATTTACCCGTCGGCTTACCCTATGCTGGTGTTGGGGTTGTACTGCATACCCAGAAGTCAGTCCTTTATTCTTCATTAGGTGGGAAGGATGGCAGAGTTGATAACATCATCACTCTCCCTCATGATCCCCTCAATATTTGGTACCTAGAGGTTGGTAAGTAAATACCTAATAGGTACTTCATTGCGAGGTAAGCGAGCATCCCTTTCATTCCAAATCCAAATATCCTCAAGTACCATAAGCGAATCAGATATCTCTGAGTGCGAGCACCGAATGTACATGTCATATGTTCATCGGCAAATCAAAGGCTCAGCAAGACAGCCATGCGAGTTCTTTTCAAATGTATATGCATGTAGCTAAGTACCTATCTTATGTACATGCCCCTCCCTCACTCAGAAGACCGAGCCTGTACCCAGCCCTACACCCGCATCCCCAGCACAGCACACGCCCAACAACAGCCGCCCTTCCCTTCCCTTCCCGCTCCGTCCGTTCCCTCCCTCCCTCCCACCCACAGCTTCCAAGCCTCAACCCTCCATCTATCTCCAAAAGTCCCCTACTCCTACCCCAATACCCTACCACCCCTCTAGCCGCAGAATATACAGGGGGGTAAAAAATACAGTATGATATGAGAAAACATCGCCGTCAACGTGCATGCCCCATTCCGCAGCCCTCCTGTAGTAAGATCCAGATCCAGATCCAGATCACACACACAGTCACACACACACACAGTTCGGACCCATCCCATTCCACCCCAGCCTATCCAATCCTGCACCACTCCACCAAGGCGGGCGGAGTGGAATGAACGGCGCTTGTTCTTCCTATCAATACCTACGTACCGGTATTTACCCACCCGGCCTACGTTTTCAAGGAATCAAATCAAATCAAATCAAATCAAATCAATCAATCAGGGTGGGTTTTCCCTTTTTATTTCTGCAATATTCTCCTCCCAATCGAGCACTGTACTGTACTGTAAGAATATTTAGTATTATTCTGCAGGAGGATTCGAAAGATTCTTACTTACTTACTTACCTACCTTACATCTACCTCCCTTAGGTACCTAATCATTTGCGCAGTCAGTGGCTCGCAGCTCGTAGCTCGCAGCTCGCTGTAAGATAGTGGAGACCCCACCACGGCCGTACACTCTACTCCACCGGACTGCAGGTGAGGCCCACCCACCGCAGCCAGGGCCAGGATGGTCATCTAGGCCAAGAAGCCGCGCCTACTTGGCTGGAAATAGAAGCATCGCTAAGGAAAAGGAATCGGGATGGAATTGAATCTCTTAGGCTGGGTGCAGGTCGGGTGGGTGAGTGGATTTGAGTGGTGCTTAGACGAGACGAGACGACGTGCTTGCCGGATGCAGGCCGGCCTTGGATGTTTGGATGTCTGGATGTCAAATTCGATATTCGATATGTTTTCGGGGAGTATGTATGTAAAAGTGCATTTGAGGGAGGGCGGGTCGGTTGGGAATTAGGTACTTACGAATTGATGTGACGAGGACTGTAGGTTTGAGGCGAGATGATTTGTCTGTTAGTTGTTTGTAGTATGGAGCCAATGACAAGAGGAAGTTGGGTTGGAAGTATCTTCCGACGGTTTGGACCCTGGTGAGGTCTAATACGGCTTTCCAAATCGAGGGAAGTGTTGCGATTGAGTTCGCAAATTTGATGTTGACGGCGGTACGTGGTGAGATTGACTTCTTGCGAGATCATTGGTGAAACTAGTACCCAGCTGATGAATGATCGTCTTGGGTGTATGTAAAAAAGTACGTATTTTGAACATGAAGAGTTCATGAAGTGTCCCAAAAGTAGTGTGATGGATGGATATGAGATCTAATTGATATCTGATCGCAACTAAGTCTGCTGCGTATATACTTGCACGCAAGTGGGGTATGTTCAGAACACCCACCATCCCCTACCCAAATAGGTAACTAAACATAACATTAAACATCGCAAATAAGCGGAACATGGCAGACAGGGCACGCATTGCATTTTCTCGTTCCCATTCCAGAACTCCAAATTCCCAACCTCATTCCATCATAACATTCACATCCCATATCCCAAAGTTTGGTCCTCAAATTCATACCCAGTTCATGAACCCCTCACCATTCATCCTCCCCTGCTGTCCCTGCTTCGAACTCTCCGCCAGATTCTCAATTCGCAGCAATTTCGTCTGCAGCGCCCTCTCCCGCTCCTGTATCTCCTCAAGCTTGAAATCAACCATACTAACACTCGGGCTCCGACCCTGTCTGCACAGCCCCAGTCTCGCAGGAAGAGATCGCGACCCCTGCTGTTGACGAGGCGGCTGGAGCTTGAGTAGGTTGCCGTGTAGCGCTGTCTTTAGACGGTCGAGCTGGTGCGAGATGACTTGTAGGTGTAGAAGGGTCTCGATGATGGCGCCGAAGGGGACGACGAAGGAGCCAATGGCGAGGGCGGATGTGAGAGTGTTGGCTGTGACGTCTAGGTGTTCGAGCTCTAGCAGGCGGGAGGACATGGTGTCGAGGGTTGTGTCGTAGGCGGAGAGGAGGCGGACGTGGCATTTGAGCATGGTGTAGAAGGTTGAGGTGGTGAGGACTCGGTTTTCGTTTGTACCGAGCATGCTTGGGTCGAGGCTTGTGGATGAGTTGTTCCGGTTGTGGGAGTTTGTGGAGAAAAGCTTGCTGTTGAAGTATCCGTTCTGTTCCATGCCACTGGGCTGTTGGTACCAGGGCGATGGCGATGGAGACCGACTGGGGACGATGCTGTCGAAAGAGCGGCAGATACAAGAGATTAGTTCGATGAATCGCTCGGCGGTGGAAAGAAGGACACCCAGTGCTTCGGATAACTTTTGGCTTTCTAATGTGTATGAGTTTGATGCTGTACTCATGCGTCGAGCTTGATGCATGATGCGTTCAGAGCAGGCGTCGATCTCTGACTGTAGCTTTGAAAGAGTTTGAGAGTGGGTGGCATCATTCTGGAGGCTCAACACCTGATTCAGATCTGGTGTGCTATTCTCTGATGATGAAGCAGTTGTGATTGCTGGTGTAATTGTAGGCATATCCATATCAGGGAATGATGAGATGCGGGCAGATAATTGGCCATCTAGGATCGGCGGGGACATCGAGACATGATTCGTGTAGATGCCAATGCCATGGTTGGGATTTGACTTCCTCTTCTTTGGATTGGGCTCAGACATTTGAAGTGTGGGCATATATTTTGCTAATTGAAAAGGTTAGTTTGTCCTTGACACAGGTGATAGGAACCGAGCATACAATCAGAGAAATCAGAAAGATCCATACTGTCAAAATATGCCTGATCTGTGATGCAATCCAACAAATCTGCATATTCATCATTTGACATTGGTTGAGTGTATGGCTGAAGTGAGAGAGACGATGGAGAGATGGACAAAGATGAATTTGTTGTAAAATTATCCCAGCTCTCTCCATTCCTTGGAATGGTGGCCTCTGGTAATGGTATCGATTTCGAGCTCGCCGCACCCACTGACTCAGAACTGTTTGTTCGTATTATTCCTGACCTCTTCTCCCCATCTTCAGAACTGCTTTCCGTTACTGAACTGGTGGCAGTTGATGTGTTCTTCCTCTCAGGTTGAGGTCGATTATTTGATGATTTCCTGGGTCGACCTGTCCGTTGTGCTGCACTAACATTGCAGAATACTCCAGCTCGTTGACATCTAACACAAGGCTCTCCATCTTGCGGTCGAGTACATCGAAGTTTCTGATCGTGGCAACGATCACAGGCAAATCTCTTGACTGGAGATGCCTCTTCCGGCTGGGGTTGACTGGGTGAGGACCACATACTGAATGTGAAGTAGGGTCCAGGTAAGTAATGTATATTGATGAAGGATGCTGGGGTCTGCAGACTTAGCCCGGAACGAATGACCGTGGTTTCTGATTGTACAAAGAAAGTGAGATCCACGGGTGCATACGAAAGGGTGTCGATCGAACGATGACGGGGAGGTCTGTTATAATAGTGGTAACCGGCCACTTGGAATGGTGGTGATCATGGCCAGATATGTGCTTCACGTGGAGACTCGCGCTGAAGTACTGGCAGTTCTCTCGTTGCTCAGCCCAGTCAGCCGGCGGTAAGAATCTCGCCTGGTGCATTCGGCTCCCTTTTTGGGACCAGTTCAGCCATTTCGGGAGGAATCAACAAGCGTGCCTGTGGAGGAGAAGACACTTGGACCAGTTGAACCGCCACGTTGGTGGGCAGCAGGCTGAAGGGCTATGGCTTGGGCTCGTGTTAGGATGACTAGACCTGAAGATCTTAGAACCAATGAGTGCGAGGGAGCTGAATCGGGCAGTATATTGGGATATTCTTGTGGTAGACTCACGTAATTAACCACCGGTAGCGCAAGATTTCAGATCCTAATTTATACCCCTGGCGGGTGTCAGCCACAGCCGTGGGACACCTCAATGGGTATGGAGCCCGACTGGTCAAGTTTAAGCTCCGGTAGCCAAAGCTTGCTCGCCCAAAGCTTGCCATCGTGAAGGCTTGAAGCTCGAAACCCCCCATTCAGAGAGTTCCTGACCGAAGACGGCACGGAAGCTTATGAACTAGCAGTCGATGCTATTTGACAGACTCGGGCGTTTGTAGATGAGGGTTGAACTTTTCACACTAAATCAAACACACCTTGATTAAAAAGGAAAAAGAGGTACAGAATATGCAGTAGGGTGAGGCATACATGAGATGGGCCTTACTGAAGCTGCTGAATGGCCAAAATGATGACCCGTGCGGTACTCCGGTACTACCTGCCCTGCCAAACCACAGCAATGTACTAATAAAAAGAGGAGCACGGTGCATCATGCATGCCACTCTCCAGCACCAACACGCCAACCGCAGGCTGGAATAATCCCCAGCGATACGGAATCTCTGTAGTCGTATGGGGGCGGATGTCGAGATACGGATGTGGAATAAGCATAGAAAGGCTAACGGTGTAACATGACCTCGACTTTGAAACTGTCGTCCAGCCTCCGAGCTCTCACAAGCACAGGCACAAGGCAGGAATCCGTGGTTTCGAAGACTTCGAGAAGCCCATATGTTGGTACAATTGTTCACGAACAGAATCGGTATCTGAACCATCTGCCGGGTCTGCTCTCACCAGAGGATATAATTATCAGATCGAGCGGCACAGGGCGGAAGCAGAATCCGCGGCACAGTTCCTGTCAATTGGTTGAAACTGCGACAACAGAACTGACGACCGTAGGGTGAGGGAGTTTGGAATTCAAGATCCCTCAGAATGTTCGGGGATCCGACCATAAACACACCGTTGACCGAGAATGTGGCGGACATTAGCGGATGGATGGCTGGCTCTTCCGCGGTGGAGGATAGAATAATGATTGTAGGGTTGTAGCTGGGGATGAGGAGGCTGTGATGGTGATTCTGATTGAAGGTTGAGGGGTCAGGGCCGGGCTTTGATGGCTGAGACGCTGTGAAGTCATTGGGTGAAAGTGTGCTGAAGAGTACCTCAGACCAAGCACTTCACAGTACTGCGACGCCTAATATCTCGGACTGAGCGATTTCCTCCCTAAACCATCTCACTACATCGTAACTATCCATCTCGAGCTCGTAAACAATTATCGTCGGCGTGCCCATTGCTGCGTTATCTCCCAGCACGCCTCCTCCCCACAGCACAGCACACACTGAGGCCTGCTGCAGCAGCCAAGGACCCCAGGGAATTTTACCCAGAATTCCCGCGGCCGACGTCTTGCAGTAGCTCTGCCCTCAGCGTCTACGAACAGATCTCCAGGGGTATAATCTCACGATGATTTGACTGGTTCTTCCATCGAGTTTCCAATTACTCTCGCACCATAACAGCAGCTGAGCGCCACGAGGAGCGTGAGAGCGTGTTGATTCTGGATGACACAGCGCTGTAAACAGACAATGATCTTGCGTTGGTAACATGCATGCATGTCCCGGATAACCATATCCAGTAAACCCAGTCCCGGTTTATCAAGTGCTGATCTGACCTATGGAATTATCGCTGACATGAGAAACGTACAGCGCCTGTGCCTGGCTTGTACCTACCGAGACACGCCCACCCCGCGCTTGTGGTCCATTGAGAACAATGCCGTCGTACCCTGTTGGGGCTGCCACTAAAGCTGCGGTTAAGTGTCAGGAACTGGGAAAATTTGACTTTCGGGGCGGTACTTACTGCATGTATCAGTACTAGCACGAATCGCGGGAGGCATTGCAGGGAGACAGCTAGTTGCAAAGCGCAGCACAGCACAGCACCACTCATCCTGCCACCTGCCCGCTAGTATGGAGGGATGTACATGTACCACTGTACAGTCCGTCGCTGTCTCCATTTAGCCTCATCTTGAAGATCAATCCCTACTCGGGGATAGGAGCAGCACGCTTCGTGTCTGTCTGTCATACGTTCTAATAATACGACGAGTGTGGTCCCGTGGAACCCACCGAAACCTCTGGTCTGTCTCCAGCGTTCGGAATATACTAAAGCTAGCTTTCGGAGCACGAAATTCGTTCATGACGGAGAACATGCTGGCGACGGATTGTTGTCATACGGAACGATTCCTTCAGTCTTCTAGTACTGATTGATGTTTCCGTGATGCACTTTGATGCTTCCGAACTCCCCGAAAACAATATGGTATATAGGTAAAGGATCGGGCTGTTTTGTTTTGACTTCGATCCTCCCTTCATTCTTCAGCTTTCTCAAAAACCGAAATTAATTGCACTTGCGCTCGTTCCCACGCTCGTCTGATCATTTACTAACTGCGTTTTAGACTCCCGGTTCGAGACTTTGTCCACAGAACTGAATGAATTCTGTCAGAAATTTTGCATGTCAACCGAATCTTGCAAGCTGCAGATATATCATACCCAAGCAAAAGAAATCTACACGCAGCAGGGCTGATATCTTCTAGAACCTCACTACTGTTTGAAACAACAAATGTCTGGCAGAAGAAGCAACTTTGCAAATGCTTCTTATCCGTTCATAAGGTGAGACTTCTCCATTCTGGCTTGGAACAGAAGCAAGTATGAAAGACGCGGGCTAATCCCCACCAGGCAAACTACTCAACGTGTGGCTCCAGCGGCGCCATATGGACCCATCTGGGCAACTGCAGCCTAATTCACATTTCTCTCCGTCTTTCTGTTTATACTGGCATTTTACGCGAAAGAATCTTTCTCTCCACACAATGATTCCCAAATCATGTGACCTGTCATTTCCTCACCACTCATTTGTTGTCACTTCTCATCCTTCGCAGCCACACGCCTAGAAATAGCATCTTCATTTCCCCAGAAGCATTCCTATCACCATTCCTCCTCCACATCTGTCTTTCCCCCACCTTTATTTTAACTTTCCTCAGCCCTTCCTTCCAGTGAAGATACACATCACATATTCCCGGAGAAACCAGATCCAGCAAAACGCACCGACAGGCAGACTGTACAAGGTACATAAGCGGTGACTTGCAGAATGGAAGATTTGAATATGAGTTGTCAGGCAGTGGCTGTGTCTAATATAAATATCGGCCACACAATCAGCGTGCTCGCGGCGCGGTGAGATGGGGGCTGAAATAGGGTTCGGGAGATGCCATTCCTCCACCAACCAAGGCATATTTATGTGCTCGCTGCAAGTCATCGGTGGTTACGGCTTGCACGGGATGTTCCATGAATGACTCTATTGATATATTGCTTTACGTTGAGTTTTGTTTGTTATGGGACCTTCTCCCAACAGACGATCCCAGGAGGAATATGGAATCGTCAAAGTCATCGCGAAGCAGGTAGTTCTTTGATTTAAAAAAAAAATGTTGAGCGAACATCAAAAAGATCTTTCAACATGAACATTTACGAAGCATCAAGAAGATATATCATGCAAAAGTGAACGCAAGTCTCCCCTTTCCCCATGTTCCACGACCCCTCTCCTGGCTCTTGGCGAGAATCAACACCACCCCACTACACGCAAACATCCACCTCTCAAAACATCAAGCCCATAGACGCTCAGCAGTGGTTGCAACATCCCCTCGATTCTATCTTTCTATCCAACAATCATCAAAGTCCCAAGTACAAAGGCAGACGAACACATCCCTTGATTGAATCAACTCCACCAAGCCCACAAGCATTAGCTATGCAGTGTCTTCCGCTTTGTCTTCCTTGCGGTAGTAGACCGAATACACTAGGGACATTGCAGTAGATCAAACTTGAGTTCTAGAACGCGAATGTTTCGTCTCCTGCAGACGAAGCAGTCGAACTCATGCTCTTCTCAAGGAGGAGTCTCGAACGTTCGATCTGGGTCAAGTATTAGGAAGTAACAAGACAATCTGGGCCATCACCAGTGATGATATAAGTGCTAAGTGGAGATAAGATACGCTTGATGGTGCCAGCGGGTGTGAGAGGGGACATGTGATAGACTTCTTAGATTTTCCCTCTATGAGCTTTTCCCGACTTCGTAGCATTTATTTCCTTCGCAAAGCTTGTCTGTAGAGCTGTCTTTGACAAAGATTTTCTGCCATTGTCATTGCAGGTAAGTGGGAGTTCTAGAACAAAGGCAACATATCTCCACTTGCATGATGCTGCCGTTACGTTTAACTGCGAGGCTTCTGCACTCGTGGTCTTCTTCCCGCTTCGCATACCTCGCTTAGATATCTTGGTCCAATTGATTGAGCACGTCCCAGCAGAATGCGATTAAGATGATACCACTTGTTGTATTAAATGTAACTAAGAATCTCTACTGCCCCAATCTCGCTTTGTAAAACACAAGTTCTAGTCAAATGACTCAATACAGAAATGTTGATGAGAGCGCCGCTATTATGCTATATCAGCACTTTTGTCATACTGTAAGAGCTGTCCATGTTTACCAATGGTCTGGTCATCGTAGAGCATCGCTTAGGGCAATTGGAAGAGCGTTTCCATATCTCGGGTCCACAGGAGTCTGTCTGCAAGTCCAATGCGCGGCGTGCAGTCAATGCAACCATCTCAAATAAGTGATAGAAAGACGCAGGTGTGCAGCACTTCTCGAAACATTTCATTACAAAGTCCACTTACTCACTGTCAAGCCGGCTCGTCTGCATAGTCTCTTCGCCCCTACCAAGCATAACCGCTGACCGGGTAAAGGGAGTACCCGCTTGCGGCTTGGGGGCCAGACACATACGCCGCATGCGAGGAGATGAGCCCCCTTCGCCAAACGTCTGGACAGCATTACCCGATTCGCTCATTGATAGAGAGAACTGACGGAAGTGTCAGCCGGGTCTTTGTTTACCGTTGTAAGCGACGGCTTACTGTCTTTCGGCGGGTAAAGGCGAGAGATGGTGGTGTATGTGAGGATGACTGAGTCTGCAGGACACGCGTTTAATTCTTCGGGAATTCGGATTGAATGCGACAGAAACAAGTGAGAAATAAATTTTGAATTGGGACAAATTGCGAATTATTTAGCATGGAAAACGTGATATCAACTTGAGAGGGGATTCGGCGGGATGATACTTCCGATTCGGCACTTATTACATCTCCTTCGAAATAGTTTCTAGAGCTCAGCTGCCATTGCAAGGCTCTCCTTCGAAAGAAAACGGGATAAACAAGCTAGATTAGGACTTCGGTACATAATGGAGGACGGCAGAGTTGAGGAACTAGTCCAGCTGAATAACGCAGATCTTGCCTTGAAGCATAGAACACTAGCCACAAGCTCGATACGGGTGAGGATGGCATGCCTTAAAAAGCAAAACTCAAGCTCTAGAAACCATCTACATAAACTCGTGCGTAGGCTCGCAGACTTGAATTCGTCCCATTCACTTCTCCCGCTCGTCAAATCTAACATGCAGTGTAGTGCAGGAATGATATCAAGCCGGGTACGGCACTTACTTCATGACTTCGAACTCACTTGAACACATGCAGGAAGAAAGCAGTAGGCCAAATTGAAGAGACCAAGTCTGAAAAATGTGCAAGAACAATTGCTCCCATATTGCGGCCCAGCCCAGCTTCGACGCTGAACATCTCTTATCGCATCTAATATAGACGACGATTTCAACTGCCATCTCTGGTGCAAGCAAAGACATCATAGGCCAGCTCGGTGCGCATCAAGGAGGCATGGCGAAGGAAGGGTCGTCGAGCCGCAGATCAGTAACTCTGGTACGTACCAGGTGCAGACAGAAGAAGGATGGATGGATGAACATGTAAGATGCGGTGACCCTGGCCCATGTGTGATGAGATGCTTGCAGTGCATATATCTGATCCTGGAGCATCCATACATACATACATACATACATACATACATACATGCAGGCCCATAAAAAGCAGAACTTTACTGTAAATATTATATCAGGAACTTGGTTTCTTGCTTGATCTAGCGGGAGCAGGTGCAGTAAGAAGGATTGACGTGCAGTAGGTTCCGGATTTAGGATAATGCACCGCGTTTATATCCCGGCCCTCCATCCCGCTCGTAGATAGGGTGGTTTTAACAGATCGCGCCGAAAGATGGGTATCTGCCCTGCAATCTTACTATCATGAGCAGGCAAGATAGAGCGCTGTATTCGAATGTGTGGGTGGCTTTCATGGATAGGAGGTTGTTATGTCCATGGAGGTGGCTTGATACCGCGCTTAGAGGTGCATTGCTATTTTCGTCAGCACTACTGGACACGCTAACTCCTCGGCGCCTCCTTCGCTTGAGAGGCTGTGGCCAAGCGGAATTTATTTCCGAGATGGCGATGTCGTGATGGTGCTTGTTTATTATAAGATTGCTTGGAGGGATTTTCGCTGCTTGGTTGTGGCTGGCGGCTGTGGAGAAGTGTTGTTTGTTCGACGAGAAAGTCTGCTGACTAACACGTGATTACTACTGGCTCGGGCAAAAATGTATTGCCGCGTTGCATTTGTGCTATCTTTGCTCTGTCAACTGCTTAGGAGAACAAGAATAAGTCATAATGATTCTATATACTTGCTATCTATTTCTCCGCCTCGAAATTTGTAACCAAAGTGCCAATATACGGCAGGATCTCGACAGCAAACTGGTCTCCGTCGTGAAGATATTCTTTCGGCGAGAAACTAAATCCAACACCAGCTGGAGTTCCGGTCAAGATGATCGTTCCAGGGTTCAAAGTTGTTCCTTGCGAGAGGAAGGATACGATCTTTGGTACGGAGAAAATCAAGTCACTGGTTGATGGTTAGCATTCTCTGTTCAGCATGAGAGGGGATGTCCCTACTCCAGTCCACAATTCTGCAAGACTTTTCCATTCTTCAACCCTCTCAACTTCAACTTCCCAACATCAGGAATTAATTCCTTTGACACCAATACAGGGCCGATCGGGCATGCGCCATCAAAGCCTTTGCTGAAACCCCACTGGCTCTGAGCGAACTGGCTGGTTCGGCTGCTGACGTCGTTGGAAGCTGTATATCCAAGGACATAGTCAAGAGCGGAGGATTCAGAAACATTCTTGCACTTCTTGCCAATCACAATGACGAGCTCCGATTCGAAATCACATGAGTCGTCTTTGAGCGTGTGCTTGGGAATGATGGTTGGTGCTGGGTACGGGTCTGCAAGTGCAGTTGAGGGTTTGGTGAACAAGACTGGGACATCTGGGATTTGCATCTTGGCTTCTCGTGCGTGTTGCACATACTGAAAATGTTAATCGCCATCCAATTGTTTCCTTAGGCGAAAGTACATACGTTCAATCCGATACATCTGATGGTACCCACTTCTGGTTCAGCTAAAGGCGAGAGGACCTTTCCGATCACTTCGGTCTTGCCAGTTGAGCTTCCTGGACTCAAAACCGATGTTCCACTGAAGACTGTGACTTCAACATCTTTCCCGGCCAGAGTAGCAGCTCCAACATCGACATTCTTGTCAGTTGGCTCTCCGATGAGAATATCCTTTCCCGACTTCGGGATGAAGCGGACAAGACCTATTCATGAGTTGTCAACTCGCCTGATGCTTCTTTACTATGTACTCAGTACTTACGACCAAATGATGGAATAGACATATTGTTTGAGTATACAGATAATATGGCTGTGATGAAAATTGATGATAGTTGAGAAGAGATATGTGGTCAACGAAACCTAAAGCCGAGACGGCGTCCACATCAACGTAACCCCGCTACCCCTCCATCCACCTCCGAATTGAGGAACCAGAGATGTTTAAGCGGCATCACATCAGGGCTTGTCCCTTTGATAGGCTGAAAGGAAAAATTACGGGGGGAGAAAGGCAAATCCGGCGGGGCAGAGGCACAATGTGGTGGGACATCACCTGACGGACTGCTCTTCCCCACATCCCCTCTCTCCAGATATCCCGAACTCTCAACCGTCAATTGTCCACATCGGGTATTTCCAGCGTCCACACCGAACCTTATGTATGCTAGAGAAATACTAATCCAGCTTGATATTCTCCCTATCTCTCTATCCATATTTTCCTATCTTTGTCTCTATCCTCCCATTGCACAAAGTTGTGACAGCTTACCTTGATAATAACTAGCAGCAAGCAAAAATGGCAGCTCCTCAAACCTCCGGATATCTCCAATCGAACGACCCCACCAAGCCTCGATCCGATGCCGCAGTCCCCTTCCGCGACATAATTCCCTCTCCGGGCCATCCGCGAATTGCTGGAATAGAAAATCATGATGCGTTGAGCTGGTGCGAATCGAGGAGGCAGATTGAAGCTCCCGCTTGGTTGATCAATCGGTTGGAGAAGAAGAATTTGGAGCCATATAAGGGATTCACAAGCGATGGGAAGGTAAGAGAGGGATTGTATACATATGCGGAAGATGAAGGGGCGCCTACTGAGGAGGTTGCTGCCAAAGTTGCGGAACTTATGGGAGTGCTGAGCGAGGAGGAGAAGAAGGCAGTGCATTGTGGTGAAGTTACGGACGATGATTTTCGATTGTGGTCGAATCCAGAGCTATACATGAACCCAGGTATGTTGCACAAATCCAATTCATGAAGAATTCTACTAATCAAACTGCAGGTGGTCTCCGACTCGACGAATGTTCCCCGAAAATCCAAACTACTATTCACTCCATCCTCAAAGCCTCCTCATCTCCCAAGGGATACGAGAAGATCCTTGGATGCTGCCTCACAAACGACTTCTTGGGACACCTAGTAAACGGCAAGAGAGTCCTCAACGAGCATTCTTTCAATTTCAGACTCTTTGGAACTCCATCACTTACCTCGCCATGGGGATATACTTTTTTCGGGCATCATCTGTGTCTCAATGTTGTGTTTCTGGGAAGGAGGATGGTTATCGGGCCAACATTCATGGGTGCAGAGCCAGATAGAATTGACGAAGGTCCTCATGCAGGATTGAGGCTGTTCCGGGCAGAGGAGTTGGAGAGCTTGAAGTTAATGCAAACCCTTCCGAAGGAGCTACAAGACAAGGCCACTTTGAGCCAGGGAATGGATGGGAAGAGCTTGCCTGCTGATAGATGGAACCCATTTGACGAGAGACATCTTGGTGGTGCTCGACAGGATAACAGAGTCGTGCCTTATGGTGAATAAGCAATTCAAGTAGAGAGACCATCGCTAATACAGTCAACAGAAGGTTGTCCCGTCTCAGAATTCCCAGCAGACAAGCAGGAATCGATCATCAATCTGTTCAAAGCCTTCAACGAATACTATCCGGACGCAGTTCTACAACATCGATTATCACTTTTCAAGAAGCACTTGAATGAGACCTATTTTGCTTGGATCGGGGAATTTGGAGAGGAAGATCCGTATTATTATCGGATCCACAGCCCAGTTGCCTTCATGGAGCTGGATTTTCACTGTGGAAGTAGGTTCCAACCCCCAGCTCTGATTCACGAGAGACAGTCAAGAATGTTTCTATGGGGACGTGCTAACATTTTTTTAGTCTTCTTGACAAACACAACACCTGCGAGGTGCCATATTCATACAGTCAACAGACTGCCAAATAGAGGGGATTATGGGCGAGCATTGATAGGAGCTTAAGTATGTAAAATATAGATGGAGTTCTCCGCGATCGGAAATGTGCCATCTCAAACTTGCGAAATTCTGAGACTGTTATATTCTTTGCCTCTCTTCATGGTAACAATGCGATATCCCAATCTCATTTCACTTACTCCTGGTTACAGGCCGGTTCCCGATCCCCGAAAACCTACAAGTGTTCTCCACAGCCTCTGTCAATCATCCTGCCCCACATCCCCACCCCCGGCTCCATCAATTCGTAGAATACATTTCAACTCAGCATGACAAACACCATCGTAGGAGCATGGTAATTTCTACAGTACTTTTACGTTCGAAGTTCGTCCCAAGTTTGCGCCAACATCTCCATATTTCCTGCGCACCCTTTCCACAATCACATAACCAGCATGGAAAGCTTCCAGTGGCTCAGGATGTTTCCTCGTCGCGGCGCGGCTTTCGCAACCAATAGATTGGAAGTGAAGTTACACAAACCAATCAACCCCTCGACTGATAAATCTGAAAATCCGTGATGATGAGGCTGAGCCCCAGTGGGCTGCGCCCTGGAGGCTTTGTCGCAGGCAATCCCCATATCCCTCCATTTGTATATCTCTCAGGCAGCTTCTGCGCCGTGTACAAAGGTTTGCTGTTTCCTCTAGTCATGGCGCCACCTTCTAGTCCGTTAGAGTTGCAAAGGGTGACTCCTAACGAACGGAATCGTGTTCATGCTGATCCTGATGCATGGCTCACATCACCCCTACAAGGCCGACGTGCCATGAGAGCGCTGAATCGACAGCCTCGTCAGGAGCCGCAGAGTTGGCAGCATCTTTTCCTCCTGTCTATAGGGGTTGATACTGACTGTGTTTAGCAAATCTAAGTCCAGTCATGCGATGTATCAAGTTCTTAGCCTGTTGGGATTGTGGGCCCGTTGGAATAGTTATCGCTATTGTGACATTCGCAACTACCACCGTCTTGGCCTACGAGGTGTTTGAAGTTACGATTTGGACTGCTACAAAAGACTACATCTTGTATTGCCAATCAGATGCTGTACGTCTTCATGCTAGTTTAGTATACTCAACCTATCAACGGCGCAAGGGCTGACATGAAGCTAGGGCAAAGCTCAGGCGGACGCTCAATGTCTCGCCGCAGCCGGCCAGAATCTTCGTCCACCACCTTTTTACAAGGAATTCAAATCTCTGAACGGTACTTTGTATCGCCGAACACTGACAGGACAGCTGCTAGGAGCTACTGAGGTCAAGACGCACAGCAATGCCTGCATATGGATGTGGGCCATCAATTTACAAGTTTTCAGCTGGCTTGCTCTTTCTGCGATCTGTCAAATCGCATCGCGCATGACTAGAAAGGTCCAGCTCGCGATTCGAAATCACAATCCTACGAGGGAAGAGGATGGCGACCAGGATTTATTTCAGCGCGCTGCCAGTTTACACCGTGAACACGATGATAGTCTTGTTAGAACTGACTTCTGGGAAACTTCTGCAACGGCCTTCAGACCCGAGGAGGAGAGATCGGGTCTACGGCTGCGTTCGACAAGGCAGAAGGGGGAAGTTCCAAGCAACACTGGCCGCGCTGGCCCACAGTCGCTGGTGGAAAACTCATCCTGCAGTCTAAAATTGAAGAACGATCAAGTCGCCGGGATTGGACACCTGACTGGGGTGAATGTGAGTTATTTGGACTCAAGGTCGCCGGAAAAATGGTTCAGTATAAAAAATCTACGTCGGTATCGAAGAACATATTCAGTAAGAGACGGGCCATTTAAAAAGTCTGCGCATCCTTGGCAAACATTGTTTGCCCAAGTACTGGTCGATCCTACAGTCGATGTCGTGCAATGGCTCGGCAACCTATATGGCCTTGAGATATCGGCCTGTACTGGAAACGCGAGACGGATTTCACTTATCCAACTGATGATGACGTCTACTTTGAGGGACCACTTTGAGAAATTCTTCTGGAAAAACCAAATGTGCCTCCAGACGATGAATGGCATATTCGAGCGATGCGATACAGAAGCCTTCGCTGATGCCTACGAGAAGAACCTCTCCTGGCGTGAAGATATCAACCGCTTTATCCGAGGCTGTCTGGGGATCCTTGATAGAAGGAACTTCAGCACCCAGAGTCTGAACGCATTGTGGTTCGAGGAGGGACAATATTACAATGTTGAACTTCCCTCAAAGCTAATGCTATGTCCTTGGCTGGAAATATTCAATGATAGTTTCGAGACAATGCCTATGGCTGTCATTACCAATACTTGTTTGTCTGCCACCGGGATCCCGTCAGGCCGAACTTGCAGAGAAATCGACAGATTCCAAGACGATCATGTGCCGGTCTTAGAAACCCGACTCCTGATCGAAGCAAAGCGCGCGAAGTCCGGGAAAGCTGCGGAATGGAGAATTCCCCATGTAGCGCGACTCCTACACCCAAGCGAGGAATGGGAGGACCTGAGATTTTCGACAGACGGTGGACCAGGAGTTCTGGAAATCAAAAGGTTAGAGCCGAGACACATTGCACAGGGTTATTGTGTAGCGGAATGGGACGGTAAGAATTTGCAGAGGACCCACAAGACGAAAACCTTTCGAGAAGATTTGACTCGACACAAAGGATTCGGATCCGTCGCCTATATACTACCTGCTTTGAAGGGCACCAAGGGACACCAGAGATGAATGACGGATATATGCATGTACGGAGTAAAGAGCCGATATTTCAAGAAAGGGGCCTCAATAATCTTCTGTCCGAACATTAAGGCGACGATCTCTTCTAACGCTGAGTCCGGGTCAGTTTCGGTGATGAGAACTTTAGTGGTACGCTGAATGGTTCCACATCACAAGGATTACAGGCAGCAAAAGGCATGTGAAGGATGTAGTCCCCTAGGTATTGCATCACCCAGAGGGGCTACTTCACTTAAGAAAGCTTTGTATACTAGCTATTGACCACTAGCCAACAGTAGTGACATGGTCGGATCCTCAAATAGTCGGTCGTTCATCAATGTCTATAATAGAAATTCTGCAAATAGAATAGTTACAAGATGTTGATGGATAAGGGTTACTTCTATTTTGGCAATACTCGTTTATTTTATTGTATTGTATCGTGCTCTAAGAGGCTCGTAATTAACCTGAACAGAATCGTCTTTTAAAGATAATACTCCACCAAGGACTATACTGCCAATAGTCTGGAACTGCGAAACTCCAGAAATTCTTCAAAGCAGCCAAGTCCTTGTGGGCAGTGTTGGGAAAGTTTTAACGCTTGTGGAGGGGAAGCGAAGCGAAGGTAAATAATAAGCGAAATGTCAATTTGATGGAGACGGAAAGTTGTGAAAGTCAACAACTGTCACCAGTCGGAATATATTACGGATAGCAAACAGCCAAAAGGATAGTGTAAATTTGATTGCTATGGATTCAGATTCTCCACTTTCACTAGTTGGCTTGAATTGGTCTGCGACGCGGTCGTCTTCACACGAGAAGCAGATCCACCACGTTCCCAATCGAATGCCCAACGACCTTATTTCTAATGGAGTCATCCGCGAATGGAAGCTTTAGAACTCATAAGTAAAAGCTGGATTACATGCTTATATATGTAATTCTTATTCGTTTTCTGTTGTGAGCAGAATATTGAACTACAAATATCATTCCAAATCCCCACCGGATATCTTTTCAATCCACAACACTACGAACACCCAGCCTGCTTCAACAGTTCAGGAAAGATAGGGGTACCAAAACCCGTCACGGCGTCCCAACCCTTTGTAGTAGGGAAGCCCGTCGTATTACATCCCCCATTGTACCCTTCGGTAATATCCGTGAACGCCTTATACCCCTTCTTATACAACCACGGATTCAAGAAACCCAGCGTCGGCTCCCCCTTCGCAATCAACGCATCGTTAACCAACGCAATAATACTCGACATCAACGGCGTCGAGGCACTAGTACCAGAGATGATTCGATCCGTCGAGTTCCAGATGATGTGGAAATACAATCCTTGTGCCGCAATATCGGGATATCCGCGCCCTTCAGGGTTGAAAAGACCTTTGTGCTCGCCTTTCATGGCTCGCACGTACGCAGGGACAACATTATCTTGGTACGAAGGGCGCTTGAAGTATTCCGAGAAGCCGGAACCAGAAGCGTAGTAGCCGTGGAGCTTTCCATCTGGACCATAGCCGTTTGCAGGGCGGGAAGCAGACGTCTCGGGCTCGAACCCTTGGGTTGCTCCTACGGCTGTGACGTAAGGGCAGGATGGAGGGAACGAGGCGAGGAATTTGAAAGTGTTCTTCCCGTCATTGGAGACGCATGCTGTGGCGTTGTTGCCGGCGATGTCGCCTGCTCCGCTGTCGCCTGAGGAGAAGAGGATGGAGATTCCGCGGGCGCCGAGTTGTGCGAAGCCGTTGCAGACTCGCTTGGCGTAGTCGAGGGGGACGGTTTGCTCGTCGTCGCCGTAGCTGGTGGAGATGACTTGGGGGAGCTTCTTTTGAGCGAGGACGTAGTTGATCCAGGTGAGGTAGGGCTCGTTTCCGGGTGGGTCGCCGGCTGCTTCGTCTGGGATTTGAGGGGGCTCGCCACCGGTTGTGTAGGCTGTGACGGGCATGGGGTAGGTCAGGCCGATGATGGTTTGGACGTCGAGGTTGGCTTCGACGGAGATGCCTTCTGTGGCTTGTTCGGGTGTGAGAGCTGTATCTTGCTGTGGCCCACCGTCGATGCTGACGAATTTGAACTTGGCTGCTCCAGATACGGCGTCTGGCTTGTATTTTTGGAGGAAGAGCTTGGTATCTGGCCGGATGGGAATTTCACCCAAGAAATTGTTGAAACCAATTTGGTTCTTTCCTGCGGCTTTTTGGACATATCCTTTGGTCTTGTAGAGTGTTGCAAACTGTAGGTAACGGGGTAGTTAGCAAATGTTCGCTATATCAAAGCTATAGGGCGGGGGTTGGAGAGAGGGGCTGAGCCCGAGGAATCTCAAGCCATGTCTCTAGAGAATCTCGAGACATTCAAAAACTCAAACGAAGAAATAATGAGAGCATTTAATACTCACGCAATCCGGCGTCGTTCCGTTTATAGTGCAAACCTTTCTCAACGCAGGAGATCTGGCTTCGTGGATACCTGGGTATGGCCAGGGAATCGTAGCATCCGCAGCCACCTCACGCTTCTTGATAGCACGCATGAAGGAAGTAGTAGGCTGGATGGCATCAACATGCTCGTGAAGATGCTTTGGAAGAGACCATGTTGGTGCACGGTAAATCTCAGTTCCATCATCATGTTGGTAGACATGGTATTCGGTGTCCAAGAGGCGCTCGGCAGTCAAAACATTGACTTGGATGTTGACCCAGTCCATTGCGGGACTGTATGAGGCGTATTTGATGCCATTGGCCTCTAGCCACTCGTGCAGGAGATCCAAAGACTCGTCAGATGGCTTGATGAGGTCGTTGACTTCCTCGTGGGAGAGGTGCTTGCCATAGCGAAGGTGGTCGGGGTCAGAGACTGTTTTCGCTTAGCTTCAATGTCGCAGTTGAGTCTTGGAACACCTTTGCTTGGTAATTGTCAAGTTGGGATATTGACATACCTTCGTTCAAGTGACGTTCCAACTCTCCAAAGTTGCTTTGTTTGACACCTATCTGCAGATTGATAATCTTCTCAGATGGCGCACGACCCATCTTGGTCCATCGCTTCGGCACCCAATGCTTCTCTTTCACAGCATATGAAGTGCGTACTTGAATGGGATTACCCAAGACGGCCTCGGCCGCAATGGCAATGGTCAACAGAATTGAAGCCCCCAGCATGATGAATGTTATGAGTGCAGACAAGACTAGGAGAAGCAGGCTGGAGAGACAGCTCCAAAATGGAGGAGGGCATAGCTCTTTATACCGGACCCAAGTCCGAGCTATTGGATGATCTCTGGTAAATGAACCGGATCATCACAGCTACAGTGGGATGAAATCATCTATCCAGGATAGCTTTGTACCCTGCAGTGGCACCATCTCACCATCCTGCGGGGTGTACTATCTGCTTTCTGGTATTGATCTCCGCAACACTGCAGAAAGCCGGAGTACCTGCTTCCCTCCACCTGCCAAGTTGGATGAAGGCTCTCGGCGCAACCGTCAAGCTTTAAAGCAAGCAATTGGTGGCTTCCGCTGTGGCGACGGGCTCGGATGGGGACAGCGAGCGAAAACGTGCTGACAGTGCCCGTGCCCCTGTTACCCGCCTTCTTGTTCTGTCCTAAGCTTCCGCTAAGGGGCTGGGCAACCCCTGGAGAATAGCCTAAACCACCTTCTCGAAGGAGATAGATCGCTGACCTGTAGATTGTTGGTCGAGGCTGATTGGATTGCGCGAGGCATTTTCATCAATTCATCGCTTTATAAAGTTCAGTGCAGGTGCTGCTGCAGTTGGGTATGTTTTGATTGGATTCTCGTATTGCTTTTGGATGAATTGCATGATTTGAAATGGAATCCAGAGAGGGAGCTCCGGTTTTGGGTGGACGACTAGATGCAAGGAGGAAAATTGACTCAAAAAACTGTGTGACGCGCAACACGATTTGCTTCTTTGATCATTTATCAATTAAGGATTGCCCAACAATTTGAGCCTCGATCTCTGAGACGCCTATTGTTGAATTATTTATTGTAGGTGAAAGTAATGTACTAAGTGCTGTTCTGGAACTCTGCATTCCACAGCCCTACATATTTAAACTACTGACATCTGTCCTCCTCCTTTCTTTCCCTACTATTCTCTATATTTGCGATATCACATCTTAGGGTACTTCTCCCTTCGGACAAGGTAAAGTCTTCGAAAGCAAGATAGTCACCATTCTTGAAATCGCTCTATTACAAGATAAGGTGTGTCCACTTTTCACGTGTTTCTGAGACAAAGGGTCCTAACTTGCAAGAAAGCTCAGAAAGGAATGGAATCAGTCAAACGCAACAAGGACGGAACGGAGGTTCATCTCACAGACGAGTACAAAAGGCTCATTGCTCTCCTCCGCCAAGGAGCTGCAGAGATTGTCGAAGCTCTCCACGATGTCCTACGAATCCTAGGCGAGGGCGACCCCGATGCAACTGCATCGTTCCATCCTCCTGTTATCAACGATTATCCCGGCATATCGAGGGACAACCTGGTTCGATATACGAGGCTTCTGCTCGAGGCTATGGAAAGGGTTCGAGACCGTAATTGGGACACTACAACCTGGGAAGAAGACTATGAACTCTTGACGAACCCATTCGGCGAGGCATGGCACCTCGATCTGTGGAACGGTCTCCACGATTTGCAGATCAATGTAGGCGAGACCAATGGGTCCTACCGACCAGTCTATCATTGGGGTTTGTTTGCACGAAATGAGCCGACCTGGCCGGCCGATCATCCAGATCCGCGAGAGGAGGTGGAAGTTATCCGCACAATTGATAGGTACACTTCAAGTCTGGTCGGTCTGCGTAATCAGGCAGACAGTATCCAGGACAGTCAGAGGTCAGGATGGCTAACTGCAATTGATTGGCTGGGTACCTTCCTCGGCGGTGCAAGCCGGGGGGGACGTGGGAACGCTGGGCAGAGTGGGAAGGGTGGAAAACGCTAGCAAAGCGAAGCAGTTCGTTGAGGATGCAGAAGAGCACACTTCGTTTTATCACAGTAGCAGCAAGTAATGTACAGTAACAGGCAAAGATGACACAGAAGAAATGCAATTCAGACCAATAATGCTTGAATGATCTTCGGTACCATACGAATCCTCAAGCAGGATATTAAACTCACGTGACGTCGCAGACTTCAAGCACCGGGTGGAACTTATATGAAATAAGCAAAACGCTAATTATGGTTATTAACACGAACCTCACTCGGATCTAAACGGTATCAGATATAATCCTACACCAAGATATCTTAAAATCTTGTTCAGGGACTGGTCGGTTCGTGGGACTTTGTAAGGACCTTTTGATACTACGGTGCCATTGTAAAAATAGGTGGTAGTTCCATATGCATGCCCCCTTCCTTAATAAGGTAGCCCCTAGATCTTTGATCTGTGTACAGCGATACTTAGTTTTATAGGTCCTAGATTTCTGGTGTACATCAAGACTTTAACCGTGGGAGTCCCTTAACAGGCACATGCTTTGTAAGTTACCGCAACACAACCTCAGTATCTCAGGCAGGTCACAGCGCTTTAGGCCTTACTTCCGATAGAAACTACTACGTACTGTTGTTGTACGCTCTGGAAGTCCCCATTTTGACCAACAAACATGGAAGCAGGTACGAGTCACGTGAAACCGCGAGAACCCCATCTTTCGATCTACCTACCAAATCATCACAACGTCGAACAAATCCAGAGGAGAGACTGATGAGAATTTTTATTCTGGGTCATGTTTCCTCCCTCGTCCCTGATTTATGGTGGTACCTTTTTGAACAGCCCAGCAATCCGGATGCCCCAATGTGGCAATCCAAGGACCCCTCTTCTTCTTATCGGCCTGTAGTGGGGTGATCCCAACAAAGGGACCACCAAAACGTCATGCCACCTCAGAACTTTTCTGAAGATATAAGTCTCCAGAGTTTTCCAAAGAAGCAACTGTATGTACCAAAGTATCACTCATTACCCTAAAGTAAGCTTCACCCATTCATTCTTCCAAGTCCCTAACTACTTTGGGGAAACACTCTATCCATTGAGCGATTGTCCTTCACGCATGCTCCTTCGCTCTTGGTGCGGATTCATCAGCACGCTGCATCGCGCTTCGTCACTTACCCGCAATTTGCTGATTAACCTTCAGGAAATAAAGCTCTAGATTCACCAAACAACAACATATCAACAGCCTAATCTCAAGCACCACAATAAAAACAAATCTTCTGCCCTGCTCAAGTCGTCGAAAACCCAAGCTCAGCAATCACAATGGCGAGCGCAACCGCAGATTTCGGCATTGATGTCTTTGCACGATACAAGGACATCTCCCTCGACCCAACAAACCCCACACTCACCGTAGAGCAGAAAGCCGACCTCCTCTCCAATATTTCCCTCCTGCGCGACACAATCGTCTACTTCACAGCCTCTGGAGCTGCTCGCGGAGTCAGCGGTCACACCGGTGGTCCATACGATACTGTCCCCGAAGTATGCATCCTCGAAGCCTTCTTCAAGGGCTCCGCCGACAAATTCCTCCCAATCGTATACGATGAGTCCGGACACAGAGTCGCTACACAATATCTGCTGAGTGCTTTGCATGGACATCTCCCTTTCGAGCATCTGCTGCATTACCGCGAGGCCAACTCGAAGCTACCGGGACATCCAGAATTGGGTCTTACGCCGGGCATTGCATTTAGTTCGGGACGTCTGGGCCACTTGTGGTCTTTCGTCAATGGGGTTGCTATGGCTCACCCTGACAAGACTCTGTTCATGCTGGGCTCGGATGGAGCTCAACAAGAGGGTGACGATGATGAGGCGGCTAGAATGGCGGTTGCACAGGGACTGAATGTCAAGCTTTTGCTTGATGATAACGATGTCACGATTGCAGGCCATCCTTCTGAATATCTTAAGGGCTACTCGATGACTTCGACTTTGAAAGGCCACGGATTGACTGTCTTTGATGCTCCTGGAGAGGATATTGAGAAACTGTATGCTGCTGTTTGCAGTGCGGTTACCACCAAGGGCCCAGCTGCCGTCGTTGTCAAGAGAAAGATGGCGCCGGGAATCAAGGGCTTGGAGGGTACATCGCACGCACACGACGTTATCCCGGTCAAGGTTGCGGTCGAATACCTGAAGGAGCGCGGATACGATCAAGCTGTCTCCAAATTGGAGGCCATCACCCCCAACTCCCTCGCATACCTATACACCGGATCAGGAAAGGAGAAGTTCGCAAACAGAGTCATTTTTGGGGAGGCTGTAGTTTCCGTTCTTGAGCCACTTTCTCCAGAACAGGCCAAGGAGCGAGTCTTGGTCGTCGACTCCGATCTCGAGGGCTCAACAGGTCTCAGTGTCATCCACAAGAAGCGTCCAGAGGTCTTTCTCTCATCCGGTATCATGGAGCGTGGTAACTTCTCCGCCGCAGCTGGTTTCGGTGCCTCAAAGGGCAAAGTCGGAATCTTCTCTACATTCTCTGCCTTCTGCGAGATGATCATCTCAGAACTTACGATGGCCCGTCTCAACATGGCAAACGTGCTCTGTCATTTCTCGCATTCTGGTGTTGACGAAATGGCCGACAATACCTGCCATTTTGGAATTAACACTTTCTTCGCCGACAATGGTCTTATCGATGGTGACACCACCCGCCTCTATTTCCCAGCCGACGCAAACCAGATGCGCGCTGCAGTTGCCAAGGTCTTCTGGGACGAAGGAATCAGACTCATCATCTCCACCAGAGCCAAAGTCCCATTGATTCTCAAGGAGAATTCGGAGGAGCCATATTATGGTGAAGGATATGAGTTCGTGCCTTCTAAGGACGAGTTCATCCGTACTGGTTCCGCAGGTTACGTCGTCACATTCGGTGAGATGGTCTACCGCGCCATCGACGCAGTTGATCGTCTCCGTTCTCAAGGCGTTGACGTCGGTCTCGTCAACAAATCCACTTTGAACGTCGTTGACGAAGAAGCTCTTCGCATCTATGGCTCGTCTCCTTTCGTCCTGGTCGTCGAGAGTCTGAATCAGAAGACTGGTTTGGGTAGCAAGATGGGCACGTGGTTGTTGGAGAGACAGCTGACGCCCAAGTACAAGTATATCGGTACGACGAAGGAGGGATGTGGTGGTCTTGGGGAGCAGATCTTCCACCAGGGATTGGACCCTCAGAGTGTGCTCAAGGCCATTAGGACTTTGCAGTAGAGGGGCTCAGGAGGTTATGGGGCTTTTGTGAGGAATGGAAGTGGAAACAAAATCAGATGAAATTATGAATTTTTAATGAAAGTTAATGCTTGCATATTGCATCTCTATGCCACTCCACAATTCTCTCTTCGAATCGCACCAATCAACTCACCCAGCTCGGCTCTTCTTTTCGTCACGAATACAGCCGGGAGATGAACTCACCGTCATCCTCGGATTCCTGAATCTTCCGGAATTGACAATCAACGGCAAACCAAGTCCCCTAAAGTTTTATCGCCGATATCGTCATGGATGACCAGGAACAGGCACAGGGACAAATGACATGACAACAGCGAACCCCTAAACTTGGCGGCAGGAAAATCAAGCAACCTCCAGCCCTCGGCATTTGCTTGACCACGTGATTGTCCACGGGCCGATCCGCTGCTATGCCAGGAATAGATTGGTGTCGGGAAATTGACAGAGTCTCTGGCATGAACGACGTCGTCTGTCTTCTATCTTTCCTTCTTGCTCAGTACTTTTAGTATTAAGGTGCAGAGCAGATTTGTAGAAATCATTACACAGTCAGTCTTCTTTTTCTTGCGAGCACATCGCAATATATAACGCTGCTCTCCTTAAACCTTATCAAGTTCCTGAGACCCCCCGAGAGAAAATTCTTCGTGCGGTCTAAGGGCACAAAGTAAACTGGGGAGCACGGGAGATGGATGCCGAGCGCACGCACGCTATGATCTAAGATCTTCGGATCGCTGGGATGCGAGGCCATTGTCCGGATGGGCAATACCCACTTCAGGGAGGAGACATGAGGTAAAAGGAATCCACTTGTGACTACAACATTAATCTTCTCGGGAGGGGCAGAGCCGCAATGGGAGAGGTCGACGTCGCCTCACTTACTCGTATGTTTCTTATGATGGATGGCTCGGCTTATGAATGAAGATTGGGGAATGGATCCCATCATGGTCGGACTTATGAATGGCTGTATTATTTTTCCCAGCATACTCGTGTGAGGGGGTTAGTCTTGTGAGAACCGCACACGAGTAAGTTAAAACTCCTAGATGTCACTCACTCCGAGGAAGGAACCACGGTAGCGAGTGCTCAGTGCTCACCAGACCTCATCCAGTGCGTTCTAGCAAGGTCTAGCACCCACCTCCAGAATAGAAAATGAGATAATGGCCGCGCGCTAGAGGCTATCTCCTCCACATCCCCAATTGTCAAATCCAACAGTCACTGTTTCCCCGTATCATTCTCGGTTCATTACATACTTCTTGCATAATAACCTTCTCCTCCGTTAAAATCTCTGTCGTACCCCGAGAAACTTCTTCATCAAGCTCATCTCTTTTCTGCATTCTGATCCGTCGACTTTTCCTGCTAGCGAAGCTTCTTTGTTTTTGGGTTTTGGCTGGCTGTCCGTCCGTCCGTCCGTCCGTCCACTTTTGTGTATTGCTTGCATTACATTGTCTTGCATAGCATAATTGTGCTGCACTGAAGTGTAGTGTGCCCTACCACCCCTTCCTACTAAACGACAACCATGTCCACCGTCACGCCAGAGTCGCATTCGGAGAAATCCACCACCAAGAAGGACGCCGCGCTCCCAGATGGAATCGTCGGTGATGTCGAGACCCTCGAGGCACAGGGAAACGCACATTTCAGCCGACTGGGATGGAAACGCCTTACGGTTGTGCTCATCGTTGAGGCTATAGCCCTAGGCGCACTCTCGATCCCGAGCGCTTTCGCCACGCTAGGCATGGTCGCGGGAGTGATCACGACTGTCGGGCTCGGCCTCGTAGCCATTTACACATCCTACGTCGTCGGACAGGTCAAGCTCAAGTTCCCCGAAGTCGCCCATTATGCCGATGCAGGACGGCTGATCTGGGGTCGGTTCGGGTATGAGTTGATCGGAGCGATGTTTGCGTTGGAGTTGACCTTCCTGGTTGGATCGCATTGTTTGACTGGTGCGATTGCGTTTGGGAACTTGACGGAGAATGGGACCTGCTCGTTGGTGTTTGGTGTGGTCTCCGCTGTCATCTTGCTACTTCTTGCTATTCCGCCGTCATTCGCAGATGTCGCCATTTTGGGATATATCGATTTCGTGTCGATTATGTTGGCTATTGGCATTACGGTTATTGCTACCGGCGTGACTTTTGGACAGTCGACTCATGTTGTTGATTGGTCTGCTTGGCCTAAGGAGGGTATCACTTTCGTCGATGCCTTCATCGCTGTCACCAACATCGTCTTCGCCTGTAAGCCCTTCTTTCCTACTAACATCCCACTTCACCACTTACTGACACTCTTCAGACTCCTTCGCAGTCTGCCAATTCTCCTTCATGGACGAAATGCACACTCCCAAAGACTACGTCAAATCCATCTGGGCCCTCGGCCTCATCGAGATCTTCATCTACACCCTCACCGGCGCCCTAATCTACGCTTTCGTCGGTCAAGACGTCTCCTCTCCCGCCCTCCTCTCCGCCGGCCCCCTCATGGCCAAAATTGCATTCGGCGTCGCCCTCCCCGTGATCTTCATCTCCGGCTCCATCAACGGCACCGTCGTCGCGCGCTACATTCACGGCCGCATCTACAAGGACTCGGTCGTGCGCTTCATCAACACGAAGAAAGGGTGGATAACGTGGCTGATTCTCATCTCCGTCATCACCATCGTGGCGTGGGTTATCGCCGAGGCGATTCCGTTCTTTGGGGATTTGTTGGGGATAATGAGCGCGTTGTTCATTTCGGGATTTACTTTTTACTTCCCGGCTATCTTCTGGTTTGTGTTGATCAAGGAGGGGAAGTGGTATGAGAAGAAGAATTTGTTGTTGAGTGCGGTTAATGCCGTTTGTTTTATTATTGGGATGGTGGTGTTGGTTGCGGGGACGTATTCGACTGTTGTGGATATTGTGAGTCATTGCTTACCCTGGGACGAGCTTGAGAAGAGTTGTGCTAATGATGTGATAGAAACGCCAGTACACCGAGGGAAGTGTTCGGGGTGCTTTCACTTGCGCTCCGCTATGAGGGGTCAGTAAGACATGATTGGATATAATGAAGAGCAATTCAAGCGTCGAAGATGTTTCATATGAAATGATTGGTTTCCAATACACGATCAATTCATCAAACCACGCCTCCATGTCTTCTTGGGAACATTTGGTCGTCAAGTCCGCATCAATTGCATTGGCCTTGGCATCGACAGACCAGTCCGAGGAAAGCATCTTTGGTGTTTGTTGTACGACATACATAACTATCATATGAATAATAAACGATCAATAAAAACAAATCAAAATCTAAATCGCTGTTGCACAAAGTCATTTGCTGTCGTACATATTGACGGCCACATCAAATCACATGCATGCAATTAAATCCATCAACCAATCCCATCATATCGCGTCACCACGTCATCCTCAGCTGCAGCTACCAGAACGTTGATTGGCCTATCTCCCATTCGAAAGTGGAAATTGGAATACCATTGGATGAGGTTGCATGCATGTTCGCGGGATCAATTGCGGAATATACGTGTGGCTGGTCCGATGGATCAGATGGATCGATAAATATCAGCTTGATCATATCTTTCATGTTTGCCCCTCCCTCTTTGAAACTCTGGGCTATGAACTTTACTTTAGTTGAACTGAATCGATATTACAGCTCTTCTGGAACCTCGATCTCGGAATCAAAATAAATACAACTAGATCTAAGTCCAACCCCGAGTTTTTGCAATGGTACTCCCCGTTTTCGCAACTCCTCCCCCTCCCTACCCCCACTCCTTTCCTCCCCTCTTTCTCCCCTCCCCTCAGCTAACCTCTGCCCTCCCTCCTCACACAGCCAACCTCCACGGAAATCTCCCTCGCCTTCAGCGCCGGCGACAACGACAACGATTCCGGACTGAGTTTGAGTGAAACAGTCGAGGCACTGGAGAAGCTGTGTGGGAAGAGTGTGGAGGAGAAGGATATTGAGGAGGCTGCGAGTGCGGGGAGCGGTGGTGGTGGGGGGTTTGAGGATGGGAGGGAGATTGATTGTGAGTTTTCTTTTTAGAGTGATGATACAATGGGGAAGGGAGAGAGGGGAGAGGAGGGAAGGAGGAGGGGAGGAGGGAGAGAGAGAAGTAAGCTGATTGACGTGTTTAGTGGATGAATTTACAGCTCTTGTGAGGAAATTGGAGGAGGATGGGAAGTTGTAAGGCTATTTGGGTTTGTAGTGAGGTTGGATTAATCGCACAAAGGGAGGGATGAAAGGATGTACGAGCGAGCGAGTCTTTGGAAGAAAGAGCTTAGAATCCGGAACTGGGAAATTGGGTTTGGTCGTCCTTTGGTGGGAAAATTGGGTTTGTTTCGGTCATGATAATGGATTTCTTGACATCATATTGAGAAAGCTCTACAATTGACGTTATTAGATAGAATTTCGGGTTGGATCGCCAAAGTTTGAACTAAAGGCTCTGTTTACAATGCTACCAAGCGAGATCTTCGCCTGTCGCATTCCCAGCTCGCTTACTCACTGCTAACCAGCCCCTATGTTACTTGAGTTCCGCTTCAGCAGCGCCCTCCTTCTCTCTAATCACCAGATCTTCGCCTTCCCCTCTTGCCACCACCTTCTCTTCTCCATTCTTCTTCTCATCTACCTCTATCTTTTCTTTCTCCCTCTCCCTCCTCTCCAACCCTTCCCTTCTCCCCACACTTCTAGCATCAAAATACGGCTTCTCTCCTAACGAAACAACCCGATCACCGATCCTTACCTCATTATGGTCATATGTTGCGGTATGCCAGTTTGATCTATTATCCCAGATTGCGACGTCGTTTTTGGACCATTTGAAGCGGACTTGGTTGTCGTGGTTTAGGGCGACGAGCTGGTGAGAGGTTAAGTTAGGTTTGGAATGAGAGTTTGTGTGTTGGAGAGGAGTAAGAGGGAAGAAACTTACTTTAAATAGATAGTCTAGGATGAGATCTGATTCGTCTTTGGTGAGTTCTACGATTCGTCTTGTGAATCCTTTGTTTACGAAGACACTTTTCCAACCCGTGACAGCTATTTTCCATTGTGTGTCAGCACGTAATTCCCACTTCTGAACGATTAGTGCAGTATGATTTCGTCACTTACGATTCGTCCTAATGACAGGATGCACAGCCTGCAAATTGCTTCCTTGGTTCAGCTCCGATCCTCGAGGTTCGGTTCTCAAAGGATGACCGAGTCTGTCTGCAATCCCGTTGAAAAAATTGCCGTCATGGATTGCTGTTAAACCTTCAAGGTATTTGGCTGTTGCCGGAGAGAGACGATTGTAGATCTCGTAACCAGACGCCCAGAGCTACAGGGGCACAATTCATCAACTCCAATCATCAAGGCGATAAATCTAAGCGAAGGAAAACAGCGCCACAACTCACCGTATCACCGCCACTATCCGGAAGGGTATGGATCTTCAAAATCGCATAATCAGACGGCACGGGCTCAAAGGTGATATCTGCATGCCATCCATTGCTGGAGAATTTACTTGGTTCGGTCAAGAGGTCGACGACCGGTGCGGCGCCTTTCTTTTGCTTTACACTGCTGATTACGGAAATTTGATCGCCAAGTTCACTGCCTGCTTCTGTGATTGGGTGGATGTGAAGACCTGAAGAAGATGGCTGTTGACGTTTTAGTTTGATGAGTACTGTAGAGGAAGGGGCTAATTTTGAGGAGGAATCTTGGGTTGATAGGGAACAAAATAAAGGCATAACGTACACTTCCAGTGAGAGTGGAGAGGCGTTTTCCAAGAGCGATGAGAGAGTGAACTGATACATCTTGATTTCTGAGAAATACGACACCTCTTTCGGAAACTACAAAAAAGGTCCAGCCGTATTAGTATCATTCCCATTCAATATCGACACTCACGTTCAGCCCAACCGGCAAAACTTAACAAGAACGCATGTACCAGTGATCGCCAAATCTCTGATCAAGGAATCCGCATCAGGCGAAGCAAGGATCTTCTCAATCTGTAGCCCAGGAATCTCTCGTCCGATACTTGGTGTGAAGTCATTGTGTTTGAAAGAGTCGAGAGATCCAGAATAGACAAGTGGTTCGGTAGATTGTCGCTGAGCTTTCTCGTGGGTGCCGACAGTGGTTGATGTCACCGACTCGGGAATAGGATCAGCAGACGGCATTGTGATGGACTGGTATTTGACCTCAAGGTGGAATTTGAGATGGACTTTGTGGATGTGAAACTGAGAAGTGTTGGTGGGGTAAGGGGGGTGGTGAGGGATGAGGAGATGAGGAGACTTATACTTATGTGAAAGCAATGTTGGGGTAGGAATCCGTATTGCGACATATTCTTTGATACTCGTTGTAGATAAGAGGACACCATGATTCCGTGTCTGTACGCCAATGGTGTGTGCTTGTTGACGATGGTGCAATATATCCACTTTATGGTGAAGCAAGTGCACGTGATAGCATCACAACAATTGTCTGCCTTACCATTCTGGGTTCGGGACCGAAAACCTGGGGCAATAGCAAGAGTGGGATAAGAGTTCATTATTAGTTGTGGACTTGGTATCTGAGGCATTGAATGCCATCTTGACGACCAAGTGCAAGACCGTATCAAATTGAGTACCCACGGGAGAATGGTTTGAGAACGACCCAATGCAAACGCAATATACATGCTGGGGAATTGTCAAAGTAGCTAGTGCATTGACAGCTGGAGTGTTAGAGAAATGATTCAAGTTATTGATAGTTTTGGCCTACGCTCTGTAGGAGTATCTTGATGTTAATGTACTCCACGTTTCTCCGCGAAGGGGAACATTACTTGAGCTAAGCGAGGTTGTCCTATGGAATCCAACTCTACAAGAATATAACACTGGGGTCTGCTATCTAGCGTGGTCTCATTGTCAGTTCAGTATCCCTGTTTGAGAATGACAGATCATTTGTCAAAGACTAATCTAATCCCCGTTCTTCGGATATCCGAGCAAGGGGCGGGCGGGGCAGACAGGAGGCGAACGACATTCACATGCGAGCATTCCTTTGATAAATCAAAGTAGTAAGCGGTTTGGTAATTAATGAATAGTCGGTATTAATCTTTGAACAACACGAGATGGCCAGAGAGAAGAGTTGCCGTAACAGCGGGCAGCATTAACTCGACCACACCACGTGATCAAAACAACTTGATACACACCTTCTGTAAGACACTCAGTCCAAACATCTATATACGATAAATCCGTTCTTCTACACGAACGATCATCAGTGAAGTAATGACAAATATGGTCATTGGTGAGGACTGCACAGCATCTACTGCTCGTACCCCATGGCGCAGGCCTGTTCGTGAGATTTTAGCGAAGGCTTAGACTGGACCCTTGATCTTTCATCCTCGAAAGGAGAGAATCTCTAGGCTTCGATTAGTGATACCACTGAAGCGACTATCATGACTATTGTGAAAGATAAAGAAGGCTGTTGGCTTTGAACACTTTCTCCAAGTTCAGTGTGAAATTGATCGCAGCTTGAAGTCTCTACCCGGATTGTTGTGAAAGACTCGTCAAAACAACTCCTCGCTTCCTCACTCCACTCCCTCATTACGATCGCCAAGCCCGCAGTCAGCATCAGCATCAGCATCAGCACATAGCCCTGTCCTATCCAGCCTGCATAAGCAAGACCAGGATGCGAGATGAAAACCAATGAGATTAAACCAGTGCGTGAGAAACGTGAGAAAGCTGAGTACAAGACTGCCTGGACAGCCTTCTGTGATGAGACAGTTGCAACCAGAGATAGGTATATTTTGCTGTTGGTAGGGCTGCGGGTCTTACTGTGTGGAAATCATGTGTGAGATTTTCGATGGCGAGAGGTGTGTGGATGGGAGGATAAGGTAGTATATTAAGCTTGGATAGACCGGCTCTTAAAAGCCTTGTCATTTTCATACAATTGTCTTCTTTGATTTTTGAGCCTAGGTAACGAGACTCGCTTCCACGCATCACCTGAACCGCCTCTGAATATAACAAAACACACCACCACAACCCTCGCCAGAGGCGTCACCCAAAACAAAATGTCCCACCCCAGTTCCCGCTCAAGCAGCTCCTCAGCATCAACAAACAAAGCACAAAAACGCCTCATCGTCTCCTGCGACGGAACATGGCAATCAGCAGACAACAGCTCCCCCCTCGACAACACCAACGCCATCAACTTCTGCCGCGCACTAAAACACAACCGAGGCGAAGATGAAAAGGAGCAAATCATGTTCTACCAAGCTGGCGTGGGAAGCGACGCGTTAACAAAGAGCCAGAAGTTGCTTTCGGGTATGCATTGTTCTCCATCCCCCTTTGTCCTTCTTTTCCTTGCTCCTTGCCCGCTCGCTTAGCTTAGCTCTGCGTGAATTATTCTCGGTTGAGAAAAGGGGTTTGTTGACATATGTTGCTTTGTTATACAGGCGGTTTCGGACTCGGTCTCGAAGAAAACTCCCGCGAAGCTTACTCCTACCTCGCGTACAATTACCGCCCTGGCGACGAGATATTCCTCATCGGATTCTCCCGCGGCGCGTACACCGCTCGCTCAGTCGCCGGTCTCATCGGTGCACTAGGCATGCTGTCTCGTGACGGTATGCAGTATTTCAAAGCCGTATACGCTTTGTACAAAGCTGCGAAGACGACGGCGGGGTTTACGAAAGCCCTGGAGAGGTTCATTGAGGAGGAGAAGTTGGAGGGGACGGAGTGGAGGATCCCGCCGAGTGAGGTGGAGATTAAGGCTGTTGCTTGCTGGGAGACGGTGGGCGCTTTGGGGGTTCCGGAGAACTGGGTGACGAGGATGGTGGGGGAGGATGAGAAGTGGAAATTCTTGGATACGCAGCTGCCGGAACGTGAGTCTTCCCCTTTCCCATTCTCCTAACCACGTCTGGATATCAATTTCAATATCGATGAGATGTTGAGAAACGTTTCAATTGAGATCTTAACTGACTGACCATCCATCCACACAGGCGTCGAATTCGCCTTCCAAGCCCTCGGGCTCGACGAGCACCGCTCCTCCTTCTCCCCAACCCTCTGGTGGCGCGACCCCAACGCCCAATTCACACGCAGCACCGACGGCTCCACCATCCAGCCAACCCTGATCCAAACCTGGTTCCCAGGCCACCACAGCGACGTAGGAGGCGGGCAACCCGACCACAAAATCTCCAACATCACTCTCGTCTGGATGATCGACCAGTTCACATCCCGCTGCCTTCTCGACTTCGATATCGATTATGTGAAGAGGATCTGCTCTCCATCCCGCAACACAGCTGATCCGTCCTGGACGAAAAACAAAGATCCTTTTTATTCGGGCTTTTTGCCGACTCTTCTGTGGAGTTTCCTGGGGAGTAAGATCCGTACGCCGGGGAGGTATAAGAGACCTGAGGGCGCGAAGGGGGTGAGTGTGGGGAGTAGGACGAATGAGAATATGCATTATAGTGTAAGGGCGAAGATGGAAGAGAGTGCGAAGGTGGGGGATAAGAGGCCGTTGAGTCCGCCGAGTAGGGCTCTTGAGGGTTATGTGTATGATGGGGAGAGAAGATCGTGGGTTTGTGGGAAGAAGGGGAGGCCGGAGTTGACGGAGGTTGAGTTGCCGAGGACGGGGTTGTCGGCTGAGGGGGTGAAGAGTGAGAGTTTGGAGGCGTGGATTTTTAGTGAGTGGTTGCAGAAGCAGGCGAAGGGTAACTGAATAGAGGATGTCGAGGGATGACCGTGTCTGGATTGGCAAAAAGAGGAGAATATAGTCGCATTATCGATGGGTTCAGCGGGAGTACGTCTACTTTTGATACCCGGAAGAATTTAGATTGAATCAGTAGGAATTTTGTAGCCTTTCGAACATAGTCAGATCAGTCGTAACAATAATAGAATTGCTTGGAATACTTACCTTCAGAGGTCCCAGTATAGGTATAAATAAGTATAAATTTCCTTGCGCTGACTTCTGACTCCTGAATCAAGTGACTTGCTTCTTAGGATTCTTGGCAACTCACGACTGGCTGGTTAGGGGCAAGCAAAAGAATCACAGGAAATCTACAATTTATTTATCCAAAGCCAGGGTATCATAATTCAACCTCATTCAAACACTCGGCCGAAACTTCCCCAGATATTCCGAGTTGTCCATAACAGGACTCATTCCACTCTGTGGACTCTGATCGCTGTCCCTCCTTGCCTGCCTCGATGCTCTCCAAAAACTTAATACAACTTCCAATATCGCAACCACAGCATAGACTCCAGCCATGACCGCCACATCAATAACCTGATCGCTTAGCGGATATTTCGATCCTTTCCTCGAGTCGATCCCCTCTTTACTCAATCCAATCACTTTCACAGCACTCACCGCTACCCCACCAATCCAAACCACCGCATTTACCGCCTGCCAGCCCCTTATCCTACCCTTCACTCCCTCACTCCAATACAACAACATCGCAATAATCAACCCCGCATATACAAACGGCAGCAGCCCAATCCCAAAATGGATCAACTCCAAACGAACAATCTCCAATGTCATCATCAGCCCATTGGCCACAATCAAGATATAGTATACAGCGGAGGTAATAGTGAAGCCCCAATTTCGCTGCGGAACAGCGCGCAGGTATGCGGTGGAGGGGTTATAGTTTTGTTTTCGGTGGCGAAGGGAGAGAGCGAAGAGGATGGGGAGGAGTGCGATGGCGAGCCATATAGGGAGGGGTATGAGGATTATGTCGACGAAGCAGGATGTTGGTATGGGTGAGGAGATGCTTGATGAAGGGCCCTTTTTGAAGTCAGCTTCTCGTTTCTTTATTCCCAAAACTTCATCGAAAACTGACGAAGCCTTCGCGACGGTTACTGCAAAGTTGCATTGCCAAAATCGTGCGCCAGAAGCAGTTGCTGTCGTTAAGTATATTCAAGTCGGTGTAGATGAAGTTTTGCGCAAAAGCGTCGGATGTTACTTCTTGAAAGAGAGCGAAAAAGGAGAATATATCGAATCGTCAAGAATTATGCCCTTTCTGCTTTCCTGCCTTTCCCAGGAATTCCGAGAATGCGATCGTCGGTTCAATGCAACTCTCTTGTCTCGACCTCGTTTCAGCACAGCTCACGCGCATCCATTCATCGCTCAACACCAAGTGATCATACCATCTACTTGTCAACGACACGTCGACGACGGCGCTTCCCCATTATATAGGAAAGTTTCTCTGATGGGGTGCTAGGAGGGTGGATCGATTTAAATTGATTTGATTTGATTGCTTTGTAACGGCACTTGGTGGTGCGCTTTCTTCTGGGAGTAGTTTGCAGAGTATTGGTGTTAGTGTTCGGAAGGTGTTGTTCCCGGCCTGAAAGCGCCAAAGCGATCGACGCCAGGGTGGGGCCTTGAGGTGCCCGCTGGCTGCAGATCCTGGGCGTGCTTGCCGAGCTTGCCTCTGCGGGCGTTCTCCTAATATTAAGCTTATTAGGGAGGCCAATTGGAGGGGAAGGCGTGACGCACTTGGCTGTTTCTTGGGACTTGGATGTGGGAATTGCTTGTTTTGTTCCCAGGTTGGAAAGGGGGAGCTGAAGTGCCGAAGGGTGATTTTTGGAAGAGCAGGAACAAATGACTCGTGGATGATGGATGGGCGTTGGGAGTGCATGAATATTGAAAGAATAGTTTCTTGATGGGGGTTTATCAAGGAGCTGAAGCTGAAGCTGAAGCTGGTTCGGTGTTCAAATATTCCTGGCGATCGGATTGTTGCTCTTCCGCTGCGGATTACACCTGCAAAGATCATGAGATCTCAATGGACAATTCAACGAAGCCTTGTCTTGCAATTTCCTCTGAGGGTTGTTTATTTGTTCTTCTTCGTCCCATCAACCGCCATAGGGACATTTTAGTATCGTTTAGTATTCGCTTAAACGATATACCTTCTGCATAATGCCACTTCTGTCGTAAATGCGCACTTTTTGACGTAATTATGAGAAGATAATACAATGTTTTTCTAAATCATTTTACAGTTGCTATTCTTATAGCATCTCCAATAACAGTTTCTTAATTGAAGTGTTGTACGTCTAGTTGTAATGCGCTGAACCTGTTGACTTTGGTGCTCCGCACGTGCCTCAAACGGATTTTCCCCTCGACCCGATAGGCTGGATAAAAAGAATTATCACTCTGAGAATCGCATAATATTTTGAAGCACCTGAGCTTTACTGTGAATTTTTTTTCGATTGCTATCAATAATTGACTTGGATACAATCCGTTGAAGATTTTGCGCTAAAATGTCTAAGCGATAGTGGTCGAGGGGGTAAACACATCGTGACAAAGAAGTTGGAAGGTTCGTTCCCTGTCTTTATCTCAGCCGAAAGACTTATCAGCATTTACCTAGTTATTTTTCAGTGTCAACTACACTTATCAGCTGGTAGAATACGAATTCTCTTACAGAGAAGTTGAGCTCCTTAAGTTCACTGCGGCTTTGGAACCCCACCATCTCCAGCGCTGGAGTCTCAACCCGATAGTCTCAGAAAGCCGAGGATCGCATTCTTGTTACAAGAGAGCATAGAAAAGACCTTTAGTTTGCCGACAAGCAATACTCGTCATTCGTTGCTGCCCTAGTGCATTTATTATGCTTTACTTAACGAAAGTGTAGAAATATTTCAAACCTCAAAACCCTTATTCACCCTTCTTTCCGACTCTCTTCACCAGAGGTCCGTACACGCAACTACCAACCATATCACAATCCCTCTGACTCTCCTACTCAATAAAAGAATGTCCAAAATCCAAAGCCTTTCCTTTCTTCTCCAGTATCAATACCTCCTCCCGCCCTCACTATTGAATTCCCTATCCTTGGGGCACCCGGTACAATAACCTTCCTTCACAGTTTGTTTTCCATTACATTCCTTGTCGTCACCATTTTCAATGTTGTGACCCGGCTGCCCCGCCTTTTTGCATTTTTTTTCGTATTCTGTTTTATACTTCCCATCACAACTATCGCACTTGGTAAACTTGAGCTCGCACATTTTGATCGTAGGTTGATGGCGTTGCCGTTGGTCTTAGTATTGTGGAAAGATCGAAATGGGAGGTTTAGGACTTGTTGGGTTGTTGACTTATTGAGATTTTCCTCAAAAGACTTGATGTATAACGTGAATGATGTTTTTAAAGTTGTTTGTTGAGGAGGAAAGATCAGAACATTGGGAGGAAGAAACTGGGGACTTTATACTGCCGCCGGAGGCGAAGTCAACAGCTGCTTTGGTGAGATATCTTCAAAGACATTCTAATTATGTCTTTAGAAATTGAGAGCGCAGTCGACAACTATTGGACTTGCGGAGATACTCTCAAATAGATTGCCAAGTGTCGTATGGACCTCCAGAAATAGTAGTTGCCCAGGGAATCCTTTGTGCCTGACCTATTACCACAAAAGTGTCAATCTTGGTAAGAGTTTTTCATTGTTCTGTACGAAGAAAGTGACCAACCCGACAAGGAAGTAAATAGGAACCCGTCTGAATGACAAATCTGATCTTTGAATACAAACTGGTTATCCTTGAAGGGGGAGCTTCACACACTCGAAATAAATATTCCTAAATAGAAACTTGTTGCTATTCTCCGATATTCAACAAAAAACGGCCGTTGTTTTCTGTGCGGCATAAGAATAGAAATGGCCAATAGATCAAAGAATTGTGGAGCAAAACAAGATTTGAGATTTGGAGAGCGCCACGCTATCTGTGAACAAGGAAAGATGTGTAAGATAAAAATGAAAACTTTTCAATTGATGCTATTTCTGCTTTTCATAGAGGTGACCCTTTAGCTTTGTGGTCTGTAGTCCCGGAAGATGCAGCGCAAAACCCAGCCAACGGGGTTTGTAAGTAAAGCCTCCTTGTGCGAAAGAATTCGTCTTGCTAAAGATAAATCGACAGTGCCGAACTAATCAAAACTCGAGCAAAGTAACATTATAGCTGGAAGAGCTTGAACAAAAACAAAAAAAAATCATCTATATTTATTCTACCATTCCTGGCTCGAATCATGTAACGTTTTCGCCAGTCTTCATGTGCCAGTGACCAGTTGCCAACAAAGGAATGCTAGCTCTGGTCATAACTATTGAAAGATGCAGTACTGCACGAGCGATGATCCACTCGCAATAGTACAAGTCGAGGAAATTTCCGAGTTCCAAGGTCTTAACTTCGGAAGATGTACCCTTTTGCTCGTGAGATATGGCCTGCCGTTGAGGGTTGGATTTAAGCGAGAGCATGCTTCATCAGCAGTGTAAACAATAACAACCCTTCCTACACAATCATGGGAAGCAAATCCTGCAAGATGGGAGCTTCTATTCCATTATGACCTCATCTGAATATCATATGACTGACCTCAAATTGAAATCACAGGACCAATCTCATGCAGCTCCGACGATCCCCAGATCACCACGGCGGAAGGAACTCCCCGTCCATTCTCGGCTAAGCTATACCTCCGACAAATATTAATTAAACAGCGAACTCTACAAGGCATAACACGCAACCGAGAAACACTTTATTCGCTGCCAAACTAATGTACCTGAGTCTGCGTGATCGTTTCTCTCGGCCCTGACATGCCTAGCCACCCCCGCATTTAGGTTCGCGGCTGAATTCTTCAACTGCCATCGGAGCCGCCATTCCTGCCTGCCGATAAATGACACCATAACTGCCACTCACTGCCATATCAAGTCGCCAGGTCAATGTATGGATGTGCTTGCTGATCATTTCCCGTCAAAAAGCTTTTCGGCCTTGGAGGTATAAATACCACTCCCTCCCTCGCCCGTCTTTCTGACAATTTCTTGCTTACTCTGTACCTTCGCTGAATATTGACTGCGACCATGTTCCGTCAACTCGCACTTCTAGCTCTTGCTCTTGCTCCTGCCTCGCTTGCCCAGGTTTCTGAGGGCTTTGAGAGCGGCTGGGACCAGACTGCTTGGCCTACCTACGCGGCTGATTGCAACCAAGGCGGAAAAGTCACGCTCGACACTTCGACTGCTCATTCTGGAAAGAACTCCATCAGAGTTGATGGTGCTGGTGGATACTGTGGACACATTTTCGTTGGAACGAAGAAGGTTACCAGCGGTGATGTCTATGTCCGGACTTGGCTGTAAGTAAACTTATCCCACAGTTTGGGGAATTATGAATGGAGTACTAACTTACTCTTTTCCTTCTTTCAGGAAAGCTTCCAAAGCTCTCACAGACTCCCACGTCTCATTCATCACCATGCCCGACTCCGCCCAAGGCACCAACAAACACCTCCGCATCGGCGGTCAAAGCAAAATTCTCATGTACAACCGCGAGACCGACGACGCCACCCTCCCGGACCTCTCACCCCAGGGGATCGCCACATCCGCCGCTCTCCCAGCCGGTACATGGCAATGTTTCGAGTACCATCTTGGTCCTGATGGAACTATTGAGACGTGGTTGAATGGTCAGGCTGTTGCGGGGTTGACTAGTAAGCCGGGAGTAGCGAATGCGAATGCTGCGCAGTGGCAGAGGAGCAGTATTAAGCCGAAGGTTACGGCGATTTATTTTGGGTGGGAGAGTTATGGCGGGGATACGAATACGTTTTGGTATGATGATATTGCGGTGAACTCGACCCGTATTGGATGTACTTAGGATGCTACCTGTCAGAGGATGGAAGAAAAAGAAATGAGGGAAGTGGTGTATATAAGATGAGGATTGTACATATTAAGACAAAAGCTTTCGTTTCCCAAAGTGCTCGACGAGTTAACTCACAAATTAAGTACGAGATCAACGTCTCTGTTCCATAACCTAGTGTTGTATTGTAAAGACAAAGGAAACTGTCAAATACAACTATAGATTAATAAATACAAGGCTAACTATTACCCGCATTTTACAAAAAGTTCTGAATCCCTTTAAGAACCCCCATAACCTAGAAAAGCGAATCATGTGGTTGCTGCGCCTTTCCAAGACTCTTGGGACCAGGATCTCGGATCGTCTTGTACTACTTAAAGCGATATTATATAATAGCCATCAGTAGGATATTATTAATTTTCAATTTATTATCCTTCAAACTATATGTAGTTTACAATTATTCTTCCATTTCAGTTTTTCGTACTGTCGTTGAGTTCCCCTCCGTCCCACGCCTATCTAGTCACTTCGTCTTCTGCTTTGAGCCAAGGATGTTCTAGCAACTCCAAGGCTGTCTTGCGTAAGTTTGGATCCAGCATTAGTGTCCCCTCTAAGAAATCAATAAGCAATTCCAGATCTTCGTCAGACATATCGGCTGGTCTTTGCAACGCGGGATTTTCACCATCCATCAGATTCTTGAGTGACGTAGACTCGAGCTGTGCCGAGTCAATGCGGCGAAGTCCTCCTATTTGTCTTTGGTTAGCAACAGTAGACGGCTGTTTGAACGTCCAATAACTACCCTGGGATTTAAAGAACTGATCAGTCTTCGACCCTCGAGACAGAAGTGAGTCAGGGAACGGCCCAAGAACTTCGATCATTTGTGCGAGACGGTCGTCTTCGGCAGTCCATGCTCCATTGCTTGCAGCTGATCCAGGGAAACATCTATGACCCTTGGTCAGCTCTATGATCTGGTCGAGGTTAGCCAGTCAGAATTGAATCAGACAGAGGCGAGAAAACATATGTGAACTTACCAAGCAACCTAAGCTGAATATATCGACCGGCGGTCCCCAAGGAGCACCTAAGGTAACTTCGGGGGCTCGAAGCAGCGGTGGCTGGATATTCTCCGAAAGATGCTTATCAAGCCAGCTTGCTAGAAAGGAAAATTATTAGATAGTGGGACTTGAAATGCTGTCTTTGGGATGACTTACAGACTCCCAAGTCTATGATGCATATTTTGAACGATTCTCGATCAGCTAGTCGCCTTGACGTAACAACTTCGGTGATTGACTGGGAAGCTACTGTTTTTGGTTGAGTGTCTGATGTAGAGGCTGTCTCTTGTAGATATCTGGGAATGGCGTCGTCTGTATTTTCTATATCAATCAAAATATTGGACGGTTTTAGATCTATACACTCGTCAACCATTGAGATATCCACTCTTTCCAGAGAGGGCTACCAGTGTGTATGATTCCACATTGCCTGTGAAGGAAGTCCAAGCCTAAGAGAATCTGCCGCACAACTTCTTTCATGACTCTGACTGGTATTCTTCGTTGGCTATAGCGTTGTGCTTCGTGGCCGATGTGATGCCCCCAGACATCAAGAACTAAACAAATGTGGTTTCCATTTGGACCACAATGCTTGAAGTGATTCAGGAGACGCGTAACTTGACCCGCCCCTTGAAGGTGCTGATACCCGGCCTCTGAAATCTTCTCCAGCATTTCAAGCTCGAAAATGTCATTTGAAGTCCCATAGCAATCTGCCCTTAGTATTTTGAGAGCCACATCTTTTCGTGATCTGTTTGTTAACGTGGCATCACATGAGAAGGCAGGCTAGCTTACAGAGAATCGGCAGCAAGCCACACGATTGAGTACCGTCCCTGGCCGAGCTTTCGCAAAACTCTATATTGTGACTCGTGGAAGGTATCGCCGGGCGTAACGGGATGTAATCCTCCAGGGTCATTGTCTGCGAGGGGCACAGGATCTTGAGGGGTAGCTGTCGAAAAACCGAGACATGAGCATGTAGCTGCGCGTATATTTCCCGCACTTGGAAGTGCCCGCGAGAGATGTTTGGCCGCCTGAAACATGATCTATAAAGCTGAACCTCATAGGTATCAACTATTCTTTCCGAAGTCATGCAAAGAGAGAGGGAAGAAAGGTGGTCTAAATACAGCCTAGCGAGCCCCCAAGCTAGTCCCAATTAGGGCGACCCTGGTTTCCATCCAACACTCACCTGCGCTGTTGCCTGCATGACCAACACTGATATGACTGGCTCCAAATGAGTGTCTGCTTCGTTGCATAGCGGAATCCAGAATTATCAATGTTACTGCCGAGAGCCGTGATGCACTATTTAATTGAGTAACAATCGTCTGCGATCTACCAAATGAATTACGACAGCAGGCAGGTCCAGAAGCGCCGCAATCCTCACCCTCAGCCTTTGTCGCCCCTCTACCCCGCCAGATGAACATCACCACTACAGCAGATTACCTTCTCGTGTTATGAGCTGAAAAGGTGTAATAATTAATTACATTAGATGCTTAATTTCATCAATACAACTAAAAACATAATCTTTCCTGTGCTACTTTTACCAATTTCGTCTGATGCTCAGCACTTTTCATCCATCCTAGTCAACCTCAATCAAAGCTGGTCCATTCAAAGTCGCCGCAGCAACATCAGAAGTGGAATTAAAAGGACCAGACCCCTTAACAAGAGCACCAATTGTCAATCCTCTGGCAAACCCAGCTTCATACGGGAATTCCGCACAGAATGTTGTCATACCATTTTCGGTGTTGATATTCGAGATCGGAACCACGACAGGTAAGTTCTGTCCAGAGATATACGCAATTGACGCACTACCTTCAGTGATATACCCTCCCTCAATAGCAAAATTTTGAGTGCTGTTCTTAGCTTCCGGTGTTGAAGTCAGAGTCAAAGCCGGGAAAGCAGTCAACCCAATAACATCAATATTTGGACAGGATCCAGGAACAATGAACTGTGCAACAGCCGTGAATGCAAACTGCGGTGCACCACCAGTGAGGAAAGGTGCCGAAGAAGCAACCTTTCCTTGGATCGATCTGTAGTATCCGGTCTGTTCACCCTCCTGCGCGATAATGGATCCGACGACTGGGATCAAGCCAGCCTCATCTCCGCCGTCTGCAGCGAAGATACTTTGAGCGGCAGGGAGGACTCCAAGTACGACTTCTGTGAAGGTTTGTGCGAGTGCGATGGCGTCGTCGAAATTGGTGACTGGGAAGGAGTATTGGCAGGGCTGGATTGTCTCGGCCTTGGAATTGGCGAGAACACCGTTTGCGGCGAGGAGGTGGAGCTGTTCTTGCTGTGTACGTAAAGAGTCAGTCGTGACCAGAGAAGATTGAATGGATGCTTACAGCAACGACAGCTTTCAAGGTCTCAAGTGCTGTTCTGCCACACTTATATCCTGGCACCCCGGATGTGATGTTGTGGACTAGCTCGGTAAAGTACGCGACTTCGAAGATCTCGTTTGCAGCAATGAGTTGTAAAGCTTGAACTGCTCCAGCTGTCAAGCTTGTTGGGGCTCCTGAGTTCGGGGTGGTGCCACCAGCGACTTTGAAGACTTCCTGCAATGCAGTCGAGTTCAGATTAGGGAAGCCATTTGGGAGAGGGAATGAGAATGGTGCGGCCGCGGCGAGCGATGCTGCTGTCGAGGACAGGATAATTTTAGAGAAACGCATGATGAGTTTGAAGTAGACTGAGAATGGGATTTGGTTCTGCCTGATAAGCTGGACACAAAGAGACGACGCGCATGGAAAGCTTAAGGACACTTCGTATTTATATCTAGGCTTAAGCCTCTATGCTGAGTGAGATCTCGGGTTGATGATCTCATAGATCTCCATTATCTGAGGAGGGAAAATATATCTCAAACTAGTGAGTATGCCTTCTCATCCGGAGAACAGGTTGCCGGGAGCTGTCTAAAAGCTGAACGGGCATCAACCTATTTGATGCCACAGGTCCCCATGTCGAGATTTAATTGGATGCCAGTACGATTAAACATCAGACGATGCCTCTCCTAGTGAAAGCTTGACCTAACGTCTACTGAATTGTCACCGCCAATGTTGTCAGCCTGCAGCAACGTACCTGTGGTTATCCAACCCCGCATGTTGATGGCCGCGTCGGTGATTTGCTATTGACTGTTGATACGAACGGGAACGATCTTGTCGCTAATCCAAGTAAAGAAATAGTGGACGGCTCGGACGGGACTCGCAATCGATCGCTTGCGGAATACAAGCAGCCGGGTCTAAATCAGCTGTGGGGAGGCCGCCCAGACGTCATGTTGCTTCGCTTTCAATTGTTGATCCGATTGTTGGTACTTGAAGCTATTGAACGATCAATAAGTAAAGTCTCCAACTGGATATTGTGGAATTTGTTTATGGTGACTATTGATGTCGTGGATTGCTCGGGTATTACCCATGCGGGGTACAGGTAACCCCCACCACTGACTCTACCGAGTCTACCTCTGCCCATGAAGCCAAGCCACAAAATGTGATCTTTGACATTTAGCGTTCCTCTCAGACAGTAAACAAGACGAAATCTGTCTCTACCTTCTCTCTAATTGTACGTCAAGCTTTATCCTGGAGATTCGTGCAAGGAGCAGCAAGGCGGATTGCACAGCCCCATGAGGCGCAAGACCATCATGCAGGGGAACGGCACATCAACATTTAAATATCCTTTGGCGAGACCTCTTCCAAGCCAAATGATTATCTCAAGATCTAGCAATCAATCAATTATCTCTGCTCTCATCTCCACTTTTCCAGCTACACCGAACTCCTCGCCATGGATTCCAAATCAACAACAAACACCCCATCTCCATACAAGCCGCTAAGCGAGCTCTACATCCTCTCATGCGGCAACCTAGGAATGAGCTGGGTCATGAACAAAGGCCGACACCTCGCCTTTCAAAACTACAAAAATGAACCCGCACTCTACAATCTCGAAATTGGCAACCACTCTAAAGGCAACACCGTCATCCTACGGAAAGGCGACTCAAAAAAAGAAAATGTAATCTCACAGGCGACGGAAACGTCCACTGCAGGTGAATACATTATCAAAGGACCCAAGGGCGAAGAGAAGATAGAAAAGAGCGGGAAAGATATGTATCTCTGGACTGTACCTGCATCTCTATGCCCGCCGAAATTACCGCCTTATGAGAAGGAGAGTCCGGATAAGAAGAATGTTTTTCAGTGGGTTAGGATGCCGAGAGTGGAGGGGAAGACGGCGACGGCGACATTTGCGGCGCCGGATTGGAAGTTGCAGGACAAGGCGACGGGAGAGGTACATGCAGTGTTTGTGGAGAACTGGGATGGTACGACGGAGAGAGGACAGATTCAGTTTCGGGGGAGTTTTGGTGAGAGTTGGGAGATGAGCATTTTGGTGGCGGTGGGGATTGTGGCTGAGAGGGAGAGGGCGAGGAGGGATAGGAGGGGGAATTTTACGAAGGGGTTTATGTTGTGGTAGTTTCGAAATTGACCAGCACATTTTGCACAGCTGGAGTGATTTAGAGGAGGCTAAGTAAGGACCTGCATGCTACTCTCTCATTACATAAAGTCTGATACCCATGTAAGTACAAAGTTAGACAATGTCAAACACTACTTGACGAACTTCCCAATCTAGAATCTGTACCTGAGAATCTGCCTTATCCAGATCACCACGGAATAGTCTCCCCAGTCACAGCAGTAAACGTTCCCGTCTGCTCAATAGACGCCCCATCAATCAACCTCACCAACCCCTCCACTCTCTCCTCCACCGTCATCGGCGCCTCCTCCATTCCCACCCCCACAGCAGCACTCGTCCCCATCTCCGTCCTCACCCACCCCGGATTAACCGCCATAGTCACCACCCCCGGACTCTCAAACGCCACCTTCCTAACCAGATAATTCGCCGCCGCTTTACTAACACCATACGCGAAGAATGGCACGGGGAATTTCTCCGTGTCGGTAATGGACCCCACGCTGGAAGTAATGACGAGGAATTTGGGGGACGGGGACGGGGATGCGAGGAGGAGGGGCATGAAGGCTTGGATTAGAGTGAGGGGTCCGAGGGTGTTGACTTCGAAGTGCTCGCGTACGGTGGAGGGTGGGGTGGAAAGAACGGGGGAGATGGATGTAGGGGACATTAGGCCGGAGTTGGAGAGGAGGACGTCGAGATGGGTTATGTGGTGGGTGGTTTTGAGAGTTTCGACTGCGGCGGCGGGGTCGGTGTCAATGGTTGCGTCGAGTTTGATGATTATGAGTTTGCTGTTTTGACCGAAGGGGAGAGAGCTGAGGGATTTGGTGGCTGCTGCGGTGTTGCGGACGGCGGCGATGATGGTTGTGTTAGGACGGGTAATGAGGGATGTGAGGATGCCTTTGCCGATTCCTCGGCCGGCGTCGGTGATGAGATATGTGAGCCCTGACATTATTGAAATCTCGATGTTCTGATCGTCGAAGAGTATATCGATTTCCTTGTGTTGTAGAACAGAATTTGACAGTCGGCGTTGTGGACTTGGAATTGTTATCTCGGGTTCTTTCTTCGATGCAGATTATCTCAGAGCGTTCTTTGAGGCTAACTTACAGTCTATTATATACCCACGCAGCCTTCAGGTGAAGCAGCGTTCTCATCATCGGACATACTGCACAAGAACTCAGACATTATCAAGCACTCGCTGAGTAACCAGAAATGGTACCTCCACTCTGCAGCACACTTGGCCCTACGACTATGTTTGGGACCCCATAGATGACATGCAACTCACATACCATTATCTCAAGAAGGCAAGAATCATCCCTGGTAATCATAATGAGGCAACACTCACTCAAATCAAACAACGGCCTCCAAGAAACACCTTTGACGGAATGTTGATCTAGAAGCCACAGCACAGCACACTAGTGGAAGTGACAAGGACAGTTTTATTCTTGTTAGAAACAGAGACATTTGGAGTTTTTACCTTGCTAATGAAACGATCAAGGTTTATCTCCTTATCAAGACATCGGTTTGCATGCCCCCTGATATTCTCGCTTAGCGTTGTGCAGGTCGAGGTTGAGTAATCACAGCCTGCATTAAATCCGCCTCGAATATTGTTCAGGAAAGTGTTCTACGGCGCTCTGACAAAACATGAGATACATGCATGAAAAATTGAAGACAACATTAGGAAGAACAGATGGATCCTTGAATGAAGCTGGTGGAAATTGGGAGAAGTCATCGCGAAAACTGCATGGTACAGATTACAGATTCTTTCTCGCTACTCTTGCTAGCCCCAGCATGTCAAGTAACCTGGTACGGTATGAAAATGAAATTTGGAAACTCCAATCCCGCTTCTTTCGTTAAGTACATAAATAATCCTGAACGCCTACTTGATGATGCGCTAAATTTAAACCCTATGCTTGCTTGATGATGCCCCAAAATAAAATGAAATAAAACAACCGAACTTTGGAACCACAATGACTGATAAGAAATGCATCGGAGCGAGCCACACGTGGCTTCTAGTGCGAACATCCCTCTCACGCCCTCCGCATCGGCGTGCCCTGCCTCACAAGATAAATCATATAAGTCGAAAAGTCCTGCGTCTTCGCAAACGTGCAAGGATTAACAGTCTTGTCATTAAACTCGTGCCATTCCCCAGCTCCATTCTTGTTGCGTGGTAGATCTGGACTGCGAGCCACAGTCCAGTAGTGGCCTCCGGCGAGTGTACCTCTGTGCTGCTGTACGGCGTAGACGTCGTATTTGAAAGGACCTCTATGCTCTCGATCGAGAGAGTTCGGTGGAACGTCGTCGGCGGGACAGAAGTATTTGGTGAGGTCGATGCCGGTTTCTGGGAATGTGATTTCGGCGTTGTTCCTGCCTGAGCCCAGGGACAGGAAGCGACCGATGGTGATGACTAGGTAGTCTGGCAGACGGGTTAGATACCTCGTCAGGTCTTTATCGCGTTTAGCACCTCTACAGGTGAGACTGTCGCAGTCAATTGCTGTCCTTAGATCCGCAGAGCCTGTTCCGTATTGAGTGTCGAGGAGCTGCTGCAGCGTATGGGCTCGGCTGTCAGGAAGAGGAACGGTGAGCTGTCTGAACGAGTTCCAAGTGCGTGTAATGTCTCCACAGGTCTTGCAGATCGTTTGGTTGCATTCCTGAGAGTCCATGCGCTGACTGATTATCGACAGTCTCCCTGCCCGGAGGTACTGTAATGACTCCATGGAGGCTTGGATCAAAGGGATGCGTTTAAAACGTGGTATTTGGGTAGCTGGGATCTCGCCTTGAGCGATATTGTTGACAATATCACGACCTGGATTAAGCTCATCGTCAAGAATGTCTGTGAACCAGAGGAGAAATTCGGACGTGTCGTGTTGTTTGTCTGGTCCACCATAGCACTCTCTGCGGCTGCTTTCGCTTCCTGCTTCTTTGAAGCGTATACTCATCGTGTAGTCCTACACACTGTCAGAAATGAACTTAAAACTTGGCCAATGCGCCTGGTGATAAATTACTTACACGAAGAGTTGTAGGACACAAGAAATCATACTGGCCGCCCCACATATGGGCGATCAAGTTACCAAGGAATCGTGTCATGAGCTGTGGCGGCTCGCTTGTCTCCCCTGGCCGTTTTGGAACTTTAAGTGTATGTGGATAATTGAAGTCCATAAGATAATTTCGAAGGAAGGGCGTTGCACTCAATGCTTGAATAGCCGAGTTCATGTAACAGAAGAAGTTACCGTTTTGCAGACCCGTAAGGCCTGGTGACACTCGTAGCTGAGTGATGGATGATGTGCCAGAAATAGGCGAGTTGTAAGAAGCAACAGTGCTTGAGCCACGATCTGAGATACCGCTTGACCGAGTTCTCGGAAGCGCTGGCGCTGGTCTGGTTGGAAGGCGTGGTATGCTGTCTTCCAGCTTATCCAAATTTGTTTCGGTTGGCCGAGCAGGGGTCTCTGATACCATAGACTCTTGGATCACTGGCATCTCTGGGTATTTGTTCAGAAATCCCTCCAAGGTTCGTGCATAAACAAACTCTTCAGATGGAGCATCAGCCGCGGGACTTGCAGGGGCAGGCTCCTGGCTCATAGCCAGATCCCATTTCGCTTCTTCTTCTTGTGTCAACGGACGTGATGTACGTGTGTTAGCACGATTTAACCCGTTCCGTTGCGCATCAAAACCTCGGCTGAATCTTCCCAGCGAACGATTGTTGCCTGACGTTGTGGCCGGCGCAGCTTTACTTGTCGACTTCAGAGAGTTTGGACCCAACAGATCCACCCATGCATCCAAGCCGCCAACGAGAAGCACGGGACGTCTCTTTACTTTCTTCTCATACCCATACTCATACACAGCCGCCGAGAAATCTCGTAATATGCTGTTGCTGTCTCTAGTGAATGAGCTAGTTTGGCAGACTGATTTGGATGACTGATCGTAAAAGACAACTAGATCGAACTCTGCCCTTCGCTCGTAGAGAGCCTGTTCAGCATCGGAAACAATGACCAACGAATCTTCTAGTTGCTCGCCCGAGATACCTGTTCGGAGCGTCATTGGCTCGACGCAGATAATAGACTGGGCCATGATGTGGCCACTCTCAAATTCTTCCCGAGTTCTCAAGTCTACTATGAGAATCGATACAGGTTGACGGAGACATTCATAGAGGTCCTCTGCTGTGATGTTAGTGCCGGCGGGCAGATCCGGCGCTGGCCGTTTCGGGGCCTTTGGCTCGTAGTCGCCGTTGCTCATGGTATGAGCGGGAGAGAAGTAGTCTTTCCTATTATCGTTGACGTCTGGCGTTGGTCCGACTCTTGACACTGGTGGAGCCGACTTCTTCCTTCCATTATTCTGGTAAGAGGAAGCTCGAATACTTGATGGCAGATTCACTCCAGACGGGTTCTCTGCACCGCTGGCCGGACTGTATATCGCATCCGGCTCACGTGGCATAGAAGGTATTTGCACATCTAGTGGCATCTTGACGTGACGTGGTATGGCTTTGGGAACTGAAGGGAATTCTCTTGGCCCAGTAGAGCGGACCGTGGAGCCACTGGTACCCTGAGAAGGTGACTGAGAAATTGAGACATTTCCGGGAATGATGATCGGTTGTGTTTTGATTCGAGGGTCCTGTTGAACAGGAGGCTTCGGTTCCGGAGTGCGTAGGCGCGCGAAGCGTGCGGCCAGGTCTTCTTGTCCGGAAATTGTTTTTGAAGATGGTATAGCATTTCCATGTAGGGCATTTGGTTTTGGTTGAACTGGAGGGGGCTTTTTGCGGTTCGGATTGGCAGAATTGCCGTTGGCTGGTCCATTGGGAACTGATTGTGTCCGAGCATGACCATTCACGGTAGGCTCCTGGTTCTCTATATGGGGCTTTGACTTCGAAATCTTAGGTTGCACCCCGCTCCTTGCATTGTTCTCTTTGATGATCTCCTTAACCTCTGCAAACTTGCTGTGCTGGGCGTTGATCCTCTTGTTCAAGCCAACGTGCATTCGGTGCAATTCACCTCGATCGGCCTGGAGAGAAGGAAAGTCCTTATGCCGAGGTATGTAGTCCACAGCAATGGTGGTCGCTTTGATATATTCTTGCAGCGCCACGTCTGGCCGCCTGAAATCCAAGTGAGTATCGGCTTGCTTAGCTAACAGCTCTCCCTCCTGCAAGATTCTTCGCATTGGCCAATGCAGCATCTCTGCAGCCGGCTCGATTGCTACAAGATCATCCAGATGTGGAAATACCCGATTTACAGCCTTCAGGCCATCAGTTCCATTGCCCTTCGAACCATACGCCATCTTGACTGGCCCTCCATTGACCGACGACGCCCTTGTATGTGGAGGTCCGCCTGATGCAGCAGGACTCATATCGCGGCGTGTAAATGATTCCTCAACACATGTCGACCGTGCGAATGTATTCTGGAAAGTGGCGAGACTCAGGGAAGTGCTGCGGTAAGTTTGCGACTGGACGGCTCGTGTCGACGGTACAGCTCCAATTGCAGCTGTTCCTCCGTCAACTGTTGATCACTAATGGATCGGTACTGATAGCATGTAATTTTCCTCAGCTACGGATGAAATGAAGTATGTAGTGGAGTGCCGTAAATAGAGAGTTGATTCAAGGTTCCAGGTCAGGCTCTCAAGGTTGGGCTGATATCGAGGTTTGAATGGCTACCTCATTCGCCGAGTTTGCGGATGTCTTGGAGCGTGATTTAGATATCCAGAGAGAGTCTAAATGGTCGCCACAGTGGTAGATGTCAAGGGGTCCGACTCTGTTGTTGAAGGTGTGGTTTTGTCTTTATTGCTTTCTGGTACAGACGCATTTGGCATTGCCTCTCGAGATTCCACGACGCCCAGCCCAGTCAGTGGATAACCTTAGAGCCGTCGTCATGGCCTCGCTGGCCCGAAGATTTAGCGACGCATTTTCTCGCGTCGATAGAGGGGAGAGGGGCAAGTCTGGGGTACCTTTAGATCTGCTGCTTTATCTAAATTTATTTGATGCCGAATGTCTGTACCATACCTACTTCACACACTTCAAATTTACTGAATAAGAAAACAAAAGAATGCGTGGGTAATGTAAAACCACTAATGAAAGACGTCTTGGCTTTGAGCCTCGTCCATGTATTGTGCCTTAGTGCCATCAGAAGCGCATTCGGCCAAGCCAGAGTGTATATCCAGATTTGACTATAGAATTGCTGAAAACATAGGATTTTTGATGTAACTCATAGACAGCTTTTCTTTTTCTCTTAAAATCAATACATTCATCCTCAACGAATGCAGCGCTGTAAAGTCCCAGAGTCACGAACTAAGTCCACCAAGTGTGGGAGCTCTAGCGCTTCTAGCCGCAGCCGCCGATTGTCAGCCCAGCCCAGCCCAGCCAGCTGCCCTGTCCGCCGTGCCTGATACTCATCGTACGCAGCTCTCCAACTTCTACTTCCTCCTCAATCCATCTGCCAACTCAACGATCCGGATACCATAGCAGCTCCACGCAATAACAAAAAGTATAATAACATACACTTCATCAGCAGATCCGGTGACGCGTGGCCGAACATGATGGCAGGATGGTTTGCCTCCACTTCACAGCTCGACGAGCAGATAGACAAGGCTACCTCGAGCTCACTGTGAGCATTCTACCTCACCACAGCAAGTAGGGCTTCGACTGACATAAAATAGCGAAGATATTGCCCTTAATCTCGAAATATCGGATATCATACGGTCGAAGACGGTGGGCTCGAAAGAGGCGATGCGTTCGCTCAAACGGCGCATAGGCAACAAGAATCCGAACTTCCAACTGAGCGCACTCAACGTCAGTACCTGCCAGCATATTGCGAGGATGTATACTGATATCACATCTGCAGCTTACGGATACATGTGTGAAGAATGGCGGATCGCATTTTCTGGCTGAAATCGCATCAAGAGAGTTCATGGATAACCTCGTCTCACTCCTCAAGGCATACGGCGGGGCAGCAGTCAATGAAGAGGTCAAGGCAAAGATATTGGAGCTGATTCAGACATGGGCAACTGCTACAGAAGGACAGCATGAACTGTCGTACATTGGGGAGACATATAAGGGGTTGCAACGAGACGGGTTCCATTTCCCTCCAAAGGTCGACGTCGCAAAGAGTATGTTACTCAGCAATGCAGTAAGTAATTTGGCCGGCACGTACGTTCACAACTGACAGCAGGGTAGCCACCGGAATGGACAGATTCAGATGTGTGTATGCGATGTAGAACAGCCTTCAGCTTCACGAACCGAAAGCACCACTGCCGGAATTGTGGTAATGTTTTCGACCAGCAGTGTTCGGCCAAAGTCCTACCTCTTCCGCATCTCGGCATTGTCCAGCCAGTCCGTGTGGACGATGGATGCTATATCAAATTAACAGATAAGTCTTCGAAAGGGGGATCGTTTGCGTCGCCTCGCTCTCCGATCAAGCAGCATAGACCGAGCGGATCCATGCAGCCTCGCAGCGCGCGAATAGAGTCTACATTCGATGAGGATATACAAAGGGCACTGGCTATGAGTTTGGAGGAAGTCAATAGTCATGCCGGAGCCGGATATGTTCCCCAATCAAAGATCCAGTCAACCCCTGCCCAAACCACCACGAATGGAGCTACCAAGAGCTCTTCGAGCAAGCCTGCTGAGGAAGAAGATGATGATCTAAAAGCGGCAATTGCTGCATCTCTTGCCGATATGGAAGAACAGAAGAAAAAGCACTCTGCTACGATCAAAGAACAGGCTTCTTCTGGCACAGCGCCGTCTGGAATTGTTCCTCTACGGAAGAACGAATATGAGCTTACTCCGGTCGAAGCAGAGAATATTAACTTGTTTTCTACCCTCGTAGACCGATTACAGACTCAGCCTCCTGGAACCATTCTTAGGGAACCTCAAATTCAAGAGCTGTATGAGGGCATCAACAAGCTTCGACCGAAACTGGCTCGAACGTATGGGGAGACTATGAGCAAACATGGTAAGCATTTCATATATGAATGTGGCCGTTGTGCTAATGGACATAGACACACTTCTAGATCTTCATGCGAAGCTATCTACTGTCGTCAGATATTACGATCGCATGCTCGAGGAACGTTTGTCAAGTACATACAACCAGCACACCGTCAGTGGATACAATCTCCCTCCTCAGAGACCGGTATCAACTATGTATCCGTCAATTTCTTCAAATTTGCCGAGCACTGCCGGAGGTGCTGAGAACTATTACACTGGAAATGCTCCCCAGGAACCATATGCGCGACCCCAGTCAACATACTCGTATGGGCAGCCTCAGCAACAATATCAACAGTACGATAATCGGGCTTCTGTTGCTGGATACCCTGCACCGGTGCAGAGAAAGGAAAGTTATGGTCAGTATCCACCTCAGCAACAGCCAGTACAGCCTCAAAGAACAGGCAGCTGGCAACCGTCAGATCCTTCCACCGGGTATGCTCCTCAGCAGCCATCTTATCCACCAGAAAGTGTTCCGCCTCAACAGCACGCCCAGCCCACGAATGCTCCTCCAGGATCTCAGACACCAATGAGCGTGCCTTCTCAGCCGCCAACTACTTATGGTCAGTCGGAACCTGCGGTGTCACCTGCTGCCGATCCAAATGCAGCATTCTATTACAACACTCCTGGCCAGGCACCTCCACAACAGGCTTCAGATCCGCAACAACCACAGTATCCACAAACTCACCAATCACCCCAGCAATACCAATCTACTGTCCAGCAACCTGTCTCTCCACTACAATCAACAAGACAACCTCAGAAGCCTCAAGAGCAATACGCTCCTCCCCCACAACAACAAGCTCCTCCCCAGCAATATGCTCCGCCTCAGCAGCAGCAGCAAGCTCCCTACTGGCAAGCCCAGCAACAAGCTTCAGCCCAACAACCAGCTCCAGCACAGCAGCAGCCATGGCAACCTGCTGGACCAACCTACAGTGGATATACTCAAGATTCGTTCCCATCAGCACCTCACCATGCACCACAACCTAAGGTAGAGGAAGCTCTGATTGAACTTTAATGGAATAGTGTAAGGAACAAGTAGCGATGGCGTTTGATGGACACGAAATTGTAAATTTCTCGATTTGACACTCGGTGGATCTGACATGGGGGATTTGAAGCGAGGTTGTACTAGGACCAGGTGTATATTTGATGACTCGATTTCCTACAGAACTTGCTGTCAAGCAAGATCAAATAAAGTAGATACGAATGGAGATTGAGTGATTTGGTGGTGCATCGTGGCCAAACCTGTTTTAAGAATTGATGTGAATGAAGTGATAAAATGCACAGCAGTGGCTTGGATGTTATGGGAACTGTAAAGTTCCCGATTGGCGAGCTTTCACTATAGATCCCATCCTATCCAGGATCTGTGGGTGTCTCCAATGACGGCACCAGGCGAGAGAAGCTCTGCAACCCCACCAAATAAAATGGCCGTTGGTTAAGCAACACCATCCTGTCAACCCCGCCAACACACCCCTCTTTCGACCAAACTTCTCTCGTACAACCTACCGCCTCTGTTCCACTTTGATTTTCCCTTTCACTTCTTGCTCAAGAACGAGACCTACGTGTAGTACGAAAGGAAGCACCCCAGAATCACAGGCAAGATGTCGCGCCACAAGTTGGTTAAGAATATGGATCTGGACGATGAGATGGATGATTATGATGGTGGGGAGGAATACGCCGATGATGGAGCGGAGGGTATGTTTGCTCTTGTACTTCATGAGAGAGAAGAAGGCGGTTCATGGGAGTTATACTGACTCTTTGTGTTATTGCAGAGCTCAGTGAGGAAGATCAAGGTCCGTACTGAATATACCCCTCCTCAACCCCGCCACACGAGCTCGAAATTCCAGACGAGAGCAAGAACTTGCATATATGTGGAGGAGGAATGAAATATAGAAGAACATAAAGCTGATACCCATCCTCAGAAAGCATGCGCGTCGGCACAATAGCAGTGCGCGCCGAGCTCCCTGCCACCGCGTCACATATCACAGATAAACAGATACAGGAAGCGCTGTGGCACTATTACTACGATATCGAGAAGTCGGTTGGATACTTGGTGAGCACGTATGTTGCGAAGAAGGAAAAGAAGGAGAAGAAAGTTAAAGGTGGGTTTATTTCTTATATTGGTGGAGAGACACACAGTAAGGCGGGGATTTACAGGGGGGGTGGTGGCCTCGGGCTTGTGAATAGGGATTAGGAGGGTATGGTGGATTGTGGAGGTGGGTTTACTTTTCGTTGATGTTGGGAGTTGTTAACTGGACTGACTGAGACCTAACAGATTGCTCGACGCCTTTTTCAAATGCGGATTTCTTCAAGGATATGCCGTGGTTGAATGCTCCTCAGGATCGACAAGCTGTCTTCATTCCTCCTCTATATCCCAGAGGTGGACTACCTGGAGGTTCCTCAGATGGAGCGCCTAAGATGTCGAAATTGCAGGCTTTGGCAGCGGCGAGGAAAAAGAAAGCCCAGGAGCAGAAGTCAAGTGAAAGCTCGGGAGTTGAGAAACCTTTGGCGGATCTCACGTTGAATTTGAGCTCTGGGAAAGAGAAGGCTCCGACATCTCCAACCAAGTCTACAGCAAGAGGATTTCCCATTCGGAAACGAAAAGACTCGAATCCGCATGAGAAAGCGGTAAAGCCAACAGTTGTAGAGCGAGAGCCAGAGCCAATGCCAGATGTTGCCATGGAAGATGCAGCTCTTGACCAAGCCGAGCCCTCCGCCTTCGCCAACACCATGTTCAGCAGCAACAGTCCCACAACCACCACACCGCGCCCATATTCTAGCAACCTCTTTTCTCTACCATATACTAGCAACTCAGCCGTACCCACAACCGCTGACCCCTTCGCAGGACCTAGTCCAGATGACGTCGTCATCGCAGCACAGTCGAAAGGTTCGACGACCTCTGCCGCTCGACCTTCCCTCAAGTAAAAAAGTGAACAGTAACACTAATCTCTAGCAGCGAAAGGAGGCAGCAAAGGGCCACCGAAAACGAGTAACGAGAAGAAGGCGGATCAGATTGCGAATGGTGTGGAGGCTGTCAAGTTGGATGATACCCCGAGGGCGAGAAGTAAGAATCTAGATGTGTTGAGTGAGTTTGAGAAGGCAGAGAAGAAGAATGCGGCGAATTTTGTGGTTATTGGTAGGTTCATGCTTGGGTTTGCTGGGTTTATACTGATTGTGTAGGTCATGTCGATGCAGGAAAGAGTACTTTAATGGGACGGTTATTGTATGATCTCAAGGTCGTCGATCAGAGAACGATGGATCGTTACAAAAAAGAGGCGGAGAAGATGGGAAAGTCTTCGTTTGCTCTTGCTTGGGTACTTGATCAAGGCACGGAGGAACGAAGTCGAGGTGTCACAATTGACATCGCAACCAACAAGTTCGAAACCGACAAAACATCATTTACAATACTAGATGCGCCAGGTCATCGCGATTTCATCCCCAACATGATCGCCGGAGCAGCACAAGCTGATTTCGCTGTCCTCGTCGTTGACGCCAGCACTGGCTCCTTCGAATCAGGGCTCAAAGGCCAAACGAAAGAACACGCCCTCCTAGTCAGAAGTATGGGCGTTCAACGCATAATAATCGCTATTAACAAGCTTGACACCGTCTCTTGGTCTCAAGATCGCTTTCTGGAAATCCAAAACCAAGTCTCCGCCTTCCTAACAGCCGCTGGCTTTCAACCGAAAAACGTATCCTTCATCCCGTGTTCCGGTCTTCTCGGCGACAACATCGCCAAAAAGTCTACAGAGAAGGACCTTCTGTCATGGTACGACGGACCTACTCTCGTCGAAGAGCTCGAAAATTCGGAACCTATCACCAGAGCACTCACTAAGCCTCTACGCTTGACAATTGGCGATATCTTCCGCGGCGGCGTACAGAACCCCCTTTCAATAAGCGGCCGCATCGAAGCCGGCAGCTTACAAACAGGCGACGCACTTCTAGCTCAACCATCCTCCCAAAAATGTTTCATCAAAGCCCTCGAGCTCGACAACGAGACCGTAGACTGGGCTGTCGCAGGCCAGAACGTTACGGTCCACCTCTCAGGTATCGAAGAGCAGTATCTCAAAGTAGGGGATGTGCTGTGTTCGCCGAGCTCGCCTATCCAGAATATCAAGGAGTTTACGGCGAAGGTTCTGGCGTTTGAGTTTCTGACCCCCGGCAGTGTGGATGTGCATCGTGGGAGGATGCATGCTCCTGGACGAGTGGACAAGATTCTCGGGGTGTTGGATAAGGTTGGAGGGACGGCTGGTGGTGGTGGTGGTGGTGAGGGCGGAAAGGGAGATGGAGGAGGGAAGAAGAAGAAGGTTAGAATTGTGAAGCCGGGACAGGTTGCGAGGGTGAGGGTTATCTTTGAGGGTGGTGTTCAAGTACCGCTTGAGGCGGGGGCGAGAGTTGTGTTGAGGAGTGGGGGAGAGACTGTTGCTGCGGGGTTGTTGGAGTGAAGTGAGGATGTAATGAGGAGGGGTGAGGGGTGAGGAGGAGAATGTGAGGTTTGAGCTTATGGGTAGAGAGGGTGTGAATAACAGATTTGCATTTGCACGGGTTGAGTTGAGTTGAGAGATACCAATTGACAGATATATAGAAAGCATACAGAGCATAGACACGAATCGAAATGAAAGAAAAGCATGAACTTCCGAAACTTTATTCCTCTTTGCTTATTGGGTGTTTATAGATTCTGAGTAAATTATTCACTTCAAGCTTTCAGAAACCTGAGTCCATGACGGTATAGGTAGCCATGCTTTGGCGGAGCTATTGTTTCAAACTGTTGTTGTACAGTAAATAGCAGAATGATATACCACGATTTAAAGTATGCATAAATGAGAGATTCATGGTGTTTCCGAGATATGAGATGACAGGGTAGATGGGATGAAATAGAGTATACTTATTTTGGGTAACCCTAAGTATTTTTTGGAAGTGTCTCAGCCGTCTTGTTCAGATCCCCACCTTGCCTGGGCACTCACTGGACTCGCCACACACATGCGGGCTCTTGGCACTTTCGCATGCTGTACCTGCGCAGGGGAATGATGTCCTTTCCCGATGTTGCCACATGTCTTTTCAGCCTCGAGGCTCAAAACCTACCTACATACCTTAAGTCAGTGCCTGAGCTGGTCCCCCACCACAAGAGCCATACAGAGAAAGTCAAGGTGGTGAAAGGACAGTTCCAACCTAACATGGCATGTGAACTAGGGTTACAGGTTAAAGAACATGTATAGATACAGTGGCACATTCCATCACTTAAAGTAATACAATTCGATAAAGTGAACAATCCCTTAAATAAATGTGTCCTTCTCTCCCTTCCGCATAATCAATTCACCGTATGCGGTTTGCAGACCCTTGTCTCTCCAGCCGATCAGCGGTATTTGCTGGTGTGTCCTCAAGCTAAAGATCCTAAGCGAACCAATCACATCGCCCGCAGTTTTGGTAATGTGTCCAAAAGTCCCAGCTATCTGGCTTGATAAAGAACGTCCCTCTAATAAACTGTGCTCGTCCTCCCCCATTCTCTTCTCTTTTCCCCAAGACAAGAACAACTTTCCTCCTCTTCCTTCACGACATTCCACGAAGACGACAACAACATCTTCCTTACCTACAATACAATTGTAGAGGAAGACAAGACTTGCAGACGACAACTGCACTACCTGCTTTGGCCAGCAAGAGGCTGTCATTCATTTGATCGGCTTAGTTTCAATCCATTGACCTCCCTTTCTTTGAGAACCTCCTACTGGGGACGATAGTACGAATACACACATACACAATGGCGAGAAGCACACGCAGCTCGTTCTGGCTGGGCCTCTCGGCGCTCTTCTATTTGGGGCTCCTGTTTGCGCCGTTGGCGTTGGTGGGAAAGGTTAATGCCGAGGGCGAGCAGGATCCTTTACAAGAGAGCTATGGCACTGGTAAGTCTCTTTCTTGTCTCTCTTGAACTTCCTCGGGTGTCCCGAAGACTGCTGGAGCTTCAAATCCACCTGCGATTGGAATTCGAGTCTGGACCCGGTCGCAGGTGGCAATTGGACAGCTGTCCTCAATTCGAGTGGGGGGTTCCAATCCCAGATCCATTGAGCACCACATCTCTCTTCAACTTCATTCTGGCAGCAACGCAAGTGGAAGACATTGACTGATAATGTCCCTACAGTTATCGGTATCGATTTGGGCACCACCTACTCCTGTGTGGGTGTGATGCAAAAGGGAAAGGTCGAGATCCTCGTCAACGACCAGGGACACAGAATTACACCTTCATACGTGGCATTTACAGATGATGAGCGATTGGTCGGAGACGCAGCAAAGAACCAGGCTGCCGCAAACCCAAAGAGAACAGTCTTCGATGTTAAGTGAGTTTTTCTCCAGTGGATATGTGGTTCAAAATCGCAATGTGGCCTAGAGGCGCATCGCATTTCCAACCCTCTCCTCAAAGCCCTATTCTTTGTGCAATACTAACAGACATAGGCGTATGATCGGTCGCAAGTTTTCAGACAAGGATGTTCAAGGTGACATGAAGCATTTCCCATTCGATGTTGTCCAAAAGGATGGCAAGCCACACGTTAAGGTCGATGTTCAAGGTTCCCCCAAGACCTTCACCCCAGAAGAGATCTCGGCCATGATTCTTGGAAAGATGAAGGAAGTCGCCGAATCATACCTCGGACACAAGGTTACCCACGCCGTTGTTACCGTCCCCGCCTACTTCAACGACAACCAGAGACAAGCCACCAAGGATGCCGGTGTCATTGCCGGTTTGAACGTCCTCCGTATCGTCAACGAACCCACCGCCGCAGCTATCGCTTACGGCCTTGACAAGACTGAGGGAGAGCGACAAATCATTGTCTACGATCTCGGTGGAGGAACCTTCGATGTTTCCCTCCTCTCTATCGACCGTGGTGTTTTCGAGGTTCTTTCGACCGCTGGTGACACCCACTTGGGAGGAGAAGATTTCGATCAGAGAGTCATCAACTACTTCGCCAAGAAGTACAACAAGGATAACAACGTTGATATCACCAAGGACCTCAAGACCATGGGTAAGCTGAAGCGTGAGGCTGAGAAGGCCAAGCGTACTCTTTCTTCCCAGAAGACTACCCGCATCGAAATCGAGGCTTTCCACAACGGCAACGACTTCTCTGAGACTCTTACCCGCGCCAAGTTCGAGGAATTGAACATTGATCTCTTCCGCAAGACTCTCAAGCCAGTCGAGCAGGTTCTCAAGGACGCCAAGGTCAAGAAGAACGAGGTTGACGATATCGTATTGGTCGGTGGATCCACCCGTATCCCCAAGGTCGTTGAGCTCATCGAGGAGTACTTTGGAGGCAAGAAGGCCAGCAAGGGTATCAACCCTGACGAGGCTGTTGCTTTCGGTGCCGCCGTTCAAGGTGGTGTTCTGTCTGGTGAGGAGGGTACCGATGAGATCGTTCTTATGGACGTCAACCCATTGACTCTCGGTATCGAGACCACTGGAGGTGTCATGACCAAGCTCATTCCCCGTAACACCGTCATCCCAACCCGCAAGTCTCAGATCTTCTCTACCGCCGCCGATAACCAGCCAGTAGTCTTGATCCAGGTTTTCGAGGGAGAGCGAACTATGACCAAGGATAACAACCAACTCGGAAAGTTCGAGCTTACTGGTATCCCAGCCGCTCCTCGTGGTGTTCCCCAAATTGAAGTCAGCTTCGAGTAAGTTCTTTTCAACCAATGTTCTGAATATCACTAACAACATACAGGCTTGACGCCAACGGAATCCTCAAGGTCTCCGCTTCCGATAAGGGAACGGGCAAGTCTGAGTCCATCACTATCACCAACGACAAGGGACGTCTCACTCAAGAGGAGATTGACCGCATGGTTCAAGAGGCCGAGAAGTACGCCGATGAGGACAAGGCTACCAAGGAGCGCATCGAGGCCCGTAACGGACTTGAGAACTACGCTTTCAGCTTGAAGAACCAGGCCAATGATGAGGAGGGTCTCGGTGGCAAGATTGATGAGGATGACAAGGAAACTGTAAGCACTTTCCCCACCACATCCCAAATATGAGTCCCTACTAACACATCCCCAGCTTCTGGAAGCCGTCAAGGAAACCACCGACTGGCTAGAGGAGAACGGCGCCACCGCCAACGCCGAGGACTTCGAGGAGCAAAAGGAGAAACTGTCAAACATTGCCTACCCCATCACCAGCAAGTTGTATGCTGGAGCCGGTGGCCCAGAGGGCGGCGATGATGAGCCAAGTTCCCACGATGAGTTGTAGTTTTGGTTGTGTAGATTAGGAAAAAGGAAAGGAAAGTTAGATAGATCTTTTTTTTCTCTGCTTCGAGGTTGCGGCGCGGCTGCTGCTACTTGGTTGACTGCGTGCGTTGCGTGGCGCGTGTACTTTACCTGGGTGGCGCGCGTTCGTAAATGCATGTTGCGGTACAAAATACAAGACACATGCAATGCAATGCAATATTAAAAGTTAGTAGTTAAGAAGTTTTGATGTTGGGATATTTCTTTGTGACTTGATTAGTTGTACCGCGCACCGATCTAGGTAAGTGAGGTTAGTGACCTGCCTGACTTTATCTACTTGTTTATGTTTGGATCCAACTAGGAGAGAGAGTAGGTGGTCAAGCAAAGTTTGATTTGGGATGGGGTGGAGAAGGAGGTGATTGATGGTTGTTTTGTCTCTTTTTTTCTTCTCCTTCTTTCTTGTTATCTTTTTTGCTTGTGGTTGTGGTTGTACAATTAAGTGCTTGCCGCTATCCCACACGTTGTTTGTTGTATATTTTTTTTCGTGTGCGAAGGTCACTCTCCTTTTCTGTGAGGGGGGATATATCCGTCTCCGTACCGTATCTGTATCTCGCACCAAACACCAAACACCTCGAGTAAATCCTGAACTCCCACACAACCAGGTACGGGTGCAAGTCCTAGAGAGTTAGAGTTAGAAGTCAGGAGAGCTTACTCCACTCGACATAAGATTACATGTAACAGAACAAGAAAGTTTTATTTATTCATTCATTCATTCATTTGACAGTTCTGATGCTGATTCTGCCGCTCGTCGCTCGCTTAAGAAGGGGGGTCAGAGGTGGTGGGTGAGGAGGTGAGCTAGTAGGATAGGATAGGATATGGCCTGATTGGAGGAGATTTGAGATTTCTCAATTTCTTTTCTCTCCCTCTCCTTCTCTCTTTCTTCTTCGAGGAGTGCTGGTTTGAGGTAGGTGCGAAGTGGGGAATGGGAATGGGGATGGGAATGGGATTGGGGATGGGGATATAAGATAATTGGAGTGGAGCGCTTCTTTTGGAGCGGAGTGCTTGTATTGGAAGTGAGAGGGGGAGGGGACGGAGACGGGGACGAGGGGTGGACTTGTTAGTGAATGTTCTGTGGTATGTGGAGAGGGATGGTACGGGTGAGGTGAGGTAGGTGACTTTGCTTCGAAGCTTGGCTCTGGATGGGGAAGGGGGTACGGGTATAAATACCTCACTACTCTCCCAGCTCTTGAAGCTCATCATAGTTTTCTAGCAACACTTGAGCCTATCTTTCATGGAGCTTGGATTTGTGGTCCTGCTTGCATAGCTTGTGAGGAAGTCGGGTATCTGAGATGCTATCTTGGTGTCGTAGGGAACTTGTGGTTTGGCATTGCTATATTGACTTTTTTTTGATGACGGGGTTAAATTCACTTCAAACGTCAAGTGAATTTTGTCTTTTCTGCGTATCCTCTGACATATGAGAGCCAGAGGATAATTAGCTGGATAGTCTGTTCTTCCCGTAAAAATGAATCATCTCAAGAAGACCAGGAGAGTGCCTTCGTTTATCACAAAGTACAGTTCCTAATCAAATGATAAGCATTGCGTTCACTCTATTTAAGTGGACTTTCTCTCAAACGAAGGTTAGTTACGTACACTCTGCCGATCGTCTTTGGTTTCAAGACCTCAAGTCTAAGTTTGCAGTAGAATCTGGAAGGCAAAAGACGAATTCGAGGAAGACAAGAAATGATGGTTCATGATGCTTAAACTGTATTTGTAGATACGCTTTTCAAAGTTTCAAGAATAGTTTTTTTTTGTAAAGGGAGGTAATGTTGTCAAGTGCGGTTTTGCTGTCGTTGTTTGAGAGGTGCTGGTTGTTGTCATCTCGCTAGATTCGCTTCAGGTGGTCAGCCTGACCAGAAGTGAGGACTAAGATTTGGAAGAATATTTGAGAAGCCAACAGGCAATTTTACAGATTTGGGTGAGTATTTTGAGAATAATTAGGGCAGTATCCGTTTTCATCGTGCGGCGACGCCGTTTCCTACTCATCATGGAGGCTCTCGACTTGGTCTTGTGGCCTCTCTGCTCGCATAGTGATGATCAGAGGGAGGTATTTATACTTTTATTCCAACTTTCCGCTTTAGTTGCTTGCTTAGCGGATGGGATTGTGAGACGCGGTTTTATTCACCTTCTCTCCTCACCTTTTTTCGCTTTCGCCACTTCCACATTAAGTGTTGAAATATTTCTTCTCTTCACCTCTCGCTCCCTACCAGAGCATGAATAAATAACACACCCGCACCCATGCGAATCTTTTCTAGCTTCTCCTCGCTAATATCACAACATCCCCTCACCCTCCACACAGAACCTAGCACTGCAATTTCTATACCTATTAGGGTGAATTAGCACTAAGATTCAGATGTGTGTACATTTCACAAAAGCTACATATTCGGGAAGTCTTGATAAGGGAGCTTTGTGACTTTAGAAAATGCTGTACATCCTTGTAACGATACGCTGAAGACTGAGGTAGAGCTTACAATAACCCAAGTCATCAGGGGAAAAGACGACGGTATTCGTACCAAGGTGAATGAGTAGGCTCTTCTAAGTGTTATTTCAGTCCTGACTCCTGATAGCAAACAGGTTCTCCATCTTCGGAAGCAGCAAAAGGTACGTGATACAGATACAAGTTTCTGACGTTCTAGGGGTTCCGGTACTTCTTTTCGTTTTCTTGTAGGCTTTCTAACTCAAATAACATGATTCTATTTGTTGCTCATCCTTGATCTGCACTGATGATTCTATTACATGCTTTACCTGATTGAAGAATTCCCAGTCTTATTGCTCCCCTGTTTGACAAGCGCTTTCGACAAAATTGTATCATTCAAGATGTTCGAATGTCGAAGTTCATCACACGATATAACGAACAATCTTCATGATATCATGGCTCATCTGCTTCCTCGAAATACATGTTCCGCGATCAAAATCTAGTCTTTGTCTATCAACAGGTCCTTCCGTACGAGTATAATCAAGAACAAACCCTCTCAAAATTTCCCTTTAAGAACCACACCATGGGCTGGATCGACCCCTGTCGTTGAAACAAGATCGCCATGAAGATTCCAACCCGCTCCTCTCTGCCTCTGGAAGAACCTTTCCGGATCATGCTTCTTACTCACCGATTTCAAGAACGCCTTTGCTCCAGCTCCATAGCTAGTATAAACATCTTGGTACGGGTTGGCATAATTCAGGTAGATGTAGCTATGATACAGCCCCAGCCGCTCAGCCTCCTCCTTCGTCCTATCAGCCGTAGCTCGCAGCGCCTCCCATATGTGAGGGCTCTGCTCGCGATCCATCCAGTACGTCTCACACAGGTACAAGAGGAACGGTCCCTTCCCAGCGAGACCGAGCGCGTTGCCGCCCCTCCGACTCATAGCATCGATGATATTCTGCATCACGAAGTTGATGTCTGCTAGGGCGGCGCGATCTATGCCTTCGATGTGGAGGAGAGGTTGGATCTCGTCGCGCCAGGTTTCCATGAAGATCTTGATGAGTCGCTTGTCGACTTGTGTGCAGAATGTCCAGTAGCCGTTGGAAGATCCGGGGAAGTAGTGGCTGGCGATGCTATCGGTCCGCTCCATCTGGCTGGTGGGACCTGCGCCAATGGAGAGTGCTGGGATGTCGAGGAATTTCCGTAGGGGCTAGTGCGGAGGCGGTTCTGAGGCATCGAGGTGCTCGATGTCTGCGTGCCAGACCCATTGACCCTCGTAGTTGATCAGCCCGAGAATGACAGAGGCGTCTACATTGTTGACGTTGTCCTCTCCATAGGCTAGGAAGGCATCGATCAGTGCGTCGCCGTGTTGCCAATCGTAGTTGATACCACCACCCCACATACCATGGTAGGAATGGACGCTCAGCGCCAGCTCTGTGACGATTCCGAAATTGGCACCACCACCTCTAAGGGCTTTGAAAAGCTCGGGATAGCTGGCTTCATTCGCGCGGACGATCGTTCCATTAGCGAGCACGACCTCGAAAGATTCCATGTTGTCTAATGCCCATCCATGGCGGTTTGAGAAGAAAGATATACCGCCTGAGCTGTGATTAGCAAAACATATTGAATCACTTTGAAAGGACCTCATCTCATACCAGAAATCACAAACCCTCCCACGCCAACCGTCGAGGCTCTCCACCCAACGACCGTCAACCCCTGTGAATCCAAGTTCGGAAAGACATCTCCCCAACTATTCCCCGGCCCAACGTTACAAAGCGTCCTATCGTCCGAAAGCTGTACTTTGTCCAGCCGCTTCAGATCGATCAGCACCCCTTGAGAAATCGACGACTCCCCTTCACACCGTCCATGGCCTCCGCTCTTGATCGCAAATGGACACCCTGTTTTCCGTAGGATGCGCACGATCTTGGATACCTCTATGGCGCTGGTGGGTTGACAGATGCAGTAGGGAGTGCATTGAGCTTGGTCTTGAGCCCAGAAGGACTTTCTTGCTTCTTAGTATTGTGGCGTGCCGCGCAGGAGGGTGCGCTGAGGCGAGGCGGCGAGAAGAAGATCCATCTTGCGTGAGGAGACAATTATTAGCTGTGTGTGATTCTATATCTATCCGTACGATAATTATAAGCATAAACGTACAGTGTTTCTGCCTTCAGGGGAACCGATCCCATTGCTCTGATGATGATGATGAATCTGATAATGATGCTGCTGCTGCAAATGCAGGCTGGTCGCCGCCATATTGTTGAATGTTTCTTGATTGCAATAATATCCTGATCACAAACTTAACTTGGTTCGATGAGCTGCAGCTCGCAAGATTGCTAGATAGACCAATGTCAACGTATAGTCCAGTGAAATGGTAGGACTAGGTCCAGTACCCCCCTGTCCTAACCACAAACTTTACAGCGGCTCAATTTATTAATTAGACTTGAAACGGAAGGATTTCGAGATGTTTTAAAAAGGGAACATGGGATAACGTGATGTGACTTTGGTATATTTACCTACAGAGTAAGGGTGGGTGAGGAGAACTACCTACCTTAGGTACCTTTGATATCGTAAAAGCAGCTGCTACTCAGAGCTAGTGATGATTTAACGTTGGGACAGGGATGTGGCTGGAATGGGGTCCTAGGGTCCTGGGGTCCCGAGGGTGGAGGACGGGGAACGGGAGGGCGCCTAGATTGCAGGGGTAGCGCCTCAACTCCATGATGCTAGTAAATTACAGTAACTTCGTAAGTTGCCCGCCGCCCACCCCCTTTGCTATGCCAACAAAACCTAATTACCGTGGTGCGAAATACAAAGCTGCAGGTGGGCGATTCACGAATACCAAAAGCCTCGAGAAGTCTTGGTGTCAGCGACTCAGCATTCTCGAAGACTAGCATCCATCTCTTGGGCCTAGAATCTCCGCAGTGGTGGCAGGGGCCTAGATGTCAACTTGGCCGCGGTTTTGCGGGGCCGCATGCGTAGGTACCTACACAGCATGCATGGCGCTTAGATGCAGTACGTTTACTTACTACAGTACCTAAGTAGAATACACTGACAGCTCGTGGCCGTAGCGCAGTAGTGTCACTACTCAGGAAGGTGGACGTTCTGTAACCTCCACCATTGCCTGGGCGGCAAGATAGATAGACAGGGATAGGAGGGCATCCCTGCGCTGCTCTTAAGGTACTGTACCTACCCTCGCACACCTGTCCCCTTGACTGCCAGAAACCCACTTTTACAGGGCCGAGAGGGCACAGAACTACAGTAAATCGAGGCGCTAAGATTCTGGAGATGGCCTGTACTACAGGGCTAGTCTACTGACTTGCCGGCCGCCCTGTACAAAAGTGTGTCTTCCGCATGGCAGTTAGGAGGATAGTAAGGTACACCCCGTCTGTTTCCATCGGGCTACCTTATGTGCGGCGAAGTGCCGTGAATCTTCCGCTGCAATTAACTTAGCTATTTGATTTAAGCACCACATGCCCCGATAATATCGTGTTTCGACCATATCCCAAACAGACTTCTTGTCAATAACCACGGGGCAGTGAGTGGTTTTGTCCTCTCTCACGGCCTGACAACACAACCACAAAACAGAATACATTTTCGAAATTTCGAAGATCTGTCGCTCATTTTGTGTTCTATGTTCCCGAAAAGATGAAGGAAATTGGAATTGATACAGCGGGAGGCTTGGTGCAGCTGGGAAATTTCTACAGACATCGACGACTCCCACAAGCAAGGCTGTAAGGGTTCTTCCATGTTACTTATTCTCGACGCCAGTCTTGCAGAACAGACTGACACAAGTACTTAGCGCGATGCCGTCGCTGCACTCTATCCTACTCAAGTTCTGACAGCGGCGTTCCCTGCCTTCGCCGAAGCTCAGGGCTCGTTCTGGAATACCAGACAACAAGAGAAAACTCCAGCGTGTTTTTTCCAGCCTGAAACTCCTGCACAGGTACAAGCCGCTATCGTGGAAGTAGCACGGGCGCGATGCCCATTTGCAATCGAAGGCGGTGGGCATTCTTCGAACTCGAACGGTTCCAGTAAAAGAAATGGATTCCAGTTTGATCTGGGTAAGATTGATCACATCACGATGGCAGAGGATCTTCAGTCTGTGGCGGTTGGTCCTGGGGTGCGCTGGGGGCCTTTATTTGTGGAGCTGGAGAAACATGGGAGGACTGCTGTGGGTGGACGGGACTTTGGGGTTGGTGTACCTGGGTTTATCTTTGGTGGTACGTTGGACTACTCTTCTTCTTATCTTCCCTCAAAAAGCAGCGCAGTATTGACCATTTTTTTCTTTCCATGCAGGAGGTAACTCTTACTAGGCTAATCAGCACGGCTGGGGTATTGACAATTTGCTATCTGTCGATATAGTATTGGCAAGCGGCGAGCTCATCACTGCTGACCGTGTCTCACATCCCGATCTCTTCAAGGCTTTACGGGGCGGTGCTCACAATTTCGGTATTGTCACGAACCTTGTTCTAAATATATTTCCATACACAGGAATGTGGGGGGTTATAACGCGGTGCATTCAGACCACTTCGACGCCTTGTTCGAGGCTTACGACCAGTACACGCGCGAACTAGTTGACGACGGCAAAGTGCACATGATAGTCGACTTCTTTCGCAGGGACGGCATTTTGTCCGCTGTTCAGTTCATGGGGTACCCAGAGCCACAAGCAGACCCGCCAATATACGACAGGATCCGACAGTTGCCCAGCATAGGCAACACCCTCCGTCTTGCAGACTACAGCAATTTAGCGCTGGAAATGGCAGAGATGACGAATACTCGCAACAGGCGGAACGCGTACTGGACGCTTACCATGGAGTACGATATCCTTCTCTTGAGATCCGCTCTCGATCTCTGGGTGCAGACCACCGAGCCGCACTCCTCCAGATTCCAAACCGCGTTCGACGTCAATCACATCACCCCCGCGATGCGGAACAGAGCTTCGCGTGAGGAAGGGCTGGGAGATCTATATGGGCTGGAAGGGCCCGACATACCGCTGACACTCATACTTCTCACCGGGACGTGGGACAAGGAGAGTGACGACGAGGAAGTCACGGGGATTCTGAGAGGGTTGGGAAATAGTATTGAGGATCTTGCGAGGCAGTGCGGGAAAGGCTGTGGGTTCAAGTAAATGAATTATGCGAATCAGGAGCAGGATGTGATTGCTTCTTTTGGGGAGAGTACCAGGGAGTTCTTCCGAGATGTTGCCGCGAAGTACGATCCGGAGCAGATCTTTCAGAAGTTGCAGCCGGTGCGTGGAAGCTGGATAGGGTAAAGTAGATTGTATATACTTCAATGTAACTTCGCCTTTGGGGGGCGACAAGAACAAGTTTCTCCGAATTGCGGGTAGAACTCGTATGTCCACTCAGCTTGTTGCTGTTGTGGACGTTCACGTCCGAAAGAAAAGGCCCGGAAGGCTCACGTGACAAGATAGTCCCCGATCCTTGTAAATCACGATGTGCGCTCTGAAGTACGCAAAGACGCATAGCAAGACCAGAGCGACGCTGGTGTTTGAACATCAGATATCCCTAGATCTTAGCATTAACTACCCAAAGAAAATATTCATATCAAGATCCTTGTTTACTTTCGCCAGTCCATCCAAACCATAAACATCATCCGCACTATTCCAGATCCACTGCAGCATCTCTATAGCCTTTCCTACGAGCGGAGTACCACGAGGACAGAGTTTCAGGATGTTTTTCTGCTGCTCCACTGTCGCCGCAGTTTGGATCGTCTATGTGCGTCCAGATGTCCTTGAAGGCTTCGGGGTCGATGACGCAGAAGATCACGATCTGGCTTGCGGCGATGCAGTCCCTTGGTGAGGTGGCTACTTTTGCGCCTTGGGAGAGGAGCTGCGAGGTGCGGTTGGGGGGTCCGGTTCCAGAGGGTGGGTTGGATCCCGTTCTGGAGGAGGCAGCGGGCGAGGGATGTGCCCATTACGCCGAGTCCGAGGAGGGAGATTGATATTTGCTCCGACTCTGACTCTGACTTGGACATTGTGTTGGGAGCTGGAAGGGCGATATACTGGCCGAAATCGTATTATGATATCGAGATGTTATGTCGAAGAGGGTTTGAGTACGGTGCTCGCTGCTTTTAAAACTGCCGTGAACCCCAATCATATAACGCGATATGAGTGCTTCTCGGTCGGAAGTTCTACATCCTGTTGGAACTGGTTAATGAATCGGAGAACACTGTGAGAGTCTGTATGTTTTGTTGCCAAACTAGCGTTCTCTCTGGATTGCAGCGCGGACAGAGAACCGCAAGCCCGGCTAAGATATTACTTACAAGGGGTAAATAAACAAAGGAATGCTAAGGTGGTAATGAGTGGGGCTCTCGCTGCCCCTGTCTCCGATCCCCTGGATGAGGAACGATAACCCATCTACCTATCAATTAAATAGATACTTGTTTATTGAGATGATTCTGGATTGGGAATTAATGGTGTGATTTGAGGTGCGCGAATTGGAGTTGAGTCAGTCAAGTCAAGTCATCAAGGAGCGCATGAGAATGACAACCTTACCTACATACTATGTATGCCCAGCACAGTACAGCACGAAGGTCAGTAGCGTGCTGCACAGCGCCTAGATTACATACCTGGGCAGTTCACGGCACGCACGCACTCACTCCACAGACGCCAGATGTGCAGTAGCAGATCCGGGTTCCAAGGCCAACCGCACAGTGCAGGAGAAGCGTCCTTGTCAAGGCCAGTGGAGAGTAGAGTAGAGCACCTACCTAAATCTACCTTAGGTAAGCTGAAGCAACTTCAGCCGGCGCTTAGATTACTCATGGAATAGGACCAGCGCTTAGATTGATGATAGAACAGCACAAGAGTCGTGTATACGGATCGTTGACCACCTACCCCGCATTATTCAGGGGACCTTGGACAAGAGACAGGGGACAGGGGACATATCCAGACAAGTGACAAGGGACGGGAAACCAAGAAACCGGGAACACCATCAACTTGTTAGCCACGACGATAGGTACCTAATGCAATGCCCACGAGACTGCTAGCACCCGGACCACATTATGGCACTGTCATGCCTGTATTCTCTTTTGCTCTGTAAATTACCCACCTACGCACGGAATAGTGGCGCTGCTGGTGGCAAACTCCCTTGCTGTCGCCGCACGCGGGGTCTTGGGTCTAGACGTCTCTAGTGTGCTATGAGCATTCCTGCCGTATCTACCAAGTCTCGATCGGCCCTCCGCTGCATTCAATCTAAGCGCCGTATTATCAGTCCCAGGCCCAGTCCCAGTCCCACTCCCGTTGATAAGTTATCAGCCCCGTCTGGGGAAACTGGGGAGCGCCAAGTCGCGGTCAGGTATCACGGGTTGCTCGATGCATGCTTGTATATCAAAGTGTTAAAGCATCTGTTCAGCAACTTCATATCAGGACAGCTCTCACCTCACCAACCTATCTCTCACCAGACTTCTCTCTCCTGATCGTCAACTATCATACTGCCAAATTATCACACGATGGACCATCATTCCAAGATGGACTCCAAGTATGTTTCTGGGACGGAGAGTACCTCCGACAACAACAAGAACGGCGATCACCACTTGACCAACATCGAGTCGGTCGCCAATGGACAGCTCGTACCTAAGGTGCATTTCAATCTGTTTGCAGCGATCGGCGTCTAGTACTCCTTGACCTCCGCGCCCATTGCCATCGGATTCTATCTATCCCTCGTGATCGGACTGGGTGGTTCGCCAGCTTACTTCTGGGGCTTCATCTTGAGAGGCGTCTTTCAACTCTTCGTCTGTCTGGCTGTATGTGAAATAGCATCTGCCATGCCACATTCCTCAGGTTCGTTGATTCTTTGCGTTCTGTTCTGTTCTGTGTTACAGTAGGCTGATGATGCATACCAACGCAGGCCCTGCGCACTGGATAAAGCCCTTGCCACCCCTCGCTATGCGGGGATCATTGGATATTGTACAGGCTGGTTGACCACTGCCGGATGGTTCTTCATCTGTACTTCCGCCATCCTGTATCCTGCACAGATCATCATGGCTTCGATCGAAGCTACCCACCCCAATCGGCACCGTCTTCCTGATCCTTAATCTCCCGCGCATCTTCAAAGTGATGCCTCCTTTACTGATGGGAGTCGTTATCCTCATCAATGTAACCGCCCTGTTCCTGTTCGTCAGCCTTCTGGTACGTGCTTCTCCGAAGCAGGATCCGCACTCCGTCTTTATCGAGTTTGTCAACGCGTCTGGCTTGCCGGACGAAGCCACCTTTTTCATTGCGCTGCTACCGGCCTTTTCCTGCCTGGGTGGCTTCGACAACGCAACTCACTTGACGGACGAACTAGAAAACCCCACCAAGCAAGTCCCCCAAGTAATCCTCGGATCATTCCTCATGAGCTTCTTCACCACTATCCCGATGATCCTGGTCTACGAGTTCTGCAATGTCGACCCGGAGAGTTTACTTGCACCAATCGGCGAACAGCCGTATCTCCAGCTCCTGCTGAATGCATACCGCTCGGAAGCCTTGGCGATTGTCGGAACGGTCCTCATCATCGTCTGTATCGGTGTCGCAGGCTGCTCCTGCCTCATCAGCGCCTCGCGCCTCGCGCCTCGCGCCTCTACTGGTCTTTTAGCCGCGAGAAGGCTCTACCTCTACACGGCATCATGTCAAAGCTCTCATCCAAGGACAGTCTCCCCGTACACGCCCTGCTGTGGATCAGCTTCCTCTCGCTCTGCTTGGGAGCTATCAGCATTGGCTCGTTGACAGCTATGAACGCTCTCCTGGGCGCGGCAATTGTCTGTATCCTTTCTTCGCTCATTACTACTTTCGCTTTGGCACTGTACCAGGGGAGGAAGACTTTTAATCCTGATAGGTGGTTCAAGTTGGGTGGGTGGTGGGGAGACGCCATTTTCGGCGTGGCGCTGCTGTGGTCGCTTTTTATGGGTGTCATGCTTACGTTCCCGCTCTACCTGCCTGTTACGGCTATCTATATGAATTGGACTTCTGTTGTGTTTGCGGGTATTATAGTCATATCTGCTATCTACTGGGTTTTGGTCTTTAGGCATGAATCTTTGAACCATGACCATAGCGAACATGGAGCAGAAGATATGGTGCGACATGAATGAGGCGTAGGGAAGGATGTGTCTGTCGTTTATATGTATTCCATGGTGTTGTTAGTGGTATGCCATCTAGGTAATTGAGTCAGGTAGGCGCCGGTGTCTTACGACCTGAGATGGGGTTATCTGTTGACATACCTTTGGGCCTTGCAGGAGGAGGAGGAGGAGATGTTCCCACTCTTTTGTATGATTGAATCTAATCAACCTGAATCCAGTTATCGCGATTCTGTTTGTAAAATTGTAATCAGAACCACCTTATTGATATCAGTTTCCTATTCCTGTTCAGCAAGTTTTGAATCATGGATTGTTGGGTGTTGCTGTCAATCCTATCCTATCCCCTCAACTGCCGTATCAAACACACCTGTAGCGAGACCCTGTAATTAAGGTAAGCGAAGAACGCTGAAATTCGTAGTCGTCCAGGCAGCATTAGCGCCTCGCTTCAGCGCCGTGCCCTGGAAAAGTGTGTTTTCGGCAGTTGAGGGGATAGCCGAACCCTAGGCCTAGGGAAACAGAGATTTCCCTGAATGATCTTTTTCAGTAGATTCCCTTGATTTCTAAAGGAAGGGTATTCAATGGCTCGAGCTAAGATCTAGATCTAGATCCTGTTTGTGAGGTGAGCAAGAGGAAATAGAAGTATGTGGTCACATCTACGATCTCGGGCGTACTTCACTCCTTCCTCACTTTATCTACGTACTGTAATCTTACATCTAGTATTCTATCCTTTCAACTGCTGTACTCAACACACTTTTCATAAGGAGTGCATAGCCTATAGCAAGACCCTGTAATTAAGCGAACAACACTGAAACTTGAATACTGCGTTCCATTGTTATCCAGGCAGTCTTAGCGCCTCGCTTCAGCGCTGTACCATGGAAAAGCGTGTTTTCGGTACCTAGTCGAGGGGATATCGTACACATGGAACTCGATGCTGTGTTCAATATGAGAAAACTTGGGCCGTCCGATATATGTGTGAAAACTTTCCGGTTTATTCTCATTCTGGGTATGCTATGGGATACTTGAGAGTCTTTGTTGTGTTTGGGTAAGAGAAGGACAAGAAATTCACGCTGTCCTCTTCTCTTGGGATCTATCCTCCTCCGCGTGTACGATCTCATTATCGTATCAGCAAGACGATACTTGTGGCAATGGTACTTTGTGGAGATTTTATCTCGTATCAGCTTCTGGCATAGTTAACCGAAAGCCGCTGAGGCGCCACGCTCAATAGTTTTCACGGTTTGATAATGAAAGTTCTGGCAAGGACATGAGGTCATGGAATGTGCAACGCGTGCTTCATTAGTCGTATGGTTTTTCTCGCCTTGACCACATATGACATGTGTATCATCAGCGCTCAACAATTCTAATCAATAGATCAAACGCATCCCAATTATCTCCGACCGCTTCCAAGGTGATGTTTCCTGCCAGCCTCAAAGCCTCTTGCCGAGTCTTTGTGGCGGTAGCTTCATTTTCGGGGAGTCTGCTTTGTGCACGAGACAAAGCCCACAGGTGACGTGCACGGTATCCGCGAGGCGTCACTTGTATGCCGTCAATAGCTATGGCTTTTTCGAAGAATACGCTGAGGAGATCAGCAGAGATTCCAAATATCAGACCGTGTTGTGATTTGTGATTGTCGACTTACATGCTCTCTGGTATTCTTCCTTGATCTAATCTCACACGTCCTCCGAAGTAGTTGTACATGCCCCCAAGCTGTAGATTACGTCCATTCCCGAAGTTTTCAATTGCTTTGTTGGCGAGGACTAGATGTTCCTCTGCAAGTGTGAGATTTTTGGAGCGTAGTCCCAGCGATATGAATGCAAAGTGAATGCTGTTAGGCGTTAGCATCAGCTCTCTCTGTCTTCTGTTTCTGGCTGAGATATTCATACATTGCCTGCCAATATAGGCTTTGCAAATCGCGCGATTGTTGGAGAATGAGCGTGAGCCTCTCCTCAGCATCCTGGTACTGTTCACTACAGTAAGAATTTCGAGCCATGTTGGCGTTCAACAGCAGGCCCTTCGCAACACCATATCGTTTTGGGTCATTATTGAAGGTGTCCAGTGCCTGGCCGATGTAATTGGCGCCGCGAACATAGTGTCCTGCGCTACCAAGTGCGATACCATAGTCGCTGCTGTATTGAACAACGCGTTCATTATCCGTCGAGAGGTGTTCGAGGGCAATGTTTAGAGCCTCAAGAGCTTTCCGGGTTCCGTTCTGGAATTCCCCATTCCAAAGATCTTGGTCGCTGCCCCTGGCAAGGATGTAGGCATGGATAAGCGGCGCGTCTGTTTTGAACTCCCATTTGTCCCATGCGGTGTATGCCACGTCCAGCACAAAATCTCTGCTGCCTGCGCTATCGTTTGTAGCAAGGTACCTATCATGTATACATCAGTGATGTTCCTTTTCCTCGTCCCCCGGACACATCTATGCGGCTTTCACTGACCATAAAGTGTCACAGATGAGGTTCAGAAGGTTCAGAGATGGCTTCAGAACTTCTTGTTCCTTCTGAGAGTCACAATACCTCCCTAAAGCTGCAAGGACCTGGGATAGGTACCGCTCAGCTTGCTTCCAATGTCGCTCGTCCACTAGACTTTCCCCTCGGTCAGGAAATTTGTCTAGAAGCAGGAGAATCGTCGCATCAAACGCTTCTTGGCGATTATCCGCCGCCATGTGGAAGAGAAACTCGGATTGTACAAGTCTGTGGACTGAGATTTCATTGGTGTCGGGAAGGATTCTGATCAAAGCTAGTTCTGCTAAAAGCTCAAAGATTTCGCCCCTGCTGTCACAAAATGTTAATTAACTTGAGCATATGTAGACACCAGTGCACTTACAGATACTCATCTTCGCAGAACTTGAGCGCTGGATGTGTTCGACTTGTCTCAGAGCCCTCGAATAGCTCTTGTGGGATCGAGTCTGGCATCAAGAATGACACGATGCTTAGACAATGTTGGGCATCAGTATCACCTCTGAGACTGTTGAATGACAACTCCCACACCGTGTCTACAGCAAGTTCGTAGCCAGGATACTTCCATCCGCTACTGCGTTCACGGTGCATCTTCTTCGGGTGCTTGTCGTACATGATGAGGAATTCCTCGAGTGAGATACCCTTGGCATGAATAAGAGCAGACATCTGGCTGATCGCGAGAGCATGTCCAGACAATTTTTCGGAAATCCTTTGTGCGTTGACAAAGTCGGGACTTGGCTCCAAGATGTTACTTCCTGGAAGGTTGTCAATCAAAAACCGTGCACCGGTGTCGCGAGGGAATTCGTGCACTTCGATGCTTTTGCCGATGGGTTGAGCTATGAGGCTGAGGTTTCTTGTTGTGATCACGATTGAGCCGTGATTCGATACTGGCCAGTATGACTCGAACACTAGAGGACTTTCAACGTTGTCGTAGATGAGCAGCCACTTTGAGTCTGATTATATCACGGCGGGTCAGCGAATCAGTCACGCATGTAAAGGGATTGTACCAAACCAGGTAAGGGAGCAGAGAGGACTGTGCAGGTACCTGTTGTCTTTAGCCATTCCATGACGAGCACGGCATTTTGATTGTGCGAAGTTGGATCCGCATTTGGTAGCTTCAGTGTCTTTGTTGCAATGCTGCTCAGCGCTTGTATTATTGCAATCTGACTCTCGGCCGGTACCCAAAGCACGACATCCAGCTCAGGTTGTTTCTTCCATGCGTATTCCAAGGCAATCTGGCTTTTCCCAACACCACCAAGTCCATAAAGTGCCAGCGAAGACATGCCGGAAAGTGCCTCGTGAGAACTGAAGTACTCACTCATCTGTTGTAGAGTCTCATGGCGGCCGAAGAATCGCAAGTTTCGAGCCACGAGGATATTGTGACATGGTAAACTTGCTGGGGAAGTCTGTCCCTCCAAGGATAACGTACTGACGTACTTCGAAATGTCGACCATTTTCGATTGCCTGCCAATGATCGGGGTCATATCTTGAACGTTAGGAATAATGCCGTCACCGTTTTTCCCCTGTAGTTGAAGGTATTGTCGAGCTTGTTGGGTCATCGATTCTAATGTGACTGTATCTTTGTCTGCTTGTTAATCATTGGTCGATGGACAGTGAATACGAGGGGAAATTCACCTAAAGTCTCGGTGCGGAGAATCATGATGGCGTTGAACCACAACGTGAATATCTCTCGATTGATCTCGAAGACTGGAGCCTTAAGCTTGCTTGTGTCCGAGACGGTGGAGAGTATATCATTCACCGTTGCGAATTTGCAGCTTATTTCTCTCCATATTCGGTGAGTACGATCGGCTGTGTGCTGAGATTCTAAAGATAATTAAGAATATTAGAAGCTGAGATCTTCCAGAGAAGGACGAGACATTGCTCACCCTGACAACAAGGAACAGAAGACCCCACATCATGGACATATCCACGGAGTGCGCCATCATCAAGACAAACGAGCCGGCAAAAGTATCATACTGCTCTATTGCTTGGAACAACATCAATATGATTTCTTTGGAATTCTTGTCAGGAAACTCAACGAGGAGCTGTCGAAGAGCCTCCCGGAAGTCATCGGCAGATTTCACGGTCAGCGTTCTTGCCTGATCCTTCTTCTCAAGCTTTAACTTGCATTGGGCCAGAGCAGCCTCCCAAGAATCCAGATAGAATCAATCGCTTCACTCTTCAGTACTAAAGCTGGTGGGCGGGGTTCTCTCATGAACTCACTAGGTCTCACCCAAAGTGCTCTCTCTTGTGATCTCTGTCGTTTGAGCCAGAGCGACTGTAGTTGCCGCCGCCGTCAGGGAAGCTGATTCGGTCGTGGTATCCATGGTTGACAAATTTAGGAGTGAAGAGACGATTTCTTTTGTCCAGAGTTGAGGACAATGAACATCGTTTTTCGCATCAGGAGATGGTTGTCTTGCAAAGTTATGGAACGCTACTCAGTATGCTAATGGCTGATATTGTACGGTGTGTTAGAGCTGATCCGCGGGGTGGCCGAGTTTCACAAAGTTGGCCCACCTCCATCTCAATATCCTGTTAACGCCTCGACGATATTAGACAGTCACATACCTGCATTCACTACAGAGACGTACCACAGGCTACACTTGCTTGTTGACTCCATATTTTGAATTCTCTATTCACGCTTGTCGCATTAGCTACCAAGTTTTCCATGAATCAGTCTAACAAACAAATCCTCCTGACGGGATCCAGGTTTAAGCCATATATCTTGCAAGTCATGCGGCTGCTGAATTTCCTCCTTCATGAAATAATATCTACCAAGCTGACTCTGTGAACTCGACTTGATAACCGCTCCCAACCCGCTTCGAGATCGGTAACAGGCAAAAGTTTTAAGACGAACAACAAAAGGGCTGACAATAAAACCAACCGCGATTTACAAATTAATTCACATCAAATCACGAAGTGCAAGCTCTCCCCTCCTTTAGCGAAGAACAGCTCAAATCTCTAGCATTTCAAATCCACCTCCACCCTGCCAGCACAACCCAACCATGTGCACCGAAACCATCGTGCAATACACATGTGGCTGCTCCGAAGTCAAAGAGATTATCTTCTGCGAGTTTTTGCTCCAACCCGCCAAGGGACATTATGCGAATGGCGAGCAGACGAAGTATGAGGTTGTGACTGTGGATGCTGCGGTGGAGTGTGAGAGATGTAGCGAGAAGGGGAAGAAAGAAAGGGAAGAAGAAGAGAGGAAGAAGGGAAAGAGTAAGAGAAAGAGAGGAGAGAGCTGGTAAGAGTGAGGGGGAAAGAGGGGATGGAAATAACAAGGGAAGAGAGTGTGGACATGTGGGTACAAATGGAGAGATCGGGATCTGGTTATGGAGGGCTCGTTGACTGGGAGTATTGATAGATGCTACACTCCTTTACATAAAAGTAAAGACAGAATAATAGAATCTTTGCACAGGCACTAGATGGGAAAGTAGAAAATCAACATTTGGGCGTGGAGGATGGGAGTTTTCTTGGTAGCTATCAGGTGGGCTAAATCGTGCGGGCTCTACATGGTGAATGAAGATATTCTTTCGTACTGATATGTCTTCTGTGACACCGCCACGTACTTTGTAGTGTTCTTAATAATTTCAAACAAAACCTCAAGCACTCCTATGGAGTGGCGCCTGAAAAGTGTGTCAAAGTTCAAACGGATGATCATCACTGTCAGATTCAATTAGTGAGCATCTGACTGTAGCCAGGCCTCCCACAGCGGTCTACTGGGATAAGCTTAAAGTTAGTGCTGTCAGCATCTGTGCATCTCTGCCACTGCTTAGAAGGGTGCACGCTGATTTGTGACTTTGACGAGGCGAAATGTAAACATAACAACCACTGTAAGCGATCCACGTACGAGACTCCTCAAAGTTTCTGAGTAGCCGAACAAACACCAGTCAATGCCCTTAACACCGAAACTTTTATCGGCGATCAACCGCACGTCAAACACTTCTGGTGCCCAAAGTACAGGGTGAAGGATAACTAATGCGGGGTAGTGGAGCGTGCCGTGGCAGTCAAACCCGGTACAGCGATAGCCGAGGCCAAATCGTCCAATTACGTTACCATAGCATCTGAGCTGAACAGAGCTACCCAAGCCAAGTCGAACAGCATACTTGATCTGTCTAGAACATCCCAGGCATTGCGTCGCCCCTCACACTAGACCAACTCTAAGGAGGGGTAATTGCTTTGTGTTTTTGAGAGTTTCCTTTCCTTTTCATTCTCAGTCTCTTTCTATCTTCAACACTTGGGAATAACTTCAAAATCAGACTTGTAGAAGACTTATAGAGACATATCATTTACATTCAAAATGGCTCCATCAGCAACCACCAACGGCAACGCCTCCAACGGCACGTCAAAGCTGTCATGGGATTCCTTCCACAATACTATTGACGGAAAGCCTGACAACGCAAAGAATAGTCGCCATGGTATCAATCCTGCCACGGAAGAGAACAGTTCAACAGTGCCAGTAGCATCCCAGGAAGATGTCGATAGAGCCATGGCAGCAGCTAAGAAGGCTTTCAAGACATGGTCTGCTGTGCCATATCCTGAGCGTCAGAAAGCTGTCAGGGCTTTCGCAGATGCGCTTGAGGCCGAGAAGGAGGGTTTCGCAAAGCTTCTTACTAAAGAGCAAGGAAAGCCGGTAAGATAAACAAACGCAGATATTGTGTAGAGGGCGAGCTTCTGCTAAAGTAAATGTAGATTATGTTTGCCCAGATGGAAATCGACGCAGCAGTGTCCTGGCTCCGTGCAGCAGCAAGCCACGATCTCAAGGAAGAGCGACTCGAAGACGACGAGAAGATCATTGTTGTTCGATACACGCCCCTTGGCGTAGCAGTCGGTATCGTCCCCTGGAACTTCCCGATCCTTCTCGCATGCGGCAAAATTGGCATGTCCCTCGTCACCGGCAACCCAATCATTATCAAGCCTTCGCCATTCACCCCTGCTGGAGGACTGAAGCTCGTGGAGCTGGGACAGCAGTTCTTCCCTCCTGGTGTGCTACAGGGCCTTTCTGGGGACGATAATCTGGGGATCTGGCTCGTTGAGCATGAGACGCCGGCGAAGATTAGTTTTACGGGGTCGACTGCTACGGGAAAGAAGGTTATGGCTTCGGCGAGTAAGACGTTGAAGAGGGTTACGCTTGAGCTGGGTGGCAAGGATCCGGCGATTATTTGCGATGATGTGAATATTGAGGAGGTTGCTGCAAAGGTAGGGAAACCGCTCGACATAGGGCATGGTCTCGCTAACAAGCGTAACAGATTGCCACCTATGCATTCCTCAACTCTGGACAGGTAAGTTGAAGCGCTCCCGAAGAAGAGATATCAGTGTGCTAATATAGACAGATCTGCATTGCCATCAAACGTATCTACGTCCACGAGAAGATCATCGACGAGTTCCGCGACGCCATGGTCCGATACACAAAGACACTTAAGCTGGGAGAGGGAAATGAGGACGGCGTATTCTTGGGTCCTATCCAGAACAAGATGCAATACGACCGAGTCCAGGGCTTCTTCGATGATGCTAAGAAGGAGAAGATGAACGTTGCAGTTGGAGGTGTCAACCCGTCAGGAAAGGGCTACTTCATCACCCCAACGATCATTGATCGTCCAGCTGAGGACTCCAGACTTGTTGTTGAGGAGCCTTTCGGTAAGTCCAATCTGTTTAATTCTTTCAATCCTTCAGAATAGGATGCTAACTCGTAGTGCAGGCCCGATCGTCCCACTCCTCAGCTTTGCCACTGACGACGAAGCCATCGAAAAGGCAAACAACACACACTACGGTCTTGGAGGCTCAATCTGGTCGTCCAACCTGGAGCGTGCGAATAAAATGGCTATGAAGATCGAGGCGGGTACCGTTTGGGTGAACACGCACACTGATTTGGATCCTCGCGTTCCTTTTGGTGGACATAAGAATTCGGGTATTGGTTCGGAGAATGGCCTCGCTGGTTTGAAGTCGTATTGCAACTCGCAGACTTTGTTTTTGAAGAAGTGAGATTGGGGGATTCTGAAGAATGTTGAATCCGTTGTGTGTGTATCTAGATAAAACAATATCAAGATGTCTCGAGTCGCTTAGGGATGGTGTTTGTTGATGTTGCACCCTTCCGCATGGGACTCGGTACGGAGAGCCACTAGCGCTCCTCCCCGCTGGCGTGTTTCTTCGTCCGTATATATTCCTCCCGCTTCTCTCGTAACCTCCATGGAAAATCATCTTTATCGCCGGCGACCACCACGTCCTCTACCGCCACCTCTTCCTCTTCCCGCACGTTGCTTTCGCTCTCGCCGGGACATTTGTCCATCAGCTTGCTCCTCAATGGCCAGCTTCTCCCACATATCAGCATCCCACGTCGTCTGCACAAACTCCTCGTCCACATTAGCCGACGACACGTATACCTTCACATACGTCCCTCCTACGAACTCGGGTAAACGCTGCAAGAAGCTCGTCCCGCCTTTTCGATCTTGGCCTACCACAGACCCGAATAAGTCCGAATCTATCACAATGTTGATCTCCGGTAATCCAAACAGAGCTCATCCAAGGAGCCTGAACCAATCATCTTCGTCCACGGCTTCCATTAGATGGACCGCCGTTACGGGATTGGAAGAGCTTGTTGCACTTGGATTTATCTGCAGTGCTTGAGACACCAATACCCTGAGGATATCTCGACGAGTCAGCTGTCTGCTTGAGTAGTTCGGGAACCTCAGCGCCCAGATAATTGGGTGTGATGTGGTCCGGATAAGTGACACAAGATCTATTAGTAAGTCTTTGGTTGTGCTTGCGGACCTGCTTTGGATGATCATAACAGAAGACTTGCGTGCTGCAGCCCAGGTTTGCATCATTGTGACTTGAGTATGAGAAAGTTTTGTGCGTGTTCTTTTGCGTTTCTGAATCGATAGGCAGTAGCCCAAGCTTTCACCCGACGAAGGCAAGTCTTGGGACCACTTTAAATCCAGGATCTGGGTCAGTTGAATCTGTTGTAGCATTCCCTTATGGCTGTTCAAGTCCAGTTTGATTTCTTCTTGAATGTTACGTGTTGCTGTTGGTACTTAGCATCAGTTTCAGAGCGTCATTCATCCTGGGCTTACCGATAGCCACCGAGACAAGTTGCTCAATTTGTGGACTTTGTTGCTTGAGCATTGCGATCAACTCGGCTAGCTGTGTTCGTTGTTCTGCAATCTCATGATGCATATCCCTCAGCTCAGCCTTCGAAGCGGTACTGGCCAGACGATCAATCATGCGTGACTGTTCATCAATTTCTTGGACGTTCTCCTTGAAGCTCAGTGCCCATGGATTGATGACCGATCCTATGGCATGATAGACTTTTCCTTTCTTATACCAGACTATTGCAGTCCGGAGAAACTTCATCACATAGGCGTATAATCGTGCTACCGCCTCTTGCATCACTGCCGTCGGGTACAGAATGAGGGTGAAATCAGTGCGGGGTAAAACGTCTGCAATCTTGCAAAGAGCTTTTGCGAGTTGCTTGGTGAGTTCCTCATGATTTATGACAGCCTATCTTGTCAGGAAACTGGCACTTTGCTGCGTTCGGAGCGGACTGACTGTGAATAGGAATTTCATAGTCCCCCAAGCAAGCGAGGTGTATTCTGGGTGATGCTGCACCAACACGTCCATGATCGCTCCATAATGCGCAACCCTTTCCGAAAATTTCAACAGCCATTCTCTTGCTTTGGTTGGAGATCGCGAGGAATGATATCTTTCCGACGCTCTCGATACCTCGTCTCTCACGGCATCGATAGATGATTTTTCGTTTGCCCAAACCTTTTCTTTCTCGGACGTGCTTAGTTCAGTCTGGAAAATATTCCTAGCTTCTTCATACGCTTCGGATATTATGGCCGTCGACAACTTCCTGCGATCTTGTTATTTCAATGCAAATACAGGTATCTCTTTGAACACCCACGATGCGATGTTTGTGCCCGAGTACCAATCGCTGTACATGGTCTTGGGTCGGAGGGCAAGTTCATCCATGCTTGTCGGTGCTGTCGAAAGACAAGCTGTTCACCATGCCTAAGCAACGTGAAGGAATATCCAGTATGGAAGCACCCATTGCTGGTGGGAAACTCCTCGACTGACGTGGTACAGCAGAGGACTGAGGCTCGGTGAGGCTCATGACGTGGCAGTGTGCAGATTCTCCATCGGCCTGCGCGCAGTCGCCCTGCGTTAGCGACAATGCGCCACACTGTTGCCGCCGAGTGCCCTGAGGAACATCGCAACCATGCCTCTGAGATTTCAATCAATGCATTTAACAGTTTTAGGGACTGAACACTTTATTTAGTCATTCATCCCTTTGTCAATTTCTCTAATTACCAACACTCACTCCATCATATTTCATACTAACCACCTTATTGCAGGCTAACTTCAAGCCATGAAGTCGTTGTCGCGAATTGGGTCACCGATTTGGCCCCCAGTGGCAGTGCCCAGTCAGCCTTGCATGCAGCCATGAGAGAGTTGGTAAGCTCGACTGCATTCAATGGCGATTGATAAGCTCTCCTTGCTCTCCTCTCCAACTCCATGGACAATTCCTGCCTCGCAGGTATCTCATGGCAGACGTCGAGGACGATTTTGCAGAAACTCCAGCACCTGAATACCCCACAGGCTCGGGAAAAAGAAGGAAGCAGGGGGACTCATCAGCACATCAGTTCCACTCTACGATATCCCGCGACGCTTCCAACGGCCACGATAAATACCCTATCTTCTCGGAAGCGCAATTGCGAAAAGATAGTGACGACGAAGAGCCGGATCTTTCTTCCAAAACACCGGCCAATCTTTTTCCAGGCTCCTCCAGTAAATGGAACGAGCATGCTCAATTTGCGGCTGATTATATAAAGGCATCTAAATATAAAGGGGCTAAACCCCCTATGCCACAGAGCTTGAACGATCGCCCAGATATGTCGACCGCAAGAGCTACAGCTCGTACGAACGGACTGGATCGAGTGCGTTCGTCCTATGATAGGCCTACACCAGCAGAGCCAATGCGAAGCAGCCGTCCCATAGTTGAGTGGGAGCGCCAACGGTATTCGCCCCCATCAACAATTGAGGAAGCCGACGATGAGGGAATATATCATCCTCGATCTCGCTCTCCCTCGCCCATACGAGTCCTTCGGTCATCACCGCCGCCTCCACCACCGCCTGGTCCTGATTCCAGGCGTCGTCGGAGAGTAGTTGAGCCGGAACGTGTTAGTGTTATTGAGAGATCACTTCCTGTTCGGCGACCTCCCGGTACATCACATGGCCATCACAATCCAGAATTTTCCGGGCGGCGAGTTCTTGTTTCTCAGAAATATGACCCAGATATGGAAGAAGGGCCTCGGTACCAGGTATGCTTAAGTTACCAGAGCACCAGAGCACTTGTGTTGTGCACAGTATGTTAATTCGTCAAAGGCACCACTACCGCTACCACGTGCATCGACCTTCGCCCGACCTTATGATTACCTTGATGAGATTGAACCAATTCCGGCACCCCCAAGATCGGCCTCAAAACGGAAGTACCCAGATCACGCAAAACATGAAGATCCTCATCCTGCTTATGATTACTCACCAGATATTCCGAGCAATGACCAAGATATTCGGTACAATGGGCCCGAGTTGTGGCGATCATATGAAGCAGATCAAGTAGAGTCGGAGGATGACTTGAACTCAACTTGGACGCCAGAAACCGTGGCGCCATTGAGGCAAAGACCTCCCGTGAAGAAATACCCGAGCAAAGCACCATCATACAGGATTTTGTGTCGGGTCGAATGCGATGTTGTTCATGAGAGACGACATACGGAAGATCGTGTCCATCCAGCCTTGATTTTCGAAGATGTGCCTCACTGGAACCCTCGGTTCACAAAAACGAAAGGCCATCTGACCGGATTTCGACCCATATACAGCCTAAGCCAATGGTTGAAGTCCATCGATCCTCTGAGTTTTGTGGTCTATCGAACCTATTTATGCTCTTGGAGCTCATTCAAAACCATCCCTCGCGACGGCACATTGGATATGCCAACCCTTCGAGTCGCCGACTCTGAAGCTAAAGACTTTAATGAATCCATCGAGGTCTTGTCCAGCGAGCTGGAAGAAGCTCTTCTATCCGTTGCGAAATGCAAAATAGAATGTTTCACTGGACTCCAAGATGCCGACTCTCGCAGCGGTAATCTGATATTTGACAGTCCCTATCTCTTTTTCTATCACCACCGGGCCGTACTTAGCGAGTTGTCTAAACAAGGCGATGAACGACTGAGGCGAGAGGTCTTCCCACTGCTGATATATCTGAAAGAGAGACAAAAGGCCCTTTACAGGCAGGCCGACCATCATTTCGCTAAGAAAACGACAGATGCCAATGTTCTCAAGTTTCTGTTCTGCCCTAATGAGATCGTCGTATCCAAGACGAAGAAAAGTGACATCGAGTGTGCTTACGCAATTCGGTACCTTCACTTTTTCCCCGATGACTCGATAGAGTTGATCTGCTGGGCTTGGACATATGATGGCACGGAGTTGAAACGGAGAGAGAAAAAGATCGATGTGAGATACAAAGCAGGAAATGCAAGATCTGTCCTGAAATTGGCGGCGTATCCCTTGCGTTTTGCGCCAGAAGAGTTGAGGGCCAAGTTATTTGCTCGCGGAACACGATTCTGGGAGCTTCGTACGCCGCAGTTGGTAACTTACAAAGGGATGAACTTTCTGCAGGAGAAGTACATTGTAAGTGCTTCATGTTCTCTCACTGTTTGAAAATGTGTTGTGTGCATGCTAATATTGTTTCCAGAATGATGGAAGATGTATGCTCGACTATCCGACGTACAAGATCATGCACCGTGAAGCGGAACCTTTCAACCTCAAGAAGCAGCTTGCTCCTCGCCCTCTTGATTATGATAATTTCCCCGAGACAGTCAGTAAAGATGGGACGTTGACTGAGGACGAGACGATTCTCTGCCCACCTAACATACACGGCTTTCTCTTGAAGGAAAAAGTATGGGGTAAGGTTATCTCTCTTGAATCTATATGACCAAGCTGACATGTTCAGTTAACCTTTTCGTCGATAATGTTCGCGGGGTAACGTGGAACAAGGATGCGTTCAAGCGACTGGTTATGCCGCCTAATACCAAAGACCTCGTGGAGGCACTGATCAAGGCCCATGCTTCCGCGAGCTGGCAACAAGGAGGGCTGGTATCAGGCAAACGTTTGGATTTGATTGCAGGGAAGGGACTGGGGTTGATTATGCTGCTTCATGGAAGTCCTGGAACGGGAAAGACTTTGACAGCTGGTAAGCATTCATGTCCATAAATGTACTGGCATTTACTAATTGATAATAGAAAGGTACGCACGATCATTACATGCCGTGTAAATGAATTAACTAATACAACTTTAGTGTAGCGGAAATCGCGGAGATGCCGCTCTATTCCGTGACGTGCGGTGACATTGGTATCGAGGTTGATAAGGTTGAGCAATATCTGGAGAGGGTACTCTACCTTGGAAAAAAATGGAACTGTGTTCTGCTTCTGGATGAAGCAGATGTTTTCCTGGAGGAGCGAAGTCTGAATGACTTGAAGAGAAACAGTCTTGTCTCTGGTGAGTTTTTCGGTTGCTGATATCCCGAGTCATCCTAACATTGCACAGTTTTCTTGCGAACCTTGGAGTACTACGAAGGAATCTTAATCCTAACATCCAACCGCGTCGGCACTTTCGACGAAGCCTTCCGATCACGCATCCAACTCGCCCTCCACTACCCCAAACTCACACCCCCATTCCGTCGCCGGATCTGGCAGAACTTCTTCGATATTCTCTCCGAAGACAAAGAAGACGTCGACCTGCCAGATCTTACTTCACACATGGATGAGTTGTCGAAGCGCGAGATGAATGGACGCGAGATCAGGAATGCGTTGACGAGTGCGAGGCAGTTGGCTAGTTACAAGGGGGTTACGCTGGAGTGGAGACATCTCCTGGAGACGATGAGTGTGGGTGAGGTTTTTGGTAAGTATTTGAGGGATGTGCATGGTCATGCGGATGAGGATTGGGCGAGGGAGGAGCAGTTGAGGTAGGTGTAAGGTCTGTAGGGACTGTGGAGAAAAAGGAAGGAGAGGCACTACAGTACAGTAAGCGAGGGGTTTGTTGAGGTGATGAGGTGATGAGAACGCGAAAGAGATACCCAGCCCACAGGGCGATGTTTGTTTTGACCTAACTCAACTACTAGGACTCAGTACTGAAAAATAGGCGATTTCCGCATGTCCCCAAATCACACGCAGTAGTGCTGCTTCCAGACCTCTCCCTCCATTAAGGTTCCTCCAAGTTCTTCCATCCAGTAATCATACAGTAGCTCAAGTAGTCTCCTCTCCCCCTCCCCCTCCCCCCGTCCTGCACCCCGCACCCGCCTTTTCCCCAAGTTTTTTTTCCCTCTCCTTCTCCTTCTCTTTCCTTATTAAGGTTCTCCTGCAGTAGTGGCAATAGTACTGTAGTCTAGTAGTCTAGTTCCCCATCTCCTCATTCATCACTCCATCGCTCCATCATTCCATCGTTCCATCGCTCCATCGATCCATCGATCTCGGTACCTCGGGTATGTACGCACTGTAATGTAATGTAAACTAACTTCTTTGCGGCGTGGCGTGGCGTGGCGTGGCGTGGCGTTTCCTGGGAATCTAAATTACTTATCTGATCTGATGAACCTGAACCTGAACCTGAACCTGCTGTTTTGGGTCTAGGTTGAGGCGCTTGAGTGCGGCGCTGGCTGGCTTCGCCGCACTACCGAGTAGGTAGGTAGGTAAATTTACTTACTGCTGGGGGCTGGGGGATGATTTGGGTGAGCACCTGCAGTAGGTCCCTGTGATATGTCTAAAGCCGTGTGTGGCCGGTCGCCGTTGGGTTGGTTGGTAATTCTTTCATGGATTTTGATTCTGTGATGGGGATGAGGACGGGGATGAGGATAGGGATGGGGATGAGGGATAAGGGATGAGGACGGGGAGGGGGAGGGGAGGTTGGAGAGTGCAGTACATGCGTGTTGTTTGTGATGCCTGCCTTGTGTAAGTTGTCTCGTCGTGAGGAGACGATTACATCTATCGCAGTGATAAAAACATGTTCTTTCCTAACAGTTCAATTAGACAAGCACATATACTTATCTAATCATTGATTATTCTACTCTATTCCAATTTTTTTTGGTTCAGACTTCCGACTACCTACTCCCAGCCTCCCTCACTCGCTCTCTCTGTCTCGCTCTCTCTGTCTCGCTCTCTCTGTCTCATTCATTCTCCCCTGGAAGTCTCCATCCACGCCACGCCCAGACGCGATGACCACACAGCCAAGCCAAGCCAGCCGGCCAAGTCGAGTCCCGCTCCCAAGAAACGTCCAAGTAGGCTTACACAGCGTGCCACGGCGCTCCGGGGGTCCACAAAAGCTTGCTGACACCTCACCTCTCACCTCCTTTCTGTGCCTTTGCCTTCTGTGGTGTGTTTGTCGCCTTCCCTGTTCGGCGTCGCTCATAACGCGATTTAATTGTAGTAGTGCTGTAAATTACGAGTACGTTGACCGCATTTTGTTTGCTGATTATAAGGTAGGTCACGAGAGGCGACTCACTCCTGTTTGTTTTGTTCGTCTGTTTGTTTTCTGTGTAGCTCGATGTGGTGCGACGGCGACGATTACCTTACCAGTAATCAATCCCGCGCGAGGTACTGGTCCAGAAAGTCCAGAACGCGGATTGTTCTGCTTTCGGGGACTGTGATGGACTGGGATGGATTGGGATAAGATAGGTCCGCTTTATTTTTACTGGTAATTTTCCTAGGTATGAGTACGAAGCAACCAATTAAATTTGATCTGGTCAGAAGAAACATCCACATCCACATCCATAAGGTATCCACAGTTCCCTACCGGGATCTGAATCTCTTACCTCCCATTATTAGGGAAGGGTTCTGGGGAAAAAAGAGTCCACTACTTGTGCCTTAATAATCGTCCCATTTTTTTTTTGGGTCCCCTTTCATTCATTCATTCCATCTTCCATTCTCTCGTACCTAACTAAACACCCTTGAACTTGAACTTGAACTTGAATTTCAATGAATCGTTCTCGCCCCTCTTCTTCTTCTTCTTCTTCTTCTTCTTCTAAGATAGGTATTTGACAATCTCGTCTCATCTCATCTCTACCTATTCAGAACTCTACCTACCTTATCTAGGCAGCACACGTGAACGGGCGGTCTCGTTCCAACAACTCCTCCTTATCCATGAAGATGCATCTATCTCACTGCATGGATGAATGAGTGATAGTGGCGAAAAAAAAAAAAATTGTTGTTTCTTCTGGAAGCCTTCTATGGATGGACAGGGATCACAATTGGTTGGTGCCTTCTCAAAACTGAAATTGATGACCATGCATTTATTTTCAAGGGAGCGAGCGAACGCCAGGAATGTGGGGAGTTTTAGGTAGCTCGTAGGTTGGTCTTTGCTGACCAGCCAGTGATCACTCGATAGCCCTCACTACTCCACTGTTTTTTCTCTTGGCTGTAGCCATGACGGGCCGAATCCTCGATCTTACCTGGAGCCTGGGCTTACTACTTGCGCGTGAAATTTTACGGACTTGTACGAGCTGGGCTGGGCTGCTGGCCTGGACGGGCAGGCCGTTTGTGTCGAAGATAGGATGGGATAGGATAGGATAGGATAGGATAGGAAGGACGGAGGAGGGGAGGTATTGTTACATTTTGTGGCGTTGGGTGAGATGAGATGAGATGAGATTGTGTGTCGCATTATTGTTATGGTTTGGTTGTTGCATTGCATTGGATCTGGAACTCTTGCTTCGTGTGTTGGTCTGGTCTGTGGGATTATTACTGTATTGAGCTCCAACAGTAGGTAGTGCTACGAATATTGAGTGCTGCGAATATTGAGTTTGCTCTTGGACCAACAGCCTCAGATCTTCGGTGGCGGTAAGCCACCTGATGAACCTGAACCTGCATCCTACGGCCTACCTTAGGTACGGATAAATTCCATACAGTACCGCCGCCGTCGACGGTTAAGGCGCAACGTCTCCCTTCACGGGATTTGGTTTAGATGTGTGTGTGTGAATGATTGATTGCATTCCCTATCTGTTGGGTGGGAATTTTTGGGAAATGATCCGTATCCATCAGTCCCTTTACTTTACTGTATGCGGTCGATGCTCGATAACCCAACTGATATGAACTGAATCGTACCAATCCCATGGGCCCCGCTCCATCGCCCATCCCCATCGCCCCTCGACAAAGTCCGTCCGTGCCCAAGAAATCCAACAGTTGCAAAAACCCATTCCATCGAATCAAGTGCCCGACTCTTATCTCAGTTCCCCTACACGACAGACGTTTTACTGTCAAACCATTTTTCCAGAACCCATGTCCAGACCTGGGGAAGGGAAGCGAAGCGAGGCTCATCGAATGGGTTCAGTAGTACTGCGTGCAGGTGGCGTGCCCAGCGGCGGCCGAGTTGAGTTTGGACCCTGGAATCCTGGTGGTCCCTCTGGTCCGGAGATGACAGCCCTTTAGCTCGAATAGGAAGGAGACTTGTGTCGCAAACACCGAAGCTTTGGGCTAAGACTCGATGCCAACACTGCCAACCCAATTAGAGGCTTTGCCTGTTGCTTGTGTGGATAGTCGCGGGCACTTTCTCGATGGGGTCTGTCTGTCTGTCTGTGATCGACGGTATGGTGCAAGATAGGTAAATGGGTGCTGGCCGAGGCAAACCCCTGGAGGAAGGAGGAAGGAGGAATTGTTGCTATCTTCATATGGAAGGTGGGTGGGTGTGTGTGTGTTTCAATGTCGTGCCTGCTGGGGGAGAAAGTCTCGTGGTGGTTGAGTTGAGTTGAGTTGAGTCGAGTCGAGTCGAGTCCTATCTAACCATGGTCCCCCCTCTCCAGCTGGCTGCGTTTGTAACCACTTTGACATTCCTGTCTTGACGTTCAGCAGAAGTGCTCAACTGAATTCACCATGGGTATGTGAAGCCCCCATCTTGACCTTCGGTATGGTTTTGAATCAATTCTAACAAATTTTCTTCCAGCGGAGGCAAAGACAGCAGACGCTCAATTCATCATTGGTGCAGACAACCACCTGGCTATCGACCAGCCCGGAGCAATGGTTCACGCAGACACCAAGGCCGAGTCGGTCAATGTTGCCTTGGAGGGCGATTACGAGGGAAAGCCAACTCCCGAGGAACTTGGTACTCTCCGTCGAGTCGCTGGCAAGATCCCTTACACCGCATACGTTCTCTGCTTTGCAGAGTTCTGCGAACGTGGATCCTACTATTCTTCCGTCGGTGTCATCTCCAACTTCGTCAACCGAAAGTTGCCAGCGGGCGGTAATGGATATGGTGCGCCTCCAAAGGGATCCCAATCCACTGCTGGTGCGCTAGGACTCGGCACGGTGAAGGCCACTGCCGTCAGTCAATCGTTCAAGATGCTTGTATACTGTCTCCCGGTCGTCTTTGGATACATCGCCGATACATATACCGGAAGATTCAAGCTCATCTGCTACGGTGTTGCTGTCTTCGGTGTTGCTCACGCTCTCATGATTGCCTCTGGCGCCCCATCACTGCTCCAAAACGGCCACTCTGCTGCTCCATACCTGATTTCTCTCTACGTGCTCGCCATTGGCGCTGGTAAGTAAACTACTATCTTTTTTGCTGAACTTCAGCTAATTTTTATCCCAGCTATGTTCAAGCCCTGTGTTTCCCCAACCCTTCTCGATCAAATCGAAGAGACAAAGCCAACTATCAAGACACTCAAGACCGGAGAGCGAGTTATTGTCGACCCCGAATCCACAACTGAGCGAGTTGTCCTTTGGTTCTACCTCCTCATCAACGTTGGTGGTTTCTTGGGAGTTCCAGGAAGTTACCTGGCCAAGAACGTCGGATGGATGGCTACTTTCGCCTTGCCTATGGGCATTTACGTCCCCTTGCCATTTGTCCTCTGGTACCTGCACAAGAGACTCATCCTCTACCCACCAGGAGGAAGTGATCTTTTCAACTGCTTCAAGGTCCTCGGTATCTGCCTCAAGAGTAACTTCAAGCGTTTCGGTCGCCACGGATTCTGGGAAGCTGCTAAGCCATCCGTCATGGCCGCGCAAGGAAAATCCGTCACCGTCCCATGGAACGACCAGTTTGTTGAGGACGTTCGCCGCACTTTCCAGGCCACAGGAATGTTCTGTTTCTTCCCTATCCAATACATCAACGACAATGGTCTCGGTATCTCAGCTGATGCTCTGTCCACGATGCTCCGAACTGATGGTCAGCCAAACGATCTTATCAGCAACTTCAACTCCCTGTCCATTATCATCATGGCACCTGTATTGAACTACCTCTTGTACCCATACCTCCGCTCAAAGCACATCCACTTCGGCCCTGTGGCTCGTATCACTTTCGGTCTATTCCTCTCCGCAGTCGGTGCCGTCGGTTACACGGTTCTGAACTAGTAAGTCTTCACAACTCCAAATGTTCACAATGACAAAATGCTAACATTCCAACCAGCTACGCATACAAGATCGGACCCTGCGGCCACCACGGCTCCAGCGCCTCCTGCGTCGACGCCGACGGCAACTCCCTCGTCGCCAACATCAGCATCTGGTGGATGGCGATCCCCTACGCCCTGGGTGGCATCTCCGAACTCTTCGTCAACGTCCCCGCCTACGGTCTAGCCTACTCTCGCGCCCCGAAAAATATGCGCTCCCTCGTGACAGCCCTGAACCTCTTCAGCACCGGAGTCGCCTACGCGCTCGGTCTCGCCTTTGCTGGTATCATCAAGGATCCGTTCTTGACGTGGGATCTGGGCGCGCCTGCGATTATTGGATTCGTTGCGTCGGCCCTGTTCTATTACTTGTTTAAGCATATTGATGCCGAGGAGTATGTCCTCAGCACGAATGATGATTATCATCTTAGACATCAGTCGGATAGCTCGATTGCGGGGACGGAGGTTAATGAGAAGACGGCGGCGCATAATGATACCACTAAGGTTGTTTAGATGGGAGGTGTGGGGGTAGAGGGGTGGGGTGGATGATGAGATGGCTGGGGTGGATAGATGGATGGTGTAGATTAAAATATAATGTTGAATGAGATGTTTACTGAGTCTGTTTCCGTGATCGACTCTTGTTTCAAGCATGTCATGGAATTCTTCTCAACCTGCGACTTCCGCGACAAGACGAGACATCTATATCTGCATTTGCAACAACCCCTTCACCTCACCTCACCTCGCATCGACTAAGCAGGTTCCGTCCCATCCCAGCAGCCAGCTCCCAGCAATAACCACCCACCCATCATCGGCTCATTTTTTTTTTCGTCCCCGACCGACCAGGATCGGATATTTTTAATTAAGGTTCCCGAGAACAAATCTAAATCTAAATCTAAATTTCACAGTTTCTAGGCAATTGAAGCTACGCTGCAATATGTACTCGGTATCAAACACCCACCTACCCTTCGCAACGTAACGCAACGCAACGCAACGCAACGCAACGCATCGGCTCGGCTCAGCTCGGCTCGGCTCGCTGGTAAGTTAATAATATGGTATTGCCACCTAGGATAGGATAGGATAGGATAGGATAGGATAGGATAGGATAGGATAGGATAGGATTGCGAGTGCGAGTTAAAAAGTTGAAATGTGATGTGTTGTGTTGTGATGTTGTGTTGTGTTGTGATGTTGTGTTGTGTTGTGTTGTGTTGTGTTGTGTTATGATGTTATGTTGTGATGGGAGTGTGGTGTGTTGTGTTGTGTTAAGTGGACTGGACTGAATTGAATATAGGAGAGTAGAGCAGGGTAGGGCAGGGTAGAGCAGGCCTCCCGAGGTAAGTTAGTTGATAAAGCAACGAATATATCAACATGAATGAAGACAGATGTTACGTATAGGCATAGTCTCGACGGTGAGATGTGAGATCGGTGAGATGTAAGGTGTAAGACAGGTCTTCTCAAATGGAAGGAGGCGCTAACTTCTTGTTTGTTAAGTATATAAATAGATAAATATATTTATATATATATTATTCTTCAGAACATCGACTCTTTGAAAAAATTCGTTGTAAATGTACGTTATGTAGGTAGAGCTGGGGTCTCGAGTACATAGGTATGCTGTTCTGTTCGCCATACAGTACTTCCCATGACCTACCTACCTTGCCCTGCCTCCCTCGGTACCTAGTACACTGTCAGAGCCATGCGTCTTTCTCATTCTCATACATACCTAGGTACTCACCACCATCTACTCGCATCAAAACTCATCCCACATATAAAAAACCATCCAATCAATATCCAACCGGTACTAAGCAAGCAAGCGGATAGAGCAAGCTTCCCCGCATCCTCAAAATCCTTCCCTTCAATTAAATTCAAATTCAAATTCAAACTCAATTAAACTTCCTCGCAAACCAGTTCCACCCCAGATTATTATTGATTATTGATTGCGCAAGAACAGACGCACGCAGACCATCGGTTCGGCCTGAAAAATAAACATACCCTGTTTGCGAGCTCATCCGAGCCATCGAAACGCTAAATCATATTAACGCAAGGGAAGCGAGCGAGGCGACCGAGACGGGCAAGGTTACGAACTAGGTGGCAGAAGTCTGTACGTTTAGGCTCTGTCGCTCAAGTGAGGAACACCGCTTTTTCACGAATATACCTTACTTTTAAAGCCCTACAACTCTGTGAGCAAGCTTAACAATCAGCTAAAAATAATAGGTATAATTTCAATTTTACTTTATCTACCTTTCCATTAACTACGAATTATTCGATTGGAGCTTTTACGTCTCTAGAAAATCCGACTTTAACCACTTTCAAGCCTGAACGCACGGACTTATGCCACCTACCTAGTTCGTTGGGTTGAGTGTTGAACTTGAACTTGAACTTGAACTTGACCTGGTTTGGGATATCGCTCCCGTGCTGTGGCTGAACCTTACTGCGGAGAGATGGGGTGGGGTCACCAGGGCGTGCGTGCGTACCGCGCCTAGGTTCTTCAGTATCATACCTCGGTATGTTTTGTTTGCGAGGAGGAGGGGGAGGGTGGAGGGTGGAGTTGAAAGGTTGCGGGAGCTGGGAGCTGGGAGTGCTGTTGTCGTCATCAATCATTGCTGGGGGATTTGCGTTCGCGTCGCATCGCGGGTTACATTTAGACTTGACTGATGGACTGATGGCTGGCCGGGGGGGATGGGATGGTGAGGGTTAGTTAGTTAGGTAGGTATAAAGTGAGGGGTTTGCGCCGTTCCTTTTGATGGGAAGAGAAGTTCGGATGGGAGAAAAAAGAAAGTTGATGTCAAGTGAGCTTAAGTTAAGTTGAAGCTTATTGTCGCTACGCTACGATGGGACGACTTTTGAGGTATATGAGCTTGGCATTGAGTGCTGCTGCTGCTACGGTTGCTGCTCAAGAGAAAGAGGGTAGTAGTTGGACGGTTGGACAGGTTGTTGATACGAGTAGTGGTTCGGTGACGGGACATGCTGCATCTGTCAATAAGGAGGTTTCTGAGTATTTGGGGATTCCGTTTGCGATTCCGCCGGTGGGGGATCTGAGATGGACGGGTCCGAAGGCGTATGTTGGGACGGGTGCTATTAATGGGACTGATTTTGTGAGTTCTTCCCTCCTCATCAACTTTCTCTTCTATATCCCAATGAGTTTGGTCACAGTTCTTTTCGCTAATATTCAACAAGGGCTTCTCCTGTCCAGCCGGCTCCCAGGTCTCCCCCAACTCGGCCGCCATCCAAGCTGCGAACGTCACCAGTGCCGGTCTCCAAATCCTGGCATCCCTAGGTCAAATCGGCGACAGGTTCAGCGAAGACTGCCTCACCCTGAACATCTGGACTAAACCTCAAACCGGCGAATCTAAGAAAGCTGTTCTCGTCTGGATCTACGGCGGCGGCTTCACAACTGGAAACAGCGACAACGACGCTTACAATGGACAGTACATAGCAGAAGCCGAAGACGTAGTTCTCGTCTCGTTTAACTACCGCTTGAACGTGTTCGGGTTCCCTGGTACTCCAAACGCGACTCAGAATCTGGGATTGCTGGATCAGAGATTAGCGCTTGAGTGGGTTCGAGATAATATTGAGAAATTTGGGGGTGATGCTAGCAGGATCACGATTTTTGGACAGAGTGCTGGGAGTGCGTCTGTTGATTACCACACGTTTGCTTGGGCGGATGATCCTATTGCGCATAGTTTCATCCAACAGAGCGGTTCGGTACTAGGACCTCGAGGAGGTCTTGGGGGAATCACGGCCGATACAGCTGCTGCATATTGGTATGCTGCTGCGAAAGTCTTGGATTGTGGTGATAGGTCTTCGGATCAAGATGAGTTGCTTTCGTGCATGAAAAGCAAGTCATACCAAGATGTCATCAAAGCTATTGCTCAAGGCGCCAGTTCAGGCGCCATCTCTTCCAGTTTCGGTCCAACAGTCGACGACAAGATCGTCTTCTCAAACTACACGCAACTCGCTCTCGCCGGCAAATTCTCCAAACAACCACTCCTCCTCGGAAGCGCAGACAACGAAGCCGGCCTATTCAGAGTCCTAGACAGTTTCAAAAACCAGACGAACTCGGACGAGTACTACAGAACCTTCAACGACCTCGGATTCACCTGTCCCGGCGCCCAGCGCGCAGCCTTCTCCATCGCGCAGGGCGTCCCAACCTGGCGATATAGATGGTTCGGCGCCTTCCCCAACACGGAACTCACCAGCGTGCCCTATTCCGGGGCCTGGCACGCCAGCGAACTTGCAGTGCTGTTCAACAATACGCCATCAGGGGGAGTGGTTCCCAATAACACGGAAGCGGAGATCAAGATCGGGGCGTATATGCGGGGGGCTTGGGCGGCGTTTGCGAAGGATCCGGTTGGTGGGTTGGGGTCTTATGAGGAGGGGTGGCCGAGGTATGTTCCTGGAAGGGAGACGCTGGTTAGGTTGGGGTATCAGAATTTGACGGGGGCGAATCTGGCGGTTGGGACGATGTATGATGGGGGGTGTAAGACGAGTTTTGTGGGTGGTAATGGTACGGGTGGGAGTTCTAGTGGGTCGGGGTCACCTACGACTTCTGGCTCTCCAGGTTCGAGTCCTACGACTGTTGTTACGAGTGATGCGAGGACTCTGCAGGCGTTAATGTCGAGCACGCTTGGGTTGAGTATGATGCTGGCTGTTGGTTCAATGTTCTTGTGAGATTGGGTGCGGAACTTGTACCTTGTAGGTAGAGGCAGTCTCTATGGAGACGTAATTCAGAATTATGGAACAATATGAGTTGGAACCTGCCATCTGGTACTTGTTCAAAGCCTTGCGGAAATTTTGCCTGTGTCATTAGTATCGACGTCCGGGCGTGTTGTTTTGTGATTTAGCGAGCCTAGAAAGGGGGTCGCTAATTTTCTTTAGCGATCTTCGCTGCAGGCTTCAGACGCTAAATTTTCAGCGTCTCAGACGACAGAGTTAGCAGAACCAACAAAACAGCTACTAAAAAGCATTTTGACCAATCATTCAACAGATTATAGAGGAAAGAGAATAAAAAAAAAATGCGGATGAACGGGAATTTATTTGTAGGTACACTCCAAAGGCGAGTACGACGGTCCTCCAAAGTGCCCTAAAGCTCATCCAACCCTCTTCAACCCATCACCCACAACACCACGACCAAATAGCCAAACAGTGGGGTATAGAATGAATCTCAGTGACGAGATCTGTTTCCCAAAAGTCGTTTTTCTTTCTCATCCTCATATCTATGCTGCGCTGGCAGCGTTGGCACCCTCTTGCTTGCAGTAGTAGGCCCACTCGTCACCGCCGATGTGCTTGCCGTTGGATCTGCAGACGACGTTGGATGAATCACCGTTGATGCCCTGTTTGAAAGTCAGTACATGATGCGAAGTCTTCATGGTTCTATTTTGTGGAGGTAGAAGAAGGAGGGAGATGTACCATGGTGCAGTCGGGGCAGGTATCCCATTGCTTGGTTCCGGTGTTGCGTGCTCTGTAGCGGGCGCAAGCCTTTTGTGTCACATCATCTCTCTGTGTAGCATGTATGTCAGCAAAGAGTCTCTCCTTGAATAATTCATTGTAGGAAAGGTGTATTAGAGAAGGGCACTCACATCTTTGGTCGATGGGCCGACCTTGAAGTTCTTGGCTGGGATAGTGTCGTAGCACCAAGCGAAGCTGTGAAGGTCGGCGAGAACACTGTTTTGAGTGTCAGTATGATGGGATGAGTGACCAGAATGAGAGGAACTTGCCCTGGAGCAGCGGCCAAGATGGCGATGAGGACAGCGGAGAATTGCATGTTGATTGAGTTAAAGAGTGACTTGAAGAAGTATTCAAAAGAGTGTGATGTTGGTAAATGAATGTGGTGTTGTAGAACGAATGTGAAAGAAGATGATGAGGGTGAAGAGCTGAAATGAGAGTGAACATTGGCTTCCTTATATACAAGATCTCGTCTCAATTACCCGTGGGCATCTTTTGACGCTTCTCGGTCTTGCCGTGATGATCTGACAGCGTCTGAATCGTGTCTCCTTCTCATCAACAGTATCTCCCATAAGAAAATGCTAAACTATGGATCTCACACGAAAGTGCATGAGAATAAATTACTTACAACCCAGATCACAAGATCTATTCGGGGCAATGCCAGACAATCCACTTCACGAAAAGGGTACTCGGAACCGAAGTCGTGGAGGAAATGGATGAAATCGGCTTGGCAAGACCCAGGAACCGGGTCGCGCTAAACAGAAGCATTGAGGTAAATTGGGATAAGGTAGATCCCTAAGCTTCTTTCGGAAGGTCAGAAAAGGTTCCTGATACAAGCAAATCTAAGCTTGGGGACCCTCTCTCCCTCTCGCTAGTGGCGCATTCGCTATTTCGATACATCGCGAGTCACGACTGATCGCACACAAGCCTTTCCGGTTCGCTTCCAGGTCTGTTATTGGACAACCCGAAGTTCTGGTGAGCCAGTGGATCATCTGTCATCCGAGCTGACTTAAGCGCATTCAGGGTCTATCGGTCGGGGAACCTCTCATGGCATGCAGCCTAGGATTAACCTTAATTGAAAGAAGGTTTGTGGAAGTTACAAGAGTGGTCGGGAAAGAGATTAGGTTTGTTTCGTGGCCTAATCGAGGGCGCCCAGAGATCCGAAGGTTTGAGCCGCAAGGAGATGAGATGAATCATGAATCAAGAAGCTTTTTCGTTAGTACCTCGGAGTCGGGAGCCTCGTCGGAAATGGCGTCGATTATGTGAGGCCAGTTCTTTGTGCGAAGAAGAATTGAAGAGCTGACTTTTGGTAACCATTTCATTTTGTTCACACAATATCTTTGTAGTGATTGTATGACCTGTCTGACACAAATACCATGGTTATGGTAAAGATCACAGGTTTCCGGAATAGTCTAGACGTGGTTTCAGCTGTTCTTGACGACTGACCTTACCCCGTGGCACCAGTTCATCTGTTCTCCGTAAGAAAAGAAGTGTCAGTGTCAAGCTGTCATGATTCAGTTCTTTAGTGCCACCGGGATCGAGAATACTAAAAATACCACTTTGACAATCTGGAGATGGTCAGGGTTCAAACACGGGTGTCATCGCCCAAAGCTCGGGTCTTGATACGAGGCTTATCAGCCACGAGAATTCAAGAATCGTGTTGGGATCCCCTTGGCATTTGAAACAAGCTCATCCAATCTGATGTAGTGTATGATTCATAGTCCCGTTTTCGAAGGCGACTGTCAATATTGAATTTCGTCCGACCTTCTTGATGTTATTATCGAAGGGAATCAAGTTGCACGCGACACACAAAAGGATCTTGTCTTGAATCTTCATATCCGCACCTTCTGAAAGGGGCTGTCTGGTCTGCTGATGATTTGCAATGAAAACAGCCTAATTTTAGCCACTGCATCAAGAGAATGCCAGAAGTACCCATGACTTCCTCTCTATGAAGTCTTTGTTGAAATGCTGACTCGAGCCCTTGGGGCTCTCATCTCGGCTCTCAGATTCGCGGTCTGCGATGGAGTGTTGAAAGATGGCTCGTGTCCGCCGACTTCTAATTTGCAGCGACTCGATCTGTAAAACGTCCTAGGTGAGCTATATTTACAATTTCATGAGGGATCTCTGCTACATCGTCTGAAAAGACAAGAGATCACCGAGAACAGAAGGCCGGGAGAGTGAAGCCTGAGTTTGCAAGCGCGATCACTGTTAAGTCGACTGGCTTCAGCGAAGGCTCTGGGTCGCCAATGGCTTGAAGGTGCTTCAAAGGAGAATGAAAAACATGAGGCAAAATCAATGGATTTCGGTTCCGGAGAGCCATTACATTACTCTAGAGCTATGTGAATCATCGGATCAATGGACAAGTAAAGGTTGGGGTGCACCCTCTTCACAACTCAGCAGCTTATAATTGATACTCATCCTGAATCAACCCCTCATTCTGATCACATACTTCCATAAAAATTCCGTAGTCTCGTCTTACCTCAGTAACTGGAAGCAGCTTTCGCTCTCAACTTCGCACCATACTTCCACAGAACCCACGGATACGGCAGTCCGATCACTAACCCAATAAAACACAGCGTGGTGTTTGCCCATCCATACCCAAGCACCGCATACATCCGCGGCGAGAACAGCGGGAACAGAAATGCACACATCGATTGGAGGAATCTCGTGGCAGCCATCGCGGACGACGTATGGCCAGAATACGAGTCGATGATATACGCAGTGCTGACCATGCCGACGCACTGTACGCCCATCAGAGAAAGGAATATCGCGACATCAACCGCCACCCAGTAGACTCTGTTCTCAGCGGTCCATCCGTAGAATAGCAGAAAGAGAAAGCCGATGATGAGACCTGGGACCATGATTGGCAGCCGTAACTCTGGTGTTTCAACACAACTGGGATTGCGAGCCTTTCGACGACGATAGAGAAAGTCGACGAAGAAGCCACAAATCTGCGATCCCGCAACCTCACCGAGAGAAATAGCGATGTAGTGCAGCCCACTTATTTCTACTGACTGGCCATAGTGCTCGATCCATAAGTTTGAGAAGGTGGATAGGACGATGTAGAGGAGACCATAGTTGAAGCCTTCAAGAATTGCTGTGATCTGGATAACAGGATGAAAAGCCAGAAGCCTCAGCGGACGTGAGAACGCTCGGCCAAGAGTCGACAGCAGTGTTTTCCCGCGCTCAAGATCCTCATGCTCGGTGTAGTATCGCAGGTCCCCAGTCTCACGACGTAGCTTCTCGGCTCGACGATGGAGGATCAGAGGCCCGTACGTCTCTTTGAAAGTCCCGATCGTGGCAATCATCATGACGGCTTGGAAGATAGACGTAGTCCAGAACATCCATCTCCAAGTCGTTGGCTCCGCCATGAATCCACCGATGATGGGACCTACGCAAGCTCCGAGGAGTGGAATGAGTAGGTAGATACTTAATGATCGACCGCGCTGTCCTGGTCGCCAGACATCGCTTAATACACCTCCAGCGAGGGCATAGATGGAACTGGCGCCGAATCCAGCTAGGAATCGAGCACCAATGAGTAGCCCCTTCGAATTGGCGAAGCCACATGCAATGTTCCAGACGAGGAACCAGAGACCGGAAGCATGTAAGACGATCTCGCGACCGTAGACTTCGGACAGAGGCCCGATGAGGAGTGGACCGAATGCTGTCGCGAGGAGGTAAATTGATAGAGCCATGGCCGACTCAGCCGGTATCATGTCCAAGTCTTTGGCGATGGTGGACAGAGCTGGTGCCATGATTGTAGAAACCATGATACGGTTGAAGCCAGTGGCTGAGAGGACATCGGTCACCGCCCACTTTCGACCTGTTGACCAGTCTAGAGGATTGTCGGCATCGTATGGAACCGCGAAGCCGACGAGGTATGGATCGTCTTGCTTCATGGCAGTTGGTGTGAAGGTTGCATTAGTGTAAGGAATTGGTGCCATTTCCAGTTCTGTTGGGGTCGTATCCACGATAATATCATGATTGTTCGAAGACATGTTGGGTTTTCCCGATTGTCTGGAGTGGGGTTCGCTATGTAGGGATTATGGTATGCTGAGAAGGGAAGAGGAGAGAGAGAGAGCATGACGAGCGACAAAGACGGAGGAAACTAAGAGATTAAATGCTTACGAGCGTCTGAGAAAAGAAACGAAACATGGGAGGCGGCCTGGATTTACTCCGACATGGCATCTGTATGTCAGGGCCGCTACATTGGCCACAGTCAAAGCAGGCGGTTGAAAGACTCTGGTTGGTCAAGGAGCGCCTGCCTGATGATCAGATAAGATGACAGAACGGTCCACTCTCCTAGAAGATGTTATCAGATCCTCGGCTGCCTGCTGCTACCCTGTAAGTGCATGGTGCGGACATGATGAGATACATGCGAGGGCTGGTGAAATGGTTTTTGGATGTGTCGTCTCGCGGCCAAAGAGAGTGCGGAAGGAATACCTTTTCTCGATTGGAAACTACATATAGGCTGAACCTACCACAACATAATTGAGAGAGAATGTTCTCAAAGATGTGAATATATTATCCTGGGCGAATGGGAAACGTAAGACATGAGGTGGATGTCGTTTGCGGGAGGAAGAAAAAAAAGCGAGCTCCGTATCCGACGGTATGAACTCGGGACCTTGAAAGTGCCTGCATTTACGTCCCAACTCGGGTCATCAATACAACCACGTTGACTCGGCACAATTTTACTCTTCGACTCACGCTCGCTCAGATGCTTTCCCCCGAGCATGACCTGCCTCATTCTGTACGAGCATGAGCCTTAAGTCGCGTGGTCTTATTTCTGTTTCTCTGAACATGGCCCCCCTAGAGTTTCCGTGAGAACTGAAACCTGTTCCGAGATATTGACAGTGTGGGTACAGGCTGTAATCGTATAGTTAGGTATTCTAGTGCAGCATCATACATCCTTGTTAAAAGTATCCCAAACGCCAGCCTCCTCAATCACTTCGAACCAGGGATCTTGCAACAACTCTTCCGCAGTCGGTCTATCTCGAGGATCCATTTTCATGATATTGAGAATGAGATCTCTGTCTTGGATTCGGATCTCTTTCAGAGAGGCTCTATTGAACGAACCTCGTTCGTCCTTCGGAACCGTATTGAAAAGAGCCTGGATTACTTTATCCGAATCCGAATCTTCTTTGTCACCGATGAGCTCTCGATATTTGGCTGGGATAGGTCCAAACCATCTGAACATGTTGACTAGAATGAGCCAGTCAAAGTCTTCATGGTCGTGCGACACTTTTGGCCGTAGAATATGCCACTCGCCTCCGTATATCAGCGAGATCAGCTTAATGATAAAGGACAATCAGCTCTGGGTGCAAAGGAGAGGATACTCAACTACCGTAAGAGAAAAGATTACTTACACAGAGTCCGAAGGACCAGATGTCTGTCGCAGTATTCCACGGCACGCTAATCAGGACCTCGGGGCTTCTCCAAAGCGGAGCGCCTATGCTGTGGCATTCTTTGGCAAACTTGGAGTCTACCTGAGAGCAAGAGCCCAGATCACTAAGTTCCACAGCTGAAAAGCGGTTATTCGCATCATTCGTTCCATAATTGACAAGAATATTGTCCAACTTGACATCTGATCTGAAGTTAGTTGACAGAACTCCGCAAAAATCTCAGTAAATCTTGCCAGTATGAACAAAACCCTCTTGATGTAGCGCTTTTAGTGACTCTAGTATCCGTTTAGAGACGTATTTGAGCTCTTCGCGATTAAGCATCTTTTGTTTGGACGCCTTGTGGAGATCGTCATCGAGATGCCTTAACGCGATGGCTAATGGTTCGGCAGGATCATGAATCTCATCGATTATTGGCCTGAGGTGTGGAACTTTCCTTTCGAATTTCCTGAGAAGGTCGCGTTCATGTTGAACCCTGTAATGGTTTGAGACTGCTTTGATCACAACCTGCTCTTGGCTGGAACGGTTCCTGTCCGGATTTAGCTTTCGGAACCCGAAGCTCAACGTTTACAGGCAGACTCACAGTGCAAACCAAACAGAATCACGGACTTCTTTGGAGATCGCATACTCTCCTACACTGCCCTTCAAAACTTGACCGAGCCTGTAGAGCGAAGACATCGTGACAAGTTGACCAAATTTCTGCAGATGCAAGAGGGCTCTTGAAGCCAACGGATGAAGAAAACGACTGTGAAGTCTCGTGGACAATTAATACGTTATTTGGGGCCAACTAAGTTTTTTTCCTAATGCCTCAACCATCATCTAAAGGATTGCTAAAACACATTTTACTTCACTGCGCTAAGAATGGCAGGGCCCGATTGATGTAAATACTAGACGTCCAAAAAAAAAAAAAAGCAAATAGTGACGCCGAAACTGTCATAATTGCAGTTGTATAAGAAGCTACTACAGAGAGAGAGAATCTCTTATATAAAGGGGTAGCGTACTTAGTAGTACGGCCTATAGTACTAAGTCTACGCCTATAATCCCTATATTTCTAATAGCCCCCCTATTCTCTATATCTGTAGTAAATAGAGCCTTCTAAAGCAGTATAGCGCTAAATATTCCCGAAGCGACGCTAGAGTATCGCCGAAGTATTGCTGATAACTTGTATCATATAAGGAGCCTCGATTATGCCTTATTAACTCCTGTAATATACTAGCATATATATAGTACCTATATCTCCTGTTTTCCTAGGAGTTTAGCAACTTTGTAGTATTAAAGCATATAAAACAGTATAAGAGTGTACCTAAATCGCTCCCTTATTAATGATCTCCTGCTCCTGCCGCTCTTATTCACCCTTCTTTATAGCTACCTCGTACCTTCCTTTTATAGCTACTAAGATATTCCTTACTAGCCTTCTCTCTAGCCTCTAGGGTATATAAAGGTCGTCCTCTTCTAGTTCTGTTTCTTTTCCTTCTTCCTTTAACTGCGGAATAAGATTCGTCTTAACTATTAGGTATAGTGGTTATATGTTATATTTTGCTTAATTCGCAGTTATATATTATCGTTAAGGAAGATATTTGTTAAAGGACTGATTTTCCGCGAAGAATATTCTATTTTTTATAGGTTCTACTACTAGAAACAGCCTTAATTTATATAGGTCTACTATTAATTAGCTAACTGTTATTAATCTTAGAGTTATTATTAGAGAATCAGTTGTTACTAGGTAACCCTATATATGTCTTATATCGTTTAAACGATTCTAAAGGTAAAGCTTTCGTAAGAGTGTCTACTATGTTATTATTACCTGGAACGTGTTTTACTACTAACTTATTATATAAAACTATGTTATCTCGAATATAGAACTAGCGGATATTAATATACTTTGCCTTTAGATGGAATTTCCGTTCTTTTAAGAGAGATTCAGCTCTAGCGTTATTAAGATATAGCGTAGGAATTCGGGATAGCTTTATATCGAGGTCTTTCTATAGCTTAAGTAACTAAGCTACTTCTCTGGAGCTATTACTAGCAGCTATTATCTCAGAATCTAAGCTAGAGAGAGCTGTAGACCTTTGCCTATTAGTAGCCTAAGAGATTAGACCCCTATAGAACCTTGCTATTTATCCTTAGAACGATTTCCTATTGTATTCCGTCCCTTACGTAGCGTTAGTCTAAATATCAAATATATCGTTGTTTAGCTTTCCCCTGTATTCTATTCCGATTCTAAACGTTATTCTGTTACCTTCTGTATATCGTAGATATCGGAGGAGAGGTTTCGTGTCTTGGAGGTGAGATTTAAGGGGATTTAACATATGCCGCGCTAGCTAGCCTGTTATATAAGTAATATCAGGTCGTGTGAGGTTCGAGAGGTATATTAGAGAGCTAATAATCTGCTGAAATAGTGAGATCTCTTTAAGGGAGGCTAGTACGACACCTTTATCTTTAGCTAACTCCCTTAGTACTATTCTAGCGGCTGTAGGTAAGGCATTACCTCTAGCTGCGGCTATTCCAAACCTTTCTAGTAGCTTTTGTGTATAAGCTATTTAATGAATCCGCAGAGTCTTATTCTTCCTATCTCTCTTAACTTATAGGCCTATAAACGTATCGATAGCTCTAAGGTCTTTGCCTTTCCAGGTCTTTAAGAGCTATTTCTTGAGATATTCGCAGTCGGCAGGGTTACCTATAATCAGTATATCATCGACGAAGACTAATACGTATACTCTATTCTTGAAGATAAAGAGATTAGGGTTAGCCTCTAACGCTTCTAGACCTAGCTTTTCTATCTTATCTTTAATAAGGAGCTACTATTCCCTAGGTACTTGTTTTAGGCTGTAGAGAGAGCGTAGGAGCTTCAGATATACGTCTTTCCTTCTATTCAGCTCTAAGTGAAGCTTATTCCATATCTCTGGCGTCTTATTGTTCGGAATCGTTATATATATATCTTCTTTTAAGTACGTGTTTAAGAAAGTAGTATTAATATCGATATACTCGATCTCTAGGTCTCTTTTAGCTATAATAGCGAGTAGTGCTTATAAGGTGAAATAGCGTATGACGCTCGCGAAGGTATCGAAGTAGTTAAGGCCGTGTTTTTACTTAAAGCCTCTTACTACGAGCCTAGCCTTTTGCCGTGCTATAGAGCTATCGGAGTTGATTTTATTACGTAGAACTAGTCTTAAAGATATTAGTTTTAAGCCGGAGGGAGGCTTACTAAAGTACACTCTATAGGTTCTAGCGCTTTGTATAGCTTATAATTCCTTAAGAATAGCGGCCTTCTATTCTACTAGATTATCCCTTAGAGCCTCTGCGATAGTTATAACCTTAAGAGGTCGTATAAGTTCACTCTCTAGTGTAATTAGCGCTATTTAACAGGTTAGTACCTTATTAAGGATTTGCTAAGAGTATAGCTTCGTAGTTATTACTTAAGCGGCTTACTCGAAGTATTGTTTTCTACGCTGTTTCCTACTATATCTTAATAGTAGAGTATTATCAGACGCGTTTACTAGTTAAGTCTATTCAGGGAGGCGTTAATCAGACGCTCCCTTAGTGTCTCTCACTATGTTTTCTGCAGCTGACCTTCCCCTTAAAGGATTTTCAGCTTCTATAGCTAGCCTCTCTCCTAGAGGTCTTTCAGCTTCTATAGCTAGCCTCTCTCTTAGAGGTCTTTCTAAGCCTTTAGCACCCCTAGCTAGCCTCTTAGTAAGTGCTGGACCGGTAGCCGGTAGCAGAGGTCTTTCTACTGCCTTATCACTGCCTTTTAGTATAGTTTCCTTACTACTAGTATATATAGAGTATATTATATACTTGTTAAAGCCGCAGTCGGCTGTTTCCAGTTCCTTAAAGGTTTCTATGTTCAGGAGCCTATAGGTTAAGGTGTTAGCTATACCTACTAATACGAAATACCCCGGAATCGTCCTTTACTTTATTTTACCCTAATATAGCCCTAGTGAATACAAAGGGTATACTATAGAGCTAAATACTCTTATTTTAGAGAGGTTTATAAGCTGTCCTTTGTACGCTTTGATTAGAGTAAGTCTAGTAGCTGTTTTATATAGTAAAGCAGTAGTTAGGCGTTTGTTCTTTAGCTTTACTACTTACTTAATAGCGTAGTATTATATATTCTTAGGTATCTTCGCGTTATAGAGGATTAAGCGTGTAATCTTAGCTAGTTTATATATCTATCGCTCTACGACTCTATTCAGAGAGTGTTTATATAGAGGAGAGGGTTTAGGAACGATTCCACTCTCTTATAGCTAGTTAATAAACTTAAGACCGAACTCTCCCTTGCTATTATTAGTCCTCTAGTAGATAATTATACGGAATTTGCTTTGCCCTTGAGTTTTAAGCTGTAGCTTTAATTTCCGAATAACTAGTTAAATAGTTAACACAAACTTATTAACTAAGAGATCTACCTAATATATCCTCGTAGTATTATCTACTACTAAAAGGAAGTATTTATAGCCGCGAATTAAGTGTAGTAAGATACTAGAGATATTAGCGTGTAGTTGATAAATAGGTATATTAGTTCTACTATCTGACTTCTTATTAAAGTGCTCTTTTATATAGCTTGTAAGGTAAGCCTCGTAATACCTCTCTCCCTTTAGCTCCGGAATAGAAATCAGTCTTATTCTGTAACCGCTGTAAGTAACTAGTTTCTTTAAATAGGCGTAATTTATATAGCTTAAACGCTTATGGAGTAGATCTGCCTTTGTTTTCTTTATACTAAGCTAACTCTCTATTCGTTCCTTTAGTAGCTTTAAGTCTAACGGAATTATATTATATGTAACTTAATATCGAGGATTCGTATCTAGAATATATAAACTTCTATTTCTTATACCTGTAAAAGCTAGTTTACTATTCCAGTATCTATTTGCTAATATCTTAGTTAGTTCTATATTAATTCCTTTATCTAAGAGTTGATATATTAATACTAGCTTTATAGCTCTAAAGTTAGGTACGTATTATACGTCTTTAAGAGTTAACCTATTAACAGTAATATCTCTATAACCTTTAGCTATCGAGTATGAATTAGTTGCTGTTTTAATGTATTTAGCGTTATACTAGCGCTTAAGTTACTTGAACTTAGCTAGAACTCTACTGAAGTGGCGAGTGGCGCTAGAGTCGATTTTCTAGATAGATTCTGTAATAGAGATTATTAATAAAGTATATTCTACGTCTTTAGTGTAGTAAATCTTTTCCGAAGGGAATACGAGATAAGTATTATTATCTTTAATTTCCTTTACTTTGTTAGCGCTATCTCTCGCGTAGGTATTCTTAGCTTTCGTATAATCTGTGTACTAGTAGTTGTAGCTTTTATATCGGGCATACTGATTTCGGCCTAATTTAGGGCGATTTCCTCTCTTTTCTACACGCCCTCTATATCTCTATTAGCTACTACCCCTGCTGTTATTATTCTGTCTTTCCTATCTTCTCCTGTTCTCACGTATATTACCTCTCCTATATGAATAGCCTCTACTCCTCTGGCCTCTACTATCTCTACTACCTCTCCCTTTATTGTAGTCTCTATTCGCGTAGTTCGCGGCGTTACTAGTAGCTACAGGTCGAAGCTGTTCCCTCTATTAAATTTAATATTCGTTAAGCTTTTATACAGTATCTCTAAGATCTAGGTCTTGCGATTCTAGGGTAAGCGCTATAGTAATCTAAGCTCCGGACGCTAGTAACGACTGTAATAGCTTAAGACGTATATCCTTATTAGTGAGAGGTTTACTATCGCCGCTAAGCTTTACTTTAAAGAGTAAGAGCCTTATGACGTAGTTCTGAAGTGTTTCCTCTCCTAAGATAAACTTTATCTTAAAGAAATCGTCTCTTATATTAGTAAAGGTAAGACTCCCTTGAACTACTTTACTTTTATCTGCGTGAATAGCTTCCTAGAGAAGCTTAGCGTCGTTCAGTTTAATAATATCTCTATACTTAGGAAAGAGAAGCTTAGAGATTAAGTTAATAACTATTTTAAAAGCTTCTTTCTTTTCCTTAGCGTGAGTATTCTACTAATTAACACTATTCGGCATGCTAACTTTAGTAAGAACGTGATAAAGAACACTAGCCTTAGCTAGCTCTTATTTAGTCTTAAGCTCCTATTCAAAGAAGTTATCGAACTCTAGTAGAGTTTTACTTTTTAAGGCTCCGGCGACGTGGGGAATTAGTGCTTTTAATTAGGATAATATCGTAGTATAGTAGCAGATACACTAAGAGTTGATAAAGTGGAGATCTTAATAAAAATGAAGTTTTAAGGTCTTTTTCGATTGATTGGAATTGCTACTATGTTATAATTGCAGTTGTATAAGAAGCTACTACAGAGAGAGAGAATCTCCTATATAAAGGGGTAGTGTACTCAGTAGTACGGCCTATAGTACTGAGTCTACGCCTACAATCCCTATATTTCTAACAGAAACAAATGCGGCTCAGCCGTGGCGCCAAGCCCTGGATTGCTGGGCTGCTCCGCCAATCATGCTTCATAATCCATCTATGCTGGGTTTTGCGGCTCGGTATGCCAAACGATACAACAGTTACTTTACTTTTTGTCTATGGGCATGGCAAAGCGAGCCAGAGCACAAGATTGTGTTTGGATGAGATTCAGGGTGCAGATTTGGCTCTTAAGCGCAAGCCCCTTCCAGCCCCACCAAAGTACACATCGCTTGACAAATTTTGATGCCGAAGTTTTTGCTTCAGTTCCGACGTCCATGCGGAGAAATTTCTACCTGCTCTAAGTAACCAAATAAGAAATCCCGTTACATTCACGAGTCCAAATCGGTTGTATAGTGTAGTGGTTAGCACGTGGGATTTTGACTACATATCAGAATCACGGATATCTTATCCTTTCCCGAATCCCCGGTTCGAGCCCGGGTACGACCTATGTGATCTTATCACTTTTTTTTTGGCATTTTGTTGCAAATCGATTTGAGTTTACTTTTCATCATTCTTTTGCTAGGGACGCTTTGTCTTCTCTTTTTCATTTTTCTTTGCAAAATTTTGTGGTGGGGGGAGTGGTGACGTCAAGCGAGCCTTCCCCTGTTGAAGACCCCGCAGCTCAGGGTTAGCGACGAGGTAAACAACAAGTACATATGAGTTTGGACCTGAGGCTTGTGGAATACATATGTGTACTTTCCAACTAAATGGGTACTTACAGCCGAGTACAAAGTTTGACCTTCTGTTCTCTCTCTATCTGTGACTGTACCTTTGCAGCCCATTGTTGGTCCAGAGTGTTCAATTGAGTTTGCCTGCTTGTGTAACAAGGTATGTGAAGATGGATATCAGATGTGCCGTGCAGTTCTCACTCAACCCCTCTAGGCTCCCCATTTTCAGCCCCGGATGATTCAATGCCACCACAACCCAAGCACGCCTCCATAAATCTACCAACTCATCGCCGTCCCTCCCGTTCGGATTCCATGCCATCCCGTTGCACACTGGTACAAAGTTCCGGACACAAGGGTACAAAGCAACAAAACATTGTCCCACAGCATGACTACCAGTAGGCACCATGTATGAACATCGGTTTGTCCCTACCTAATCTAAATTCCATTCAAACAATGTCGGGACCTTGCAGCTGTATGCGGTGCTCCGTTGGGACAAAGTGGATTGCTTGTAGCCTTAAGTGAGCAGAGCTCCTGGGATGATGGTCCTCTCGGAACTGATTCGGATTTCCTTTTGTTCTTGAGATCAAACAAATCCACCAAATCTCATCATTGTTTGCATGATTCGCCCTCTGATCGAGATCATTCAGCACCGATAGTCACAATCTATACGATGTTTCCCCACCACTCCCCCACGTTCACTTATCTCCTCATGCTCCTCCCAGCAATCACCCTTCTCATCTCAGCACAACAACCAACACCTTTCATTCCAGCAACCCACCTTGGATACGGCATCTCAATACCCACTTCAACCACCGCTTCCTCCCAAACCGCACATTTCTTTCCTCCTCTGCCATCCGCTTTCCACCTTTCAAGAACCGAAGAAGCATACACTGCATCAATATACTCAGCCCTAACATCCGTACAATCGACATGGACTGCAGGATCTGAGTATCCGAGGATCACAGCTGCTATTAATGGTATTATTCTGATCCAAATTCCACCTATCCTAACCACCTCCATATTCTCCATCAGCCTATTTCCCCTCTCACTTCAGAATAATGAAACCTCGATCTCCCCTCCCCCTCCCCCAGTCTTTCCCCCAAAAACTAAAAGAAAAGAAATTTCACCCAACTCAGCTAACCAACCCCCCTTCTCTCCCACCAACAGCCGCCGCTCCCACAACCCTGCATCCCTCGCTGCTAGCATCAGGCTACAACTGGCTTGAAATCGTCACCTCCCCCTGGTATAGCAGTGTCGACGCTTCGATCCGCGAAGAAATATCAGCACAGGAATCAGCTTTACAAAGCGCATTCGATAGTATGGTTCCTGCGGCATCCGTGGACTCAAATTCAGACAAGGATGGGAATGGAAAGGGTGGGAACATTGGAAATGGAGGCAGCGCAAAAAGTAATGGCGGGTTAGGGAGGAGTGACATGTTGATTCTTGGAAGAGCGAGTAGCAGTGGAAGTAGCTGGGCGTTAGGGATGGGTTTGGGTGCTGGCTTTGTGGTAGGGGTCTGGTTGGTTGGTGGGTTCTGAGTGCTATCCCCTCTTTCGGCGGGTTTATAATCTGGAAATTTGGAGAGGACTCTGGCTGTCTTTGTAATTTTATTGAATGCATTATTGGAAAGAAAAATATCGAGCAACGCTATTCTGGTCTGTGCTAACATTGGGTATCCGTACTCCATTTCCTTCCTTCCCTGCCAACAGCTGGCATCCACCCATCCATTCATTCGTTCCCTCTTACGTATCACCCAGTCACCCTCTCACCCTGTTCGTCAACAGCAACAGCCTCCCTAGCCTTGAACCCAACACCCGGCAGGCGACTCCTCAAAGCCAGACTACTACACACCACACTGATACTACTCAGCGCCATAGCCAAGCTCGCCCATACAGGATCCAACCTGATGTGTTTCCCTCCACTCGAGATGGGGTAGAACACTCCAGCTGCAACGGGCAGAGCCACTAGATTATAAACCAAAGCCCAGCCAAAATTAAACTTGATGCGTCGAAAGACGAATTTACTTAGATCGAGCAGCGTGATGAGGGAGTTAAGGTTACTGGAGACGAGAACGAACTCAGCCGACGAGATGGCGATGTCAGACCCGGAGCCGATTGCGATTCCGACATCTGCAGTTGTGAGAGCGGGCGAGTCATTGATGCCATCTCCAACCATGGCGATGAGAGCGCGTTTGTCTATATGATCTTTCCCAGAAGAAGTGCGCGACTTGAGGGATCTCTGGAGATACTGGATTTCCTTGGCTTTTTCACTGGGTAGAACACCGGCGATAATATTGGTGAGAGGAATGCCGACTTTCGCTCCAATGGCATTGGCTGTAATTGGATTGTCACCCGACAGCATCCAGACATCCTTTCCACTCTTCTGCAAGGCACGTATGATACCTGGTGCTTCTGGTCGGATTGGATCCGAGATAGCGAACATCGCCGCAAGCTGCCAATTACCAGCGGGTTCCAGAATGCTGTCGTTGAAAACTTTGACCGCTGCTAACGCGACGGATTTGCCCTCATGCTTCCACTTTTCAAGTTCAGATCGCGCAGGTATTGGTATGACGACATCGTTGATCGACATGAAGGTTTCATTACCGATGACCGTCTCTGCTCCAGCACCTGCAATGGATCCGCCAAGGTCGAAACTACCACCCAATCCTCTTCCAGCAATTTCTTCCACACGCTCAACGTGAACACCTGATACAGTCATCTTCTTGCAGAATGAAACAAGAGCCTTTGCGACGGTGTGACTACTATTCTCCTCCAGTGCTTTGACCATTCCCAGAATAGTTGCTTGGGACTCTTCTTGACTAAATTCCTTGCTCTCCTTGGCTTGCTCAAGTTCTTTGACCAAGCGGAGGATACTTGATTTAGAAACTTGGCTATTCTTGCCAAAGTCCATAGGAAAAACGTTGAAGTCTGTGACGACCGGTTCTCCGCCTATGGTCAAGGTGCCCGTTTTGTCGAAGACAATGCAATCGATCTTGCTCGCTTTCTCAAATGCCTCGCCTCCTCCCTTCACGAGTATGCCATATTTTGCTGCGAGACCGCCACCCACGAACAATGCCGTAGGAGCCGCTAATGCGAGACCACAGGGGCAGGCAACAACGAAAACAGCGATAGCAAACTGTAATGACCATGCGACCCAGCCGCCGGAGTCATGACCTAAATAGCTTCGTGGGAGGGTCCCAGAAAGACCTAATCCAAGCCACACCAGCCAAGTTGTAATGGCGATAAGGGTGACGAACGGGACGAAATAGCCAGTCAAGGTATCGGCAATGCGCTCCATTGGAGCACGGCGTGTTTGACCTTCACGGACGGCCTTAACAATTTGATCCAGCATCGAGGCTCCCGCAACACCAGTGATTCTTACAGAAACTGGAGACTCTTTATTGACAGTGCCTGAGAATACCTCATCCCTGATCGACTTTTTCACAAGTCGTGATTCTCCGGTGAGACTAGACTCGTCAAACTTTGAATCTCCCTGAACGATTGTCCCATCGCACGGTGGAGAGCCTCCTTGGAGCACCTTCACTGTGTCACCGAATTCCAGTAAATCAACATTCACACTCTTCACGGGTTCGGGTCGCTGTTCGTTAGCGAGCTGCTCTCCGGCCGGAATGTTTTCGGTCAATGTCTCTTCACTTGATCGACTTCCACAAGGACGTTCGATGAGAAGTGCTTCGGTAGGCCGCAGCTTTCCGAGCATGGTGACGGCATCACCTGTCTTGGATTTGCTGTAAGATTCGATGAGTCGGCCGACGAGGAGAAAGAGGGTAAGGAAAACCACGGAGTCGAAATAAAAGCCACTGTCCTCCACGTGTTTCGACCCTTTGGCACCAGCTGCAATAAGCTGAGCAACGGATGAGATGTACGCGATGGATGTACCGAGAGACATCAGCATATTCATACTTCCAAAGCGGTAGAACCTTTGTAGCATGGGTGTCGAGCTACCACGTCGCCACATAGATCGAATTTCTTTCAGCGCCCGAGTATGAAATACATCAGCACATAGGAAGTACACTGGAGTCGCCAAAATAAAGAGTGACCATTGTGTTCGACTAACTCCAGCATACAGAGGATGCATCAAAAATCTTTTGCCTGAATTGTCGCTGGGTACTAGACTCATGTAGATGATGCCAATGATCAGAGTCGGAATGGCGATGGTGAATGTAAGGGCAACTCTGATAAGGATTCGCAACTGTTCTCGGGCGTGAAGCTGTCGAGATCTTTCCTCGAGGGTGGGTGGATGGTATATTGAAGGGCTGATTGTTTCGGCGACCCCTGAGATAGCTGCGATGATGTCTCTGATAGTGAAGTCGGGTATCCGAGGAGTGTAAGTGACCTGTAACACCGGGTTCTGGAGGGATACAGGCCGACCAATGTTGATCTTGCTGCCGAATGCTGTTGAAAGGGCCACGTGTACACGAGGAGGGCAATGTTCACAGAACATTCCATCTATCTTGATCTCGACGGTGCGCTGTTCGCTTCGTATGCCGGAAACAACCTTGCTGGTATCGACGATAGAGTCAATGGCTGCGTCATATCCGATGTCCTCGATGGCCCCAACTATATCATTCTTGTGTCCTTCTCCCACATACTCAACAGTAGCACTGTTCGAAATTAAGTTGACGACGACTTTGTTGACCCAAGATTTCTTTTCCAACTCCTCAGTGATAGCTCCAACGCAGGCTGCACATGTCATGCCACCAATAGCTAGAATAGCCCGCCATGTGTCTGCATTGACCTCTGTGTCGACCGAGTCAATGGTGACCAATTCGTTATTCTCGGGCAGGTACATCTTCGAATTTTTGCCTCCATAATTGGCAGACGACGACGCTTTTGAATCGTGAGGTTTTCCAGCTGCGTCTCGCCGACATGCTTCGCAATGCTCAATGTGCTCAGAAGAGCATTTGGAATTCTTCCCATGCCGCGAATATTGGTCTGACGAAAATCTATTGATAACTCGATCGAGGTAACCATCCGAACCATCGATGTCTGCGGCTGATGATCCAATGGGAGGGCGGCTGAGGTCTGGTGCAACGTCGTAGACTTCGAAGCCTGCATTTTCCAGAGCATCTTGTATGTCCGCGACCGATATAGCAGCGTCGTGTTCGACTGTGACTACAGAAGAGACAAGAGATGGTGATACGGTGGCTGGGGGAGGATCGAGGGCGTATAAAGTATTTTGAATATGGGAAACGCAGGATGGACAGTGGAGGTTAGACAAAATAAATGAAGTCGTAACCATGTTCGGTGGGCGTGTGGAGTGAGACATCTTTTCTGAGGAATATGGTAGAGAATCCATCGCGACTATTGTTCGCACTCGCGTTTATCTCATCCGGGTGGTATGAAGAACGGGAAGGTGTGATGGAGACCAGTTGAGGGTCTCGGAGTTGTATATGGAGGAGGAAAGAAGGGACGGGGACTGCGAGAAGCTGCGAGAAGAAAAGGGAACAAGGGAAATGAAAATCTATGACAGATGACATTCCACTCGGATGTACACTGCATATTCATTTGGTTGATAATTCGGGCTGATATTGAAGAAGCTGAGTGGATGGTAGTTGTGGTGATTCACCGCAGAAACGTCGCAACGCACAAATCTCGCACCGCACAATCCGCGCTGTCTAACCTAATCTCTCCTAGCAGCAGGCACTAGCATCTATCACGTGTAGTGGATAGGCGGTTTCGAAATACATCAAACAGAGTGAAAGTGAAGGATTTAGATTGTTCGCAGCGAGAAAGACATGTAGTACGAGAATCTGGTGTGTTTTGTTGACATCGAATGAGGGTGAGAGAGTCCTCATTTTCCCTGATGCCTCTCTAGGCTCGCTTGTTAAATCACAGCCAGCCAAAGGGATATTCGCGGACAACATTCAAGAATTGCTTTCTTGTCGTGATACTTTGTTACAGATAAGAGGCTGAGAATTCAGAGGATTGTAACCTCTGGCTTGGGCTTGCATGTCCATCGACTCGTTCATCCAAGAGGCTTGATCTCTCACAGTCACGTGCCAAGCTACGTGTTCTCTGCACCATCTGCGAAACGGCAGAATCTGTACCCGAACGACCCATGCCTTTCATCTATGCAGACCGTATATCCGAAAAGCTTGTCTCTACGTCCTGTTTTCAGATGTAAACGTTTCATTCCGTATGAAGCTAATTTTTACCCAGATTAACATGCCAAGCTGCCTGAATTCCCCGGGCGGACATTCGGTTTGATCTTCACGTACGGCACTCACGAGACACGATCGATACGAAGAGACCAATCGCCGGTCATATGCTCCAACAAGGAGTATAGGAGTAATATAGGTACACGATGTCGATCTATCAGGTTGATCTCGTGAAGGGAAAGGCGTGCTCTGAGCAGTGTTGACTGCTTAATCGGATTGGCACTGGCATTTCGAATTCAGCTCTTGCTCGAAATTATCATTGTCTTTGAGTGAAAGAGGTTCAACACAGAGGGACAAGGAAGTGAAGGATGCCTGGTCACGTGCTCGGTGCTTAACTCCCGGAGATGAACTCTTTCCGTTTCATCCAAATGACTCCAGCTTTAGATGATCCCAATTGCGTCATAGAGTTCATTTGATCTTCAATCAGCCTCACGCAAGTTATGGACAGGCTGAAAGGTACCCGGCTTGCGTTCCGACGCCTTGCAAATTGCAAAGTGTCCTTGTGAATCTCGCTACCTTCAATGCCATGTGTATGAGAATCCCCATCCTTTGGTCTTTCAGTCCTCTCTGATATCTCATTGACCATCTCATCGAGTTAAAAATGTATCCAACTTGACTACTCCTGTTGGCGGCAAGTGTCGCTGCACAGAAATGTCCACTTCAATTCGACGGACGTGTTCCCAAAGACGCAACACTGGCAACATTTGACGGAAGTTCCAGCCCATTTAACGCCCAATATGTTTTGGGAGCCAGTAAGTGCGCAGTCAACCGCGATCATGGTTGTTATATCTGACATTTTCAGATCTGAAGTGGAGCGGTGTCTTGCAACTCCCCAATGTCAACTCATCGCTCGTAAGAGTCCCAACTCCCCTCATGGAAATCAACTCTAATCAGCCAGTTTGACTCCGACGGAACCAAAGCAGTCGAAGTGACCATCAAGTATCCCTTTCCACCCCTTTCCACCATCTCCCCTTGTCAGAACCTTCACTAACCCTTCACCTCCAGCGACAAATCCATCTTCAACAGCCAAACCGGCTTCCGCCGTGCCGAACTCCTCCCCCTCTCCAACAGCGGCAGCGACGCCTCTACCACAGGAGTCAAAACCATGCACTTCTCCATCATGAAAGATACCACTCGTCCCCTCAACAGCTCACACGAATATCAACTCTTCTTCCTCGAATCAAGCGACTACAGTACCAACCAGGTCGTGCTCAAATACGGAAGTATCATCGGAGGGAATCCCGGAGCAGCGAATCCAGACTCGCTGTTTTTGCAGGGGAATGTCAACTCGAAGCCGATTAAGACGATTTTTTCGACAAAATTTACGCCTGCAACCTGGCATAATTTTGGGTTGACACTGGATTTTGTGAAGGGGTAAGCTCTCTGTCTCGTTACCTCCCATTCCAATATCAGCCCAGAAGATCTGTCTAATATCGAATGATGCAGAACGACACAAGTCTACTACTCAACTGGCAACAAACCGCTAGCTGCCGTCAGCACGGCACTCACAAACAATGTTGCCGGGCAAGGACAATACCATTTCGGCATCTTGAAGAAACCAGTTAATCCTGGCTCAGACATCACGAAGAGTGGAAAACAGCCTTCTGGTATCAATGAGGGTGTTATCTTCGGTGGTATTTTTGAGGAGGATAGCAGCTCGAACTCCTGCGTTAGCTTGAGTTCATGAGGAGATGTACGCTATGTAGATTAAAAATGGCGAGTGATGCGTGGGGTATTGAATTGTACATAGTTCCATGAGAAAAGTTTTGGAGATAGAACAAATTCTGAAGTGGATCGATGGAAAGAGATGGTTTCAGAATTTGCAAAACAGGATCCCCTTTTGTTTGTCTTAATATATCGGCTTACGTCTTTGCATCACGAGGCGTGGTGTTGGCTGATCTGCCTGAGCTTGCTGAAGCACGACCCGGCTCCGACGGCAACGATTACGGGCTATGAACTCAATAGTGTTTCAACTGATTGAAAGTCCTTTAACTTAAATGCCATATAGCTAGCAGGTCTTCGCAGCACTTCCAGGCAAAGTATTGAGGAATGTTTTCAAATCAACTTCAGCACACTGGCCGGCATTTTCCTCTCACTACAACAACCCACACTATTTAACAAATTCTCTTTCCTTCATCTCTAGCTTCTTCCCCATTAGTCTCCTGAAATAGACATTATCAAATCCGGATTCATCATCCGCGCGTCCATCCCGTCCCAAACAAAGTGGGAACCGTGCGTATCCACAACACCTCGCCTGTTTGTCTTGGCGCGACGTCCCTTGTTTGGAAACTCAAAACCGACAGCCCAAACATGTCGTCCGAAACCTAGAGTGACACGCAGGTGTCAAACGCGAGGGTCAAACAATATATGGAGAAGTTCTTTAAGCATCGGAAGATCGGAAGAAGGGGAAGACTAGGCTGGTATCGCTGTGCTTCAAGTATTGGCGTATGCCCGAGTGTGGTGTGAAGGGACGGACGGAGTCTTGCTCGATTTCTGTTCTTTGTCTTCGATTTTTAGTTTATCTACGGATATCGTCGTTATTGTATGAAAAAAAGGAGAAAATAAATCATGGATTCAGATATCGGATACAAGAATATTTACATTTCGGACGAACATGATCACGAGGAAGTACTTTCAACAACAGAAGTCGACGAGTCTCTCATGGGCGACGAGAAACCATTACAAGATCGCAGAATATCCAAGACACAATCATGTATGGATACAATTCGATCATTTCGATGGATTCTCGATACTTCTTTACTACTCATAATCATCGGACTGCTACTTCTCATACGGCATGAATGGGCCCAACGAGAAACACTGCCTGCATCATGGCAGGTCGGAGGAGATTATACTGGAGCCGGTCCAATTTGTAAGGGAAATTTTTTTATTAGGGCAATTGAATATCAGCAGCTTACTTTACTATAGTCCCAACACATACGCAGAAATTCACATCTTCACCGTCGTTCGCCCCCCTCAACGCCACCCAATTCTTCGACCCTTCCACCCTCACCCTCTGGAACACCCTTATGCCACCGGGAACCGGACTTCCAGCTCACGACCTAACCCACATATTCTTCACCACATCTATGACGCACCAGCCTCACTGCGTGTACATGATGGCGCGGATATTTTCCGGGATGGTACTGAACACTACGGAGGTGATCGGTGAGGGCATGATACCGGAGGATTGGCATTTCCATTTTATGCATTGTGTGGATTATATGAGGCAGGCGGTTATGTGTGGTGCGGATTTGGCGGAGGAGCCGCATGAGCCGGATGATTTGGAGGCGGGGAAGTTAGATGCTGCGTGGGGAGCTAGACATGGTGAGTATTGCCATCAAAGAGAAGTGAGGCTTTGCGATGAAGATGCTGATGCTATGAGTGTAGTTTGTAAGGATTATGGAGCAGTGACGAGGTATCTTGGAGGTGAGTTATTAGGGAGATGTACTTGTGTGGCAGGTGCTAATCTGTACAGATCAAATTCTAGACGGGGCGAGAGTAGTATTGCCAATTGATGACTGAAGGCAACTCAGATTGTATGGATTTCATCCCCATGCGGACAGGTCTGTTGGCTCTGTGGATGCCGCAGTGAAGGGGCGATGTGTGGTGCAGCGCAGCTACAGACAGCGGCTGCACGGTTGTCGATGAAAAGAATTTCGCCTGAATTCGAAGGTAATGATAATATGAACTAATTACGAATGTTATGATCAATCAAATGGCACGTATGTGGCAATCACTTTAAATCACTTTGAATTCCAACCTCGCTTCGCTGTGTTTATTTCCTATTCGCCTATTTCAGGGGCCTGAAGCTTGGCGTTTGGGGTTACAAATCTCAGCTCGACAGCAGCAAAAGCAGCTTGAAATTTTGGCAAGAGATTCTAGAAGTGATCAATGTTTCCACGTGTAATCTCATAAGGTAGTCGCACAGTTGAGGTAGGTCTGAAGTATTGTGCTATCACGTGTATTCTCTTGGCATTTGGTGAGTCAGACAAATGAAGCCCCGAGCAAGTTTTGACGCCAAAAAACTGACTACCTACTCTGATCCTCGTTACTTCTAAAATAACACATCATAGGTTCTTAGATAGACTGAGGAGAGAACCGCTCTTCTGACTTCTGATATAACCCTAAGGTAAGTAGATCTCGCTTGAAATATGGAGCTGCTTGCCGAGGTGGATCCCACAGGTCCACATTTCAATATCAGATCCTATGACCGGGAGATACCAAAAATATGTGAAGAACCTGCCTATGATCATAGACTTGCCAAATAATAGTGGATGTTGACCACTCTATCTCACTCCGGCCTTTGTTGCTACACATGAAAACCAAAGATGTATCCTCTATTCTCGCATAGAAACTAAACGCAAAAAAGAATTGATATTGGATAGGGCCGAATTGGGGATTGAACCCAAGACCACATACAGTGTTTGATGAAACCCAAAGCATGTATTCTACCACTGAACTATCCGGCCTATTAGATATGAGAAATGTTCTTATTTGATTACATGGAGGGAATAATGCAGCGTTGCTTTGACTCACAATCCACCCGTGTGGCGGTGAGATATGGTGGGGCAACTTTGCATAAACACCTCCACAGATTTTCATATCTTCATTTCATATTTCTGTATGTATTTAATTTGATCAATGGCATGGTATTGCAAGATTTGTGACAGAGCTACCAGGACACGAGACCCCTCGTATGTGGTGCTGGAATGATCAATCTTGTAATATCCAGACCAAAACTCTATTTCTAAAACAAACGATGCGCCGTCCTAAAACCAATACGCCCAATACAATCTATGAAAATCCATGAGAAGAACTCTTCAGTATCTCGATAGTAGATGAAGTCTCTGTCTTCGCCTGGCCATCCTTGCATATCCCTGAATAATAATGATGACTTCTATCCTATTCTCCAACCGTCGCTGTACAACAAAACCCTCATCCACGCTCCTAATCTCCCCTTCCTCCATTCTCACCCACACCTGAGGCACTTGTACTACTGTCAGCAAGATATTTTTCCCAAAGCGTCAAGATATTGGTACCTTACCAATCTACTTCCGTGCACCTTTCTCCGCACCATCATCATGCAAGGTTGAAGTTTCTGTTTGGCCATGAACCGGCATCGAGGAATCATCCTTCTCGACGGCCTCAGGTTCGGTTCCTTGGCCATTTCTGTCACCCTGAGAGTTCTGATGGCGAGGTGAAGGCTTTTCACCATTAGACTGGCCATGGCCACTGCCTGTTGCCGGAGGTTGCAGGGCGCTTTTCTCTTCCGATTTCTGGGCCTTTTGTGCTTCCTTTTTCCTCCTCTTTGATTCCTTCTTTCTCTGGCCCCTGGATTTTTCTTGGCTGCTTTCCAGTCTTCGTGCCCTGCTCAGAGGATTGACTGGTTTGTTGGACTTCGTTTTTCATCCCCTTGGGATCGGATCTGAAAACATCCTCGCTCAGAATTGGTCCGGTGTCGATCCTCCTGTGTCGTGTCTCCATGGAAGTGTCTGCTCGGCATCGCATCCCAATTTCCTTGGGCATACTGTGAAATTCCTTCCCATCCTTCGCGATGTTGTCATGACGGTCGTGATCTATGTTTCTATCTCCTGCCTCAGCATGCAAAGAATCACAAGCTGTGTCGGCGGCACTCGCTCGCTGGTCTTTGTGCAATTGTGCCATTGCGTCCTCATATTCCTTCCACTCCTCTTCTGTAATACCAAGTTGCATCCACTCCGGAATATCAACTACAGTATTGGTTGGAGCATCAGTTTGTGTCAGCGGCACACAATTAGTGCCTAGCCAGTTGTCCAGCTCACTATCGGATTATGACTGGCCATCGCTCTCTTGTTGGTCAATGTCGTCGTCGCTTTCAGTACTTAGTACATTTGGATCATCATGCCTTGAGATCTGATCTTCACCATCTTTACCAGCGTTGACTCCATCTCCCTCATTGTTATCTTTTTCCTTGGTGGTAGATTGTTGCTGGTGATCATTGTGGGTACCACGGCTCTGAGTCTCAGGAGCTGTTTCTCGACTGCCGTCGTTCGAGGTCGAGCCTTGGCGTTCTCCTCGGGCATCATCGTCTTCCATTGGCCACTAACTCTGACTGTCCCACAGCTGGCATATCTCCAGAGCATCTTCTCATTCCTATCTCGTCAGGAAGAATTTCTAGAAGGTGTCCCTGGCCATACCAATAGCTGTCCATGGGTCATGATCAACAGATTCCTTGCTACCATTGTCTTGCCGTTCATCGTTGCCATCGATGTCACTCTCAGCATATCCAGCTACGTCCTCGCCTGACTTCGAGTTGGTTGTGTTGGTATCATTTGGCTGAATGGTCCTAAGACTGTTAAGAATGCTTTGTTGAACATCAGGATGCCCATTGCCTGAGTTATGCGACGATGCTTTGACCGAAGGCTGCCAGGATGAAGTCTTGTTGGAAGATGTACTACGGAGCTTGGCATAGCTGAGTAGCAGGCTTTCTTGTCTTGCACGCTCCATATCGGCTTCAAATTCTGGATCGGAATGAGCGTCGTCCGAAACCAGAGCAGGGATGTCATCGGGATTATTGTCACTGTGAGCCGATGCAAACACCTCGTCTCTGGAACCAGCCCATTCTTGCCACCCTTTATCTTCCCGAGTTGTTCGTTTCTCAGCATGAGCAGCGAGTTTTGAACCGTTCCTATGCCAATGCCGCTCTCCCGCTTCTATCTTCTCAATATCTCTCGTAACATTTGTCACAGTCGCATCATTCTCCTTGTCCGAATCTGCAGAATAGAAATCTTTGTAAGGAATCTCATCGTCGACATCGTCGATGGGGAAACGCGGTGGTCGTGCAACATGTTCCGGCTCGGCGGCCGTCTCGGGGTTCAAGGCGTCCATGTACTCGTCAAACCCTTCTCCTGCGTTTGCTGCATCTCCCTCTCTTGTATGGACTTGAAGCGACAAGTCGCTGACAATGATGTTTGTTGACCCGGTGTGGCTTGAATTTGGGTTTGTTGAAGTGTGGGTCGATTCGGAATGATCTTCTTGTATATCGTGGTCGAAGTTTTTGTTCTTCTTATCCTCTGCAGAGTTCGGTTCTCTCCTTTCTTGCATTTTGACGTTCATGGGATGTGTTGGTGACTTATCGTTGCTCTCCATCGCGTTGGTGGTGATCAGTGCAGAATAATGCAGTTTGAGATGATCCTGGAGCTCTGTTGGGTGATGGATGGTAATATACTCCCCTGGATATTTTAAAAACTTCCTCACAATGAACATTGATGAGCTGACGAGAAATGCCCTTAAATCTCCAAGGAAATTGACTGATTTTCAGCTTGACGCTTTGCAGGTGTCTGATGCCTGGTAATGAAGGAAAACCACGGATACGTTGTGTCTCAAGGACTTTGGCATGGCTCTTACTGAAAACGACAATAAACTGTCTTTAGAAATTGACACTACCGGACTATGAAAGAAGAGCAAAGACTTTTTCACAATTGATACTTGCGAATGTTTGTTATGATTTTCAATGCAGAAATATAATGTGTTTGATGAGACATCTAGCCACCCCTTTCAACATTCGCCCTAACTACATGCTCGAGCCACAAATCTGCGGTCCGTCCTTGTTTCCCAACTACACATCTGTATCAGCAACTGCACGTATTTCTAACGCAGTATGTGACTCACCGGTATGCAACAATCAGGTCTCCATCCGCTGGAACAAAGTCCTTTTGGCAACGGCTCTTTGCCTGCAGTACGCTCCATGTCAACAAAGTTTCATTCATGCTGGGTAGATTGTAGACTCAAGGAAGACATGACTTACACCCGTACGATATATAAACTCCTCCAACCAGAGTATCTCGGGGACTGAGTCTCTTTGTCTGTTCGGGATTGTTGTATGCCAACATGTCGCAGCATAGCATGGTGAAGCCGGCTGTGCAGCTGTAGCTGTGGACTGACACGGGTGACAGCGTGAGAAGGGAGAGGATGATTGGGAGTTTCATTATTGATCGTGCTGGTTGTTTTCAAATACTGGAGGAAAATATCTTAACACAAAGAAGATGATTGTGTTCACAAGAGAAGACTCACAGCCTATATTTACAGTTGACTTACTTTGCTAACATGAGCGAAATTGCGGTACCATCGATCGTCAATTTGTGGCACCATCTGTAGCGACAGTCGTTCCACTTTCGTGGTACAATAACCGGCTGCCTACATGGAACATAAACACGTTCTGAAGGTGATGATTGGAAGAGGTTAAAACTTCTTCTCTCCATTCCTTCTCAGCAAACAGGCGCTACGGGCGCTGTAAATCTAGGCGAGGGACGCTGTAGAATTACCCCGCTATCTTATTTGGGGCAGGAAATTACCCCGCACATGAGCCGTCTATAGCGTCTTCAGGGGTTGGTCGCTACCTAGGCTTCCAGGGAGGCATCCGCTAATCTGGTCACATTCTTGTCGATGTCAGTAACACAATGGAAAAAGCTATATGTGATGCACACTTAGGAATTGTTCATGGCAGTACAGTCTACCTAACATATCCCAAGATCGACCACTCATTTCCATCGGTTCCACGGAATGTCGCACAATGCACACAATGCTGTCTGATCGTCCAGCTTCGTGGACATGGACATCCCAGCGGGATTGGAACTGAGCTACTTGAAATTCCGCGTTGGAATTTGAGGTTACGATGATAAGAAGGGTGTAACCTATTTTTCGTATTTATTCAGTGAAGTGGTGTACTATTGAGCTGTAACTCCTTTCAAGGTAAGAATATCCTCCATCAGAGACGGACACATTTTGAGTGTCTCGGCTCGATGGAGCAGATCCTGCACTACGCAGCTAGCCTGATCAGAAGCAATGCATCAAGGAGGATCGAGGTATATATCGAACAAGACCTTCCCAAGTCGTTCTAAATCACCGGAGTGGTAAGAGAAGCGAGCCCCTGAATGGATGTAAACATGCCAGCACTCAATCGCTAAAGTAAGGTTGGCTTGGCGAGAGGTGGGGTTCCTCACCGCCCTGCCCAGCTTGTGACAGCTCCGAGTTTCAACAACGACCTCGATCCAAGCACACTTCGTGACAACTCAAAGACCCAGAAGCAACGGACAACCATGGAGAAGCCTATCGAAATGGGAAGCGACTACATCGCCCTTCCTCCATGTCAGTTTTGCCCAACAACTCCCCTGGCGGAAGATGGGCAGCAGAAGCTAGCTTGCTGTGATAGTAAGTTTTCTAACGCTTCGATGCGGAATATCTACCAACATGGAGAACACAGCTGCCTGCATTGAAGTCGCAGCTCAAAGAGAGTGTGATGCCGAGAGCGATACCAACACTGCCAGCAGCACGAAAGAGGCAGAGTCTACTGGTAAAGCTACCCTCGCTGTGCCGCTGGTTCATGCTTACACGTCACAGATACACCGCACTGCGCTGGGGGATGCTGCTCTGGAAAAGCTTCAAATTCGAACAACAAGAAAGCTGCCCGAACTGCGAAACTCAAGGCTGCACGTGAACGATATGCCGCAACTTTGGAAGCTGTCGGCTGCATCTGCAGAGCTCTCCTCGCTCGAAACCTTGAAACCTGTTGTTCGCCCCATACAAAGCGATCTTTGAGATCAGCTACCCCCCGAGCTTCTACATCTTCGAGCAGTCTGCGACCTTCTACATCTGGATGCTGCTCTGCAAAGGAGGCTGGTACATGCAGCAAGCCCACCAAGAAGGCTGCCACATGCGGGAAAAACACCGATACTGGGGACGGATATGCGTCGGCCAGAGACAAGATTGCCAGCTGCAAGCCATCACCAGGTCCTTGTGCTTCCAATACTGGATGTTGTGGCTCGGGGAAACTCAATGGTACGAGTTCGATTGCTCCAACCAAAACGGACTGCTCATCAGGTCTATCTCAGATGCCAAGTGACGCCGCGCCGAAGACTTCCAGTGAAAGTGCATTGGCTGCAGCTGGATGCGGAATTGGCCCCAAGTCAAAGTCAGCAAAGGATGGATGCTGCACCGGCGAAAAGACTGAAAACTTGCTATTAGCTCTGAATCAGGCTCTTCGAGAGGAGGACAAGAACTGTGCCACAAGATCCTGCTGTGCCAAGAAGAACGAGGTTCCGGTTATTAAAGCTGGGTGCGCCAATTCTTGTTGCTCCAAGAAGCCTGTTGTTCCATCACCCGAAAAATCTTGCGCCAAAGCTTGCTGTGGTGATAAGGCAATATCAGCTCCTGTTGAGCAGGGGTGTTGCAGCAACAAGTCTACAGAAAAGTCCACCTGTCTCAAAGAGAACACCAATGCAGCGAAACTTTCGGCCCCGTCGAAGGAATCTGCTTGTGCCACCAAATCTTGCTGTAGCAAGAGTCCCGAGGTTGCCATTAATGCTATTACTTGCGAGTCATCCGAAGAAGACTTATCAGATGATTGTTGCAAAGCAGGCGACAGCAAGGATGAGAAACTTGTGATTCAACATACGAATGTCGCCAGCAATATCGACATCGAAAAGGCAGGCTTGGTCACAGAGCATATCACCCTTAGCATCGAGGGCATGACATGTGTAGGATGCGAGAACAAGCTTTTTCGCTCTCTAAACATCTTACCTGGTATCACGAATCTTCAGACAAGCTTGGTCATGGCTCGAGCAGAGTTTGACCTCGATACGAAAGCTTCTATTGATGAACTTATCAAAGAAGTCGCAAAGACCACTGGCTTTGCCTGCCAGAGACTCAGCACTCAAGGTCAGACGCTTGATATTCTAGTCCAAGCTGATGCCAGGGATTTTGTGAACCAGAAACTTCCTTACGGTGTTGAGGAGATGACAGCACTCGACAAAACTACTGTCCGCGTTGCTTATGATGCCAAACTTGTCGGTGCACGCGATCTGCTTGAGCGGGGATTCGACAGAGACATCTCACTTGCCCCATCTCGTCCGTACGCCGAGCTTGAGTCTGGGAGCAAGCATGTTCGAGAGACTGCTCTCATGACAGCTTTCTCCGCTATCCTGACGATTCCAGTGCTGGTTCTAGCCTGGGCACCTTTGAAGCCACGCGAAGTTTTATATGGATCCATCTCGCTGGCACTCGCCACAATCGTGCAGTTCGTCGTCGCGGGACCGTTCTATCCGAGTGCTTTTAAGGCTCTGATTTTCACTCGTGTCATTGAGATGGATCTATTGATTGTGTTGAGCACTTCCACTGCCTACATCTTCTCAGTCATTGCATTTGGGTACCAGGTTCGTGGACACCCGTTGTCGACGGGAGAATTCTTCGAAACCAGCACTTTACTGGTAACATTGATTATGGTTGGCCGTCTTGTAAGTGCCTTTGCGAGACACAAAGCGGTTGAGTCGATTTCAATTAGATCCCTCCAGAGCGGTGTGGCTCTCCTGGTGGACGAAAAATATCCTAGCGGACTTGAGATCGATGCACGCCTTCTCCAATACGGCGATATCTTCAAAGTGTTACCCGATACTCTCATAGCTACCGATGGCACTGTTGTATCTGGCGAAAGCGAAGTCGATGAATCACACGTTACAGGCGAGGCTGTTCCCGTTGATAAATCGGCTGGATCCAATATCATTGCTGGAAGTCTTAATGGATCCGGCACGCTCACAGTCCGCCTCAGGCGACTGCCGGGGGAGAACACAATCAGTGAGATCGCAACAATGGTCGACGCGGCCAAATTTTCCAAGCCTAAGATTCAAGAACTTGCAGATCGGGTGGCTTCTTACTTTTTACCAGTCGTCGTCGTCCTTACTCTGATAACATTTGCGATCTGGGTTGCCATTGGCAAGGCTGTAAGGGATCAGTCCGGAGGAACTGCTGTCGTCCAAGCTATAACATACGCCATATCTGTCCTGATCGTATCTTGTCCTTGTGCTATTGGGCTGGCCATCCCCATGGTTGTTGTCATTGCCGGTGGCGTGGGAGCCAGATTTGGTGTCATTTTCAAGTCCGCTGAAACCATCGAGATTGCCAGAAATGTTGCTCATGTAGTATTTGACAAGACTGGAACTCTGACAATGGGCCAATTGTCTGTGGCTAGCGACGAGTACCTAGGCGAAAGCTCGTCTGCAGCTTCACTCGTCCTTGGACTCACCATCAACAACAAGCATCCCGTCTCCGCTGCTGTCGCTGGTCACTTGATGGCACAAGGTGTTAAGCCCGCTGCAGTCGAGGAAGTCCGATCCGTGACAGGTAGTGGAATGGAAGGAAAGCTAAGTGCAGGCAACATTCGCCTTCGTGGCGGGAACTCTCGCTGGTTGGAAGTTCAAGACAATCCCCAGGTCTCGGCGCTTCTTTCTCAAGGCCGAACCGTCTTTTGTGTTGCCCTTGGCGAGGACCTGATTGCAGTCTACGGACTAGACGACGCTCTCAGACCAGACGCCAAATCTACAGTGATCGAACTCCAAACCCGTGGTATCTCCGTCTCCATCGTCAGCGGTGACGATGACGGCGCTGTCCAACGCATTGGAAACGAACTTGGCATTGAATCATCTCACATCAGATCACGTTGCTCCCCCGGCGACAAGCAAAAGTATATCAAGAACCTCATGGACCGAAACAAAGACGTCATTCTCTTTTGTGGAGACGGCACCAATGATGCAGTAGCCCTTGCCCAAGCCAGCATCGGCCTACACATGAACAGCGGAACAGACGTCGCGCAGAGTGCTGCCGATGCTGTACTGGTCAGACCCGCACTGGACGGTGTACTTGTTCTGATTGACCTCTCTCGTGCGGCATTCCGTCGTATTGTCTTCAATTTCACTTGGTCATTCGTCTACAATACAATCGCTGTATTGTTGGCTGCTGGCGCGTTTGTCAATGCCAGAATCCCACCAGAGTATGCTGGCTTGGGTGAGATTGTTAGTGTGCTGCCTGTTATTTTGATTGCGTTGCAATTGAGATGGTTCAAGAGGAACTGAAGAAGAGATTTGGGAATTTCTAGCTTTCGAAGAGCAGCTTCTCTTTACATGATTTGATTCTGTGCTTTGGGCACTTCACACAATCTTTACTTCACTTACTTTATTTACAAAGTCGAGATGAGCACCTAGTTTTCGGAAGAAATCCCCAGTAGTTAAACGGTTCATCAATAGATTGTGCCGTACATTTCTATATTATTTTCGCATGTTGTCTGATCCAAGTAGGTTGGTTCATCGGTTCTATTTGTGATGAGTAGGTTCGCTCCCCTTGGCTTACTTAGTCTTGAAATAGTTGTTTCTCTACTAGGCCAAACCGCGAGGGAGGGAAGTGAGTTGGGTCAGAAATATATCTCAATAGAGTGCGTGAGTATCGAGCTCTTCATTCGAGCGGTTGCAGCAAGAGAAGTGAGAGACTGATCACATGTCACGTGACTCTGTACCTAACCTGATTTTGAGGACCAAAAAATTTGCGTTACTGTTGGGCAGGTAGGTGAATATATCCTCGTAATGTATGACGCCGTAATACATGCATATAGTGCGACAGTAATCTAGGCTCGGCGTGGAATGATGATATCCTAGTTGCAAAAGCACTCTAGTTGTTTCAGAGCTTCGGTATTCGTGAACCCAAAGCGAGGTCATCAGTCTTCAGAAGTTGTCATTATGTACGGAACTCATTGAATTGGGGGATCAAGTCAATGTCTTGAAACTTGCATTGATGTAATATCATCCTAGAAATCAAAGGGGTATCTCAACGAATACGCCATACGCCATACCCCAAAACCCCGTGGACTCCACACCAAAGCATTATCCTACCTCATCTCGGCCTTTCCAATCCTACTGAATGACAGCAGTTAGCGCAATCCCGCCTCCAAACATAGAAGCAACTGTAATAATGCTTGAAATAGACAGCTGAGACATGCCACTGATCCCATGTCCGCTTGTACAACCACCGGCGAGCCTCGACCCGAATGTGAGTAACACACCCCCAAAGATCGCTCTCGCAGTACCGATCTCAAAATCTGAAGTTGAAGTATCCAATTCGAGGTATCTGAACAATCCCCAACTGCCTAAAACAGTTCCTGCTGCAAAGGCAGTGGACTTGATACTTGGTCTTGGCCCTTTTCTGCCTTCGAGCACAGACTCTTCAGCCCACCAGAACAAGTCTCCCAGGTGCTCGTAGGCGGAAGAGATACCCAATGTGCCGCCTGTTAATAATAGGCTGGCTACCTGGCTGAATCCAATGAGTAGACCGCCAACTACAGGTAGTGAGAGGAGATCGACTTTGTCGGGGAAGTAGTGCATCAGAGTTCCTATCATGCCCAGACACATCGCCTCATACACAGCCGTCGCATTCCCCTGCTTAATTTGAAGGCTTTGGAAGACAGTCGGATTTTCTAAAAGGGCTCTGTTCTGTACTTGTCCTAGCAAAGGCTTACCAAAACGCGAGTAAAGGATACCCCCCACAAGGCCACCGAAAAGGACGCGAGGACCGGATGGGACGCCTGTCGTGAGTTGAGGGATGAGAGTGCCGGGACATGCGCCTGTGAGCGACATGCCAAATCCCAGGAGGGCGCCACCGACGATGTTTCCATCATAGGGACTGAACAGGTTGAGTGTTGCGGGTGTGCGAGGTTTGCAAGATGAGATGTTGTATTTGTTTGCTAGGATGATCGCGATACTAGACACCATTAGCTTTGATTCCCAATCTATGAATTCACCTTCTGGTATGAAGAAAAGAATATAATCTTATTCAAGTATCAAGAAGGTGAACTTACGCACTGCTTGCGCTTGCCGCAAGAAAGGCCTTCAACATATGAAAGTCTTTCAGCTGCATCTGTCCAATGATGACCGAAGGCGAATAGACGCCAGCGGCGGTCAGAGCTGCGCCAAAAATCGATCCCGACACGACTGATCTGAACGTCGCCGCCGCCATATCGCCGTTTTCGTAATGCTTCCGATGCAGGTTTGTATTGATGTGGGCTTGAGTAGAGGTAGGGATGTATCTCTCAGCTCTCCTTGTATGCGCCGGTACAAGACAAACAAGGTGCTGACTGCAGATGCGGGAGCAAGCAAGTGAAGCCGAGTGTGAGAGAGCCGCAAGTGAGCAATATCAAAAATGTGATATTCGTATCGATGACTCGGCCCGGGTTATTCACTCAGGAGAGAGAAGCCACGATGAAGCTCAATGAACGTCAAAATAAAGTTGTCCCGTCACCCTCCTCTTCCCTTCTTTTTCAGCTCCCACGCCCCGGGTCCAAGTGCGACCCTATCCCCTTTGAGGTTCTTGTTTGCATTTTGGCGTCGCCGAATGACGTGCGAATGGGCTTGATCTGCGCCTCCCGTGGCGTCGTCGTCGGCTGTGGTCGCCGAGGTCCATCTTCTTTGTGCCCAGACGGAATGTCATCGCAATCGACGAGACATGGAGGATGCATGTCGGGCATGTCTTTGTGATTTTTCATCGTAGTATTGAAAACCAGGCGGTCGCCGACGATAAGGTTGATGTTTGTGAAACGTGGGGAGAGTCAGGTGAGACATGCAGAATTCACATGTTGGATCGGCACGTGGAATAAAAGCGGGTCACGTGTGCATGAACAGATTACACAGCATCTGGACTGTTGCATGTTCTCGGGTCTTACGGTGTAAGCTATCATCAGATCCTCCCATGGTAGCTGTTAATCATAAAGTGCGTGATGATAGTTGGAATCCGTGCAGTTCCATCGACCGCTTGAACGGTATTGTGTTCGCTTCAGTCTCGGTTTCACCTGAGCTAAGTAAACAAAGGTCAAAGCGACCTTACGCAGACCAAAAGTAGCTTCCCGGTGTTAAGCTTGGAATAAAGCACAGGAGAGTCATCTGTAGACAGGAAGCCAAATGAGTTTCCATATGTAGACATACTGTGGCTCTCCTTATTCGGATTCATATGTATCATGACGCGAGTCATTCCCTCTGCTACAGATGAACACAAAACTGTTGGTTCAACTATAAGACTCAGAGTTTTCTCCAAGAATATTCTAATAGCAGTGGGGCACAAACTTTTTCCCCTGAGTCTCCGTAGAGATTCAAATTTCATGAACTGATACTGAACACTCTCAACTCCTTCCGTGGTCTCAACAAACTTCTTGACACGTCTGACAGAAGGAAAAGTTTGCTATTTCTGAGCTGGGTACTGTAGCATCAGTACCCACATCACTATCGAAACCTCACCCAGTATGATATGGGAGGGGCGATGCATCGAAGATCTGGCAGGTCGATGGATCGGACAATCTGTTGTACGACTCGACTCGGCTTGGCGAGTCCATACTTTATCTGATATCAGGACAAGACTTCTACAAATCGGTTGACCTTGGCGCAACCTCAAACAAACATGCTCCTGTGTCAGCGCTACTCCACCCAGGTGAAGACCCAGGTATCCAAAAAATGGTCAGAGCACGTGACAATCACAGCAAGTCAATACCTTACAGTTCCCCTGCCAGCTCAAACATATGGCACATGGCAAAGCAGTACCATGTGGCAACTAGGAATCTGCTGACTGCCAGGAAAGTCCCTTTCAACTCTAACAGACCTGAAATCCGAACATAACCTTCACACTCCCCATAGTCAGGCCGTCCACATTTTTGCAATTTTCCCAAGAACCAGTCAAAGTATGTTTTCAAGAATCAGGAAATAAGAAGACGGGAACGGCGTCTTAATGTTTTCCGAGTGGCTAACTTATGGTTAAATCAACCGATTCCTCGATTAGGTTCCGCCAGAAAAAGTGTTCGCGGCCTAGCTGACTCGCGGCCGAGTGCCGAAGGCACAGGGATGATGGTGGTGGAATGGGTGGGTGGTGAAGCTTGGAGGTTATGGAAGCAGAAGGAGGGCGAGTGGGGCCGGCCGTCGCATTCCCTGCCGCTATGATCTGTGTTAATGCGCATGGATTCGAGGTTGACGGATAGTCAGCAGTTGAAACATGGGGGACAGGTTGGGGGACGAAATGTGGACAGAGCCGATAGTTAGTGCTGACAGTAGCAAGAATGCGGAAAAGTATCTAACTCGCGTGAGACTTCTAACCTTGGGACTAGTTTTTAGTTTGCAGTAGGAACATGGAAATGGTTGTGTCAAAATTGTTATTACTCTAAATTTCGGAACTCCTAAGTGACAATTTCCTTGCCCTGTTCCTTGGTATCGTATCCTTTTCTTTGCAGCCAACCGAAACTCCTTTGTGACCCTAGTAGGTCGTGTCAAAACGCCTAAAATGCAGCCCCAATGAAAATCTCTTCCCCACTATGTGAACTCCTCCGAGAACTTCTCATTGATCTGATGGGTGTGACTTTCTCTCTCCGTAGAGGGGAATCGGTCCGATAGATGTCTGGTTCACTTGATCTCCGATTAGAATTCAATACAGATTCGATGATTGATGCTGTTCCAGTAGACCCTGATCCAGATAGCCATCTCTCGATTTTTGCTGTGGGTGGTTCATCCGCTTGACTAAGAGGTGATGTGGCCGGCGGTGCTGAGGGCGCTACTGCTCTTGGGGAAAGCGGTGGTGACAGTGGAAGTTGTAATCGAGGTAGAGTTGATGAGGACTTCCGTAACAGAAGGGGTAGAGGGTAAGACAAGGCTGGAAGTGTGCCATCTTTGTCAATAGAAAATATTGGTCTGATTGGAGTTCCAATTGGGACAGGCTTTCCAGGATGCGGAGTAGCTGGATCTTCGCAGGGCACTTGTCCAAAACCGAATAGTGTAGGCGCTGGGCGAGGGGCCAAGTCTCTTGGATATGTTCCCGGCGAGTGAAGGCTGGGTGAAGACGGAGCGTTGCTGGCTGAATCAGATACAGACCAGAAGGAGTGTATCTGCTTTCGACTCAACGGTGGAGGTGGTGCACTCCTTCGTGGCGTATCCACATCCGTAGGAGGTGTTTCTGGTCGTCGTGTTTGCATGGTAGAGAAGGGAGTCATCGGCTTTGACTCTGCTCGGTAGTATGATCCGAGCGAAATGGATGAAGGCTGAGATTTCAACGACTGGTCTTGGTCGTCATAGATATTAGGATATGACATTGCGCCTCTCATGGCACGATTAGAATATTGAGGAGCTTTCTGGGTGGGGAGAGTTCGGGATCTCTTGATGCCCGGATGGAAAAGAGGATGAGGTTCAACGCCGGGAACAGTGCCAACGCTGATGCGAGTCAAAACAACGGATGGGGTGGAATTCGATCGATGTGTCCTGGCTGGCGTTTGTAAAACTGGTGTTCGGACATAGATGTTTCCATCCTCGGCCGCGAATGGTGTGTAGTAGCCCTCCTTCAAAGTATCGTCTTGTGGTCGAAACGCGCGAGCCTCCGTGACTTCTTTCCGTCCAGCCTCAAGATCGTCTAAAAGTTTCCGCGCCACAACCAACTTGAACCTGCGATGGATGAAATATGCGAGTAGTGCAACGAAAGACAAAACGATAGTTCCAACAAGAATCATTATGATAAGACGCTCTCGAGCGCTCTCTTTCTGCAGCTCATCCGTCTGTGTCGAGACAGTAGAGTCGAGGACCTGCCAAGAGATTGTCAATCACGGAGGCCAATGAAGTAATGTTGATCTTAAGTAGATATCCAGTTCATTTTGACCGAAAAGGTACTTGAGAAGTGCTTACATTTGCTGGCATCTTTGTTGCATCTGCCCTCTTTTGGGGCCAAGTTTGACCCGAGAAGCTCGAAGACAAAATATTGGCCAAGGCCAGCAACGGCGTGGAAGAAAGAATGGGAGCCATTATGAGCGAACGTTGAGATAGATGGAGTTCAGACAGAATGAATGAAGACAACATCGACTTTCTCCATTCCAGATGATGTCGACTGTTGAAAGGATGGTAGTATTTGGTCAGCTTATTGTCCTATCGAGGGAGGACGGCACTGTTCCATCTGATAAGCTGGAACCAGTTGATGGGTGGTTTATGATGAGATGGTGTTCGTTGACGGGAATGAAATTATTAAGTACGGAGATGAACTTTGTCCAAGACTAGGAATCTGGTCTGGCCTTTGCACCCGATTAGTTCGCAACTGTAGAGTTTGCTCGGAACATGTACACCCACGGAGAAATATGCAGGAGAAGGCAGCGTTGGGCTTCTTCGGCCCCGCCCGATTGAAGGCCTGAGTTATCTCGCAGCGAATGGATAGTTCAGATAATCGCGGTGCATGGAATCTTGTCTTCACCCCAAGAGAACCCTCGTCCATTCGCCCTGCGAATGGTTCGTCCGTCCGGGAGCAAGAGTGAAACTCGACGAATGGTCTGTTGGGACTGGCTGCGGCAAACCCACTGATGACGTTTGTCCGTTGAAGACCGAACTACCACACCTTTACTTGCGCATTGAGCATTGTATGGCTCATCGACACCCTACAGGGCATGAAGGCCGTGGACAAGGAAGGTTCGCCAGTATCACACTCTGTCGAAACGTGAAGCCGAAGATAACGGTACTCGCTCCTTTTCATCAGAACTTGATGGCAAGGTTGACCGATGCGAACCCTTGGCTCTTTCAAGCAAACTTAGTGGTCTTTGATCATTTATTGGTCGTTGCGGGATCTACTCCCTGCGCTCAAGCATCAACATCGGGGAATATTCCCCCACGTCCAACCTTAAATTGTTCTCGCTGCCAATGAGCTCCACAGGATGTCCAAATAAGCTCTTTGGCACTCGGACCTATGAGCATTGGTAGCTCTCATTGGCTTGCTATGCTAGCTTGGCTATATAGACTCTATAGGTGACATTCTCATGGTTTCACAAGGCCTGTTAATCAAAACAATTCGCGCCGCCGCGGCTCGCTTAGCTGAACTTTCCCCAGTACTGTTTCAAAAATGAGCCCATATACTCACGTGATACGGAGAGTGTGAATGCGTCATAACGGTTATGTGGGACTCCGGAGGACTAATTATTGTAGACCAATAGTGGCTGCTGGAATTATCGATTCATTGTGTGCAGTGGAATCCAGTGATAGCAACCTTCAAAACAGGGGCTACTTGGTAAAGATTGATGAATGATTTGGACAAAACTCAGACCATTCTATCCTTTAGTCTCGCACATACAGTGTTGGAGCATCCAAATGATAAAGCTCAAAGGAAATAGACGGTAGGCCACTTTCTCGGGCATCCTCCCACCGGAGGCGCTGCACGAGCTCCGGCGATTATCGTGGATTTTTCGGCGCGTCGTAAGCTGCTTGGAAAGAATTTGGAATGGCATTGTGAGCCTCTTACAATCATGCTTGTCTGGCAGCGTCATTGATTAGAAAGCCGAGACTGTTCTATCTGTAAAACGAAGAGAAGACCGGCCCAAGTACTCTGCTCGATAATAGTATGGAATAATCTACCCCATCTCAATAAATCAAGTATGACCTGTCTTTGCGAATATAATGCCTGAGTGTCGCCTCAGTCGCCATCAGTGCTCCATGGAAAGAAAAATGTTTCGAAATAATCCCAAGAATCCGAATGGCTGCGGCAGCATTGGGCACATCTGGGCCGCCTCAAGGATTGAGCTTTACACTTAATCCTCGAGTTCTGGCTTGCCCAGCCGTTTCGCTACAGACTGGACCAGAAGCCATCAACAGCTCGCTTTGGCATGATGAGTACTAGGCCCAAAATTCCAGGCCCTTGAAAAGTGTGAACGTGATGGATTGCGAAGATTTGTTCGCAACATTGCGGAATGGGTTTGCGATGGGCCCCTCTCCCATCTTCTGTGCGCAGGGGTAGGATAAGGTATGGCACCAGTTCTCTCCGAGTACCGGTCCTACCATTCAGATCTCCCATTTGAATCCTCCCGCAGTCTACGAACGCCAATCTTGGCAGAAATTTTCCCACGGGCTGCATGGATCACATAAGAAACACATGAACTACTTTGGGTATGAAAGTTCACGTAATCAACTGTTTTACCATTCAAATCTGAAATGGCACCCCAATATGCAACAGGGCTCCGGAATATCTACTGTAAATGGATCAGTGCCGGCAGGACGGGTCGCAGCATCATGCAAATGGAGAAGGATGGGTCCCCGCCTGTGCTGGAGTTCATCATACTGAAGCCGCTGTCACCCAAGTGCACGAGCAGAAGAGGAACCCGAGCATTGCGGGGTTTCAAAATCCGACAGTGTGCGGGGCAATAATCATTCCATCATGATGAAACGCGGAGAAACAAACGACAAGATGGACAAGAGCCGACAAGACTTTCGGCGGCTCGCTGCGAGAAGAGCGAGGAGGGGAAACTTAGAGTTTTTCCGACTTTGCGAGGGCCCCAGCATGCCATCCGAATGGTCAGTTCAATACCGTATATTCTGACGTCGTGAATCCAGCCAGATAAACAAACTTTCAGACCGAAGCAAAGACACCGAGTCCTCCGCGGCATTCTGATATCCTCCGAGTGCGATGGTTGATACATAAGACTTGACTCCAAAGTCCTAGAAATATAGCTCACGAGGTATGATCTTTCATAGAGCCCGGATCACCGATGCATGTCCTTCCAAATGGTTGGAGGTCGAGGAGGGTGGTGTACCGGATTGGTTGCCTGGAGGGCCAGGACAGAGTTATTCTAAGTAGAAAGTGTCCTACATCCAATGCAATGACGATAATGCGGGTCGTACCGGCTACCGGATAGATAGATGTAGAGGCACTTGGAGTGAATCGAATTCGTTCATTGCCTGGAATTAATAGACATTCAACGAATCTGGGGCTGGCGGTCGCCAGAATCTCGGTAGGGAAGCCAGCCCGGTAGAGGCAATGATGAGAGTTCGGAGTCCAGTGCCACGGGTACTGGAGACATTATGAATGGTAAGGGCAATAAGAAGGCTGGAACTTCTAGTGAAGAAAAAGATCTGACGATACATAGGTTTGATAGGCTGTATGACTGAAGAATACATTTCTCTGTTCTGAAAGGGCCACTCTATCCCTGTAAAGCCGAACCAAAGTGTATGTGTTTCAACCTGACTTGTTCGAACTTTCCCAGTCATTTCTTTCCCTATTTCTTTCTGATTATTATCTGATTTTCATTGTGGTCGTGTTCCTTCCACCTCCAGCCCTAAATCGGCGAAGCAGGTGACTGCGCAGGGATCCATAAACCATGCACTTCAATGCAACCAAAGAATGTCTTTGAAGCGGGATGGCGCAATGTAAACATAAAAGCTAAGCAATTATTTGTTCGTCAGAAAAAGCAAAAGTGCAAGCTCAGAAGGTTAAAAGCCAGGCACCGACACATCAGCCCCTGTGATTTGTGTTTACATGGTCACGTGAATCGGCTGCGCCCCGTCTGACGGTCCCTAACCGTGTGCGGCTGCGTGGGGCTTAGAGCTCGGGTTCACACATTTTGGACCCGAGATGTGCATATGATTCTGGAATTTGAAATTCAAATGACGCAGTGAACAGGCAGTGTAACTGAAGCGAAAGGAGTTTCTCAGGATATAAACCCACGACGATTCCTCAAAAGTCAATATCATCAATCACATCAAGACTCACTTCAATACCTACATCACCATTACAGTCCATTTCAAATCCAAAGATTACCAGTTCAAATAGACTCATACCATTTCAACGACCAATCTCTCAATCTTCTCAGTATTCATCATGGTCCTTATCGTCCTCACTCTCCTCGCCGGCAAAGCCTTGTACGACGACCACAAGGAACGCAAAATGCGCAAGGCCGAAATGGCAGGAGCCACGTCTAAAGCACTTCGGTCGAAACAACAAGTCAACCCACTTCCAAGCATCACCATCACTCCGGATGCAAGCCCTGTTTACATTGCCAATGAGCAAGGTTTCGGGCCTCCCGCGTACCAGAAGGATGCTTCATCGGCATCGTCTCTCACCTCCGAGTCTCTTGTCTCGTTAGAGACCGTCGATACTCTTCCCATACCCGAGAAGAATCCTGCACGATTCGCGCTGGACTAAGAACGTGACTCGAGGAGTTTTAGTGGAGGGCTGGACGGAACTGGGGAGTTGTGACTAGACGGATGGATCGAAGCGGCGTTCTGGGAAGGGGTCAATTTAGATTTGGACCGGATGTTTCTTGATATATTGGAGTTGGAGGGTTATTCATTGACTTTCAAATCAATCTGTATTTGTAAACATAGACGCCAATCTGTACTCATGGGTTCCACCAGACACTTCACCATTGCCTGTGCATGAATGCAATATTCCTTACGTGACAAGAATCAACGAAGACCTGCTGTCAAGAAACATATCTTCAGACGAAGAAGGGTGTGATACTCGTTGAGCTGGATTGGGATTCCCTATATCGAGGCAGGCAAGAAATTGGAGGGATCACAACATTGCCTGGGGTCAGAGTCGTGAAGCAATAGATCATCCCTAAGCCTTTTACAAATTCAAGATGCAGCAACAAAGGCTAAGAATGTCAAATCCAATAGTGCATTTATACCAAAGTCTAGCGAAAAAAACAGATATAGCTTGCTTTTCAGTATTGGTTTGCCCCGCTGCGGATCATCGAGGTGTCACACCTATGCCGTTTTCAGACTGTTTGTACCTCACTTGCAACAATATGAGCTGGCATTTCTGGTTGCTACATCGTTGTAACACAATGACTGGACACAAAACACGACTACATCAAAATGTTTCGAGAACTGTACCGGAGTGAATTGGTTCTGGCGGTTCACCGGTATCAGCGCGTTCCCAACAGTGAAAGTAACAAATGCAAATGTATAGTTTCATGATCAGGAGTACGATAAGGAAGGTACTGCTCAATGACCCGAAATGGATGTCAATTTGAAATCAAGCAGGCAGTGTAGTACGCAAGCAGGCCAGTACCCCTCAGGGTCCCAACCTTGTTTGGCGGAGAAAAGAACGTGGCGCGTAATCTGATCCTTTAAATCATATTTTAGGCAGTTTGCTGGGCTTGAAGCTCCTGATTTTTTAGGCCAAGGGTATTAAATGGGACAGCTTTCAGGGGGTCAGGAGGAGATACTGTAGATTTAAATCCGTGGCATGGTTACAGGTCGACCAGGTGTCCATCCCGCATCCCCAAAGAGCTACCAGCTCGCGTACGTAGAGTCTCCACATTAAAATTCCCAAAATGGTCGCCGAATACGACAGGCGAATTGATTTAGGCCAATCGAAGATTCAAGCATGAATTGATCTTCTGGAGCAGGCGCATGATTGGCTGTTCAATTTTTGCTCATGAATACGTCGCGTTCGGGTTTGCCTTGAGTACTGCTTTCAACCGTACCTTTGGTTCCGTTGTGTTTGTGGCCAATTGAGAGAACTGATGTCAGTGGCGGTAAGACCAATAAGCACTTGAGTTATGGCCAACTGCCCTGCTAAGCAATAATCATGTCAGCCCAAGTGGAACTTAGTGCAACGCGCGGAACGTTGGACTCTCGAGATGATGTGAGAAATGGACTAAGCGAGTTCTTTGACGTGAGACGGGAGTAAGGACTCGTTGTCCATATAAAAGATGTGCTGCCGCACTTCTGAAAAGTCGAATCTCTAGAAAGGTTTAGAGCTTTATTGAATTATCATTTTTGATTTCTCCCCGACAACATGACAGACCAACGTTATCTTGAGCAGCCGGAGCTCCATTCCAAGGCACCATATCGAGCTGCCTTGATGACACAGCCTGGGAATTTGAGGGCAGCACTCAAGGATGCTCAAGAAGACCCAACGAAAACGCTGTTTGGTGTCGCTCAGGGTATGTCAAGTGTGTTTGTAACGAAGGTATGCATGTGGCTCCTGCCATATCAATATTTTCTAAATACGATTTCCAGGTTCTCGCCTCGACACAGCCAGATTTCATCTGGATGGATGCTGAGCATGCTATGTTTGATCGATCGAGTTTGTACGAGTAAGTGGGGATCAGCTATTTCTCAAATTTGGAATGTCCTGACAAGAGTATGAAGTGCAATCCAAGCTGCTCAACACCACTCGGAAGGAAAGTCAATGGTTGTTGTGCGGATCCCCAAGCACGACGAAACAATCTTATCCACTGCTCTCGACGCCGGTGCCGCAGGGATTGTGATTCCTCACTGCGACAATGCTGCAGAGATCAAGCACATTTTGAACGAAATCTACTATCGTAAGTACCTTGGGACCAATAATTTGAAAGAGCTACTAGAAGATCGTGATTGACATATTTCCCTAGCTCCATTGGGTCAACGATCATTCTCGCCATGGACTTTCACTCCAGGAATTTCAGACAAGTCTTTGTACAAAGGTGATCCATTCAATATGGGTACATCAAACAAGCACATTGTCGTGATCGCTCAAATAGAAAGTGTTGAGGGCGTCAAGAACGTCGATGAGATCGCAGCTCTTGAAGGAGTCTCGGCTCTGATGTTCGGGCCCGGAGACTTCATGGCAGATGCTGGATTGGAACTCAAGATGAGCGGCGAGCCGCATCCTACTTTTGCCGCGGCAATGGGTGCTTTCGCTGGTGCTGGTCAGAAATATGGCAAGCCCCTGTTTGGGTGAGTTCTCCAATGGACTGAGAAAAAAGTTTGATGGTAGCTGACAATATCAAGTGCTGCTATGGCAATGGAAATGGTCCCAATGATGATCCAACAAGGATATCGGGCCATTGCTGTTGCGTTCGATATGTGGGGTCTAGCAAATCTTGTTCACGGCAGCATCGCAAAGGGCAGGGAATTCGCTCAAGCTGCGGGGGCAACAAATGGGGAAGCCATCCCCAATGGAAAAGCTCCGCCATCGTAAAATGTGTATTACAGAACAAGTTTGGAGTTTGGCTAGCAGGTACATGGTATTTGGGATTTTTCTTTGAGATAGAGATGAATAGAACAGTCACGATTTTTCTTTTGGGTTTCAAGGTTGTCACACAGGAGCCTGCACCCAGAATCCTCACGCCGCAACCAAATTTTATAATCTTGCATTTTTCATATTTGATTGTCAAATGCTCATAGTTCCTCAACCAGTTGACATTCCCAAGATAATAATAGAAACCTGGAACCTTATCCTCCAATTACTGACCCCTCTCTGCCTTCTCAGCAACGTCCAAAATCCACTCAACAACCATCTCAGGATGGGACATCGGAGGCGCATGATCACTCTTGATGCTAGTGATATCCACTTTCTTCCCACTTGCTTCCTCCATAGACTCAATACCCTTCCGTTGCAAGTCCGGTGTGACACAAAGGTCTTCCTCACAGAAAAGATATGACACTGGGATGTCTTTGTATCCAGCATGCGTGAGCTCGTTACTAAAGCTCACGGCTGAATGCTGGGGGAATTTGCGAACCCACGCTTCTCCTTCCTCGGGAGAAAGGTGGGAGAAAGTGAGTGCCGCGGATGCGGAGATAGGGTCGTGGTAGAGCCATCCATGTTCCTGGAATCATTTAGTAATGCATATAGAAGAAAAGGAAGGTGTAAGAGAACAAAGGAAAACTGGTAATTCACATCCAATTTCATACTTGCCTGATTCTCCGGTGGCAAATCAGCAAGCACATCCTGAGCCGAAGCACCAAGTGCCGGAACCACCGCAGTCATATACCCCAACCTCACAATTCCGCCCTCTTTCCCCTCGACTTGTCTCTCAACCTTTGAAAGACCTTTCGTGCTCTGCGAAGTTGGTGCCCCGCCATATGAATGGCAGATCAGAATCACATCCTTGCCTTCATCAACCAAGACTTGGACTTCTTTGGCGATGAAAGCAGCATCGTCGTACATCGTTGGAGGAGTTCCTTCTCGTGGCTTACCAGCTGTCAATCCTACAGTTGGCATATGTAGACTACGAATTGAATAGCCTTTGGCGGAGACGGCGTTCATGACTGGGTCGTAGAATTCAGGGAGGGCGAAGGAGCCGGGAATGAGGAGGATTGAAGGTTTTGACATGATTGTTGAGAGTGGTAAGTTGGAAAGCTTGCGAAGATGTAAAATGGAAAATGAATCACAGCACTTCTCGAGATGTGAGTTTCGGATGTTCACTTTCTTCCACAACTTTCAACTTGAACTTTAATGCACCATGGACTGCCATCCACTATTTCTATTCCATATCCATTAAACACCTTCATCAAGGATCACAAGCACCACGCATCATCTTCGCAAGACAAGTTATCATCACCTTAATTCTGATCGTCTCTTCCTGTCAGAAAGTAGTTGCCGAGACTGGCTAATCCTCATCAGTTACTGGTGATATATGCCGAGGGAAACCTCTAAGCGAAGCGAGCACAGAACAATAAACGTACCAATCGCAGCATCGAAATCACAGAGAATTGTCAAGGGTTTGTTTCCGAGAAGAGGGATTTCCCTGCGCTGATTTTAAGCGTCCGCCTTGACAGTCGCCCTGATCCACTTTCTGACTGAAGGTGCTGTCAGATGCAGAATGCGGAACGCGAACGCCGGGTGATGGTGGGGTCGTGAGGATCAGCATGAGCGAGGAGCCTGAGCATCATCCATGGCATATATCAATGTTCTGTCTTTGCCTTAGGAAATTGCTAAACTCGCAAGTATTGGAAAGCTATATTACATGTAGCTTGGGCCTCTCGCTCTTGTAAAGTCATCGAGGTGAACCACTTCTTCGCTTCGACGACCATGTCCAAATAAAAAAAAACCTCGAAACCATACGAGGTGCTTTTTCAACGTCCATCTCCAGCACAATAAAATTCACCAGGCGTTGACTCCCTGGTTCGAGCAATGAAGCCACAAGAAAACTTCAATGGCCAGTAACCAGATCCATGCAATCGACAGGTCGAGAAGCACGGGATGCCAAGGATGTACCTCCAGAATCTGGAAAAGAAATTCGCTACGGTTCAAGCTCCTATTTAGGATTCATATCTTCGTTCGTTGACCAAAGTCACGGGTCCAAATAACATATTCTGACCAACTAGAAGATATCACAAGCATCGAGCGCTGGACTAGGCAAGCTCAGCCGCAAGCACCAACTCGGAGCTTACTGTGACAACCCGCTCAGCTCTCATGATGAGGGAAACTCCACGTACCGAAGCCGTGACTTAAATTCAGCTACGATGACATCGAGTATTCATACTTCATTCTCACCATCTTCTCTTCTGCCAGCAAATCGAATATTTTCCCGATCGGAATCGTGATATATCAACCACGTGATCATCTCTCTTTTGATCATCACTTAGCCAGAATCTGCTCTGCTCTGCACGAATCGGAACCCCTCCGGCTGTAGTTACTCCAACAGAATTCTCCAGGTCTCACTTTCAAGGAGGTCTAAAACACCGCACCTTCTGATCCTCCAGCGCCACATTCGGGTCATCCTTCCCTCCTCCCTTGCCCTTTTCCATCTCCCAAGCGGAACATCCATTCCGCAACGCATCTTGGCGCTATTAGATTCGTGGAGTAGGGAATCTTCCGATACACAACAGTGTGACCGTGCTATACTCCGACTCGTATTTTTAGGATTTTGGAAATTGGATCGGTGACGGGGGAGGGAGGAATGTAAGAATACGATGCACTGTTTCGGAGCTGGATGGGGAGCGATGGAGAGGAGGATGGATATAAAACCTTGGAGTTCCAGAATATGGCGATAAGTTTTTTGACTGTACCTTTGAACAGAGACCAAGGAAAAAATAAGTGATACTCGAATTCTTCTAGAACGACCAAAAACAGCAGCAAAATGCAGTTCAACTCCCTTCTCTTCCTCACCACCCTCCTGACCAGCGTTCTAGCTTCTCCAACACCAGCTGGTAACCCAATCTCTCTCCTGACATTTCCCAACCCGACAATCCCCTTTCACATATCCCTTTCCCCGTCTCCTTCAGCTCCAATATTCTCATCTAACACCGTTCCCAAAACTCAGAAATCGAATTCCGCGCCCTCTGCAAATTTCCAAAATGTACCGCCTTCTGCGAAGATAAAACGTAGGTATTCTTTATAATCTGCTTGGAGTACTGGAAAATAATGACTTGGTATAGACCATACGATTGCTGCGTGGACTACATTCGTGATCCGTGCTGGGGGCACTATCTCAAGGATGTGTCGAAGTAAATTTTGGACAATAGACTTAAAGAGAAGCTACTTCTTGGACCGAAGAACTTTGATGCTGAAGTGAGAAGCAGGAGAGAATGAGAAGCCGGAGAAATTCAGAAGAATTTTGTTCCACTTTCCTGTTGACCCATTCGTTTACAGTATGCTGCGTTCGTGCTATTCTCTCTATCTCTTCTCCACTTTGTCTAAACCGAGTTCCTGTATCTTGAAAGGAAGCTCAATACTACCAATTTCACAGTCCCAAGTGAGCATAACCCTTTCCCAATAAGCAGCCACTCTACAACTACCTCACAAGAATGCCTTCATCCAGACCCTACTTCGAAGTCTCACCACCCTCAGCGGTAATTTCCTCATTCGGCAATTGTGAGCAAGGATCTCTAAAATACTGTGCATTGCAGAGATATGTGATCCTGAATGAAAAACTTCTGTCAGCTCTCCAAGTTTCACACCCACAACTCCAAGAACCCACACCCCTTCTCCTCAAACCCCAATTCGCATGAAGCCAGCTCTAAGGTTCACACGGTAGACAGAAAACTCGTCAAAATAAGACAGGCAAACTCACTCAGGACACTTCTCACACCGACATTTACATTCAAAATCATCCGGACCCTTACATTTCTCCAGCGGTGGGTACTTTGGGACCTGATGGTCGGCGCAGGGATCGCGGACGTAGACTACACAGCAATTGAATGGGCTTTTAGGTTGGTTATGTTAGTGTTGACAACACCACTTCTTGATAGTTTGTGAGGAACAAGAGTGAATGAAGGCACGAGGAGTAGATTAAGGAGGAGGAAACGTACGTTCCATCAGGGCAAAAAGATGTACAGAATGGTTTTCTGCAGATGCTGGGCTTGATTGCTAAGAATGCTTGTCAGCGACTCTCCTCTCCACTTCAGTCTGGTGTTATGATATTTTGCTGAGATGAGTAGGTTGAGATGTAGATAAGTGACAAAAGGCGAGAACGACATGGAGGAAAAGGGACAGAACATACCAGCAGGCAACGCACTCCCCGAAACAGTATTGACGGCGAACAACAAGCTCGCCGTCGCAGTCGCCAGCATAGATGAGATGAGCATCTTTAGATATTTCTCTCTAAATTGTATCCTAGAGCTGTCTTGAGCCGGGGTATGGTCAAGTTGACGTCGTTGAGTAATGAGATCTAAGTCCCGTGTGAAGTCAAGTGGAATGCAAGGTGTAATGTAGGAGCGGGAAGCTCATATAAATATGTATAAATAGCTTTCCTAGAAGCTAAGGTTGGACAAGACTCCAACACCCAATCCGGCGATGTACACCTGATCACCGATTCATTCACCCATCCAGCTACCAACACTCCCCTAGGTACCGGGAGATCTGGCTGTACCCCACCAACTCACGCCGAGAAATCTGAAAAACCAATGAGCGAAGGAAGAAAGGTAGCAAGCCAGCTCGATTCGATTTGGTTCAATCGAAATAAGTAGCCAACTAATGGGGTAACACAAGACCTACTTCGCCAAGATCACTCACATTCCAACCTAATTCCGAGCTTAGATGCAAACAAAAAGGATTGATTGGTCTTCTTTGCTTTAGTCCATAGATCATCATGTTAGCCAGTGCCTTTCAGAAAGAAAACCTTCCATATTATACCGTCTCCAAAAATAGACATATCTCGGAAGCAGCCGCACCTGAAATCCTCTCCCTTCCAAAAATCCACCAATAGCTTTACCACCACCTCTTCCAATCCAAGAGAACAGCACGCTCCCCAAATCATCAGCCAAATCCCCAAATACGAGCTCCTATCACATCTCATCTCAACCAGCTGGTGAATCGAAAAAGGGGGTAAAGTCTGTTCTTCCTATGAACTCACCTGATGGACTCGCTTATGGTGCCAAGGGTGCCACAAGGCGGTTGAAGTGCGCGAGCGGATTCAGCCTTACATGAACCTTGTCCTGTAGTGTAGAGTGAGCCGCCTGGATGTCGGTGAGTGGAGAGGAGGAGCGAGAATGATGGTGGAAGCGAACAGAGGATGACCCGATGGCTTGCCTTGGTTTACTTGCTTGCTTGCTTGTGCGGAGGGTAGGGACGGAGTGCGGAGGGGTGGGTAGGAGCACGGATTCGGTGATTTTAAGGGTACGTGTACTTAATCGTACAGAGAGGTGCCTTGAGAGTGAGGCCACTTGGCCTGTTGGGAACTTTGGTGTAAGAAGGGAAGGAAGAGTAACAGAGGGGACGTGAATAGATATGAAGCAAAAATGGGAAGGGATACATCATGCCTTCCAATGCTCTCCTGTTAAATCCATGTACGTAGGTACCCATGTTCTGCGACCATCTCCCAACTCCAGTCTATGCACAAGGAACTCCAGCTCAATATGGCACCAAGAAAGGACAAATCAGACATATATCCCATCTACCTCAACCAGCTTCTCCCCTCCCTCCTCCTCCCAACTAGAAACCACGCACAGCTAGCCCAACACATCCCAATCCCAATCCAGCTATACGCCGGCATCCTCCAACCCGCCATAATCGGCAATATGAATGCTGCCCTTGGCACGAACAGAAACGTACTCGTCAGTGGACTTGTAGCTCTCGTAAGAGCCATTGTACCCCAGAAGACAGCCCACGAGCCAAGACCACCACATACGACCATCAGCCAGTGGAAGAAGACGTCTAAGAAATAGCAGTTCCGCCAGATGTTTGTGACTTCGCCGGAGAGGATGACGATGGGTGTGAATATGAGAATGGAGAGGATGGAGGTGTAGTGAAGGAGACGCCAGTAGGCACGATTTTCCTCGCGGGAGCCAGAGAAGTCGACAGCAGATGATGAGTTTGGGAATGCGCCGAGCAGGTCACCTTGTGGTATCAATTGGGCGACTAGTGCTTTATAGGTACGTTGTAATTGGACTGGATAGAGTGCGACGAAGATAGAAGAGAAGACTCCTGCGACGATGCTTTCCCATGTCACACGAACATTGGGACGAATCGTTGCGACGAGAAGTGTAAGTGTTGCCGTAAGAGTAGAGGAGATGGTTCCGACGCTGTGAGGTGTTTGGGCTAGGAAGTAGGTGAAGAGTAAGGAGAAAGGTACGATTGCGATCCGAGCGAGGACATAGATGGGTAGTTGGGCATAGGCGAAAGATAGGTTTGAGAGGCAGACTTTGGCGACAAATATGATGGCGCAGGGAAGGACAGTCTTCACGACTTGGAGGTCGAACTCGAAGAATCCTCCTCCAGCTATTCCCCCACTGTGGTATGAAGCCCAACGCCTGATAGAGCTAAGAATCCCCGTGTTCTTCCCCAAGCCACGAAATCCAGGAGAAGAAGGTTGTAAAGGTCTCGAAGGAGCAATTCCTCCAGACAGTCCAGCCGTAATCAACCACGGACTGACCCATCTCGTAATATACGCACTGAGCAGAATCCAGCAATGTGTCATGAGCATCTCGATGAGTGTCGTAGTTAGAGGATAGGGGAACTTATACACGCCGGCTATTAAAGACATCAGCTTTGTATGTGATGTGTAGTTTTCTTGCAGGTACCCACTCCACAGGATAATGCGATTCATGATCGTAAGACCGATCTGACAACCTCCTAGCCACAGCACCAGGACCCCGATATATATCTGCCATCCTAGAGGAGTGTTGAAGAAGAAGTGGCCCATTCCACCTCCATAGATCAACCATCTCCAGCCTGTGGGCTTCCCTCCTTGTTCATGCGACAGGAAAGGCTGCCGTGACGACATAGGTGTGTCTCCCCAGTCATCATCGTCTGTTTCTGAAGCTGAAGGATTGGAATCTGAATGTCGTCTGCGGAAGGGGGAAGGGGATCGTGAGAGATTGATTAGGGGAATGGATGTTTGTGGTTTGGAGTTGTAGGAGGACATTCTGGATCTGGGTGGGTCGTCCGTATCGATACTGCCAGTGGAGCTGCTCTTTCGGTGGTTGGATTTTGGCTTGTCGCCAGAAATGAGATACTGAAGGGCGGGCTTGAAAGGATTTGGCGTATCGATGTTGCGAGGGGAGAACATTGGTTCTGAAGGATAGCTCGTTCGTGGAGAGAGTGAGCAAATAAATGTCCCTCAGTTCTAACACATGCTTGGGACGATGCAATTGCTGATAATGTGCAATCGAGTTTGTCGCTCGAGCTTGCACTTCTATTGTCGACAGGATCTAATTTTGTGTTTTCGTTGTCGAGGGCTGTCGCTGTCGTTGAAGTCGGTCAGTATCGTTGTGCCGCCGCCTGACAGCTTGCGTGGATGAAGCTGTCTCGCCGTGACGATGCATGTGCACCCTTGAGAAGATCCGCTCAGACACCGGCGCGTCAATGTGCCAAGCCCGCGACTTTTGATTGGCTAATCAGATTACATAATCCTTCAAGGTTGACCTTCAAAATATCGAGCCACTGTAGTTACTCACTTCTCTCTCCAGTTCTTCCCATCTTCGTCTGTTGAGGACCAAATTAAATAGCCAATTGCTGCTATGGCTTTCCTACTCTCCAGCCTGCGGCGAACTGGGCCAAAAATCACCAACGATTTCTTCATCTGCCAACGCTGTCTCCGGCAAAGCCCCTCCATTCTGTCGAAAGTCAAGACACCCGGCAAGTTGAACTTGTCCCGGAGCATTCGATTCAACAGCAACACTGCTTTCGCAGATGCAGCGGCAAGCAAGAAGTCGCCCTTGAGTAACCTCAGCGAGACGATATATATCTCGAAGAAAGCTGCAGAGAAGGCGGCGCAGGAGGCGAGGAGAGGTGCTTCGGAAGGAAAGAAGGGTTTTTGGCCGGAGACTTCGAGTAATGCTGTTGGATACTGGCTGTTAGCTTCGGCGGGGAGTGTGTTCGGTATTGTGGTGTTTGGTGGATTGACGAGGTTGACGGAGTCTGGGTAGGCACTGTTCTTGCCCTCAAGCACCGTCACTGGAAGCATTGGCTAATCCCTTCCACAGTCTCAGCATAACAGAATGGCGTCCTGTAACTGGGTCTCTCCCCCCTCTCTCCCAGGAAGATTGGGACTCCGAATTCAGCAAATACCGCGCCTCTCCCGAATTCAAGCTCCTCAATCCACACATGACCCTCGCCGAGTTCAAAAAGATCTACTTCATGGAATGGGGCCACCGCCTCTGGGGCCGCTTCGTAGGGCTCTCCTTCGTTCTCCCCGCCATATACTTCGTCTCTCGAGGCAAATTATCTAGAAACATGTCCCTACGCCTCCTCGGTATAAGCGGTTTGATAGCAGGACAAGGAGCATTAGGATGGTACATGGTAAAAAGCGGACTCAAAGACGACCTATTCGCACCTGGCTCTCATCCCCGAGTAAGCCAGTATAGACTCACAGCACACCTCGGCGCCGCCTTCATATGCTACACAGCCATGCTCTGGAACGGCCTCTCCATCCTCCGCACCAACACGCACCTCTCACACCCCGTCCACGCTCACGCACAACTCACACACCTCCTCTCCTCCACCCTCTCCCCCTTCCGCAAATCCGTCGCCGGCCTCGCCCTCCTCGTCTTCACAACCGCCATGTCCGGCGGCCTCGTAGCTGGCCTCGATGCCGGCCTAATCTACAACGAATTCCCACGCATGGGCGTCGGTCTCCACCCTCCTAAATCCGAACTCCTCGACCCCTTCTACAGCCACCGCCCCGACCAATCCGACATCGTCTGGCGGAACATGCTCGAGAACCCCAGTACAGTACAACTCGACCACCGTGCTCTCGCAACAACGACATTCACCGCCGTGCTGGCACTATGGGCATACACGCGTCTGAATCGCAAAGTGCGATCCGCACTCCCTAATTCCGCGAGGAAAGGTATGCTGGGTGTTGTGCATTTGTTGATGGTGCAGGTTGCGCTAGGGATCAGCACGTTGATATATATGGTTCCTGTTCCGCTCGCGGCGGCGCATCAGGCGGGGAGTTTAGCGCTTTTGACTGGGGTTTTAGTTCTTGGTGGGAGGGTCTGGGTTCCAAGGGCGACGATGAGGTTGTTGGAGAAGAGGGTAAAGGGTTTGAGTGCTGTGAAAGGCGTGCAGGGTGGGAGGATGGCGGCGGGGTTCGGGAAGGAGGCTGTTAAGGCGGATTTGGGGGCTTTGAGGAGGAGTGGGCCGCCTGCTCGGGGGTTGGCGGGGAGTTCCTAGGGTGTGTATGATGGATGTGTATATAGAGGAAGTGGGCGGTTAGGAGGTGTACTGTACTGCATTGTACTGTATTTTAGCGGCATAAACGATGGCGTTAGATAGATATCCATTCTGGGATATAATTCTCAGCTCTACAAATTTACTTTTTTGTTCTCAAGTGTTCTTGAAAGTCATGTAATGACCCTGCGACTTATCAATTGGTCCACCAACGCATTATGAAAGTCCTTCTTCCACGGGTTGTCTTAAGATTCTGGCCTCGGTTACGGTCCAAGAATGTCAACAAGCCACTCTCAACATGTCACCCACTCTCGTCATGTCATATCACAAGTGTCGCTTGCGAAAATCAATACTTCAAAGGAAAAGACTCTCACGATATTATCACATCACAAATTCGTGCATTCATCTCAAATCATATCAAAAAGTCCTCAACAAACTCCATAACATGCATGACATGACATGCAATCTACCATCTACTTATGAGCTGTGCCAAACCGCAAAGTCAGCATGATTCCCAAAGCAAGACCCGCAACACCAACACCAACACCAGCACCCACTCCCAGCGTTTCCCCAAGATTCAGCGCACCAAAAAGCGAAGAACTAGAATCAGAGTACTTACGAATACCCTCCACCTCAACAGGCTGCACGCCCACCTCCTCCGCCACCAACTTCTCCTTCTTGGCACTCGTATCCTCCTTCATGAAAGGGAACGCCAACACCTCCTTAATCGAGTAATTATCCGTCAAGAACATAACCAAGCGATCGATACCCATTCCCCAGCCTCCAGTAGGCGGGAGGCCATACTCCAGACTCTGGCAGAAATTCTCATCAATCATTTGCGCCTCGTCGTCGCCCTGGTCCTTCTGTCTAGCCTGCTCCTCGAAGCGCAGGCGTTGGTCGAAGGGGTCGTTTAATTCCGTGTAGGCGTTGACGATCTCCTTCTTGCAGACGAAGGCTTCGAAGCGTTCGCAGAGACCGGGGTTGCTGCGGTGGTACTTGGCGAGGGGAGACATCATTTGGGGGTGGCCTGTGATGAAAGTTGGGTTGATGCAGGTTTCCTCGATGAATTCGCCGACGAGCTTGTCGAGCATGCGTGCATTGGTTAGGGGTGGCGAGCAGTCGACCTTCATCTTCTTGAGGACGCGGCGGAAGAACTCGTTGGTTTCTTGGGTGTGGAGTTGATCCCCTGATTGATGATTAGTTTGTTTCTCATTATGGTGGATGTGTTGTGAAGGTTCTGAAGTTTCAAATCTTACCAGGTGGGAAATTTTCGCCTGTGGCTTCCTCCAGAGCCGGAATCATCTCAACACGACGCCAAGGAGCCGCCCAGTTGACCTCGCTAGATCATGAATCAGTATAGAACTCCAGGCAAAGCAGAACGCTGCACTTACTACTCTTCTCCAGACTGGGTGTGGTACTTGGTGGTAGTACCTCCAGTAATGTGCTTAACGAGACCCGAGACCAACTCTTCAGTCATATCCATGATATCATAGACATCAGCATAGGCCATATAGAACTCGCAAGTAGTGAACTCAGGGTTGTGAGTAAGATCGATGCCCTCATTTCTGAATTGACGACCCATCTCATAGACACGGTTGAGACCACCAACCACAAGCATCTTGAGGTACAATTCTGGCGCAACACGCATGAACATATCCATATTCAAGTCATTGTGGTGAGTCTTGAAAGGCTTGGCAGTTGCTCCTCCTGCAATGGGGTTCATCATTGGGGTCTCAACCTCAACGAATTCCTGCTCATCAAAGTATCTGCGGATATAGCTGATCATCTTGGAGCGAGTAATGAAGACGTTTCGAGTAGGTTGATTCATGATCAGATCGAGGTAGCGCTTGCGATGACGTTGCTCCTGGTCCTTGAAACCATAGTACTCGTCTGGAAGCTGGTGAAGACATGGTGTGAGCAGGATTATCTCCGTGGCAAAGATAGATAGTTCTCCCTCCTCGCCCTTCTCAATCTTGCTCTTTGGTGCCGTACGTCCCGGGTATCCAACTATGCCAATAATGTCTCCGCGACGGAGATGCTCATGCTGTTGCTCGAATGGAACTCCATCTGCCTTGGCCTCCTGCACTTGACACATAACCTGAACCTTGACGCCTGAATCTACAACATCGTAGAATACCAGCTTATTTCCTGATGCGCGCTTGTTGAAGATTCTAGCACCGATTCTGATCTCAACATCCTTCTTGTGCTCGCCCGACTTGAGGGACCCGTAATCCTTGACAAAATCCTGCAGCTTGTATGTAACATTGAACTTGTGAGGGTATGGATTGGGTTCCTTGGTCTTGCGGAGCTTCTCGATGGCACGCGATCGAATCTCGAAATATTGCTACCCCGCTGTCAGTTATGCCCCGCATTGAAATGCGCGTAGAAAAAGCCGAGGGGGATTTTGTATACGTTTGGATTCAATTCCTTCTCGTCAGCTTCGGCATTGGTCTTCTTGACTGCCGCTGGCTTGGGTGGCGCTGCAGCAGCCTTCTTAAGTCTCTCCTCTTCCTTCTGGCGATTCTTCTGGCGCTTCTTGAGTTCGGACTTGGAGACGCGTTCGCCGGTAACCTCGTCCAAATGAAGATTGGCTACGACCTCGGTGGGAGGAGCGGAAGCTTCTTGTGCGTCCGCCATGATTGCGATTTTTAGTTGTTGTGTACGAGTATTGGAGGTAAGAGGGACGAGACGAAATGGCGGGGTTGAAGTTTTGGAATTTATCTCATGGTGGGGTGAGTCACGAGGTTCTGCCGATTGATCGAGTCAGATCTGTGGCTCATCGACGCCATCAACATCATAACAACATCAATTTTTGATGTAAATGCATTATTTTAAAGTTCTGGATGGCACAATTGCAATTTCAACCATTTGATCTTACTTTGCTTAAATAGACGAGATTTGCATCCCAAAACTATACAATCTTGCCAACACAGAGCTGGTTTTCCCAGCTGTCTCCATAGACCAAAACACAAGCTAGTACTTACAATTGCGTCCAAACACTTGCTGCACCTCATTGGGACAATTGACTTTGTTCTATCACAAGTCAATTGTGATTATACTATATTTATTCTGAGCCATATGAAGAAAAAATCTGAATCCCGATTATTGCCTGAGTAAAGGGACAAGCGTTCGCAGAACCCCCTCCGAGCTATCTTAACGTTCGCCGTTCAATGCAGTGATAGGCTTGCAAAAGCTAATGCGAAGAACAGCAACAAGGCAAATCCACATCTCTCCAGTTGAGTCCATGGTCCGGAGTATATGGCGTGCCTGACGAAGAACATTTAATCATTTTCTTCAATGACTACCAGAACTACATTTTACTGCTTGTTACTGTACTAGACCAAATCTGATCAACACATGATAGTCACAGCGAGAAACATTCATGACATCTTTCGGGTCCTGATGGCAAGGGATATGCACGCAGCAGAATTTGAGATCAGGGACTCTCGAATTAGGTGGCTGCTGAGAACAAGGTACAGGACGAGACTGGCTAGCGATAGCTGTACTCGCCAATTTTATACTGACAATCAACCCTCATCGACCTTGCTCACTCCACGATTTTCTAGGTTGCTCTACTGCTCAAATCCACTTCGCAAACAGCTCAGATCACCAGAAACGCGCCTCAAAACGCCGTAACTGAAAACTAATTGCCTGATCTACAAGCATCTCAACAAGCTCCACGTCCTACATCGCTAATCCATCCCACCACAACACAACAAACATCTCCCAGAAATCTCTCTTCACGTCTCCTCTGCAACAACCTCCTCAATCGCCTCCCTCAAAATCCTTATACCCTCCGCCATATCCTCCTTCGTAATATTCAACGGCGGAATGAACCTCAACGTATCATAAATACTCGTCGTCAACACCAACATATCCTTCTCCAAACACTTCTGCTGAATCTTCCCCGCATAACCCTTCCCCGGCGCACACTCCATCGCCAACATCAATCCCAACCCCCTAACATCATACACCACCTTCCCCAACCTTCCATCATCCCTAACCTCCTCCAACGCACCTCTCAACTCCTTTCCCCTCACCTCCACATTCTCAAGCACCTTCTCCTCCTTAAACGCCTTCAGGACCGCCACCCCCGCCGCACAAGACACCGCGTTCCCCGCATACGTGCCGCCCATCGACCCAGGCTTCTGACAATCCATCAGCTCCTTCCGTGAGACAATAGCAGACAGCGGGAACCCATTCGCAATCCCCTTCGCCATGATCATGATATCAGGACGAACACCATAATGCTCCACAGCAAACATCTTGCCCGTTCTTCCAAACCCACACTGCACCTCATCCACCACCATCAAAATACCATTCTTATCGCAAATCTCGCGGACTTTTTCAAGATAGCCCTTAGGAGGAGGCACGTACCCGCCCTCACCAAGGACAGTCTCAATGAAAATGGCTGCCGTGTCTGAGGGGGCGGATTCGCGCTTGAGGAGTAGCTCCAGTTGCAGGACGGGGTCCATGCAGCAGTTATTGAAGTTGAATTTGTTGTTTGAGTGCGCGGAGATGGAGCATTGTGCGCAGTAGGGGAAGGGGACGGAGAAGACTCCGGGCATGAGGGGCGCGTAGTTCTCGCCGTAGATGGTTTTGGAGCGGGTCATGGCCATGGTGCCGAAGGTGCGGCCGTGGTAGGAGCCTTGCATTACGATGATATTTTGTTTTTTAGTTGCCTGGTTGATTGTCAGTAAGTATCTATCTATCTATTTCCAGCCCAGTACTTCGAGAGCAAAGTGGAACACATATCATATCATCTGGGCTATAATCTCAAGACACTGATCTTGATCATGATCCTATCCTTGAGATTCAGATCACGAAACAGTCCAGGAGAGCAGATAGAGAAAGCACGCAAACACAAAGCCAAAAGGAGGAACCAAGACAAAACACCCTCAGCAAAAGTCCACTCACATGCCTCGCAACCTTAACCGCCGCCTCCACCGCCTCACTCCCCGAATTCCAAAAGAAAAACGTATCCAGCGACCTGTCCGGCATAACCGGCAACAACCCCTCCACCAGATCCAAATACGGCTTCTGAAACGCAATGTTGACCTGTCCATGCACCAGCGTCCCAACTTGCTTCTGTGCCGCTGCCGTAACGCCAGGATGACAGTGCCCGAGATTCGTGACGCCTATCCCGGATGTGAAGTCCAAGAGGCGTCGCCCGGAGGTGGTGGTTACGTGGGAACCGGACCCAGAGAGAAGGACTTCGGGGGTGAGGCGCCCGATGCCTTTGGCGATGTGGAGGGTGCCGAATTGGGCGAGTTTGGAGAGGGGGGGCATGGTGGTGGTGGTGGTGGTAATGATACTACCAAGAAAATCAGAGGGTGTTGATCGAGAAATATGGAGGTTTGAAGTGCAAGTGGCGGTGGTTGCGTAAGTCACGATTCTGAGGCTCCTGGAGCGAATACGTACCCAGAGATAAGAGCAAACGGCAGGATGACCTAGAGGACGATGAGCTTCAGAGGATGCCGGCGTCCTGAGATATGAACCTATTTGAGAAGGTTCCACTTAGTCAGTCAGATGTCAATGTCTTGCAATGAAACGTAACCTGTCATTGACTTTTGGTGTTAATGTCCGTGAACAAAGAACATACAACGGGAAGGAGTTCCACGGACCACGGATGATGCCCAGACATCATGTTTTAGTGGGGTCAACCTTTAAAATATGGAGCTGCATGGCTGATTGACCAATCAAAGCGAGCACATATGTCATAGGGCGGAAAATCTTGGCGGTGTATCTAAATAACCTGGAAGCTTAAACATTGTTATCAGTTTCCTACATTATTTCTTCCATTGTCTCGACAAGGGAGCAAGCTTTAAGGTATCATTCAAAGTATACTTCAGATTAGTCAAGTCCTTGATCCCAAAAACAAAAAAAAGCTTCACAGATAGATTTCGACCTGTTCCGTTTACGATCGTCTTTACTCCTGATTCTCTCCCCTGCTTGCCTTGAAGCTATCACAGTAAGTCTGTCTTCATTCTCAAGTTAAAAACAAGTCAAGTCCAAAATTCATCCATGTTTTGCATCCAATATCTTCGAGTTTCATTCATCTGTTTACTAACTGCATCGTGGTATCAGAACCCAATCCCCGCCTCAAAGCAGGCAACCTTTTTTCAAGAACCAGTATCTTGAGATATCATTCTAGAAATGCATATCCCAATCCCATACAACCCTTTTCTCCTTGACCGCTTGCACCTAGAATCCCTCATCATGCATAAATCTAATCCAAAAACCAACCCAACCCAACCATTTACGAAAATATTTGAAATACCTCCCAGATCAAGACATCAACGCAACCAACACACCCAAAATAACTGTCAACCACAAAACAACAGACCACTCACTCCTCCTTCCACCACTCGTCGTCGTCGTAGCCGTCTCACTAGCACCTGCTTCCGTCCCACTCCCACTCCCAGTCGGCGGGGTCGTCGTACTCGCTCCAGTACTACTACCAGCCCCTGTCCCAGTCGAACCAGTCGTAGAGACCGGTGCAGTACTACTTCCTCCAGTCGTACTCGCTGCACTCGAGCTCACACTCTCACTTCCACTCGTCGTGGTAGCCGTAAGGCTCGGTCTTGGACTCGCGGGTGTGGCTCCTGCGCCTGATCCCGAGGAGGGGGAGGATGAGTCGCCGGCGGCGACGATGCCGCCTTGGACTGAACTGGGAGGTGTTTGGCGGAGGACGTTCTGTGCGGCGGAGGCGAAGGCGGTGATGTCTTGGCCGTCGTTGGAGGGGGATGCGGCGGGGGGGTTGATTACACCGACCATGCCGCTTTGGCAGTGGGAACCGACGGAGCAGTAGTACCATTGGGGAGAGGTAGATGTGATATCTATGGTGAAGGTGTGGTCCTGTGGTGGGAGGTTAGCTGGGGTGGTTTGTGGACTTGTAGGCAAATGAGGAGGGGATGCGGGGTGAATATGGCCGGGAGATGGGGCAGATGGAAGAGGCTCCCGGAGAAAGGGGAAAGGAAAGAAAACGTACGCCTTGTTGATTTCCTGTGATGATACCTGAGAAGAAACCGTTATCTGCAGGTTGACATGGCGTATCAAAAGCACTGAGAGCTACGCTGTGGCTTCCGGCCCCGCTGTAGAACTGGAATCGTACGCTTCTCACAGTGTCAGCAGTCTATCTCGATATTTCGTGGCACAGCTATAAAGGGGGAAGAGATGAAAGAGAGGAGACTCACGTATCGCCAATTTCTGCAGTGATAGAGTTGGGTTCGAATGTTAACCCACCATCTCCGACTTTGACATCGATTGTCGCTGCGAATATGGTCGTAGCGAAGCCGAGAGATATGAGCGGTGAGAATATCATCCTGTCTGTGTGTGTTGGCCTGGATTTGTTGGTTCGTATGGGGTGTCTTTCTGTTATAGAAGAGCAGATCGAGAAGACTGAGACTCAAAAGCTCATATAGTCGACAGCTCAAGCCTGACTGTGTAGAAGATGCCGTCACCGATGTGACCGGATGTGAATCCGAAGACTTGGCTGCTGTCTCTGTACCACGAATCACAAAACTGGCTCTAGCTTGAAGTTACCTTACGCGTCTGTTCGTCCTCTTGATTCACAAAGCTGTTGACCGTGTCGTGTCTCAACATACATGGGAAGTAAAGGTCCAGCTCAGGTCTCATCCCAGGTACAAAAATCATCCCTCGGCAGTCCGTTAATCCTTTGTCGTCGGATGCTCGCACTTCCAGGTCACGATCGCCTTTGGCTCCGCCCCCGTATTACATGTCATCACGCTGCGTCCTGCTCTTCCAATGACAACTCCCCCACTCAGCCACTCGCTTAGAAGGGATCGCACAGCCTGTGGAACAACTCCTCTTCGGGCAGGCGTAAAAGGCTTGGAGCCGGAGCTTGTAGATTGGTGTATATTTGTTCGGATTCTGGATGCGGTGAAGGAGAGGAGGAGGCGGGAGTTAGGCTGGGCTTGGCTCGAGTTCGAGATGGAGATGGGCTCGGCTGGGAAAATCCCGGCGCGGGGTAATGCTGTCACGTGCTAGAGGGGATATTGCTTGTGAAAATGGCCTCCACCTCCCTATCTGGGGGAGATTTGACTTTTCCATATGAAGCTTATGAGATGGCTGTGGCGGATCTGGGCTTCGTAAGGCGGATTGACGACGTGCAACAATTCTCCTTATGATCGGAAGAATTATTGTCCTGCTTCTGCGAGGTGGATTCGGTTGATTTTCGCATTCGATGCGAGTGTCAGCTTTTGAGCGTGGCAACAGGCCTGAGCACTGGAGCCTCAACAACATCACATCGATACATAATAATATTCGTTCTATTTACAATTAAGCCGAGTGATAGCACAGAATTGGAGCTCCCAAATCATGAGAATTTGGCCCCTTCTACTATGGTTCCAAGTGGTTGTAATTGGGTGTGGAATTCCAGTACCGGGATTTCAATTGGGAGTGGTGGAAGCCAATTATTTTCGAGGCTGCTTTGAAAACGGCCAGGCTGTTTCCAAAGCAGCCTCTCGCGACGTGCAACAAAAACGTTAAGCAGTCGGTCATGATTGGCTGAACTTGAGAATCTCACGTGACTCCGACTTGGAATCTGAAAGCTGGCTCCGTGAAGAGCATACAAGTCTTGTAGAAAATGAATTGATTTTTTTTTTTTGGCAGTCGTTACTTTCTACCTAGGTAATTCAAGTAGGAAAAGACGGCTTAGCAAATACCTACACTCACCTGATAAGTTCATGCAGGTTAGGTACGGTAGCGAGCTTTCTATTGGTGAACTTCAATTTCATCGTCCCTGTTGGTCCTAGCTTCGGCATCATGTGTCTGCTTACCGTTATTCATCATGATCAAAAAGTATATCACCTCCCCATTTCCACATAGCATGCTAAGTTTTTACAGATTTCCGGCTTCGCAACAACACGTATCTGTTTTGGGTAATCAATTCGGCTCAGCTACGAATAGACACGGAATCGGAACAGAGTTCTCCCAAAGGTAATCTGTGTCAACATCCCGCGCCAGTCTCCTACTTCTGCTACTTTACCTCTTTCTCGAGCAAAATCTCTGTAAGGGGACATACTACCAGTCCAAGGGCATCATTCTGTTCCTGGTTTTCCAGAAGACTGTGGACCGAATATCGTGCCATTGGCATCGAACCGAGGTTCTGAGATCACTTGACTGAAAGGGCTCAACACAAGCGAAAGTCAACAATCCTGAACTGAAGCTCCTTCAAAAAGATCTTTTAAGATCCCCACACATAAGTTCTATCGAATTACTCATCAAACCATTTACAATCATGGCCTCACCACCCACCCTCGAGTTCTCCAATCTCAGCTCCGCCGTCTCCGTGTACACACCGCCACATCCACCTACATCAACATCAACCGCATCACCAACCTCCAACCCAACAACAACAATCCTCTGCCAATGGATGGGCGCCTCCTCCCGCTCCCGCTCCCTCTCCACCACCCACCAGAAATACCACACCCTCTACCCCACCTCCACCATCCTCACCCTCCGCTCCCTCCCCTCCTACTTCCTCAGCACCCCAACCTCCACTCGCCTCGAGGGATTCTCTCCCATCGTCCCAGTCATCGACAGTGCTCCCACCCCGCGCATCCTAGTCCACCTCTTCAGCAACGGCGGCGCCTTGACCTTCACGGATATCTGTACTGTGTACAAACGCCAAACTGGGAAGATCTTACCCGTGCAAGCTATCATCTTGGACAGCGCGCCGGGCAAACCAACTATTCAGCAGAGTTGGGAGGCGCTATCGATTGGGATGCCCAGGGGGTGGATGTGGTATCCGTCTGCGGCGGTGTTTGCTTTTCTCTTGGGGGCTGGAGCCGTGGGCAGGAGTGTATTTGGGGTTTATGGGCTTGTTTATAAGACTCCTGGACTACTGGATGATGGGACTTTGGTTGATGGGAGGGCGAAGAGATTGTATGTTTTTAGTGAGGGGGATGCGTTGGTTGGGTGGAGGGATGTGGAGGCGCATGTGGAGGAGTTTAAGAAGAAGGGTGGGGAGGTGATGGTTTTGAGGGAGAGGGATACGCCGCATGTACAGCATATTACGTTGGATGCTGAGAGGTATTGGGAGAATGTGGAGGAGTTGTGGAGGAGTACGGTGCCTGCTACGTGAAGTAGATCGTTGGATCTTTTGAAGATATTCCTTTCAAAGGCTGGACGTGTGGAGTAATAGCACGCAGCTGGCCTAACATTATTATTTTCCGAGTACCAAGTTCTATTCTCTGCTGTCATGTTTAGACATTCCATTTATTATGTTATTCGATTTGGTTAACACTACAGGATTTACATGGAGTAAGGATGGAAGAGGCATCGAAGAGTAGTATCGACGCTGCGCAACCGACACGGAAGAGTTTGACTATTGAGCGAAAAATGGGATGTATATACGTCTAAATGGCTTTATAGATCGGTGACTGGTTGAGAGGGGTTGTATAAGACACAGAGAGAGAGCTGAGAGGAGAAGGAGAGGAAGTTGACCTTGGTGTACTTAAGGAGTGGTGGTGGAGTAATGGTTTAATTTAGCAAATTGGATATGGAGACTGGTTACGAGTTCGAGAAGAGTCTGGACAGGTTGGCATATAGTAGGTAAATAATTTCGGTAGCTGTTCAGAATGCTGAACTTGCCACTGAAGTTTTGGCGCGAGGCTTCCAATATTGCCAGCCCATTCTTCCCGATTCGATACAACACTTGGGTTGGCTTTCGAGATCATCATTATAAATAGTGTAGTGCTAGTAAAGGTATAACAGTGGTCACTTGTTTGCAAAGTTATGGGGTTAAAAATGTTGATATTAAGTCGAGATACCTTCTATCTACTAAGTGAAGCCTCTGATGGTGTGAACGCGCCGGTAGTGAGCTAATCCCGATTGAGACCGGGCGAACACGCAATACATCACATGTTCACGTGAGTAGCTAAATCCCAGAGGTAGATACCTCAAATGCAAAGCAGATTCTTCCCCACCGTGGGAAGTGCACTTTCCTAGAATAATAATCATATCACTGTTACAAAAAATTTGTGACTGTCAATTAATAGTCAATTGCTAGTGATATGAAATTCTTGGTAGTTGAGAGGTCGTTACCTAGGTATTTTAGGCAGGTTCTGTCCGATAGTGGGACAGAACCTGCTTTCTCCTGTAAGGTAGGTAGGTATTCATCCCGACAAGTAGTAAACTGTAAGAACACTTTCGAATGTCAAGAATCCTGGGTGGATGGCAGCATGCTCTACCAGTCTTGATGATTCAACGTCCGCCTCACGTCCTGTGAATATGGACTTGGATGAGCGTTCTTTCATGTATTCAGCGACTGCAATTCTTGATAACACGAGGAAGTACTAAAACGGTTTAAATGTCACGAACAGGAGTTAGTAGTCGTTCGATGGTCAATAGTTCATCGGCATACATGTTCAATCAACTTTACACTTTGTTATATATGCACTGAACCAGCAAGCTACATGACATAGAACAGGACGCTAGAGCAGTTCTTACCGGTCCTCGTCTCAGTAAGCGAGCTTGCGAGGTACATAGAGCTGAAAAGCTATCTACTTCACTAGAGCATTTTCCGCCAGTCTATAAGGCGAGGAGGGGTACAATCCAATAGATTCATATAGGGTACAGCTTTTGTTGCATGTCGCAGTGAGCCGTGTCTACGTAACCACCAGGTCTCGAGGAGTATGATCCAATAGATCAATACAGTGTACAGACTTTGTTGCAAATCGCTGCGAGCCGTGTCAACGCTAATAGGAGACAATTTTAGGTCTCTAAGGATGAAATTGGAAATTTGAAAGAACGCTATTGCTTGTGTTGAGATAGCACAGGTTGTAAATAGAGTAGTGTGAGACCCGGTGGCTTTTCCACGGAATCATGATCCATGATGAACAGCAGAGTTTGCTCATTGTGGCTTTTCGGACTGTGACAGGTAAAGTATTGAAGTCTCTGTGTCATGAGTTAGTACCATTTTCCGAGATTCTGTCAGCCTTCTTCATCAAATGGATGGCTTCGAACGGAGTTGGGGAAGTGGAGTGAGGAAAGATGCGGACTGTGGGTAGATGCGAGGCTTGGGAGACTTGATCTAGAGATCATTGCTCAATTACATACTCCTGGGTGTCAAGCACCAATAGGATTTCATAATTCCACTTACCTGTTTGAAAGCCGACTTTCTTCCTCGAAAATTTATTCTATTCTTCCTCATCACAAGTCTACACATCTTCTCTTGCTCTTGAAATCCACGAGTTTAGATCTCAACAAGTGTTCTGGGCCATCTCCGTGAGCGTCTCTACTACGATCCTGTGTCCCACTCTATCTTTCCAAACTTCCAGAGCTGTCGATGTCCCGTCGATGTACAGGTCTTCCAGTGCCAATAAGCAGATCATCTGAGTGCACAGAATTTAAATGCCCGATGATCACCATTACTTGTTTCATCCTGCCACGGGCTATTATTCGTAGAAAGCCTTGTGCACTATTCGCAATGTCTTCAGTCCTGCTTCGTATCCAGATAGGAGAAAAGAAGCGATTGGAACATAAGGTCAGGGCGATATCTTGTTTGGTATGGGGAGATCTCAGAATTCAGTGTCATTAATCGCATGTATCGTGAGGTCTTCGGAGAAAACACAATTGTTGAGAGAGCGTCAATAGCAGGGAAGATCACAGCGCCATGACGCAAATGAGTACGATGGCGACGATGAGCATGAACGAAGAGGTCAAAGTAAACATTTTGATGTTATGGCGATCAAGTAGATCAAGTGACAAGCCCCACATTCTCCAAGTTCTTAACAGCAAGTAAAGGTGAAATTTCTGGCCTCAGTGACGGCATTCTGATCAACATTCTCCCATAGCTAAAACCGGAATGTGCCGAATCACCTTCAATGAGATATGCAATATGACAGATCTACCGACGGCATCTACCGATCGCATTAATTTTCTGATGATTGTAAATCAAGAGTATGCCAATGCTGCCTGAAAGTTACTCCGTCTAGTCCATTGATATGGTGGCGTTGATCACACCAGTTCGTTTGCAGGCTATTAAACGCTACACACGCAAAATTGATGGCCTAGAGCACCGGACTTCCCATAACGTCCGTTCAGCCCTGCGCTTTCGACTTGTCATGTGTGATAATGGTGGTACCTCAAGGTGGACAGTATTGCGATTGCATAAGGCTGATATCAGTGGCACCTCAGGGTGGACTGGACTATGTGAAAACGAATCATTGATGAGAAATACCGATGTCAACTCTTGAAGTGGACGTTACTTCAGATCCAAGGTACGCCTCGGGACAAGAAATCTTCCGCTGGTCGTATGTCTACCAATAATAAGTGCACGTAAGAAGCAGGAAGTGCGTGAAGTGTAGGACGCACAACTCCAACACCCGAGATCCGCATCTAGTCATTGGCAGATGACAATTTTCCACGAATCTACTCTCAACTTACCCCCACGACTTCTTAGAAATCAGATAATAAGACATTCCAACATTAGCGTGATAGATATGTCTCGAAATACAGACTGGATAATTGGTTAACTTTCTGAACGCCAACTCCATCATAGTTAGGCATAGCGGCCGCACAATAAATACTGTTTCAATTCAGCTTTAGGCCTCCGGGCTGACAGTGGAACAACTCGAAGTGATCCTCCCCGCAGACTTCAGATCTCAAGTCTAGTGGCTAAGCGTGCATTCCCCGCTTAGCGGATGTCAACAGTCTCGCTAAGCGAGTCTAATAATTGGCCATGTTTATGTATGCTTACTCGCCAGAAACATAGTACACAGTAAGTGCTATCTCATGGACACTAGTATCCGTTGTTTGCGGAGAAGCCCTGGCCTAGATGTGTTCTGTGCTCCTAGCTTCCTTCCGCCCAACGCCACAATTTTGACGCCATAGCCTCGCTCACTGCTGGCTCCTTAGCTATCAACATGAGCCGCAGCTACTATGGGCTCTCCTGACCGAGTAATTGGTTCTAGAGTAGAGCTGATAAGACTTCCATGAGGTTGCGATTGGTCGAATGTCGAGTGATCACTGAAAGCAGCCACAGTGGACGGCCATATAAGTCGGAGACCCCTACACTTGTCCAGAAATAGAGCTTTGCCCGGGTACCTAAGTGTTGATAGTGGAATCGTGATAGATGCCATTACTCGGAGACTTCCATCCAGGGACAATTCTCCGACGCACCTCAGAGTCAACCCCAGACCCCTCATGAGATACGCCTATCACTCTACAGCTCTAGGGTTCTGACAGCCTCGGCACTCCCAGACAGCTCAGGGAGAGTGGGGTGAGGCTGTTCAGAGTTGACAGTACGGGGCTACAGTAAAGTGCATCGAAGGGCCCAGATGGATGTGAGAACTTGCTCACTTACTGCATGTAGATCTCACATTTGGATCTGCTACCTTCTTTCGTCAGAATGTCTCAAACTGTATCTGTCTGCATTGGCCAGATCTCGCACTTCCCTCCATCTTGTTCACATGTGAGCCTATTAATGAATCGAAACTTCTTATCCACCAGCCGGGAGGCGGGATCGCTTAAGCCCAGCGGACCTCAACGTTTTTCGGACCCCTTCGACCCCGGCGGGCCTCTTCAGTCTATCGGATTTTCTGTATCCAGCTGAATCTCTTCTACAACTTCAGTCTTGATAGCAGTACGATCGTCTTCAGAAGTCCAGATCTCAACAATTGTCTCAGACCCTACGACAGGAAACTGTAAAGAGGGTCTGGCACCATGTTTGCCAAGTCCAGGTCTTTGTTGATCTATCTATAAGTACCTCTGATTATCCTCCTCATTTTAATCCTGCATCACACAACAAAGTCCTCATCACTACAACCAAGTCCTCATTTCAGAACCAACTCCATCTCATCCACCTCCACCAACCAATATACCACATCCTACCACACCCACTCAGTTCAGCTCCAACTCATCAAATCGACAAAATACAGTTCTCCGCCATCACCACTTTCGCCCTTCTCGGAAGCGCTTTGGCCGCTCCAGCTCCCATTGAGCAGAGAGGACTCACTGAGTCTGTTGGCCTAATCGTCGACACCTTGAACGCCACTGTCACCCAAAACTTAGGTCAAATCAGTGAGTTGCCACTCAAAGCATAACATCCAATATGTGGAAACGGACACTAATACTCTGTAGCCAACCTTGTTTCCGGTGTCAAGAATAACGTGGAAGCATCCGTCCAAGTAGCGGCTCAAGTCGGGGCCGACTTCCAAGCCATTGCAGCAGCACTTACTACAGCCGCTCAAGGCATCACAGCTGCTACAGTAACAGGGATTGGCGGACTCAGCGGACAACTTCTTCTCCTTTCTGACACCCAAATCAAAGCGTTAGCTGCGAGTCTCGCCGAGGCGCAGGCACTGGTTAAGCAAATTGGCGTGACAATTACTCTGACGACGACCAACTTGGCTCCAAGTATGTATTGAACTGTGTTGCGAGCTTCTCCAGGACTGACATTTGTTTAGTTGCACTTCAAACCATTCAAGCCGAGCTTGATGCAGCGGCGGCTGCTGTCATTCCTTTCGTTGGACCTCTCACTAAGTTCGCCACTGCTGTTGCCAATGCTCAGCTTGGGTTGAGTGCTGCTGTCACTGGCTTGCAAAAGGCCGTGATTGGGTTGGTCGGTATTCTTGGAAACCTTCTTGCAGGCTTGTTGTAAGAGACAGATGGGATTTCACTGTCAAACTTTACCACATCCTTTTGTGGTGCTTCAAACGACCCGTAGCTGGCTAGTTTGGTCTTGATATATGTGGCACTACGCTAAGCTATACTTTCATTTGTTTTCATCTAATAGTGTATTAATCGAGATATAATTTATGCACGTTTATCACTCCACGACTCAGAGACCACTGAAACCTGAGGGCTTGAAATATATGAAATGCGAGTGATGAAAATAATTCCCAAGTCATGCTCACACGGAGGGTAAGTGACTCGAGAGATCGGAAATCTCAGTATGGTCGATTCGAAGACGAAGAATCCAAGAAATTACTGGGATACCGAATGTTTCTCTGGAAGCTATTTACTTGATTCACTTCTATGGAGAATATGCCGATCTGGTCTGTGAATCTCATCAAACTTTCATTTCTCTTCTGTATCTTCCCCAGAACCGGCAATCTTGATGCGTCCCTCCAGCCTCGGTGCGATGGCCTATCATAGTCAGCAGCAATTTCTCCCAATTTAAAACCAGCGCAGCAAGGAGCCTTACCCTCGTCCAATCAACAGTAAACTCTTGAATAGCCTCACAACATTCCGAAGCTCCCTTCAACCCTGCAAGCCGTCTCCATTTCCTCGTAACCTTCCTCGCAAGCTGGATTCGTCGTTCTAGTGCATCACTCTCTTCTGCAGCGATATATTTCGCACCCCCAGCATAAGCATCGTCGGAATCATCATCTGAATCGTCGAGCGTGCCCTCAGTATTTCTTTCTGACTTGCCGGAACTGCTAGGATCGACAACGGGATGCACACCATGCATCGAATCCTGGACGCCCTTCCAGTGTCTGTCCATGCCTCTGCCCCAATTTTTCCATTTGCCGAGGATCTTCAGGCTCATGAAATATTGTCTGATGATCATGCTGATCAAAATACCATTCTCCTCTGAGACAACTTCTTCCGCTTCTCCGCCTTCGGATTTAACGAGCAGTGAGTCGAATCCATCCTTGCCTCGCGCCATGTATCCCCTGGTCACCAAGACATATACCTTCTCCTTATCGAGTGGCTTGCCTGCAATTTGCACATAACGAACTCTTGAATTCGCCGGGCGGCTTGGGTCGAATTCAAACTCGATATTTGAGACTTGTGGGAAGCGGCCCTCCAGCGCGGGGTAGAGCGAAACGGAGTTCTCGATAGCATCGAGGATGGCTTGACCGTTGACTTTGATAACGACACATGGGTCCTCGAAAGGGAAGCAGTTCATGATATCTTTGGCTTTAAGAACGCCAGGAGGATAGATCTGGTCGCCGCGGATGGTGCCGGCTGCGATGAGACAGCAGTCTCCGCCGTAATGGGTACGCATAAGATCGCAGATGAAATTGCCCATATTGGACTCCTTCAGGCGCACAGTTGTGAAGCGTGCATCGAGCGGAGCCATTGTGTATCCGAGTGGCTTTCCTAGCTTAGCTTTTAGAGATGTAGTAAGTTTCTCGGTTAACTTAAGAGTTGCCCGTTCCTCTGCAATGCTGGACATGGCGTCTCGTCGGATGATGTGGAAGTCCCATTTCTTGCTGCCTTCTCCTTGTCGTCTTGCCTCTATATAGCTCAGTTGTTTGAAGTCACTTCCTGAACGGAGGACATGGGTGCCGTTGATGATGCTGTGGTTGTAGTAATGATCGTGACCTCCAAGTACGATATCGATGAGCCCATCAGGTATCTTTTCAGCAAGCTTATTGTCGTTCGGTTCTCTTTGGTGGGTGACGGCGACGACTATTTCAGCTCCTTGAGCTCGTAGTCCCGGTACAAGCTCCTTTGCCGTTGCCGATACAGACTTGTAGACGAGATCTGGTGGCAATGAATTGATTGTATCAAGCCATTCTCGCTCGACAAGGCCGATGATACCGATCTTGATACCGTTAGAGGAGGTTAACATAACGGTCTTCTTGGCGTTTCCTAAGGGCACATCATCACCCAAAGCTGGATCTGTGACAGACAGTGAGTGGAGCTTGTAGCAGAGGGGGTGTTGGAGACTGACCTGTGACGTTTGCGAGCAACCATGGGAATTTGCATTGACCAGCTAGATGCCTAAATTGGCGTACACCGAAGTCTAAATCATGATTCTGCATCACCGTCAGTCTTGATGTTCATTGTTCTTCATGGCCGTTCTGATGATTTCTTACACCAACACAAGCCACATCTGTTCCAATACCATTCAGCACTGGCACCATGTGGCTGCCTGCACCGCCTCATTAGCTCCGACACGGATGTCAAGTTCAAGATTTTACGTACCCTTGGTTACACTACTTTCCAAACTTGGATTGAAAGCATCTCCAGAGAAGAACGTAAGCAGATCCGGCTGCCCGGTGAATTTCTCTCCGGCACGATACTCTTTGCACAAAGTCATGAAACGAGCAATGCCACCTACAGGCTCCGCAGACGAAGCATCGATGTGGTATACTAAATAGACGTAAATACAAGCTGATTTGGTCCTAAGGAAAGAGAACTCACCATCGTTGAAATGGAGCAAGCGGAGATCTGGCGGTGAGGAGACATCTCCAGAGGTATACATAACCTTCTCTTCTGCTGAGGGTTTATCCTCAGAATCCATATTCAGACCTGTACGATCGCGGACCTAGGATGAAGTTGGACTATGTCTTGACGTATGGCGAGTCAGAGTCGCGCTCGCGGATCTGGGTGTGGCTATTTTAGCACCCCACAATGATCTGTTTCAGATGATGCGCAGCTTAGGTGCTGTAACGTCAAAGAGGTTTTTTCGGTATCTCATATGTCGGGGATCTAATCAATGAGAAAATCCGAGAATTTGAGTGATCGTCGAGGAGTGATGGAGCGCAACAACGCAGATGAAGGCAATGATGAATTTCAACACTAGGCCTACTTAAGCCAAGCCCTTGGCTCTCACTCACGTGAAACATCACGTGAATATCAACCAACAGTGATCGCTCTGGTTCCCCTTTTCGAGCGTGTTTCTTCCAGTCTGGCGACCATGTTTTAAGAAAGGAAAGGTTATGTTTAAGACATCGTACTGTTTCGAGTGCAATTATTCGGTCATCACTAGATCTTGCTTGGTGGGCTTCTCGGCTATGACCAGGCAGTGGAGGTGATCGGATGCATGCTGGGTTTGAGACGGTCCTGCAGCTATCCTGAAATAGCAAATGAGATGCCTCTGAAAGTATCACCATGGATACAAGCTATATCGATCTTGGATTGAGATTCAAAGCGGGCAAAGGGAAGCAAATCTGGAATTTTGAAATCCAATCACACTGTTTATCTTTTGCGTGTTTACCTTCCGCATGGACAGGCTCTCGCTTCTGCCTAGCGCTAAAATCTTGTTTCTCTATCCAAAAACTACAAATTATCTTACTCGGAACATCAAAATTTCATTGCGCGATATACTCAACCACGACACGTTTTAACGATGGAAGATCGAGAGGAGAAAGAGGCAGCTCAGGCAGAGCTCAGGTGCGGCAACGAGGATCACGACAACCAGAGAAAAAGTGACAAAACAAAAAAGCGACAATTAGCAAAGTTCATAATTGCTAGGTACGTAAGAGTTCACTTTCCTCTCCCACTACTTGACATTCGAATCATACAAATCCAGACCGAGTGCATATGTAGCACAGATCAAGCAGCAAGCGCTACAGACACCAGATGCCCCATTTTCAGATTATCGTCTTTGGCTTCCACAGTAGCTGTCACTGACACATTTTGTACCGGTAGAATGTTGACCTTTTCGAAGAATACATCAATAATTGTTGGTCCAGAGAGGCAAATTTCCAACGTGCCACAAGATCTTCTCGCTCTTCACTCAACCTTCTTCCGCGAACATTTTGACCGAGCAGAGCAGGAAATCGTGCTACCAACCATGAGGGCTGCTGAATTTGCGAAGTTTGTGGCTTGGCTTCATCTTTTGGTCCTTGACTCTGAGCCCTTGTATGGAGATGAGGAAGACCTGGACACTGTGACTGAACGAGGATGGGAGCTGGGAAGAATATTGGGTGCACCGGGCTACCAAAATTCATATATGTTGGTATACAAAGACTACTGCCGAGACAACTTGGTTATTTGGCCAGATGCTTTAACGATACGCACGATATACGATATTACACCGCCAAGATGCAAGTTGAGGAAATTCGCTGCGGACTCGATGGCGGCTCGATCTCCTTTCAAGCGGTACGCAGCAGGATCTCGCAAGCTCGCAGAGTGGGATGCTTTGTTAAAAGAGTTTCCAGAACTGAGCATCGATATTGTATATGCCAGTGTAAATGATTGGCGCGAGAATGTTCCCTGGGATGACGAGTATTTGGTTGCATACATGGAGGACGAGGTATCGCTCGATTCAGCATGGGAGGAGCAAATTCTGGCAAAGCGAAATATTGATGAGATCAGAAAGGAGGCAGAAAAGAAGTGCATACGCAGCATTTTTGAACTCTCGCATCTCGAGCGTAACAAGAATCGAGAGTGAGGTTTTTGCCTGGGTACTGATGGGATGTCAGCAAGGAAATAAGGCTGATAGGATCTCACGGGGAGTTGAGATGACTCAACTACCATCATGTGTAGGATATGATCTGTAACAGATGCTTGCGGAACCAAAATAGAGCTCAAACGATGTTTGATATCATGATTGCCTCAATAACATCACCACGCAAAATCAACATTAATGTGCATACTTTCACAAACCCACGTGACAATATGACCAAAAGAACCGATCTTCATAGTCATGCTTAGAATATATGTCTTCAATTCTTTCTATGCCTCTAAATGTCGAAGAATAGTGAAAGGCTTGCCATAGGATGTTTCTCCTGTTCTATTTGGCGTCGACGATCAGAAGTCTCCCCACCTGCACACTTGCTGACGTGTACCAGTGCTGAGAGCGAGTGAAGAATGTTCTAGGGATCAATTGAACCTCACTCTTTGAGACGGTCTCGAATAGTGTCTCTCAAAGAGGTTTGTATAAAACGACATGACTGACAGACGAGGAAGGACGGAAATGTCGTTCGGAGTCTTTCCAGCTTATCCGACACAGCTTAGTCATCAGGCCTGGCCCCCAGCTCATTTCGATACTTTGACGCTTCCAATTCTTTCGTTGGAAACAGAGTCTGCTCAAAAATCATTCAGATACCAGTGTTTTCACCAATGGATTGGAAAGATTTTCTTCTGCAATGTCCAAGGCGACAAATACGCAACAGTCAAGTCCAGTTTCGCTGGTTGGCTCACAAGTCCCCGTCAGAGCTTACGTCAGTTGTGCCTGGGCGAAGGCGCAATGTGTACATGGGAATCTTCTAACAAGCAGCTGCGAAAGGAATTTTCACTCTGTAATATGTATCTAGATGAGGCTGACTTCAGGTAGGTGTAATTGTCTCCAGAGACCTTGTTGATCAGCACCGCCACGCACCCATGTTCAATCATGAAAGTGGGAAGCTCTGGACGTCGAGTGAGCCCGAAAACTTCTATCTATTCTTATTCTGGCTGAAACATCTAGTCACATTACTGAACATCGGAGTGAAAGGCTTGAGGACAAATTAGACGGGATCGTCACTCTGCTCAATGCATCACAAGGCCCTACCAAGTAGATTACTTGTTTGCATGAATGGAAGGGGTACGAGTATTTTTTTGACATCTTTCTCCGCATTCCGACGAACAAGTATCATTGCATATCGATCAAGATAAACATGGAATTGACATGGAACCTGGGAATTCTGTATATGCTTTCAACCTTCGATAATCCAGACTGGGATCTGGCGTGGCTAATTGAGATGATCTGTCTCCCCGAATTGCTGGAAAAGCTTCCAAGCACATTCAAAGAAGTCAAAGCGGCGCTGACTAGATCCAGATACACAAAAAGACTCGATATGTTTCCACAAAGCGCCAGGGGACCGGGGTAGATCAAGATGTTCAAGGAGAAGGAAAATATCCAACACTGCAGCTCAAGAAAGAGAGTCACGTGCTTACAGATTCCCTTTGTTCAAGATGGAATTGAGCGAAAGCGATTACATGGACGATGCATGGATGAAAGGGTCCATAGGAATTTTAGGTAGTCCAAAATCCTTTGTCCTCATGATTAGGCCTCGGTTAACAGTCGCTATTCAGCTCCTGCTCCGTCCCCGTCTCCTTCTCCGGCTCCGTTCGAGCCAATCACCATCCCTGAATTGTATGCAGCTTCCACGCCAATGTCACCCAACCCTGATACCTTTACAGGCTATATATGGCAATCCCGTGCATCTCAATTTATGGTCGATTTCTTTCAAGCCCAAAAATTATTTGGGCTGGCGAGAACGAAAAGTAGAGGAAGCAAAATCCAGGAACATCAATTTGTTAGGGGACAGGAAGGATGATGGACACAAAAAAGATGACAGCTGCCCCTCAGTGCAGCATCAGCGAAAAGGGCAGTTCTGATAATATGGGCACTGCTGACCCTTCATCGAATATGGACCAAGAGCCTCATATTGGAACCGAGAAAGCAGAGCCTCAAGACCAGCCTGCGGGCGAGACTGCAACTGAAAATGCTGAATACATCTCGGGGATTAAATTACTGCTCGTTGTGGGAGTTGTCTCTTTGTCGATGTTTACGATGCTTCTCGATACTTCAATCATCGTTACTGTAAGTGAATTTCCTCCCGAGAGTCGATCAAGAAACTGAATCTGCGAAGGCTGTTCCAAAGATCACCAGCGATTTCCATTCCCTCGGCGATGTAGGATGGTACGGAAGTGCGTACCTATTAACAAGGTAATTCACAGACAATGTTTTATTTTCAGCATTCTGATGCGAAAACAGTGCTTCCTTTCAGCCATTGACTGGCAAGATATACCAGAAGCTTAACTCAAAAGTGCGCATTCTTCTGACCTCTTGACAACACACTCAGCTCATATCGCTTCCAGTTCACATACATGTCCTTCCTAGGCATTTTCGAACTCGGGTCTTTACTTTGTGCTGCTGCGCAATCTTCATCAATGTTCATTGTTGGTCGGACAATTGCTGGCATCGGAGGCGCTGGGCTTGCGACGGGAGGGCTCACTATTATTTCGGCATGCGTCCCTTTGGAGAAGCGAGCAAGTGAGTTTGTATCCTATCATTACTACTGCTAAACTTACAAGTAATATAGCATATGTGGGTTTCATGATGTCCGGTAAGTCTACATTTGGCAGTCGCTGTATTTTGAGTTTGACCTAATCACCTCAGTCGGTTTGCTTGGAACCGTTGTCGGCCCTGTCATGGGAGGTATCTTGACTCAGTATACGACATGGAGATGGTGTATGTGATGCGTCCCTAAAGGCTTGTTGTACTTCAACTGATCTACTGTAGGCTTTTACATCAATCTCCCAATGGGTGCAGTCGTCGCGCTTTGCCTCTTGCTAATCCGTATCCCCGATATCCGTGATGATCCTTCCGCCAAGCCAAAACACACTTTCAAATCTCTCTTTCATGATCTCGACCTGACAGGCTTTTCTATATTCGCGCCGACAGTAGTGATGTTTCTTCTAGCACTGCAATGGGGTGGCGTATCCTACCCTTGGAAAAGCGCGACCGTGATCGGACTGTTCTGCGGTTCGGCAGGGCTGCTGGTGGTATTCTTGTTTTGGGAGAACAAGCAAGGCGACGAAGCGATGATACCGCTCGCAATGATCAGAAAACGGGTCGTCTGGAGCGCATCGCTGTCTACTTTCTTCCTTTACGGAAGCTTGCTTGGCCAGGCTTACTACCTGGCTATTTATTTCCAGGCAGTGAGGGGTCTCTCGCCTAGCTTGAGTGGGGCGTATGCACTTCCTGGTATCCTGAGCCAAGTTGTCTTCGCAGGTGTCTCTGGCGTTGCCGGTATGTGTTCTACATAATTTAATTGTCAGGTACTGACTTTTGGCAGTTTCCAAAGTAGGGTATTATTTACCTTTCACTATTTTCGGCACCGCGATGAACAGCGTCGGCACAGGTTTGATGAGCACTTTCACCCCCCACAGTCTAACCTCGGCGTGGGTTGGCTACCAGATAATCAGTGGTGTCGGTCGTGGTTGTGCACTTCAAATGGTATTGTTATCTTTTCCGCTGCTCAAGTACATGCTAACCTGTCGTCAGCCTATGATAGCAGTCCAAAACACACTGGCGAAGATCGAGCATCCAGTCAGCATGTCAATCATGATGTTTGGACAGTCCATCGGCGGATCAATCTCTCTCGCTATTGCGCAAGCCGTGTTCAACAGTGGTCTGGAAGATGCCCTCAAGGCCCATGCTCCACATGTCAGCTATGGACAGGTCACTGTCGCGGGTGCGAGGGATTTCAGACACATCATCCCGAGTACGTCAGTACCTGGTGTGATTCTGTCCTATAACGAGGCGGTCAACCACGTGTTCTACTTGATCGCTAGTCTGGCTGTCGTTGGTGTTGTGTTCAGTTGTGGTCTGGGATGGAAGAGCGTGAAGAAAGCAAAGGAAGATACGGATGTCGTAGTTGTATGACCATTGTCTACCAGCATCAGCATGAGCATATAGAAGCGGACTACTTCATTGTATATATTCAGGGTATTGTGGCGCCATGCTGTAATTCATAGTAATCTAAGTCGGCGTAGTTCACTCGCCTCGCTTATCGGCAAATAAACAAAATCGACCACGAGTAAACAAACAACAGAAACGGACCCCTTGCAATACACACAGAAAACTTGAAACCAGAGCGAGCGCCAAAAAAGCAAAATTCAATTAAAAGCCCACACTCGGATGCGTGTGAGGTACCAATCTATAAACGTAATTGAACACGTTTACCAGTTCGATCTGCCGTTAGTTGGTGTTCGTATGCGAACCGCTTTGACCTGAGCCGTCGTACTGGCCGCCCACGGTTTTGTCGAAGGAAGATATTTGATTATTTAGATAGATAAAGGTGGTAAAACTGCTTTCGCTTATGCGTCTGATGAAGCGGTTGCGACACTGGATTGACCGGGTTGAACTGTGACTCAATTTTCCTTCGCTTTCGCAGCCGCCTCTCCCATGTGCAGCTCAGGTTCAAGCTCTCTAATATCGATATCCACCTTGCCATTCCGCACCATCTCTACATCTGGTACGTTGGAGTGCTTTTTTCCTTCGAATATTGCGTCGATCTCTTCGAGTGTCTTGCCTTTGGTTTCCACCCAGAAGACGACCTTGGCACGTCAGAATGCTATCACGCACATGAGATCAACGGGGAGGGGAGCGGTACTTACGATGAGGATGACAATAACGATGTCCCAGGAGCCATTCACCATATACATCTTCCATCCGATATTGTCAAGTCCGATTGGCATGATGAACACGAACACAAGTCTAGGTCGCGTCAGCGCAGAAAACACGAGGAAAACGCCATTACTCACGCAAAAGCATTCAAAGCAAAAGAAGAAAAGGCCAGGCCATTAGCACGGATAGAATAGTTCATCACCTCGGGCGGATAGAGGTACAGAAGCGGTGTCCAAGCAACCGAATAGAATCCTTGGAACAGGAACATGACAGCCACGTCGCCGTAGACCAGGCTTTGAGATGCATTACCTGGATCATCGGCGTACATCTTTGAAAGCCCACCAATGATGAACAGACAGATGACTAGAAGGCATTCGGACAAGATAGCTGTTGGTTTTCGACCCCACCTCGCTAGGAGATGTGTGCCTGCCAAAGCGCAGAGGAGACACCACACGTTCAAGACCACGTTCTGTACGGTTAGTTTGAAGCAAAGCAAAACATTGCTACAAGGGCTTACTGCTTTCAATTGCTGGTCAGTGCTCGTGATACCAGCTGTGTCCAGCTCCGCACCAAGGTAGTACGATGCAATAATATTCCCCGCGATACACGAAAACGGGCCAGGGGACATGCCGATGAGAAACCTCTTCCTTGCTGTTGGCGTCTTTATCATTTCTTTCGGACTCATAGTTCGTCCCTCTTTCTTCTCCCACTCAATTGTATCGATAATTTCCTTGTATACGACGAGGACGATGGGGTTCATTTCATCGCCATCGGCATTTGTCTGCGCTACGACGGTACGAGCTTCTTGGAAGAGCTCTTGGTGGACGAGCCAGCGAGGGGATTCGGGACTGAGATGTGAGTGATTTGATCTCATGGAGTTTAAGGAAGGGTTCTCACATAAAGGGCAGAATAATGATACAAAGAAGCGAGAATATTCCTTGGAGGAGTGAAGGAAGTCTCCATGCCCACGTCGAGTCCCACTTCCCTGTACCGAGAGTAATTCCAGCTGCAATCAGAGCACCAACACTTCCAGAAAATCAGCTTTTGAAATAAATTCCAGAAAAATAATAGATATCTACTTACTAGTAAAAGTCATTCAGCAAACCAACACCCCACGCACGCCACCGACTCGGAAATGTCTCCGACAGATACACGCCACCCGCAATCCCGGACACAGCAGACCCAAACCCCAACACAATACGCGCAATAACAAACATCGCGACATTCTGTGCAGCCGTTTGCAGAAGCACTCCGATCAGAGTCACCACAGATCCCCAAAAAATGGCAGGTCGACGGCCAAGGCGATCAGCAAAAACGCCTGCAAATATAGGTCCGAAAAATCCACCTATGAATACTGATGCAGTGTTTAATCCAGTGGTTGCAGCGTTGAGCTTGAAATAATCTGTGTATGAAGGTAGGATGTTGAGGCCGTTGAGCATGGAGCCGTCATATCCGCCAGTGCAGGATTGGACCATGGAGCAGATCATGAGGAGGCAGGAGAGGATGAGTGTAGATTGAGGGACCCACGCTGGTATCCAGGTTCCTGTGGGGGATTTGAGCAACATTTTGTGAAGAGTTCAAGAGGGAGCTTCAAGTGGGAATAATTGGAATTGAGGAGGGCGCCAAGAGGGCTATATAAATGCTCGAACATACTGGCTTACTGATAACGATCTGCGGGGTTTGGACTCTACCTAGCCAGTGTGGATGGTCTATCAAACGTTGCACCGGAGCAACAGTGCCGTGATTAGCAGCATGTAGGAACATTGTCATCACAACAGTTTCGGCTGGGCCGAACGTGGACAACTCTGAACTTAGAGTATTGCATGAATGTTTTGAGTATCGACTTGATTTGCCTCGATATCGTTCCCTCTACAGACATATGTTCTCAGAATAAATTCAGCGCCGCGGACTTTCTATATATACATATACTTCATCGGCTAAATAACAAGAGTGGGGTTGTGATAGGGGCAAACATACCTTCCGTAAGCGAAAGCCACTTCCCCGCCTCCCGCAAGCCAAAAGCTTCATTCAACCATCCACTTCATCCAGTAACAAGAGTGGGATATTCCCAACTTCTATCCAAGTACCAGGCTTATCCTCTACATAATACGTGACCATACAAAATGACACGCAAACCAATCATAGCAGTCGCAGGTCTTGCTTGTGAGACCTCAACCTTCACACCCTCACGGACTCTCGCTCCAGCATTCCACCCCAAGCGCGGCTCCGAGATCTTCGACAAGCACACGTTTATCCGCCCAGGAACGCCACTTGGCGATGCTGCAGAATGGCACGGCGCGCTGATAGGGCATGCTCTCCCGGGTGGTGTGGTAACCAAAGCTGCATTCGAGGAGCTTGCGGGTGAGATTGTGGAGCGGCTTACACGTATTGTGGATGCCATGTCTTTGGATGGGCTGTGGTTTGATATTCACGGTGCTATGTGTGTAGAGGGTATGGATGATATCGAGGCTGAGCTGTTAAGGAGGATCAGGAAGGTCATTGGCCCGAAAATCTTGGTTTCCGCGTCGATGGACCTTCATGGGAATGTTAGCAGGGCGCTTTTACACCAGACTGATCTGATCACGTGTTATCGGACTGCTCCTCATGTTGATGTTGTTGAGACAAGGAAGCGGGCCTGTCGGAATTTGGTGGATTTGTTGGATCGGAAAGACGGGCCTGTGAGGCCGTACAAGGCGTGGGTGCCGATTCCTATCCTTCTTCCAGGCGAGCAGACATCGACTCGTCTAGAACCAGCGAAGCATATCTACGAAGCAGTTCCTGGTGTGGAAGCAATGGACGGTGTCATTGATGCAGCGATATGGGTGGGATATGCATGGGCGGATGAGCCACGCAATCGAGCTGTTGTCGTGGCTACCGGATGGGACGAGAAAGCCGTCTCGAAAGGAGCTGAGAAACTGGCGAAGATATTTTGGGCTGCACACAAAGATTTCGAGTTTGTTGCTCCAACCGGATCGTTCAAGAAGTGTCTTGATGCTGCCTTAAGTCCTGGTGCAAAACATCCTTACTTCATATCAGATTCTGGAGATAATCCGACAGCTGGCGGATCTGGAGATGTGTCTTGGGGTCTCACAAAACTTCTTGCACGTCCTGAATTACAGAATGAAACGGGACCAAAAGTCATTTATGCGAGTGTTCCTGGACCTGAAGCGATTCGAGTTGCAGTGGAGGCTGGTATTGGAGCAACAGTTACTGTCACTGCAGGAGCGGAGATTGACAATCTCCACGCAGGCCCAGTGACAATGAAAGGACGAGTTCATTCGATCAAGCATGGCGACAAAGATGCTGTCGTTGAAGTGGTCATTCAAGTCGGCAGCGTCTTCGCGATTCTCACCAAGCTGCGGAAACCATATCATCACGAGAGTGACTTCACTGAACTCAATCTCAAGCCTCGATCGGCAGATATCGTGATCGTCAAGATCGGGTATTTGGAGCCAGAATTGTACGATATGGCAGCAGATTGGATGTTGGGTCTAACTCCTGGGGGTGTGGATCAGGATATCGAGAGATTGGGACATCACCGGATTCGGAGACCGATGTGGCCGTTTGACAAGAAATTCGAGGCTACGCCAGACCTTTCTGCGAGACTGATATCTTTTTCAGATGAACCTCTCTCGGGGCCCGACGAATGAATAAACTTTTCTCAAGAAATAAAACAAACCACCCACGATGAAATCAAGGTTAAGCCTGGCCCCCAAAAACCATGGCAAGCCGCATTTCCAACACGACACCTGTCGCGATCCTACGCCTGACCTTCGACTACGGAACTTCAACTCCTCAATCTTGCCTTACTCTTCTCAGCCACTTGCCGTACCATTGGTAAACCTCATCACTGGCCCCAACCAAGTTTCATAGTCCTCCTTCTTCCCCACCGTCCCACCCCACCTCAACACCGCAAAAAACCATCTATAGTCACCTTGACCAACAGCCACCTTGCCCCCACTTGTCTGGACGGCCGTCCCAGTTCCAGTAGTCCCTTCACCACCAGGCCAGAAATACCCTTGCTTATCAACCAGCGTTCCGAAACTTTCTTGCCCAAACACCTTCTCCCCAGGTTTTGCAGCGCTAGGATGATACTCCCATTCAAATTTGGCATCAAAGCCATAATGATCGGCGACGATGGAAGTGTTTGCCGGCAACAAGTCAATCCGTACATGCTGTGACCATTGCAAAGTTGTGATGGACCCGCCCCAACGGTCGGATAGACCAATCTCAACCAAGTTCTCGGCATACACGAGTTGTGATTCTTCGTACGTGTATATCGCTGGAGTCGATATCCCTCCGGTGTAGATGTACGGAGTGTTGAAAAGCGAGTAAGGCGGTCCGACGTATGGGACGGAGTACGAATCCTCTTCAGATGAAGAAGTGATCTTGATGAAACCGCCGAAGACGGGTAATTTGGATGGCACCACGTCATTTGGGGGAGAAACTGTAACAGATACCGTGGTTGATTGATGAGGTTGCACTGTGACGGTTGGCGAGGAGAAGTTCGCGTTTCCGAACAGAGGAATTTGGTTTATCTCCCGGTACTCCAAACGATAATTCATATACCCCGCGCCTTCATGCGACAGAGTATACGTCTTCTCGTTATCTGAGGTGTTTTCGATCGTGATGTTTGCAGTGTCGTATTCAGTCTTTGAGGTGAACAGTGTGAGCTGGCCAGGAGAAACAGTCGTCTTGGAATAAATGGCTTCGAAAACATTGACCAACCCCGCACCTTGCTGAGGGGTTGCAGAGAGCATGGAACGATCATACATCCACGGCATAGGCTTTGCGGTTGATTGAAGTCTGTTTCTGATCTGCTGGATTGATTCATCTGGGAATTGAGACTTGACAAGTGCGTAACATCCAGCGAGGTATGGTGCCGCCATCGATGTTCCCGAAAGAATCGCATATCCACCGAATCCTAGTGGCCAAGTGGACAGAATATGCCCTCCTGGAGCTGAGACCTGAGGTTTGAGATCGTACTCATGCCACGTTGGACCGAAGCTGGAATAATAATCGACCATTCCTCCACTCTCTTGTTTGGTACTGGTGAAGTCCTGACTGGTGAAGAAGAGCTTGTACTTTTGGTACCCTCCACTAGCAGCGAAGTTCTCGAGCAAAGCTTTCGCATCGGCTGAATTCATGTTGATGAAGTTCGTAGTGTCGAAGATACCCGGTGACGGCGATTGGTACTCTGATTCATACGGGTTCGTCGTGTCTGTGTTCAAAGCCATGATGTAGGCCGGTGGTACTGGAGCAGAATTCCAGTTCCCAACCTCGATTGGTCGACATGATGAAGAGACTTCGTAGGCGAAGATTGTGTTGTTGATGTTTTCGACCTGAGCGAGTGCTGACATCCAGTTGTCACTGAAACATCCATCGTTCACAATAAATACATCTGTACCATCGGGAAAGTACAAAGGATTCATCGAAGCGTACTGGAATTCCAGTCCAGCCGAGTCCTTTGTGGAGTATACAAGAGGAAACAAAGTGTTGGCGACCGAACCCACACTGATAGCAGTAGGTTCAGTACCCGGCCACAATTGAGTGTACAGTTGCGGCGAGTAATATGGACTCCATCCCGCCGAGTTCGACTGTGCAACAATGACAGCAACGCCGTTATCCGTAAGAGTCTTGGTAACAGCTGCGAGTGGATTGATAGCACCGCTGAAAGAAGCCGCACCGACTGACAGAGACATGCTGACCATGTCAACACCGTCCTCGTTTGCTTTCAACATAGCTGCGAGGATGGTATCGGATCCAGCTGAGCCTGCACAGTCGAAGACTCGGTACGCATACAATGATGCTTCCGGTGCGACACCCGTGATGTCGAAGCTTCCAGGAACTGGCTCCATGCCGATGATTCCTGTGATGTCAGTCGTGTCCAGAGAATAATTCGCGAAGGAGAACTTACCTGCAACATGTGTTCCATGGCCATCTTTATAACAAGTCGCCAGTGGATCTGGACCATTTGCCAGACCTCCAGAATCAGACACAAACGAGTACCCGCCTGCGACTTTGAAGCCGGGACCGAAACCAGCACCTAGCGCAGGATGGCGATAATCAATCCCCGTATCGATGATGCCGATCTTGATACCTTTACCCTTTATGCCAGCCTGGTGCATTTTGTCAACTCCTCCCATTTGGAGAGTCGAGGCGAGGTTTGCTGATCCCGCTGCTTTCGCGGCTGTCTTCAGTCGAAGGTTTTTGTTTGGAAGGGAGGGCTCGGTGTCTGGGATCAAGCCTGGTTGGACTGGGAGTGTGACATTGTAGACGCTGGAGACAGATATGACTCCTCCAATGTCCTGGAGCTGGGAGGCAACTTCGTCATCGGTTGCGTTGCCGTTGACTTGGATGGAGAGGCCGAGAAAGACATCGGGGTGCTGGAACTCATGACGGACAGAGAAGTCCAATGAGGTGGTTTCTCTTTTGAAGTTATTGATGTGGTCCCGTGGAGTAAGTGTTCGAGCTTCAAGGTCATTTGCTGGTGCGAGCTGGACGATGAAAGCTCTTGGGAGTACAATTGATGGGTCGGCTGCAATGAAGGCAGGAAGTGCACTCCCCAAAACGAGAAAGGCTTTGGGAAACTTCATCTTGAAGTGATATTCGGTTTGACTAACTCAAGAGTTTGTTTCTTGAGAGTGAGTCGAGCCTGTGTCTACCTACTTATACATCGACGCAAGAGCTGAGATGTGGACTGCAATCCTGACAAAGGAAATGTTGAGCACCTCAAAATCGCCTCCACTTTTGTGCTTTCCATGGTATAGCAAGTGGTCTGATCCAGCTCTATGCCTTGATTGAAGAAAAGCAACTTCTCCTTCTGGTGTACACGACATGAGGCTATCTGCCATAAGCAGTAAAATTCTCCTGTGCCTTGCATCGAGGCCTATTCGTGACACCGAACATGCTGACCGCTGGGCAAGAATTCTGGTGAGAGATGACCTTGAAATACCAAAAGGGTAGTTCGCGAGAGATAATATCGCGAGCATGACTTCGTGCGACACAATGAGAGACATATGCGGCGTAGCATCGTCTGATGTTCTCGGCAGGGAAACCTTGGATACCAGCTCAGAATGTAGGAAATGCCCCTATAAGGACGAGTGCATGAAAATATCCATATGATGTTTCTATTCATGCAACAAGACATCATGAAATATAGAAGATTATCCCACTATTAGGGGCAATCTCGGAATAAAATAACAGCTCCAAAGGCTGTGTTTTCTAAATGTCAGACGTGTGCCAGAGAAAAGTTTTACTTGGCTTTCGAGAAAAGATGATTCAGCAGCAAGCTCAAGCAGGAAGGTCGCACCAATCTCGAATGCGTGGGGTTCGTATCGGCAAACAGGGGCATGGGGGCGCGGAAGCACGCTGGAGGGGCGATGACTCTGATTGGGTGAAGACGCGAGCCCATTCAGGACAAACAACATGGGTTGACTTCGTGCTGATGTCGTCGCTAGGATACTTCTGCAAGCGGAAGTTGTTTAACTCTTTGTGTTTACTTGGTAACCAAGGTATTTGATCCTTCTAGCTGCACCTAGATACAAACGAGAGCGGCTGCATGTAATCGTTGAGGCTTTCGATACAGTCATGCTATCCCGTCTCAACATCCGCAGATGACAGTGACATACAGGAACTGTTGAGAATGGGCCTCTGCGCCAAGAGCTTTTCTCTCTATCCTTGATTGCTAATCTTCTCTTCTCGAGATCTCGGGTCCACTTGTGAGAGTACTTCTCTACTGCAGCACAAAAGTAAGTCTAATGTGTCTTGGCCGTCTTCGGAAAAATAAATTTGTCGCTTTCACCACACGCTTCATAGAGCTCAACTGTGCCAGCGAAGGCTTACTCTGTCCTTCTGATACTTCTATGTAGCTACCGGACTTTTGATCCCACACAAAAATGACCTTCATATTGTCCTTCACTTCGGAAAGAGGGATCCAATTCTTGCTACCCGTTCCTTCTCCAAAATCTTCCAGTTAACAGAAGCGCAATATGATGTTCTCCAGCATAGGCATTCTTTCTTCTATGAAAATGAAATTCGACTCCCAGTGCATCCATTCGTGATTGAACCACGCTGCCCTGGTAGTCCTTAGTCTAGCTTCAGCCTTGGCAGCTTCTTTGTTTGGTATCAACGCCAGCGGGATTACGTCCAATACTATGGTCCTGGTGTGTTCGAGTAGGAATGAAAAACTTTCTTGCGCTTGGACTGAGTTATATCTTTCCTGGAAATGCGATACGAGGTTCCTTAAATTTCGGTGACATAATAATCGGCCCCATGGTTTCTTTCGAGTATTCAATGGCCAAATATGCAGAATTGGGCGATGCAGCATGCCGTTTAAAGTAAAATCGAGGATATCAAAGGCTGGGGCAACTAATATAGTGAAGCTCGACAGATTTGAGCCCTGTGTAGTTTGAGTTGTCACATCGGAGGAAAATTGAAGCACTTTCTCTTCAAAGCCTCTTAGCCTTTTGAGTTCGCCTCGAGATTCAGAACAAGTATATTGGACTCGAGTCGTGACGTTTAGTATGCGTGCCTGGTCTAGTTGTATTAGACGTATCCTGTCGGCGGCAAGTTCCCAGATTATGACTCGAATCTCAGCTGGAAGTCTGGAGAAATACCAAAATACTTGACTGGTAGGATGGTAACCGAAGCAACTCGGATCGCTGTCTTGGGTAACAGTCATTTTGCGTGCAACTTATTGTGAGGTGTGGCGAAACTGAGAGATCAGTCAAGTTCTATAAATATCAAGTAAGTGTAAGATGTAAAAATAATGAGTTTCAAAAGGGAGGAAGAAATTTCACGAGTTTAAACTATAAAATGTGCGATAATCCTTGAACTGACGGCTTGATGCTCTAGTCTACAAGTGAAATGTTAAGCGACACTAGTTTGATGGGAGCTTAACTGACATTATGATTGTTTCGGACTGAATGGTTCATTCTAGCTAAAATTTAGGCCCCAAGTATCATCGAGCAATTCTCCATCAGCCAAGCTCACGATCGCAGCACCCAAAGAAATCGTCAAAGTGGGTTCCAGCAATCATGATTCATACACATCGCTGCTTCTACTTTCTATTTCGGAGCGATGCATGTTTCCTGAGAACGATAATGAGAAAATAGGCCATCGCCCTAGTCACTACCAAATACTGGTAAGTACAAAGTGCCAATGAGTTAGCGCGTTGCCCTTTCCACATGGAGGCCGGTGAATTTCTCTGGACAGCGGTGGGCGGTTTTGACTTAGGTAGGTCTGTACTCATGCATATAGTTATAAGCATACAATAACAATTTTCCCAGATTCAAAACCGTTCATATAATAGCAAGCCAGCTCAAATATTCTATACTCACATCAAGATGCCTGTCACGATCCATCCAGCCTGGCTTTCCTCTGAGCCGCTTTCAGAGTCACGCTCCGACCGTGCCATCTACAATTCGAGATTTTGTATCAATCCACCTCGTTAGGTCTCAAGCCCCGACGAGCTCTTCAAAAGGTCTTGCGGTATGTATATCCAATGGCAAAGTGCTAATTCACTGGCCAAGGCATGAAGATAGGCAGTTGCTCTTGGTGCCAATCATCAGTAGATTTATCAAGACTTTCCCCGAGCCAAATCATGCCACAACAAAAGATTTCTGGGGAAGGATCGTGCACCAAAATCGCAATGGTTCTGCTCAGCCGAACTATTACTCAGGCTGGCTGAATGCGTTCTCTTTTTGGACCGACAAGGGTTCTGTTTATACCGAGCTCCTGGTTCGCCATCGCTTACAGAGAGCACTTACGGAGAGCACCCCGGAACGCCTGACTCGAAGGCATTACCTACTGCCGCCGCATTTCTACAGACTTCGTCACCCAAGGCTGGGTCAGTGTTGATATTGAAATTGATGGACATGCAACTGGAGGTGGCATATACATGGTTAGAATGCATGCTGGAAGTGTTGGTATGGGCTTTGAAGCAAGTAGCGATCATGGCGACCAGCTGGGTACTGTCAAACCAGTTCTGGGCTGGTGGGTGTACTTGAATGACTCGGTTCAAAGCCTGACATAGACTCGGGAGAGAAGGATACTACAGGCCGGAACGAAGTTGGAAACGCCATGATGGAGGATCGAAGAGTGAAGATTGGAAATTGCTAATGGTGGTAGGATGAGCTCGAGCAAAAGGGGAGCGAGTAAACACAGCATTCATAATTGTTCGCATAACTTGCACAAACTCTGCATAATTCAGCTGGCCAATAAAGCTCACTCTCGACTGATTTATGAAACTGATGCCAAGCATCCCAGCCTCCTCAAATCCCAACCACCACAACCAACTCCCCCCGACCACCAAACAAAGCAAGTATCGGAGTGATCGCGTGTCAATGGCAGAAGCGCGTCTACACCACGTCGCGTCTCTCCTCGAAGCCTCGAACCCAACCTCTTGTCCGCTTCCCCACCAGTCAAAACTCTAGAATCCTCGCTTGCCAATCACATCTCGACCCCTTCTCGCGATGAAACGCGAAGCGAGGCCACACTGCACGACCGCACATCATGTACATTCTTTGTTTACAGGCTGGAAGAGTCATCGACGCGATGTTGATACTGGGTTTCTGGATCACGCATGATGTGGTTGATGGTATAAGTTAAGTTTCTGCGCGAGTGCGCTGGCATTCTTTCATTCTCTATATTGTCGTTTGCGTAAAATTGGAATTTGCGTAACCTCCAGCGATGTCTTGCTGGAACTTCTTTACTATTTTATTCTGAGCCCATTGGGTTTACTACCAGATCTCTCGAAAAAAATCTTGAATATAAAAAGAGTGCTTGCGAATACTCTTCGTCAGACCTCCTTTGATCGCCTAGTCAAGTGATTCAGCCTGTGTCTCCAATCTTACTCTGTTTCGAGCCTCACGAGCTTCAATCATGGTAAGTGCTCCTTTGATTGTAGAAGTTTGATTGCTAATACATCTCAGGTCATGGCTTCCACGGCACCTAACTCTCCGGTATCTTCAGACTCAATTTCGCCCTCACCAACGAGTACTTCGCGCACTACTCCACCTCCAAGTCCCCGACCTACATCCGCGTCGCCAACCAAAGCCAAGGACCACCTTACTACACTCCCTCCCGAGCTCCTCCTCGCAGTCATATATCATCTACCCAGTTCAAGCAGCCTGCTTCCACTCTCCCAAACAAACACATACCTCCAAACATTCCTTCTGACTACCCATGCAGCAACAATCTGCAACACATTCATCACCACACGGCATTCACATGCCGCATCTATCTTTTCCGCTACATATCGAGATGGCTGGTTCCTACCAAATCACGAAGCTGTACTGGGCACGGAGCGGCGAATCACACGGGAGCTGGTTCGCAAAACTGGATGCGGCTGTGTAAATTGCCGAGCCTTCCTACAATCATCGCGATCCACTGCAGCATCCTCGTCCGATCTCTCACTAACATCAGAATCCAGCGCACAATGCTGTCTCAAGATTCCATGTTTTTCCAGCTCGCCCACTCGGCCCGCTCAGTCGCAAGCGTCGTGTAAAGCAGTTCACCTGATAGACAGTCCTTGGAAGCTTTCCATGCCTGGTCCCATGTTTCTGGTCTTCCTTGAGCGATATGAGTGGGAGCTTGAGACGAGATATGCTATGCTTGAAGCGGAATGCAAGGATGCTGATGCTGCGAAACGAGAAGAGGAGGAGCGGAGGTTTGAGTTTATCGTCGGGAATTATTCTGTCCGCAGATTTCTGGAAGACGTTGAGAGAGAGTTCGAGCCTGCTGGTCGGGAGCAAGAAACCAACAGCAGTGAACAACCAGAGAACTCAAACCGGGGGCTGGGTAGGAGACTTGGTGGTTGCATCAAAAAGAGTTGGGTGAAGGGGAGGAGAATGTTCGTCGTGAAGAAAAAGAAGCAACAGAACGCCACTCAAAGCCGGAATTCTACTCCTCCACTGTTTGGCGAGATTGGCAGACCCGAGAGTGATACTGGGACAGTTCAAAAGCATGATAGGTCCTGGATGATGGGCTTGCTCTGGTATTATGGCCTACAGACACCATCACCCCACCTTCAAGATTCTACTCAGCCTCAGTCTATCCCTTCTCCATCGGCATCTACGTCGCAAAATCACACTACGGAGAAACAGACTGCAAGCCCCAAGACAGTAGCAGAAGCGTCACCACCACAATCATCATCTACAGCAGCCGGATCTTCAGAAAAATTGGCAGCAGCACAAGCAAGTGGAAATAAGACATCACGGAATTGCATGGCAGGCGTTAAAACAGGAATGAATCACGTGAGCGGGAAATTGAAGCAGGTGCTCAGGCGTTGTAAATATGTTGGCGGGTTCCAGTCCTTGCAGGGATAGGTTGAGCTGAGCTCATCTCGAAACAGGAATTTTATAGCGGCATTTGTACATGTTATCCCTCTACCCTTCGTTTAGCATTTTTATTTGTCTCATCACGTTTGGGTGTGTCGTGAGAATCATGACAAGGCTCTGTCCAAAATTGCCAGTCTTGACAAAACCAACGGAAATTCATTGTGAAGTCAGTCTAACTCTAAATCCATAATCTGAAGTACAACAACTTTTAATTCAAGAAGGTTTGTGCTGTGTCGTTTTTACTCGACGCTTACAACCCCACTCTTCTTTTTCGTCTTAGAAACAGCACATTTGGCCATGTCGGCTCGTCTTCTGGCTGCATAGTGCTTGGGTTAGACGAAGGTCTCAGAAGATTGGGTATAGAAAGTCCCGAGATGTTGATACTTTGGAGAAACAGAATGTTCGATACTTCTCGTATCCATTTAAACACTTTGGAAGTGGAAGGGGAATGTCGAATGGAATATGCTCGGAGATGTGGCGGTAATCCAAGTTGGGGCGAGTACATGTGGCGAGGAGTCAGGTGTGTGCGTCAGGGTATAAAAGTTTCCCAGAAAGAGTACTCTGCGATGATTCATATTGAAGAGGCTATGAGTGAAGCTTCTCGGAATTGGAGTCGCATGGCTGGAGAAGCGTCTGTGAGCGTAAACCTTTCGTACAGCGCCTCCCAAGCAGCTATCTGGATGGTTCGAGCATCACCACCATCTTCTGGATAGCTTGACATACCTCCTTGCTCCTTCCCACTCTCCAACATTATTTTCGTGAGATTAACAAAAGGTTTTCCCCCTTCAGGCCTGACCCAGAGCAGCGTGTCCATGGCCAGTACATTATTCAGCGCAAAGGACGGCATCCAACTCGTCGACATATCAAACGAATCCCAATATCTACCCCGCGTCGCTGCAAATGACGGGCGTTCCATTGGCGTTAAGTGCAGAATATCTTGCCCATTCCGATTGATCCAGAGGCGGTAAAATGCTTCTCGCGTGGGTACAGTGCCGTCTTCGCTGCCGTCGCAAAAAATTCTGCCCTGATGCATCGTGAAATATCTCTTCATTTCTACTCGGCTCTCGCTACAGGTATGCAGTAGTGCGGGAGGTGTGTCGATACCGAGATCCAGCCGCAAGATTCGCGGCTCGGCAGCCGCTATGCTGTATATCATAACCCGGAGCTCGGGTGGCAGTCTGCAGAACAATCGGAACTCTGTAGCTGGTCTTCCGGGGAATAGCCTTGAAGGTCTGGGCTTCTCTGTGACTGCCATATTATTCACTTGAGTCGGGTGAATATTGTCTCCTTTAGTTCGGCGTGATTGGGGAAACTAGAGTAGATGTTCAGCCCAGAATGAAATTTTGCGCAGTTATAATTCACGAGTATGTGCGTGAGATACACTAGAATGTCTAGGGCTCTGGAAACCAATGGATTAGTTTGTTCTAGCTTATGGTCGTTTAGTCCTCAGGCTTGTTAATAACGGTTCGGAATAACTAGCGTACGGATTAGCTTTCCACATCCTCGGGTCTAGTACGAGAATTATTCAAACTTATCATTCTAACATCGTTAAATACGAAGCCATACCAACGTACTAATACGACAGCAACATTTCTCTCGTCTTTTATAATTTTTACCATTCTATGTTATGTCTGCTATGGCCATTAGAAAGGGGGTAGGCCAAAGCAAGTTGGGTTTGAGGCATTCTCGCTTAGCCCCGCAGGGCCCTTCTGCTCCGCTGTCAAGTAAACAATCATGAGACTATGTTAGTTGGGGCGACCGAGGGCGCAATTTTGGTAGAGACACGAGAGAGAGAAAAGTACCGAGCTTTCTATACAATTTTGCTCTCGGAGATTCAGTCGGTTTAATTCCAGGATTTCGTGTCGATGCAAAAGTTTTAAAGATCTCAACGCTTCGTTGACGTTGGACAGGTAGGCTAAGGATGACTAGCAGGGGTATAGCAAATATTCCAGAATATCTGCAAATAAAGAGAGTCTAAGCTCACGATGCCACTACCCGATGTTATATGCGACTACGCAGTCCAAATTCAAATCTGAGAGTATACAGTGCCCCCAGCCCACCTCCGGGAATTCGTCCCAGATGCATCTTAAACACACATAGCCATCCTCAAACTGCCCCAGTATCCATCAACTTATATCATAACAACTATATTCGTAATAGCTCCCACCACAAATACACCGTTAACCCTACTAAGACTCCAGGTATGATCACCAAAATGCCTTCTGCCTCAGAAGCCGAGCCATCATCGCTCGACACTGGTTATGTCCGGACTCCTGTACCAAAAACATTCCCTCGCTTCAGTTCCCTACCTAAGGAGCTGCAAATCATGATCTTCGAGCATTCTGCAGCCGAACCTCAATCAATCTGTTTACAAAGTGGCATCTCTTCATCCGCGCTCCTTTCGACATGTTACCTCTCCCGCACCATTCTCCAAAAACGCTTTGTCACGCACCAAGGCAGTGCTTGGGAGAGATTCAAAGTCATCTTCAACCAAGACATTGATTACATGGATATCACAGCACTATTCCGCCCAGAGATCTTGCACAAATCCTGGATCATGGCGCCTGCAATGAATCAGACGCTTCTATACCGCGGGCCATGGACTACTGACCTCCAATTGTTTGTAGAACGGAACTTGAGGAGTATGGCTTGGTTCAATACAAGGTGCTGCTCGGTTCTTGCACATTTAAATAGGACCGACCCAGGACGTCGCTTCATGGGCAGTCTAAGAAAGTTGAGGATGGATGTCAAGGCGATGGACCATTTAGCCGAAGCTTTCCGCCACAGCTTTCACACCGAGAAAGATGACTGGTGTGACCTTTGGGAGTGGATCTTGGACAACTTCCATGACGTCAAGGAGATTGAAATGAGGTTTGTAGATCGGAAGACTGTTGCTGATATTCTTAGTGAGCGGGAGTTGGCAGCAAAGAGAGAGCCAAGGGTAGAGGAAGTCGGAGTTTGGAAGTGGAATGGGGAGACAATATCTTATGAGAGGATCGACAGTGGGCGGCGCAAGGAAGTCTTTGACGTCTCCAGCGATGAGGAGGAATTTGTGGATATGAGTATGTTATCTGGAGAAACGGATGAAGAACTGAATGACGCATGGAGTGGTTTCAGCTCTGGTGAACAGTTGACCACGAAAGCTTTACTGAGGGGCGCCAAGGATGGGGAGGAGCTTATTAGAGCTGTCGACCTTGATGGTGATGATGTGAACGATGATGGGACGATTTGGACGTTGCCCATGCCGAGGATCGTTGTCACCAGGGTCATAGAATGATATCTTGGTGGATATCGATGGGTCGTGGATGAAGGCCGTCACAGATAGTTCATCTTTTTCTGTAGTTTCTTATTCTTTAATGTATATCATTTCCCAAACCTCCTCGTCAAGAGCATTGAGTTGTTCTTGAAATGAAAAATTTCAAGTTGCCGTCTTGGGGATATTGTATTTTTGTGGTAATGTGCTATCGTCAATCCGAATTGTTCAAAATTGATGCTATTTAATGCGAAGGCCAGTTTGCTTCCTTTGATAACGGTATGACAGATATTCAGAACCCCACATTACTATGAAATAAACCTTCAATATGGGAACAATAACATCAGAGTAATAAATAGTCTCAATCATGCTTCATGAGCAGCGTCATTGTCTGTAATCAGCAATGAATCACCCCCTTCCTAGAGAAGGAAGGCTTGAGGAATTCCGTAAGACTCTAGAGCGAATCCGAAGGACCAGATCTTAGATGCGATTCATGTGGAGATATGGGTTGATATGCTAATCTGTCGAAAGCTGCCAAGGAATTCTTTGCAGCGTCAGCTTATCATTGCGAGAGTGAATTAAACAATCAATATCATCCGAGACGCTGAACATGGCAAGAGCGAGGTCTCTAAACAGTCTTTCCTCCTTCATATTCAATCATACCTGACTTGAAGCTCGAGAACACTGCGAAATTCCATTCATTTCCCAGCTCGACATCGAAGTCAAAGGTCTTCTAAAGGATCTCGTCTAGAACAACCTCAATGCCGAACTCCACTTCAACCTTGCCTCTAAAGGATACCCCGATGACAGACGTCGATAATAATAAAAGTCAACCTGTGGTCATTCGAGATGAGCCCTGCGTTGCTGTTTCAAACGCGAATCTCACCGAACATGTTGATACAATCATTTTCCAGGAGCTCCTCATCGCTGGAACCACCAACCCTTTGAAGCAACTATCTCGAGACCCAGAGCATTTGGAAAGGATGAGCTCGGCTACTGCCATTCAGGTCCGTTCATAAATATGTGTCTCAAGATTACAACAACTCCAACGCCCTTTATTTTATTGGGTCAAAATTCTTCCTGTCTCCTCGTATCACGGATTCTTGCACTTCCGAACATTGCTGACATGTTATCTAGCGATTGATCTGGACTCCCATTGCCAAATGGCACGATCTCAAGAAGCTGAGCAAACACAACGCAGGACTTCGCGTCGCATTCCTCAAAGAAAACGCTGCTCTCCTCTGCAACTTCGTCATCAAAACCCGGTATCCCGAACAAGCAATGTATCTCGGCCTGGATCCCTCAGCTTCTCTCTCGTCGAAATGGTTGACGCCCAGCGGCCCTCAACTTGCGAGTCTCCGCAATAGCGAGCATAAATGGTGGTCGCTGGTCATACACTCTCAAGGCCTTACAGGAACTGAGCATCTTTATGAACCTGGCGTGAGCTTCATGGAACCAGGGCCAGCGCTTCTGTTTGGCTTGGAGATGGGCATAGTGATGATTATAAAGGATGTGGAAACTGGAGTGTCAGCTGGTGCTATTCGGGAGGATGTTGTCATTGCGTGTCTCTCTGCGCTGACAAGACCTTGGTACGTGAAGCCAAAGGCACATGGAAAAATTTTTACTCCAAGATTGGAATCGGGAGCTATCACTTGGTATTATGATCAAGATCCTTCGGGTAGGGAGGGCTCAGTGAAGAGATTGCAGGAGATACTGGACAGGGCCGAGGATCGGGAGCACATGAATTTCGAGGGCAAGGAATTCAAATGATATCTAGAGCCTTTAGTCCGTTTGTCTCTAATAATCTACCAGCTCCTTTGCGAGGTAAAGGTCTCCACGACTATGCTTATCTAGACTACAAGGACTTTCGTTTCCGCGGTATAGGGTTCACCTCCTCTAACATTTCTGCAGCGATTCGATCTATCTCCTTGGTGAATGGCAGATTTCTCCGCCACAGAGACTGTGCATCTGCAGCTCCACCCTGAGACACAGTATGACAATGGAAGCATGCCATAATTTGATCACCGAATATTTCGAGAACACGCAGATACTGCGGACCAGGTTCCGAAACTCTGAGCTGCAGATAAGCGTCTCCGTAATACTGTTGTGGGTAATTTTGCCGCCCCAGTAATCTTTGCGTGATCATATACTCTTCGCACGCCAGGATGGCAGGGTGTGTTGGTGTGAGCCAGCCATTCACTATCTTTGTCTCCAGTAATGCTGGTACAAAGGCATATCTCTTCTTGATGACTCTATTACAGATATATGAAGCGTTTATTTTGATGATATTTCGCAGACGGTGATTTGTTTGGACAAGGGAAAGGAAGTTGGAGGACGGTAGGTAGGAGAGGATTCCCAAAAGGAGCTCGGGACAGAGGTTGGAGAGGTAGTCTTTAGTGATGATGAGCGCATTGAATTTCGAGGCGATGACTGCGGTAGCGTGATTGCGGCAGGAAAAGTCAATTGAGACACTGTTAACTGAATTGCTCGTATTATCCATGATTTGTGTCCAGGGTGAGGAGAGCTCGCATGATCGGTCACGCAATAAAATGTGATCGGGCTCATGACAGGAATTTGAAGAGGGAGTGCGAAAGCAGACTATGAATAGAATTAAATTATTTCTCGAAAGTCTTCATTCCGAGTACAGTGGGCATCTAGGGGTCGGAAGGAATGGGACTTTTCTCAAACAAAGAGAATGTACGCTGAAGACAGGGGTGAGGCGGCTGCCTCTTTATCTCGAGGCCTCTGCCCTCCCCACCATCATTCCCAATCACCTCGATCTTGAAATCTTGCAGGCTAGCAACGAAAAGAGGTAACTGCAATTTACAAACGAATTTTTTGTTGCATTTGTCTCGAAGAAGTAGCCGAGGTCGTCAAAAGGCGAGAAGTGTAGGCGTGGTAAGCCGCAAGGTGATCAATGCATATACACAAAATCAATTTGAGGTCTTCAAGTAGAGAAATAGTTTAGGAATAGGAAATTACAGATGGAAAAGATCGTCCGAGGATTTTGGAATAGAAAGCAGGTTAGTAGCGGTTGTTAATATCGTGAAGCATATTTTGGCAAGGTCAGCCAGTAAGAAGTTAGGTGTTTCTTAATGCTGTTGACATTCTAGCAATATCTGGATACCAAGACGAGTCAATAGAGACTCCTAGATTCTACAGGCGAAAAGGTAAGAGAGGGAGATTGAAAGCGTCGGGCGTTCCTGAATAGCTTTAATGGACTGCAGATAGATAATATAAAGGTGAGCTTGACACAGAAAGAGACTTAGAGTCGTTTCACGGCATAGAAAGGTTTGAGTGAGTAGTCAGGATACTTGTCGTGAGGCGATAAGGCTCTTGTATTTGATTTGTACTTGGGTTAACGCCTCATCAAATCGCTTCCATACTCTTACAGAAGTGTAACGTCTCATCACGTACGCGCAAGCAGAAACACGAACTAGAGGGGTGTATTGCAGATGACTTCTGGCTTGAGTCAAGATGTAGAGCCCTTTCAACACTTTGCTACGCTTCTTCTTGGCATCCTTCATCGAGGCGGCAGGGAAGCAGCAGGGAAGGCAACAGGCACAGTGATATATTCACCACCCTTCAACTGGCCAGCACTAAACGGACCGTAGTACCATGCCATTCCCATCTTTTTTGCTCCCTTGTTATAGATAGGGGGGACGATGGCCCAGTTAGCAATCCATGTGATGAAGTTCTCTTCCGTCATTGTCTTGTCTTCCTTTGTCTCAAAGGTCTTTGTGAGGAATTGGCGACGCATGGCTTGAATGCCTTGGTTGTGCACATCCAGGAAATTGCAGAGCTGGGGACCGGGAAGCAGCAAGTCCACTTCAAAGTGTGCCTTCATGTATGTTCGGCCTGGGACTATGTGCATGCGACCATTGATGTGGCGTGGCATCTTGTACTTGGTGGTAATGCGGTTTCGGGCGAGGCAATCAGTTTCAAGGAAGAGTTTTCTGGTTGGGAGGTACCAGTTCGAAGCGTTCTGCTGCTAGCATTAACAAAAAGTCTTGCAAGTGATCTCTTGAAAAGCTGGTTATAGGAACAGCTCACCTTTTCGATCTTGAACAACTCGATGGCAGTTGAGTGGTATGCGGCGACGCTCTTGTTACAGATACTTGGCCCATGCTTCTTGGCAAGGTTTCGAAGCTTAGAGCAAGTATGAGCTACATCACCGAGGGAAGATTGGGGGACGTGGTGTGTGATCTCTAAGAGAATTTCAGCCGGCATGGTGACTAAATTTGGTGAAGTGATCATGACCCGAGCCTCCAAAGCGACTTCCTGATCGGTAGTCATTGCGACTTGCTTCTTGTAGTAGCTAATCATAAGGGACTCCAAGGAAGCAAGTTCTTCGAAAGTGACGGTTGATGAAGCTAGAAGACGCATTTCGAAGACGCGGGTATTTAGAGTCCGAGGAGTAGAAAGTTGTGGGACTGTAAACCACTTGCTTAAGCTCGTCCTTGGGCTACGATAGTGATGCCTGAGAGACTTGGTAGGTACCTTGATCAAGGAACAGGGCATGAAGTTCAAATCATCCACTGACGGTCCAGAGGTTGAATAAAGAGTAAGCCTGAAGATGTCAGGTGAATGATCATGGTCACATACAGATGCCTGCAATCACGGTTCAAAACGACCCATTGGCTCGCGACGAATCGTCACAGAGGGCAGTATCTGGCTGGAACGGTGTTCAAGAAGTAGCATTCCATTTTGAATCAAATACTTAATCTTCCGAGGGCTTCAACATTAAAGGCCCATCTACCCAAACCTTGAACCATCTACTCGTTAAAATCGAATTCTCCTCCAAGTGAAGAGTGACAGTCTTCACCCCCTTCTTCCTCCGATGGGTTAACCCTCCAATATCCATCCATCTAATCTCAATTAGCTCTCCAAGTATGTGCCTTGCATATGCACTCGCCACTCTCGGCTCAAGACATCGGCTATTCTCCTCGAGATACAAAATGAATACCGGAAGCGGCTTGGGTTTCCACAATCTTGGGGTATGCTGGAAGGCGCGGAATCTTTTCTTTAAGAGGACGAGGCCTAGACGAAGGCAGTAGAAACATCTGCGATCGTCGACTGTGATGGAGATTGGGTAGGTCGAGCATTCCGGCTGGTTTGTCATGGCTGCGAGGCAGATATCGTTGGCGTTGCAGTTGATGAAGGTCCGGTAGCCGTGGGATGTGTGGGCCAGGGAGAGATAATCCCATGATGAGAGGTATGAGAGAACGTGAATTAAGATTTCTTTAGGGAGATTGGCAAGTTGAATTCGTTGTGCCTTGGGTGGGCGGCGACTGAAAGGTGTTCTGAACATGATTCGGAAGGAGCAAGGTACGACACAGAAGATGCCAAGCTTCACCGGATCAACTTTGACTACTTGGAGAGAACATTTTTATTTACTGTGAACACTTTATGTAAGCTGAGATAGCTAGGCTTGTATCGCTACCAGATTTGTCTGAAGGCCCTTAGGGTTATGATCCTGAACCCGTGATCATTTCCCCTAAGAAAGAGTTAACGGCCAAAACGCTATATGAAAACGACTAAAAATAGACCCTCTAGAGTCCAAAAAGTGTGCCAAACCGCAATCTCAGATCTCTGAGAATATGTTTAGGGACGAGATTCATGAAACAGCAGCTAATATTGAGTATGTGTGGCTGCACTAAAACTAGTCGGGAGCGAGCCACACCATGCTAGTGCCATTGGGGGCTGCTTGTATCGTGACTTGACAACAATACACCTCGAAAATGTGCTATAATGCGAACTTGATGAGATTGTCTTGTAGGCATTACTAACTTCAGGATACCATGAGTACCACGAATCTTCGAGTGGAGCGCAGTATTATTCTTCCAACCTTAAGTGATTGCCGACACCACTTAGCACTGGTTGAAGCAACGGGCTCTCATTTGCCAGTGACGTGTCACAGGTTAGACGTTCCTTCAAACAAAGAAGAGCCGAACCTGCGTAGAAAGGGAAACGCAGAATGATATTTCTGAAAGAACTTGTAGAAGCATGTAAGTCTGTGAGGACGACTGACGAACCGGCCTGGGTGTGGCTCCAATCTACACGTTATGCGAAACTCTGATCAGTGAACACTCTGTATTACTATGCTATTCCTCTATTCTATTAACTACCCAATAACTCCGATGCGTCAAAACAATGCAAAATCAGACTTCCCTCTCCATGCATTACCCCTTTCACACTGTGGTCTCTGTCCCTAGTGCCCAATCTCTCTCTCCCCCTTAGTTCTCGACTTGTTGGTTATCTTAGCGGGTCGATGTAATAGGCGATGCTGAGCTGGAGTCAACCTCCGCAACTGAAGTAGAACTCAAGATTCCAGCCGAGCTTGTCGCACTCTCAGCTTCCGTCTCAGGGGCATCCAAAGACGTTGATGTATGTGCATCCGCGCTGACAGTGACCGAAACAATAGTGGTCATGGTGTAAGTCTCGAAGACGACGCTGGGTACGGAGCAGCCTTCAGTGGTAACAGGTGGGGGAATAGGGTAGTAGGGGCCGGTGACGTAAACGCCCCCGGCGGTCTTGGTTGTCTCAGGGTTGGTGTGGGCTGGCTTGGTGGAGGTGGCGATACTGGAGGTTGCGATACTGGAGCTGGCAATGTTGGAGCTGTCAATGCTGGAGGTTGCGATACTGGAGCTGACAATGCTGGAGCTAGCGATACTGGAAGTTGCGATGTTGGAGGTTGCGATGCTGGAGGTTGCGATGCTGGAAATTGCGATGCTGGTGGTTGCGATACAGGAGCAGGCTGATGAGATCCGGCTTGGATCAGCGTGGCACCTGGCAGTTGTAAGTATATGAACAATATAAGATGATGGATGTAAGAATACTTACTTGGAAACATAGTCTGGTAAGCCGGTAGTGGCGGTGTTGATTGTAGTTGTGTATGTTGCACAGAAGTCAGACACTTGCGGGTTGCGTATGAATTGTCGGAGACAGTTGTTGTTGTGGTGGCAGCGATTTGGCTTGCCGGTCGGATAAACAGGAATGCCAGAGGTTGGAGTAATAGTAGAGAGGATCTTCGTTGAATCAATGTCGTTTGATTTGCTCGTGAGGGTTGGGTTTGGAGGGCTGAAATAGGAGTAGGAGAAGTGGTTTGACGGCGTCGAAGTAACATCGGGATCAGATACACCACTGTTGTGGGTGTGGAATGATTGGATAGACGAGCTAGATTCAGGGGTAATAGGAGTAGTATAAGAAATCGCAGAGGAGTGGGTCGATGAAGCATTGAAGTAGTGTCCGGCATTGGTATAGGTTACTAAAGGCGCTGTGGAGGAAGTTTGCGAAGTTGGAGGTACATCTGTGCAAGATGCAGTTGCAGTGACCGTGACTGTTTGAATGCAGGATGCAGGACAAAGTGGTTGTGCACCATGGAGATCAGTTGCTGTGGTGTGAGAAGAAAGTCCAATGACGACGAACGCCATGAGGCTGGCCTTGAGAGACATTTTGTAGTTTTGTAAGCGTGATCTGTTCAATGATAGAGAGGGTATTGGATAGAACGTAATGAGCAATGATGCAGAGAATACAGAACAAGAGAGAGTGAAGCAGATGACTGGTGATGTGGTAAAGAGTGTACCATGAGCTGAGATGGTCTTCTTATAAGAAGGCCTCCCGAAGAGGTGGAGTTAGCGAAGACACAAATGAACAAGCAATAGTGAAAATGGAAGACATTAACAATGTCTTGGGTTCCTTGCTCCTGGACAGGACTCAGGTTCCAAGGGGTTGGCTGGCAGTATTGGTGATATCCCTAGCTAGAATGAAAGACATAGCAGTTACTGAAATACATGCATTTGGTCCAGTGTACTATCGCACAGCTGCATAATTGAAGAATTCTGAATATAATTTTCTTCCCAATTGATCATACGACGTGGAGACACGGCTGATGTAGAAGTGGTGAGGACCCTACGAGCCATATGCAGGCTACCATGTTGCCCTTTGACACGAATCGAATAGACCTTGAGATATGCTTTGCATAACTGCACATCATTATGCTTAAAACCATATCGTAAATGATTTGACATGTAGCACGTGTTGGTTCACGAGTTGGTAACATTGGGATTCTGACGAGATGAAAAAACTGGCGAGGGTCAGAGGAGGGAGAGCATTAAGGAGAGGGAGAGACGTGAGGCAAGAGGGATAAATAAGGTTGACAGACGCTTTGCCGCCTTTAGCTTAGCTTCTGTGGCGGATAATAATTGATCCTGAGGAGCTGGCAAGACCCACGCGAGTTTCTGTCGGCACCCAAATCCCATCATCCCTCAATCAATAAAGGATGAACGCAACCAGACATCCCTTTGTTTACCTTGCATAGGTCCTGCGTGTCTCTTCATATCGATCCTTGGATATCCCGCGCGCCTCGTCCCCCCTCCTGATGAGCTCGTTGCGTGCCATTGGAGAGCGGGCGTTGAGCAAGCTGATCTGACTGATCCGATCCGCCCCTTCGCAACCAAGCCAATTTCCCATCCTCCCCCTTCGCGACCATGGGCGCCTGCTCTTCATGCCTTGGCCGTGAACGGGACCATGATCTTTCGGACGAGGTAGCTGCTGTCTTGCCCTGTGCCATACGCTTGAAAAGAACAATTGACTGACTCCTTTTCGCTGGGCAGGACGAGCAATCGAGACTTCTCTTTGACGATCCACACGCAAACCACTATGGCAGCTTCGGAGAAAACAATGCAGGTGTAATACAGGCAGATCCTCAAGAAGTCCAACGAGAAAACGAGGCGCTTCAGAAGATTGTCACTTTGACATCGAAGTGAGTGTCTAGCGCTTCTACTGCTGCTTGGGACGAGAAGAGACACGAAACCCGCACACCCTCAATTCCTTGCTGCAGATATTAAACAGGCAGCTAATCTCTATTTCTAGCCACCTGGTTGACATCTTTGCCATGGTACCGCAAAACGCCATCCCACCCGCTGCATCCCCCACCGCGACCAGCACTCTATTCCCCGCCCAAGATGCTAGATTGGTACGGTATCAGGACGTGCTGGCAGAGATCTCTGCAGGAGACCCATCGAGCAAGGCCAATCATTTCCCTACAGATCACACCCCCATTGCCTCAGAAGGTTGGATATCGGACGATGAAGACGTGGAGGAAATGAAGGGACACACGCCTGTCAAATCAGAAGGCATAGGAGCATTGCTGGGAGGGTTCGCAGATGCAGACTCGGCCATGAGATGACATGGTTCTGATCTACATCCGGATTGTTTTTGTGCCACGGCGTCGGGGCGTTACTGCTGATTGCGATACCCACCTTCATGCGGTACGCTGGCCTTGATCTCGCTGCAGTGGTGAAAGAGGGATTACTGGATATTGGTTGTCCACCTAAGCGGAATCATCTATGCGTTGTATCAATCAAGCATTCTCTTTGTCCACTACGACTTTTCAGTGGCTGCTCAGACTTTTGCTGGAGCCTATCATATTGCTCTCACGCCTCTGCAGTCGGGCTGCGAGCGAGGTCCATTCGGCTTTAGCCACGTCCCCTACACACAGTACATCAGCACCCTCTCGCCCATCTCATAAAGAGCAGAAGATTTCCTCTGCATTATCTGCACATGAATTTGTTCTCTTTTGCTTGAATCCTTTTCTTTGCTCAGTGCTGATATTTACCACTGCTGCGTGCATCGTTCATCCCAGACTAAACTAGGCGCTCGCTTAAGCCGAAATCAACATCCGCCCAAAGCCAACTCACCGACGGCTCATCCTTTTCTTCCTTCTTCCATCTCTCAACTACCTCAGCTCCTTCACCCACACGATGCCCACTACCTCTACACCGTTCATCTAACGCAACAATGCTGATCAAGTGCCTGTCTGTTGCGATGCCTGCGGCCATCCCTTGCGACGACGGAAATGTCACGTTGTCGCTGAAACAGTGGGTTGGCTAAGCGCCCGGTCACTCCGCACTTCAGACAGCGCCAGGTCACGCCGTGGGAAGGCCAGGCATCTTGGAACTCGCGGAGATTGTCAAGGCCGTTTCAGCGTTACACACTATTGCTATTCTGGTCCAGAGCCCATTTTCCTTCAATTCTCATCCTGTCATTCCAAACGCCAAGAACAATTGTCATTAACAACGCCCTAGTTCATCAAGAGAAAGAGAGAGTGACGATAGGAAATCCTCCAAGACGCCCCGCATGCCAATCACGGCCCGTTCCATCCGCCTGCCATACAAAGAATGACAAGAGAAAATCTCCAAACGCCCAATCATTTCAAGCTCCACACCATCATCTTGCGATAGTTCTGCGGCGCCGTCAGTCTTTCGGTCATGATACAGGCCCCGAACTCATGGATTACTCACTATCTCAATGACATTCTCTTCTGGTCACGCTCGTAGCAGAGGCCTTCTACCTCACTTCGCAGATGTTCGATATTGCCTTCAGCTTTGTCGATGGAAGCGCTGCGGCCGTCCTCGTGTCTCCAGCGATCAATCTTGTCTTGTTCTTTCTGGATGCTTCGCATCTTTGTGTCAATCTTGATGCAGATCCTAGACAGTTGATTGGTCAGATCGGGGCCCGAGCGGTTGATCGAGATTGCAACACGGGACAAAAACAAGGAATCTGGTCACGACTTACTTGCACTTTTCTGGTTTCGAGTATCGGGTCATCACGAGTCTGAAAATAATGCGTCAATTGGTATTTCAATTCTGCGAGAGCGCGTCTGCAAGTGGATACTCGTCAGGACCTCGAAAGTTTGGGAATGGACTTACTTCATGCCACAAGTCTCTCCAGTACGGTACTCCTTGGAGCAATGTTGTCTGAAATGACCCCACTTTCCACAGCTGCAAGCCATTATATAACTGTTTCAGAAGTCAGATTTGGTTCGCGACGTCACATTCGACAGAATCGCGAAATAGGAATGCCAAAAATTTCCAGAGCCGCCTTGGAATCTTCTGGGAGCCCGTGCGTTATTCCCATCGAATGCCACTTGAAGGAAACATGGAAGGAATCGAAACTTACTTGTCGTAGAAGCACATTTTTGGGAAGGTTCTGCGAAGGTGCTCGTCAGCTTGGCCTCGAGGTTGGGTCGATCTTGAAACAAAATTTGAGTCGCATCTCACAACTTACTGGCTATCGACAAAAGTTTCTTTTCAGTGTGGATACTGTTCTTGGTGTCCGAGGATTGGCGAACAAGATGAATGTTTGGTCTTGATGATTTGGACGATGACAGTTTGAGAATGATGTGAGTTCAGAAGAGTCGAGTGGTTGGGAAAGTCTGGTTGCTGATTCTGGGGACCAAACAGCTATAGACGCGGGCGTCAAGGAGGTATTTATCCTCGATTTCTGATCGACTGGGTGATTGGGGATCGTTCGTTTCTTCGGTCGGCTCTTCGCAACCCCACTCAGGCTCTCATTCCCACGCCGTTTCGCGATCATCTTACGAAGTCAAGCCACCGAACAACGCATACAATATGCAACGATCCCATCACAGACCTGGGCGAAAGTTCAATGCCATGCTCTCTGCATGCATCCCTGAATCGCCACCTATCGCATCCTTACCCACCCATCATCAAGGTCCAGTCTTGCCGTCCCTGCCTCTATTCGGGTAGAACGGCCCCTCGTCAAGGTAATTCAGTTTTGGCCGTGATAGGACGAGTGGTCAAAGCTCAATTGCCAGCTCACGATGCTCTCATGTTGGAGGGTGATTGAGGCAGACTTGCACGTCCATGGAGTCTGCACATTCACACGCTAACTCATCACATTACCAGGTGTCAATGCATCTGCTTCTGACTTCCCAGGTTCGATCCCGTCTACCTTCTTAGGATCTGGCATGTTGATTCTGTTATGTGGGTCTACCAGGTCCGTTGCGTTCAAGGTCGGCCACGGGACGGACGGAAGCCCTTCAGGAGACCACAGCCATCATCATCTTAGTAGAATGGCTTCTGCTCAAGCAGGACACGAAAATGCCTCAAGATCTCAAATACATCCAACCAGGATGGATGGTGACAAGCCACTGTCTTAATATCACGATGATGCTGGTAATAGTGTGGCGAGAATTTCTCGGCTGGCTATGTTTTCTTTCGCGCAAGCTCCAGCTCGGTGTGCCCCGGCCCGCCGCATCATTTCAACATCGACTAAGGACATTCATATCCGGCCGTCTTGAGAGAAACTTGTGAGCCTTATTCGACAGGAGGTCTTGCAAGTGGCGTTGGTGGGTTGGACATGACATGAATGAGCAGTCTGGTGACTGTTACTCACCGTGGACAAATGGGTCGTTCTCTGCACCTTCAGGGGGCCGCATTGAACTCGCATCGAACTCTCAATAACCCCTCCGTCGTCGATGAGTATGCAGCGATGTGTTGTCACCGATAGCAGCGGCATGATTGACTACATATCAAGTCTCTGCAGGAAACCCAACACGAGCCCCGAGCTCGACAAGTTCATCTGCAGATCTTCCAACCATCTCGCCACTCACTAGTCAGAGAACTCAAACTTTCGCTAAAGAATTGGAGGAATTTCCTTCCCGAGAGACTCTGACGTGGCGGACTGAGTTTGGCTGATCTGTTTTCGACTCTTACTTGAAAAATATTAAGGCTTTCCACCTGGGTTAGGCAAACCAACGAAAAGCCTTCTAGTCATTTCTGCGTTTCTGTCACATTTGACAGCACTCTGCTTTCGACTGGTTCCATGTCAAATTCAAGGAAAGGGGTAACTCCACGGCAAAAAAGGAACACGGTTGCGGCCTGCCTGTCCGAAGACTTCTTTAGGAGACGAGCTAGCCTGATGATCACTCCTTCGAACATTTATTGCTCGCATTTCAGGCTTCGACCGTCATGATGGCTGGTTTTTTCCAGTGGCAAAAGAAATGCAGAGACTGCAGGCTTCACATCACACCGCCCCTAGGCTGATTGAAGCTGACTGCACTTGCATTTCGAGGCGGAGTTGGAAGGGGAGTGACGGGATCAAGGATCATTTGGATATTGATCCTGAATCATCTACGATGAAAGGCGTCCCGAGCACAAACAAGGGCCTAGCACTGGTTCATGCTCACAGTCAGTCCGCAGACGTTGCCTCATGCAAAGAAGATGTTGGACGCAGATGAACTCGCCCCTGGGCATTGTTTACAAAACAATTTTGGCCATTCCCCACGCAGTGAGAGCTAGCATTAGAGGTAAACAAGGTCACAATTCGCCGGCCAGGCGAGACCTCAGATAATCAGTAAACTTTGCAGATCCCAGACTCTCGCTTCAAGGATGGCATGACGTCTGCTGCCCCAACACTCGCAAAGAGACTCTTAGAAGAGGTTTAAGTTTGTCGTCACTTTGGTCCCAACTGTCGGGTCCTGTTGAAATCATGTGGCAATTAGTCGATGTGGACTGCGGGAGTCCTTTGTACAACCTGCCCAATCGCAGCGCAAAATAGCATGTGAGAGAATTTAAAGTGCAGTCCAGCCTCACGATTCATCGCTTCCCTCTGTGATTGGAGGAAGGGTCAGAGGAGGCTTCTTCGGACGCAATAAAGGCCCCAATTGCCGGCAGACAGCGAGGGTATCAACAAGACTCGGCGGGGTTGTGTGGGTCGACGTCTGATTTGGCGGGAGGAGATGAGCTGGCTGGCAAAAGCTACTCATGCGAAGCTAGTAGAAGCTGCAGATAGCACTGCAGGAAGCATGTCAGGGAAGGAAAGTTAGCTGATGTGAGCGACGGATGCTGCACACCGGCTTGGGGCTAAAGGAGGACTCTCCATACAACTCAAAGCAGGGCTGGGGGAAAGATTGGCTGGCACGCGTGGTCGAGATCGGATGAGGACTCGGTCATGTCGATGAGCTGGCGGGCGTAGGCAGACTTGGAGGTCGCCAGCCCTGGACCCAGGGCCCAATGGAAGGGTGGTGGCATTTGAGGCTCGACGAGAGGACGCGAAGAGGTGGCCCAGTGGCCACTCGGTGTTTTTTTTTTCAATGAATAGTGGGCAGTCAGAGTCGCGTTCATCGCGGAATATCGGTAATACTGTTGATGTAAATATCCCTCGATGATTCTCTCTTTCGCCTCGTTCTTTTGTCCTTTCTCCGAGAGTAATCTACCCAACATTCACCGAAAATGTCATAGAAAAAGGGGCCTGTCGTCTGGCCCTTTCTCACATGACGATGCACGTGACATGCCCAACACTTGAAGCTCGTATTTGATACAATGAGACTGGATTCTCATAAGGACGTGAGACGCTTCTGAGCAGTATCAAATAATCGCCAGGAATGAAGTCCATACGATGCACATGACAATGGCGTTAGCGTCGCATATGTTCCTCATCTGATCCTTTCCCTGTCTCAGATGACGCTTCGGATCGGGACGTGCTTTAGGTACCCCGCTAAAGCAACGACGACAACAACATCACCACGACTTATACCACAGCACGACTCAAGAAACAACAGTAGCACCACCTGCAAACCCACGACATTGCATCGTCTCCTATTCTATCTCAAGTCATGACACTTTAAACCTCTACGCTTCAGTCCGAACTAAGCGCCTCTTCACGATATCAAGCCGCGAGACTCATCCAGAAGTTATGGCTACCACCTCCAACAGTACTCCTCCAACTCTCCCAACCCTCCCCTCCGAACTCCTCCTCCATATCCTCTCTTTCCTCGACATCCCCGACCTCCTAACCTTAACCCGCACCTCTCACCCCCTCCGTTCTCTCTCCCTCGACCCGCTCCTACACACCACACGCCTCCACCGCGCCTCCATCTCTCTCTCTCACTCCCTCCCGCTTCGCCCATCTCTGGCAGATCTCATGGCGCATCGTATCTATATCACACGTACTACGCTTGCAGCAAGATCGCTAGGTAGGAATCTCATCAGGATTAAATTGAATAGACAGCTTTTGAAACGGCCGAGCGCGGAGGAGTTGGTTAGGATGGGGGTTCTGCCAGGGGAGTGTTGGGTGGGAAGTAGTGGGAAGAGAGGAGGTGGGTATATGTATAGTGGGCTGGCGCCTGCGCTGGTGGAGGTTAAGAGAAGGGTGGAGAGGGAGAGGGTTAAAGATCGACTGAGGGGGTGGGTCGAGGAGTGGGGGAGGAGGGGGTCTGAGGTTGTGGAGAAGAGGGGTTTGGAGGAGGAGCAGAAGCCAGATGTTAATGTTATGAGGATGGCGAGGAGGTTTGGGAGGGGTGAGAGGGAGATGAGGGAGTGGGAGAGGCCGAGGTGGGGGGCGCTGAGGAGGGAGGATAGGAAGGAGAGGGAAGCGCCGACTAGAGCGAAGGTGTTGGGGCTGAGGAGGTTTTGGGAGAGAGTTGGACGGGAGGGAGGGGTGCCACTGCAGAGGTTGTGAGCTGCATGTTTATGATTATGTTTTGATGAGGTTATGTATTGCTATATAAGGTCGTACGGTTTATTTTGGGGGCATTTGCATCATGGTTGCGATGTACATCCGGCAAGTTGAACTTGCGGCTCTGATATTGATGATATAGCTTGGGTTCTGAGTTATTAGACTGCAACTCAAGAGGTTGTCCTCGGTTTGTGTGGTCGGTCGACGATCATATCTATCAATTCAGATAATCTCAGTATACAACCAAAAAATATACAGTGATTGTATATCTGGTCAAGCAGCTAACTTACCGGACAATTCAGGGTCACAAACTTGCTACAAGACAGCGGCCTTGTGATTTGTCTGAACACCCTGATGCTCCTTGCGCAGCATCCTCGGCTTCTGTTGAGCTCAAACCGTCTCGCAGTGACAATATGAAAATGGACTCCTTGGTTCAGATACCGCGCTTTCTCAATAGATATATCACCAAGGTCCCAATATCGCCCTTCACGATTCATGTTTGGCAATTGACGTCCAAGCCAAGCTGTGTATTCGTACATCCCTAGTCTCATCATACATTTCAGCCACAATGTGACTCCCGATCTGTGGAAATTTTGAGGAGAGAACTTCCTGGATGTCTGTCTAGCTGTCGCTACCACCCGATCTTTCGCTTTTAGCACACAATTACTCTCAATTGACCGCTGTCGTGGAGCATTCTGGAAGTCGGAGATCGATCTGACTGATTGATTAGGTTGCCAATTCCTTCAGCAGCGTCTCGTCACTCCGGCGTGAGGTTTTCAACACCTCCTCCCGAGTCCGATTTTTCCGCATCTCGAGGTTGAAATGGAAACTCATCCGACTGCAAATACCGTGGCCTCATCCCATCTGCATTCAACTCCACAAATTCCAACCCAGTAGCCTTCACAGTAAATTTAGAAGCACTCCCAACGTCCCCAAAGCTCCGTCTCAGATCTTTCAAAATCCTCCCACTTTGCTCCTCATACAATTTCGACGCGACAGTCACATGCGGCGACTCATCGTGCAATTCCTCAATGAGTTTCCTCCGCACACTTCTCCCTTTCCTGTCCCCAAGATGAGCAGTTGCTGTTTTCCCATACTCGTCAACAACACCAATCAGTTCTTTCCGGAGTTTTTGCACGATCTCAGAGAGCTCGTAAGACCAGTACTCTAGCGCGACGTAGTCGTTCTTCCCTTCTGATCCTGTGGACATGCGATAAGGTCTTGTGAAGGTGATTTCAAATGGCGGGAACCGTTTCGAGGCTTTAGATACCGCACGCCGACAGATGTTGGGGTCGAGTGCTGGGAGTCGGAAGAGTGTTATGTGAGACCATGTGGATTCTTGTGAAGGGTATAGTCTTGGCGTACGATACTCGGGTTGGTTATATTTGTCGATCAGGGATCTTATACCAGTGCAGGAGCTAGGCTCTAACACAGCGTGGATATTGTAGACGTATCTGGTGGGCTTTAGGATGGAGCCCATCGTTGACTGTCCTTGGGGATGAAATATCTGGAGCTGAGTGCAGCTTGGTATCGGTGCAGGGTCTTGTGACGTTGACCTGTCACGATTCACAATCATCAGACAAATATGGTGCTGTAGACATGACTCTTATTTTTGATGGATGAACAGCACTCTTGGGTTCGGATAATGCCGGTGTGTGGTGCTGGTGCAATGCTGGAGGTCACTTTCATGACGAAGAGTTGAGATCAATGTTGCTGACTAAGCAGCGCTGGCCGATATAGTGGCACGGGCATGAAACTTAAGACACATCTACAGAGACAAATTTAATTATATCAGTTTCTGTCGAAATGAGAATATAAGGCTCAATCGATCTAGATAATTGGATGGGTTGTCGCCACTTTAATATATATATGAGTGTCTTTCCCGGGCAGGACTGATATTTAAGGTCCAGAAAAGTGGTCAGCTAGCTTCAGCAACTCGGACCATCTGGCATCCTTCCGAATTTCAATCTTCTTTTCCGGAGTCATGACTTTAAACTCGTCAATCTTGTTGGTACCGTACGAATAATCTTTTTCGTCGTTTACAAAAGCAACCAGGTCACGGATCCAGTCCTCCAATAGAACTCGCTCATCGGGAGTTGGACCATGATGTATGGAAAAGCTAGATGAGATTAGTCACGATCAAGAGTCGAGACAAAATTCCTGAACTTACTTCCAAACAGGTCTGTCCATCGCATGCGTCACACCCCATTCCATTGGTGCAGTCTTCTCGTCGATGAATGACATCCTATACGCGATTTGATACCTCCAGATATCCTTGACATCGACTCCGTGTTTAATCAACGAGTTTACCAAAAACCTCGAGGGTGCACGAACTTGGCCATCGGAGATTATACTACCGTACAGTGCCAACCACTCCCTCTTATCGTTGCTTGTTGGCACTTTATACCAAGGAAGCACTCGATCAGCTGTTGTTGGTCCATAATAATTTGTGATTTGCAGCCGAAGGGATTCCTCATTGGGTTCTGGAGGATTGTACACCGAGTACAGACTTTCTTCGTTAAGCATTTCACCAATCAGCAGCTTCATTCCACGCTTCTTGAACTCTTTCGCGAACTCTCCGCTTCGTTGATACTCGATCATGCCCGACAGGATAAAATCTTCATCTGTGATTGGTCGGAAAGTGTGGTTCTCGAGGTCCTTGATCGCGGCGACCAAATCATTTGCGTCGATCTTTCGCAGGATAGAAAGCTTCTCAGCTCCAGAGAGGTCTTTTGATATCTTGAAGTGGTCACAAACTTCTTCGAATTGGGGCTGTGTTTCCTTAAGTGGTCGTGGTTGAGCGGGAATTGCGTTTGAAAACATCAAGAAACGATTGAACAAGGACTCGCCAGCAGCCGGTGAAGGATTCTTTCGGAAATCGTGGAGGATTTGCGCATGTACTCCATATGCACCAGCACTTCTCCCTCCCAAAGTGACATTGTTTGGGTCTCCCCCAAACGCAGAGATGTTCTCGTGAACCCACTCCATGGCGAGTCTTTCATCCCAGAGACCATAGTTTCCTACTGATCCATCGCCACTCTCCTCTTTCAGCTCTTCGCTTGACAGAAACCCGAAAATGTTCAGTCTGTACCCAATGGCGACAAAAACCGCATTAAGTCCACCAGTGGAAATCAACTCTATGGGATCCATGCTCGCCTCCTGTGAGGGATCGCCAATCTGAAACCAACCCCCATGCAGCCACAACATAACCGGCCACTTCTTCCCCTCTTCTCCAGGCTTCACAACCGGCGTCCATATGTTCACTCGCAGACAATCTTCGCTGTACACCACTTCTGATTTCCCTTGCTCTGCAATCGAAGCGAATTTTGCTTGAGGACATACTGGACCGAATTTCCTGCCATCGTACGGAATGCCATGGCCGTCTTCATAGCGGTAGGCTTTGGGAATCGGACGCGGCTTTTTCCATCTGTATTCGCCTGTGGGTGGGAGAGCGTAGGGAATTCCAGCGTATCGACGAACTTTGGAATCGAACTCTAGTCCTTTGATTAGCCACGGCTGCCGGGCAACTTGACTTCGTGTTCTGTCACGCTGTATGGTGATAATACGTTTCCCATTCTGTTGTGCGAAATGAAGTTTAAGTTTTTGTTTCTTGAAAATAATTCTGCATGATTCCCCCATCTGGCATTTCCAATTCTTCTATAAAGTTGTTCAAGAGTGGGGAGGTTGTAGTGACTCCAAACATCGCGTCATTAGCGAGCTCACTAGTCAAGACACTCAGGGGTAGGTGGTGATAGACAAAGGGATATCCGAAGCCAAGGAAGCTTAGATAACTAAATCTGGCCAAGATCATAAATTCCGCATCCGCTTCCGTGTCAATTTCCTTCTATCGTTGTTAGAACTGGCTTGTTGACTGCAACTTATCAGGCTATACCTCCTGCGCCGCGGCCAAATTGATGCAACACCATGCTAAAGTACCATCAAACCCCGCATTCTGGCACTACGCTGGGCAGGGAAGACATTGCCAGGAAGCAATATGACTGTAATCCAGTCATACCACAAGTTTCTTCTTCTGCAAAAATAACTGAGGGCACTTCGCTTTGCTTCTTTCATGTCTGTGAAGGATATTTGTAAAATTATCACATGGTCCTCAATCTCTTCGCATCTCATCAGCTGAAGTCGAAGACTGTCACATTTCAATGTCCTTAGAAAAGATAACCTCCCGGAGCAAACCCCATATTTGTTTACTCTCCAGTGCAGCTCCACCCGAGTCGTCCACTTTTGCTCCACAGCCCATACCACAAGTTCTTGGCATCAAATTCTTATCTCAAGGATGGGGTCCGGATGGTATCCGTATTTCGACATCACTTGTGATAAGCTAGTGAAGAAAGGCCGAGTAATGCGATACCGGTGATTTTTGAAAGCCCGTCAGGCAGATAAAATTCTGCCTTGCCTAGCAAGTCAACAATTCGCCTCTCATCCACATCTCGGAGAACGGAAACTGAGCTGGTAACTATTTGGCTGTCGTTTAAATGGCCTCACACATAGCCACTGAAACAAAGGAGAGCAAGGAGCTGGATGCCATTGCTGAACCTGCCAGAGGCATCGGGGGCGACGTTGAAAATGGGGATTCGAATTCGTTGCACAAGGGATCCGATGAGGAGATTGCGGCAGACACAGTGGCAGCCGCAGGCGAATACACTGCAGAACAATATCGCAAGTTACTTTGGAGGATAGATTTGTATCTACGTCCAGTCATGTTGGTAAGTTAAGCCGGTCAACTTTATATTCGACACGTACTGATTTTACTCAGATTTGCTAGGGCACTCAACAGGCAGACAAAACTGGTATCAGTACACAGGCCATCTTTGGCATCAGCAAAGACACACATCTTGTTGGTCAACAATTCTCATGTAAGCCCAATTTCAGATTCATCTCATCATTCTTTACTGATTCCAAACCCTAGGCTTAACGACGTTATTCTACCTCGCCTACATGGTCTGCGAAGCACCAGCCAACTATCTCATGCAAAAATTCCCTCTCGGCAAATTCCTCTCACTTTGCATGTTCTTCTGGGGAATAATCGTACTCTGTATAGCCTTCGGCAAGAACTGGACCGATCTTATGATCCTTCGAGCCCTCCAAGGAGCACCCGAATGTACCATCTCTCCGACGTTCATACTGATCACCGGATCTCGGTATACATCTCGCGAGCACACACCTTGTGAGAGCCATCATTTCGGGTTTGATTAACTATGGAATTGGTGCCCATGCCCAGAATCACCCTGGTGGTCTTGCACCGTGGAAGGGGATTTCGTTCTTCCTTGGATCATTGACAACTATTGACTCGATCTTGGTATCTTTTGCGCTGGGCACGCCAAGTGAAGTCAGATGGCTGAACGCTGATGAGAAGCGAGCTGCTGCTGCAAGAGTCGTCTCGAATCAGACTGGAACGGATCGTCAGAAGAGGACTGAGTGGAAGTGGGACCAGGTATGGATTGTCATTTCACTTATTTTTGCCAAGCATGACTGACAAAGACAGGCCATCGACACTTTCAAAGATCCACAGACCTGGTTCTTCTTCTTTGTTCAGATCGTCAATGCGCTTCCAAATGGGGGAAAGACAACTTTCGGAAAGCTGATTTGGGTCTCGTTTGGCTTCACTAATCTCGAGACTCTGGTCAAGGGAACTGTCCCAGAATATTTATTTTCTATTCTTTGGTTCCTCATCGCTGGTAACACGACATTGAAGAAGCCGAATCTCAGATGTACGGTTGATGTCCCACCTTACGAGATCTTATGCTGACATCGATAGTCTACTTTATGTTTGCCTCTCTCATTCCCGCTTTCACTGGAATGATGGCCATCGCTCTCCTTCCTCAGACTGGAAACCTGTGGGTCAGATGGTTTTTGTACCAGACACCACTTTTGGAAGTCTTCCTAATTTGTGTAAGTCATCACCCCCCCAGGTTCCGTTACATCAGCCTTGCTGTTCATCGCATATTGCGTAGGCAATGCGATCGGTGCTCAAGTCTTCCAGGCCAAAGATGCACCAAGATATATACCAGGACTTACAGTCTGTGGTGTCATGTATGGCGTGGAGTTCACCTTGATGGTGTGTTGGAGAACTTACTGTAAGTATTTCTGATGAGCACATTAGGAATTTGGCTAATGATGGATTAGACGCGTGTCAGAATAAGAGGCGGGCGAAGAAGATTGCTGAGATGGGTATCAGTCCTGACGAGAGCGCCAGGATTGGTGCGATGAATGCTGAGGCGGATATGAATGACTTTGATAATATCCATTTCAAGTATCAGATGTAGAAGATAAGAACTTAGCAATGAGCATAGCAGTTGATGAAATGCAATCCACTTCGGTTTGACGTGAATTATTTCTTTGTGGCCCACACTGCAGCACATGCGGAACAATTCCTTCATCTCGTAACAATATCCTTGTAGTGTACAAAGACTGCGAGCCTTTCCCTTTATTCTCATATTGTCGCTGGCAACAATCAGCGGGGACAACACAATGGAACAGCTCGAACTAGACAACGCCAAAATAAACAATCCCTCGCAGCATCATATATCTATCCTACCAGCTCAGCCATGAATATAGCGTCTTCATCCTCACAGTACCTCCAGCCTTGCACAGACTACCATAGACCAGTCCAGTATGTCTCCTCCAGCCAACAACGACGTCTTCTGCTGTTCCGCAGCAAAGATACGCATAACAACCGCCAGCCCTGACCACAAACTCCTCGATTTCGTCATCTCCACTCTAGAAGGCAAGCTCCCCTGCCGTGCCAAGGTCCCCGTTTACATGGAAGACGAAGATATCGGTGACTACGTCTTTTCCGTCATCACCTTAGAATCCGACATCCCGTATGTCACCACAGAGCTCTTCAGCAACTTCCATGTCACGGGCCCTGAATCCGATCCGTCGATTCTGCTAGTCACAATTTCCAAGACAATGTTGAGAGAGGAATTTGATGTGGATGTGGAGAGTGAGGTTCGTCTGGCATGTGAAGAGCATCCGCATGATTTCTTCCGGGTGGGCCTTCTCAAGCGGAAGGCTGATAGCTCCAGTGAGACCTCTGATGAGGAGTCTGTTCTGAGTCAGATGTTGAGTTCTAACGCCATGGCGGAGCATGATCGAACGTTGGACCCGCGTTACGCAACTGGTTTGGGAGGTAGTTCCGACCCGGGTCATGAATCTGGATCTGAATCGGATCGGATGTCTGATACAGATCATGGTCCAATAACAAAGTCTGACGGAGAACTTGATAGAGGACGAAAGCTCAGCGGAGAGTGGTTCTAGTGAAAGACATTATTCAGAACTCAGATCCTAGTGGGTCTGGCTTCATTTACTGAATTCTCAATGACTTCTACGTCCCCCGGTTGAGTACAATTTCACATATTTACTTCAATATTTCAATAGCTTTCCTGTATATGTGAGATATCCTAAGAACATGAAACCTATGACAAGACTTAATTTTATCCTTCGTGTGAAAAGCTAAATTCAGGTGTAGTTGGTAAAATAGTAAGATTCTCAACCATACTGTGACGGTGCGAATCGTTATACCTAAGTATAGTCCGATAGCAGAATAGAAGCTACTTCTATTCTAGTACCCTTTTGGGCTAGTTGGCCGAGTGGTAAAGCTATCACCTACTTGTTGTGTCTCTATGGAACCAGACCGTCACACATACGTTCATTGGATATCTTCCTTATGTACCGACAGAGCGGGGTGAGATAGAGTAGCTTCAGCGAAGATAATAGAATTAGAATATATTTCCACGACTCCATCCTTCTTGTCTTGTGGTGTTGAGGGTTTATTTGTAGAAGCGCGGAATTTGTGTTCTCCAAGGTACACTGCAAACAGCCGCCCAAAACGGACGACAAAGCTTTCCCTTATCCTGGCTAATAGCTGTTCGAATTCGTACAGTACAAGATGCGTGGTTTAAATGAAAATATTGAAAGGAGAACAGACAATCCGATTTTTGGGACATCTTTACACAATGCCAAACTGGGTAATCCGATGTGAGGCGGCAAGAGGAGGCGTCTTCCTCAGGTACACAAAATTCCACTAATGTCCCAGAGCTGATGCTTTGAAACGCAATTAAATGTAGCATAGAGTTCAACTCTTTCTACTCATAGAGTTACTGCATACATATATGCTTTGGCTGTCTTGGAATGAAAGCTAGTTCTTTGTTTACCTCATTCTCGCTTATTCACGGCGGAGCCAAGTAAGCATCTTGGCATCCACAACCGCATGCGGCGTTAGAAAGTCAATGGGTGCGGATTAGTCCTTCCTTATTGTTTGCTAAAGTATGATGAAGGTATTGAAACGCTCGAATTACGGCGCTGATAGGTTAGGAGTCCAATCCTTCCCAGACTTCATGAACTCACTACTTGCAAGGTGTTGTCCATACCCTGTGAAGACGCTCATAGACTCATACCACCACTTCTTCACTACGGATGTCATCCTGTCATTTGTTCATATTGATTCCCTTGCAATCTAGGTCTCGTTAGAATACACATAGCAAAATAAGGCTACGGCCTCGTCAAACTTCTTGACACTAGTTGATAACAGTCATAATACGTTAGATCATGCTAATCAGAAATCAGAAATCATACAACACGAATCAATGACTCCCACACCCAGGTACTCGGAGGCCTGCCGCCTACGCCAAAACGAATCTACAACTACGCCTCCTTCATAATGGCACATGCCGCAGTGTAAGTTCATGCAGCACCGGCCTCAACTGCCAATAAATCGTATACGAATACGCCAACGGCACTCCAGCCCTCTGCATCCTCCTATTAATCTCGGGCAGCGCGGGATCAATCATAACCTTATCACCATCCAGCGTGCTCCCACAAGGGATACAGCAAAACACCCAATCGATAATCTCGCCTCCCTTATTATTCAGCCGATATATCTCCGCGCAGTCGCTCTCGAACTGCTGTCGCGATAAACCAAGCCGCTGCATCGCAAACGTGTATTGTGGTGTCGACCCGTCGCGGATGAAACTCCAGCGCAGGAGCACGTCGGACTCGCCGCCGCCGCTGAGCTCGCTTTGGTATTTGTGGTTGCCGGCTATGCCGCCGTTGATGTTGGTGGTGTTCATTTGCGCGGTCATGGTTGCGCCGGCGTCGTATTGCATGTTCCCGTCTGCACCGATGGTGTACTGTGGGCCTGGCATAGGTAGATAGGCGGGTTCGGGAACCGACTTTCGTTGTATGTTTTGTTGTTGCATGGCTATGTCGGTCAAGCGAAGTCGTTGTTGATTGAATCTGGGGGAAGGGGTCTGCTGAATGGTTTTTGGACTGTGCAACCAACTCTCACCCAATGTTGGACTTGTCTGGAAGGGAATGAGGATTCCAGGGTTTAAGTATACACTGCATAATTCAGCTGAGGGTATGTCTAGGAAGGTTTGGCTAAGCAATTTTGCGAAGTAGGCTAGCTCGAGGTTGTTGCATTATCATGATCAAACGTGCCTATTCTAATCCCCCCTAACTTGCCCCATAAGGCTTGTCTTCTAGAGTCCAGACGGTGTGGCTTCTCTAGTGTTGGAAGCCTGGAATCCAACTTGTCCTCGCTAGAACAAATTTAGTGTTCTTAGCCCCTTTCATGCCTAGCTACCTCCATAACACTATCGTCCAGCTGCATATATGTAGGTATTATTAAAGCGACAGCAAGCCGTATAAACTTGTTCAGCGCACCGAACTAGTCTTCACTGTTAATCTCACCTACTCACCGACTAGTAGCTTGTCGATGTGTCCCTAACACAGCATCAGCCAAGCCACTTTAAGTAAACACCACCTGACACGGCTAAGCATTCCGAGAGATACCCAAGCACGAGGCAGACAGCGGTCGCCTATCTACCACAGCTGATAAGAGGATAAGCTTAAAACTTGCTGAGCCTCTTCATGCGGACAATCAGCTGTACATTTTCGTAAAAAGGCGAATGGGATCTTTCGTGGCTTGTTATTGTGAGGCAGAGAGGTTAGAAGTGGCGTTGTAAGCTTTCGCTTAACAGGTCTGGGCTGCTCTAGTCGCGCCATCGGTACCGCGACTTCTCAGCCCAGCTGGCTGGAAGCTGGGCGGTGTGTTCGAGAAGCAGGTTCCCTGTCTGTCGATGCTTAAGTATTGGACTTGATCTGCTCAGCTTGAATAGTTGGTACGTGATGGATTTCATTGTCACCTTGGCTGCGAGGACATGCTTTCAATACTTCATTGGTGTGGTGTTCTTCGTTCTAATCCCCCATTCTCAACTAACTCCCATCTGAAGCAAATGCAATCAGATCATTCTCAATTCCATATCTTTCGGCCACTGTCGCCATCCCAGACGTTGCCCAATTTCAGTCAGAATATAGCAAATTCAAAGGAAATTTGTCACCTTGCTCCAAACTCCCACACGATTAGGATTGAGCCGTCTAGACATACTGCCAAGCACCAAAAGGAGCTGGTTCAGGCAAGATCGTGGTCTTCAAACCTTCCAACTCAATACAGTCCGTAAGATTGAACTTTGGAGTCTTGACGAAGATTTGGTAGGTGGCGATATCTTCCATGTAGGAAGGGACATCTGGACAGGCGAAGACGCCTTCTGTGAAGGTGTTTCTGTCAGCTTGTTGCGAGGGAGGGTACAGCCCAATACGGTGAAGAAGAATCAAGACGGGGAGGTATGCGAGGATTGAGAGGGATAGAGAATGTACCAGTTGATCCATCGGGGGCCTTCCATGTGAAGACATCGGCATTCGCCTCGCAATCAGAACTGATAGTCACATTGACAAATCTACCTCGATAAGCACCAGTAGGAACAGACGCAGAGTGAGCTTGGGTATATCCAATTGAGCCTTCTGACCGAACGAAGGTTTGTTGACCACCAGGAACCTCGACCTGTCAATCAATCGCTATCAGTACTCCAGCTTGGCAACATGGCCATTCATTTGCCCAGAAGTACGAGAAGAATTTGGGTCAATACTTACCCACATAGCGCTCAAAGCACCGGCGACGATAGTATCAGTGGCATTTGGGCAATTGGGATCAACGAGCGTTGGACAGTAAGTGGTTGGAGCATCAAGCCCGAGATAGAATGCTTGACCGGAGGCTTGGATCTTTTGGTTGTGGAGGAGGCCGTTGGGGTTGAAGGTCGTCAAAGTGAAGATTTGGGCGTTGGTGAGCGTGACGAAGGAGAGAACGGCCACGAGGAGGGAGGACATCTTGTATGACTGAGGAGGAGACCTCTGTTGTAGATTTTACAAAAGAGAAATGGAGAGAGTGATTGTTGAGATGTTGATCTCTAGATCGTGGTCGTGGTATCGAGGGAGACGTAAATATCGGCGGAGATGAAAGTGAGGAGAAAAGGAGAAATTAATAGGGAACTGGAAGTCGAGGTTCAGCTTTTGACATCACACTCCTCTCGTCTAATCTCAATTCTAAGGACCCAGAATGAGGCAGGCAGCTTCCCTCCCGCTCTTTCCTATTTCGTTTCGCTAGTCACACATTTCAACTCACAACTGAGACTCATCAACTCTTTCCTCTAGCAGATACCTATTACCTACCTAGTACCTTTCCGTCACGGGAGTAACATGATCACCAGATTCTTGAGCAGTTGCCCTCTTGTACGATTCATTCAAATTGCTCCAGAGACAATCTTTAAAATGCGGGGAAATTCTTGTGTCAGATGAATGAATGCATGGTGCCGGCAGAAGTCCATCTGTCGTACGAGGATGGTGGTAACCGAGGACGTTTTTGAGCGGAGAGGGGCATTAGGTGTTTCAGTCTTCGGTGTGATGCCACCATTTGTGTAAACTGGAAACTAAGAATGAAAGATAAGGTAGTAGGGAACACAAGAATCTACTTGCAGGATTGAGGATATACTCCGAATCAAAGCCCGCCTCGATGACGTAGAATTGCCAAGCATAGATCTGATGCAAGCAAGCTTTTAAGGTTCTGACATCCGGCTCCATACCGTATCAAAGGACTTTATTTCCGCTTCCATGTCTCATATATCCAGTTCCAAGTCCCATCCAAATCCCCACTATCACCCATCCTCATTATAAAAACAAACTGAAGTAGATAACAGAATATAAAAATACATCACACCTCCCCGAAGAACCTCCACAGCCAGCCCAGCCCAACCCATCCTAACCCCGCTTCCGCGTACTTAAAATGTGGCTCAGCAAGCGCGCATTGCGTGGATCTGGTTGACAGGATCTCAGCCCTGCACTCCACTCAGTACTCCACTGAAGCTCGCCGCTGAACAAACCAATCAGAATCCTAGTTCACCCTGCCAACTCATGCATGCACTTAAAACCGGGCTATCAAACCAGCTGGACTGGACTGACGGGGTAGTGGGTGGTTCTTCATCTTTATCTTGACTACAAGTCTGCTTTCAACTTTCAAAGCTCTGCAACCTCACTTCTGACTAAATTGGATCTTTGATTATTCGGGTTTTTGGTAAGGGTTTTTCTCTCTTCCTTTCTTTGATAGCAGTTGCAAAGAAACACTCTGCGCCGCTTCCTTTCAGTTACGGCTTCAAGGCTGTTCATTCCAAGAAAGCTTGACTGAGATCACTGCAGCCTCACTACATCACAACTCTCCCGACACCAAACCCAACCTCAAAAGTACCACCCATTTCCAAATTCTCCACCTCAAATCAACCATCCCAGAATCTCCAAACTTTCCAACACCACGCCTCAAAAATGTGCGCCTCCACCACCTCTTCCACCCTCGTAAACCGCAACGGCCCCGGCTCCGCCGCCTCCTCCACAATCAGCAGCATTGTCAAAGGTGGCGAGGGTGGCGCTGCGGGAAAGACAAAGTGTATTGAGTGTGATGGGTATGAGTGTTGCTGTATCCCGATTCCGTGTACGGTTATGTAGGGGGAGGGGGGGCTTGAGCGGTTTATGACTGGAGGAGGGGGGAGGGAATGGGATAAGGAGGACGGGAGGAGAGCGGGAGATGGGGGAAGAGGGGAGGATGATATACCAGGATATTGCTGCGTTGGTTTTGTATTTGCGATGTTTTTGTGATACTTTGATATTGCGGATATGATGAAAAGGGAGAGTTTGCGCTTTGGAAATGATAACTGTCTTGGCTTCTTTTGCTGCTTTGGCTTTGAGCAAGCAACACGACCACAAATATGACCCCATGATGGATTTGCAATTATTTATGTCTCTATTGCGATCGTGAGATTACTTCCTTGCCCCATGTTTACAATGTGATTTATTGTGGTCTGCGAATGTTGGAGTCCCGGTCGTTGGAAGGAGTGCAATATTATGCATCCATATCAGTCCCCATGATGTCTCAGGATATGTAGTTCAACTCCTGTACCTCCCACCCGTCAAGCAACACCAAACTTCCTCTCCAACTCGTCCCAAACATCCTTCCCCTCCTCAACTACCTTCCTCTCCTCTTTCTTCCCCACCACACCCTCCAAAACTCCCTTATCCAGCTCCAAACCCGCACCTAATCCCTCTAGAATAGTCTCCACCTTCACCTTCATCTCCCTAATCCCCTTCGTCTCAGCCCGCGACCGGTCCAACTGATCTTGCATCATCAGAATCAAACTCTCCCGAGCTTGATGTGGACGGTATTCGTTGAGCAGGTGGTGGAAATTCACGAAGAGGGTTTTGATATGGTCGACTTTCTCAGCGTACTATAATTTACCCAGTATCAGCCTCTTAATCTCCAATCCGCAAAGCAGGATAGAATAACATCAAGAGGGGTGGCCTTGGGTTTTGGGGAAGGAGAGGAAATCAAAGGAAGAACGTACCTGCTCGGGATCAATACTCATAATCCCCACCAGCTCCAAGAAATTCAATAACAGCGATTTCGCCATCCGCTTCAGTATAAACGCCCGATCGGCATGCTTGCCATTCCCATTCGGCGTCCCAGGCGGTGTATACAATTGTTCCAATCCAAGAGCTTGTAACGTAGGGAGCGGTTCATCGAGCTATCACCACGAATAATCAGCATCACTTCTTCCAACACTCCCGACTCCCATCTCTCCCCTCTTCCCTCATTTCAATCCACCACCACAAAATAAGAAAACAAAACATACCCTAAACAAATCCCCAAAACACCTATACACGCCATCCGCCGGCGGCTCAGGCGGCTGCAGGTCCCGCAACTCGGCAGGCAGATCCAGTATCCGCACCGGCACCTGCTTCGCTGGATCTTGTGCCTGGCGCGGGTATGACAGTTCGGCGGAACGGAGAGTGGCGATCTGAGCGGTGTTTTCGGGCGTGAAGGATTTCCAGAAGGGGGGAGGGGAGGGGAAGGCTGTTGCGAGGGAGGAGGCGGGTTGTTGTTGTTGTTCTTCCATGTTCAGTGGCAGAGATGCGGGAGATAGACGGCGTTGCTGAGAGTAGAGGAAGCTGAAGGGGAGCGCGGAGTATGCGACTGGGTTGTATTGAGGATCTTCGTGGATTTGGTCGTGGTGTTCTGGTTGTTTTGGTTGTTAGATTTAGAAGCTCAAGCCGCGGTGGAGCTCAGCAAGGCTGACAACCTTGTTCCGTGGTCGCGTGTCTTGGCCAAGAATCCCATGCCCATCCATGCAATGCATTCTCACATCACCGCCGTCATCGACGACCACCCCATCTGACACCCTCTCTCTGCCTCCCAGTAACTCCTTCATATCCTTTCACCATTCCTCGAATATCTTCAATTCTGCACGGAAGGCATGTGGCCTTGATCAAAGGAGGTGCTCGTTGGATAATGGCTCGCAACACCAGATCCCCCAGTCGGAGCTTGGGGTTAGCTGCCCAGACTGGGTGGATTGGTGCTGTGGCTAGGTTTTGGGAGGTATGATTTCTGCTAATATCTCCGAATGCTACGGTACTGACTAATGAATGCAGAAAACATATGCGGCGGATTATCTGGGGTTTGCGTTACTTTTAACAGCGTATGTACTGGTAAGTTTACCTGAGTACGGTCTCTGGTCTGAGAGTAAATGCTAACCTGCCTTCCAGCTTGTGGCCTTCGTCGAACCTTTCCACCGCCTCTTTTTTATCAGTAATATCAATATTCAATATCCCCATGCTTTGAAAGAGAGGGTTCCTGTTACTTGGGGTATATTTTACGGTTCTGTAGTACCGTTAGTATGTCTCGTAATCTGGCTAGGGATATCAAGGGCAGGAGTACACAAATTCCATGTCACGATTTTGGGACTGCTTATAAGGTATATTTCTATTGAAATTCTTGGAGAATTCTTGCTAACCACCGTAGCGTGGTCCTCACCCTCTTCATAACAGACTGCATCAAGAATGCCGTCGGTCGTCCTCGACCAGACCTCATATCTCGATGCAAACCCGCACTCGGCACACCAGACAACGTCCTTGTCTCTTTCGATGTCTGTACCGAAACAGATCACCATACTTTACATGATGGGTGGAGGAGCTTTCCGTCTGGACATTCGTCCTTTGCGTTTAGTGGATTGGGATACCTAGCTCTGTTCTTTGCGGGACAGATGCACGTTTTTAGACCTAGAACTGATCTTGCGAGAGCATTGCTTGCGATTGCGCCGCTTCTGGGTGCTGCGATGATTGCTATTAGTCGATGTGAAGATTATCGGTACGTAAATGGATGCCAGGATGTTAGGACCCCTCCGCTGATCAGAATAGTCACGACGTTTACGACGTAACATGCGGGTCCATCCTCGGTATGGGTATTGCATATTTCTCCTACCGACGATACTATCCCTGCCTGCATTCAGCGAGATGTAATGAGCCATATCAATCACGAGCCTCGACGTTCAACGAAGGATTCGCAAAGATCAAGAATGACGAAGAGGTCGCTCGACCAGCGAGGGAGTTCGAATTGAGTGATCATGATGACGATGATGGGCATTAGATCAATTATGAGAAACGAATTTGGGCTGTTGACATTGCATTGGAATCGTGAAATGTTGAGTAAGTCGAATTTTGTTTCCTTTGTTCTCTATTTTCATCCCCAGTTCGGACGGATATTTGTGTCCCTTGTGTACAACTTCCACATTGCGTTCGTCTCATTGTTCTTTGTTTCGAAAGTCAAATTTATGTTTCTTTGTACTCATTGCCACACTCGAGTCTACTTTGTGGAGGGGTTTGATTCCACTCCGAGATCTGAGAAGGAGCATTGCCATTCTTCTGGATCGTTCGAGCTTCGACACATCCAAATTATCTTCGTTATCGGCTGGTGGTATTGTATAGCATCTTACCAGAGTGTCTCCAAGACAAAGTACCTATTCTGACAATCTTCCCACGTTCGGAAGATTGTACAGAAGCTCTCGAGAGTTTCGTCCCCTTCTTATCTCCCGCTTGAGCAACCTGGCGCACTTCTGTGCAGGCTCGCATTGGCGTGACATAGCACCATTTTAGAGAAGCAAACAGGGAAACAAGAGAAGAGTTAGGATCGACCGACGAAACAGACGCAGGAATAACTAGCCGATGAGCAAGCATCAAAACAGTGCAGGACAATGAGCGGTCCACGACTACAGAGAGGAGGATCAGCGACGCTTGAAAAGGGATTTGCAGATGAGCGCCGTAGAGCACAAGCAGAGTACCAGCTCAAATTACAGAGACAGGAGCATGCTCGCAGACAGGCTGAATACGACCGTGCTCAGCAATTACAAGCTCAAAAAGGTCTTGCTGTAGAGGGTTCATCAGCCGCAAAGCCCACGGCTTCCAGCTTTGAACGATGCCGGAAGGTAATTCGGGAGCCCTGGCGAAATGCATCACCGGGTATCCAGGTAGTGCTGACAGTTTCGGGGTCTTTCATGATCTGGATGTTCGTGTCCCATCTATACCGATTGACCTTTGGCATATATTTCTACTCTACCGCTTACCTGTGGGCATACAATGGCCTTGACTTTCCAATGTATGGTTGTTACAGATTCAGGGAAAGTAAGGAAGGCTTTTTAACTTGGGGTCAGAGCCATCAGAGTTATTTCCAGGGAATGCGCTGTTGGGGATATTTCAATGCGCTGGACTTAGATGGAGACTTATCACCTCCAGGCCGACTTTTGGCTACTTTGGTCCTTGATCCTTTGGCATCATCTCCTACTTTAGTTAGTGTGGATTCACAACTCACCGCTATCGGGCTAACGAGAACAGTATCTATTATGTATAGCTTTGTTCGTCTGGAAAGTACTGCCACGCATTACAAAAAGAGTAAGTCTCACACTTCCAGCTCGTGGTCGTCACTGACAAGATAGCTACGAGCTTTGACAGGATACGTATGGCATGCAGATCGACCGTTCTGGGCTAAAGTGATTTACATCTGGCTCCTCGTCACCCTCTTGTACTTACAGGCGAACAATCTTGGTACGTTGGCAGTCCTCGGTGGGCTGTGTTTTGTCAGTGCCATCGTGATCTATGTCATCATTGACGCATTTTTCAACCACCGGCTCAAAACAGCATGGGAAGCTGCCAGCGACAACATGTTGGTTGGTCCCGTCCTAGAAATCATTTCCTGGATCTGGAATACAGCATCGTCCTTCTGGACAGCATGGAAAATTCCGCCACGGGCTGTTGAAACCCCTAAGAAACGCTACCATATCGATGTCTGTGACTGTTACAACGAGAAGAATCGCCAAATCGACGACTTGAATAACACCAATACCGCACTTCAGAGTGCAGCTCAGGTTCTCCAGGCCAACCTCGACGCTAAAGAGCGACTCCTGGAAAATGCCAAGACCAATCTCGATCTCGTGTCGGGTGAACGAGATAAAGTTGAAGCTCGACTGTCAGGACCTCTGCCTTCTCCCGGTCATTGGCATGCTCCTCGGCACGATGATGCTCGGAGTACCTATTGGGAACGGATGTACAATGAACGTGACTCGGAATATCTCCAGCTTGTCAATCAGAAATGGGAGCAAGAAAATGCATACAAGACGGAGCTGGAAAAGCTGCAGAAGTCTATCAATCACAGCCAGGGAGCTGAGCTCGACAGGGAAGATGCCGTCAAGGCGTTGTACGAGGCTAAGGCAACGATCAGGAATTTAGAGAGGGAACATGATGCTCTATCTGTCATAGGCATGAATTTGAGACAAAAGCTCGCTGAGGAGAAGGAAACGCACTCGGAAAAATGCAAGAATGAAGCAGGGTGCCAGAGACGTATTCGAGAGCTAGAAGAGAATTATGATAGAGCCATGGCTCATATCAGAGAAGACCAAACTTTGGTCACTGAGGCTTGTGTCGCGCTTGGAATGCACCGTAAGGAAGCCGAGCATGTACAGTTGAGAGCATACCTTGCAGATGTCACTATTCAGGTGGCTAAGTTGTATGCTATGGGCGTTCGTGGTGCCGATACGACAGATCTCCAAGTCGAAATCATGCGGAAAGAAGTTGCCAGGGAAGCCACCTACAAGAACAGGCTTGAAAGGGAGGTGGAACGTCTTGGTGGCAACATCCTGGATATCAGGATAGGTCTGGACACGACACGGCCTCAGGACTGGAAAGTTGACTTCATCACCTACGAGCAGAATCTTCTTCGCATCTTCCCCATCTACCAGAGGCTATGGAATGCGATCAACGATATGTATGGAGTCTTCACCCGTGAACAGCTACTCCCTCCAGGCTGGACTAGTCAACCGTCCCGGAACAATATGAGCTCAAACATACTTTCATTGCCACCTCCAGAAGCTGCACTACACCTTGTCAAGACAAACGAAGTCACCAATCCGCATCTGGAAAGCTTCGAGGTATTGGTCGAGAAACTGGTTTGGAAGGAGTGTATGCGCCTCTACAACCATGGCCTTGAAATGCTCATGTTACTTGACAGTAACATGACTTCGCACGCCACAATCGAAGGAATTGATGGCGTAAACAAGATACTCAATGAAGTCCTTCACGAAGTTCTGGATCATATTCCGGCACTGCTTGCCAACCACCCAACAGAGCGTGCTCTTAGCCCACGCAAGCAGAAGAAATATGAGATCTACTCCGCAATGCAGACCGCCATCGCTGGCCTCCTAATTCAAGTCATCGCCAACAAACGCATGCCCCCAGACTGGCTGTCCACACAAGCATATGATGACCGCTTCAATAAGCAATATGACAGCCCCGAAAACCTCATTGCCAACCTCTGTAACCTCGAAATGACCATCCTCGCCAAACGTATCCATCAACTCGTCGCCTTCACAGAAGAATACCACTTCCCAGGCACGCGAGCTGGTCCTCCTCGCGCTGAAGTCCAACACGACCCAACCTACATCAAACGCTGGGACCATCTCGTCATCGCCCGCACCTTTGCCGAACTCACCATCTCGCACTGGAACTTGCATAAATCTCAAAAAGAGATTCTCCACACCGACGAAGCCGGTCGCAGACTCATCCGCTTCGAGCCAAACCCGCAACTCCTCCCCCTCAACGTCGACAAATTTCGCGTCGCAGTCGGCCTCCTCCCTCTCCAGAAAGAAGAGAAAAGTTGGCCTGAAGAATGGAGAGCTAGGATGGTCAACGACCCCTCCTCCGGACCCTGCATCATCTTCGAGCCTCCCTCATCAGCTGATCAACAGCCCAAAATAACCGAACACGCCGCCACCAATATCAAGAACAACAACACCAACACCTCCATCTGCACCAACGACAACACACAACTTGCAGTCGTCGGCACATCCAAAGAAATCGAGCGCAAAAGGCTCCAAAACGAATGGAATGAGCGACGGGAGCGCTGCATACAGCTGTACAACCACGTCGTAGCGTATGGCATCAAGAACCATATCCCGCGACTGATGGATGCGAATTTGAGGATCAACGCCGACCCGAAGAGTATGAAGCGCGATATTGAGAATTTCAAGGAGGCGGAGAATCAGTATGTGCATGCGCTCACTGGCGGCCCGAAAAAGTATCCTGTGCCGCCGATGAGGAAGAAGGGTGGGAAGATGGATCCTTTTCAGTAGGAGGTAGATTGTCGGGTTGGTGCTTTGAGATTGTGTGAGCAGGGTATGGTTAGGTTAGGATGTCCTTTTTGATCTTGTTTTGCTTATCTCGCTTATGCTAAACTTGGCGTTTCACCCAGAGAACATATCTCACAATCTTGCTAGGCATTCAGAATTGCTATTGCTATGTTACGATTATCATCTCTTCTCCCAAACTCCTCGCGTACTGGTTGTGTCACAGGAGTTATCCAATGCCGATCTCTTCATATTCTCGTGTCTTCCGTTTTCGGCTGAACTGCAACTTGCTTTGTCTTTCTGAGCCACACTTGCTTGCACTTGATACCTCGAACGATATCACGTCCTTTGTTCGGCGATACAGATTATCGTATCTTTTCTTTGTCTCCATGGCAGCTTCGAAACCCCAATTTCCTCATGCTCGAACCTTCTCAGTATTCAACCCTTTAGCTCTTTCAGACCGCTAGTCGTTCCCTCACGCAGAAACTCCATAACCTCTGGAAGCTAGGGTCCGGGGCTCTAGAGACCATCACCAATCCCCCGAGCACACGCTCACCATCTTATCAAATCATGGAAGCCATCCACAAGATCCGCTCCCTCCCCACCCGCCTCCAAAACACATACCCAACCACCATCAATCTCCTCACTCTTCTCGTAATCACACTCCTCCCCATCTTCACCCTCACTGCTCTCACGCTTGTCACTTTCCACGTCTACTTCACGGGTAACTGGTACTATTACAATGAACGGATCTTCGTCGCACGAGGGTTTGGCGAAGATGATGCTGCGAATTGTAGGGATGTGTTGAATGATACGGGTCTGTATACGACTATGGAGGCTGTGGAGTGGTATTGGAGGAGGCAGTGTGAGGGAAATAGGGATGCTTGGAAGGGTGACGGTGGGGTTTTAGGTGTGTTGGTAAGCCACTCCTAATGCACCTGTTGATCTGAAGTAAGATCATGCTAACACCATCTCTAGAACCAGTCCTGGATCTGGATGATCTTCGATGTATTCTGGACTCTATTCCTTGGACCGTGTATTTACGCGATAACTTTCTTCACCACAACCGCATCCCAAATTTACAACTCCGAGGGCATCACATTAATCACCGCAATACTCAATGCCTGCTTACATGCCGCTAGAGATGCAGCTAACACCGTAATGGTTTGGGCTTCTTGGCTCATCTCTTCCTGGGCAGGCTTTTATGACTTCGTGCCACTCATCAAACAAGCCTTTGCCACCATCGGAGACTGGCTAAAGAACTCGACTAGCTCGTTGGCGAACAACAAATTATGGTCTGAACAAGTTTCTAAACTTGGTAGTCGGTTCGGTGAAGACTGTCTAAGTCTCCGAGGCCATCCAGCTGCATTATGCACGGCTGTGGTAGGTGGTATTGGAGATCTGCTGAATCGATGCACCAGCTATCTCGTTAGAGTTACATCCAATGATGCTCTCTTCCATGGACTTTCTGCCATCCGATATTATGTCTCATTGGTTCTGGTACCTAGAACAGGCATGCCGTGGAGATTCCTCGCACTCATATTCACAGTCTGGATCAACGTTTACATGCACCGCACTTTTATCGACACCGCGAGTCCCAGAGGCTCTCGGCGAGAATACTGGCAAAAGTGCTTTCCACACATACCATTTGCACTTCTCAATATTCTGTGCTTTGGCTCTGAACCAGCGCCTGGATTGGATCAAAGATACAGGCAGCCGATAAGCGATGGCAACCCGACACCAGCATTCATGGAATGGTACTGGGATGAAGTCCCTGAACTTGTAATGCAGAGAGTCATCCTACCGATTGCTTACCGTGGTGTCTGGGATGGATTCCGCTATTGGGCGTACCACTTTGTCATTGCTTGGGTAGCTGTCGCTCGTGGACTGAAAAAGCTCTCGACTACAGTAGCGGGGAGTGCTATATTGATGGTTGGTTTCGCTTCGTGCGTTCACCTGCACGATCAAGTTCCTCAGTTTAGATACGTTATTGTTGGAGTTTTGGATGCAATTTCAGAATTTCTTTTTTTCATGGCGGTAAGTGATTTCTTGTTCCAGGCGATGCTTAATCTAACGTCATCAGGTTGTTACCATACTCTCTTTCGTCTTTCTGGAGATCTACAGCATTCTCAAAAGAGCACTTACGACAATCTTCAACCGAGAACCCTTCTCACAGCTTAATCCAATGAATCCTGGATTCTGGCCACGCATGAAACCCATACTCCTCTCACAGCTAACAATCGTAGCTATCTTAGCCATATTCAATACCATCACGTCCATCATGCGCATCCCGTTGACACTCACCTACACCGAATTCCTCATCTACGCCATGGTTTTCAACGTCCTCGAAATCAGGGATGCTCATCGTGAGGTTCGCGACTTGGACGTCGCAGCTAGAATCATCGCAGTGGTACTTTTTCACATGTTAGATTGGGTGCCGATAACGTGGTTCTGGAGGCCGATCTACTTTCTTGGGGGTATGCCAGTCCCACTTTTTGCGTGGTATACGGGATATGTGACCACGACTATTTATCATTGCTTCTATGCTGTGTCTTGGACAGGTTTGTTTGAGGATCTGAAAGCTGGGTTGGCTCTGGTGATGAAATATTTGAGGATTTCGGGACGTGAATATATCGCAAGCTACGGGTCTCTTCAAATCATACCAGATCTACAGGGAGCGACAATCACGAAGGTTCAATCTTTCATTTCTGCTCTTGCGTTGGTAATCACTGGCTACCTTGTATCTGTCAACCTTCAAGCAGGATTCTACTTCGTCCTACTCTGCGCTGGATATCTGCTCAAGGATCAAAACCACAATCTGAACAAATCGCCTCACGCCCGTCCAGAGCTCCTACCACTTCGAGCTACGCTGAAGAAAGTACTTGGAGTACCTATCAGATATCTCATAGTACTTCCAATTCTAGTCCAGCTTTCAGGCGACCCCTACATGGAGCTAGAAGCCACTTTTCCTGCGGTAGCAGGGGCGTTCGCCTTGTATGGTATCTACCGCCTCTTCATACACCTCCGAAATTCTGGCTCCACTCAGCAAGCAGTCATCGAATTCATCAAATTGAATGGGATAACATTCATCGCCTTCACCGTTCTGGCAATCGCCTCGCCTTACATCCGCCTCCTCGAGTTCCATCTCCGCCAACTCGCGTCAGACGCCACCCCATACCTATTCCAACCATTGACATTCATGCTCGGAGCTTTAGCCTCGTACTTCATATACATCACATCTGAAGACGATCCTGCAGTTGCTCCTTCAGAATTCCGAACACTTCTAGAATGTAACCTGCAGATCTGTGCCGCACTTTTCACGCTCGGCAGTCTCGCCTATTTACCATTCACCCTGGCTTTCTACGCAGTCTTCGTTCCTATCTTCCTACTCTTCCTGTACCGCGCATCTCCCACGACAGCAACCACCACTCCAGTTTCTCAACCCCATGGCTTGCAGGCTATATTCTGGAACGAGCCCGTTCCGAAATGGGTGAAGCATCTCTGGTGGATCGTGCCGATATGCGCTGTTTGGGAGAGCGTCTATATAGTGCGGTATTCTGAGGCGATGATTCGGCACTTTGATGGGTATGATTTCGAGTTCTTTTCCGAGGCTTGGGGCGCTTCGTCTCTACTGGCAATGGTATTCGTTGCCGTTACCATGGTGTTGAATTTACTGGTGCATGTTATGAAGGAGCCACACCCTCGAATATCTCTGGATTGCCGGCAATGCTGTGACAGGATATCTACCGTTTGATACTCGTCCATTACGAGATACAATTTTCTTCGGAACCGGTCCAGCTACTACCTACCAAGGGAGACAGCCGATCCGTGCTATCCAGGCGTGGATTGTGATGGTACTTCAAGCATGTCGTCCAGGGGCTTGGTCACTTGTTATCTCAATGATGTTTTGGGACATTGTTAAAGCTGACAAGCAACCGAATGGAAAATCAGCGGCTGAGAAACTGGTGCAGGGTGAGGATGGAGTGGACGAGAATGCTGAAGCTGCAGCTGCTGCTGCTGAGATAATCATTCTGAGTGCTCGAACGGCGGCAGCGGAGCAGAAGCTATCTGAAGCTGCGTCTCATAAGATACCCGCAGAGGGCTCTAGATGCGAGAGATCTGACAACCGAGAGGAAGATAGACCAGCCCGGGAAAGTGTACCACGAGAGAGAAAAAAAAGAGAAGAGGGACCTCATCGTACAATCGTGCACGAGCAAGGAACAAGACAGCAGAGCGAGGAGGACGTGGCCGACGAGGTTAACTCAAGCAATCGGGATGATATGCCCCAAGGTAATCTGGAAGGACGTAGCACCCAAAGTCCACGGCAATTCCAAAGTACTACGAAATTTGTGCCCGAACCAAAACAAACACAACCAGCAGCTCCGACAGGATCTGGGCCTTCAATGTAGAACTTCCTTCGAGCCCACCCCCTTTGCTGCAAAGCGGTATTGCAGTGGTGGAAAGTCTGGATTGAGCATTAATCCAAACGTTTGGAGAATCTGGAAAGCACGAGTATTACGAAAGATGGCAACTGTAATCGTCAGACTCCTTTTTGATGCATGGACCGTCCTATCGTGGGCTGCGTCGGCTATTTTTGATTCCATCGCCTGGTCGCTCGCATGGTTGCCCTACGTGTTGATGTTTGGAAGTTTGCCAGCTTTCGTCTTCTGGAGGCTCAAAATTGACGCGGTCAAAGCTTTCTATTCAAATATGTGCACGCTTCTCTGGACGCATATTGGCGCTATGTTCATCCGGGTTGTCGATGCATTCGCCTCATATATCGTCAGCACATTCCGATGGCGCTGCTTTCACTTCAGCAGCTGCACTTGCTTCGATGGACAAATAACGACTAAAGAGCATGGGGAAGCTCTGGCGGAATTGAGAGCATCATTACAGAAAGCACTGAAAGATTTGACTATTCAAAAATCAAAATTACGGCTATCGAATTTCACATCCCGGCTCTGGCGTCGACGAACCAGAGAAGCAGATGAGATAGTTGCCACATGTCAGAGAGACCACATCGATTTCGTAGGCATCAAAAAAGCTAACAAACGCTTCCAGACTCTTGTTAGTGATCTGGAGAGGGAGAATGCGGATCTAAGACTCAATTATAATCTTGAAAGGAAGAATATAAAGGTCCACGTCCGCTATTCGACAACCTTCCCAGCAATCTAGAAGAGAGGAACAGAGATCTACGACAGGAAAACGACATCCTGCAGGCAGATATCAAGACCGCTAACGAACAACTCGCGAAGATTTCGCCAATGTCGAGAGGTGAGAAGGAGAAGGGCGAGGCGGAGACCAGGAGTCTTAATTCCACTGTTGCAAGTCAGCAAGAGGAGATCGACGGACTGAGAGCCGAGAAAGAAGAGCTTGAAAGACTCAGTAGGATGACTGACGATGACCTTAAGAGATCTTTGAGAGAAAAGGTCCTTGACTTACAGAACAAGCTACAAAGAGCAAGTTTGGGCCTCGAAGGCAGAGGCGAGAGAGCAACTGGATCTGGCCCAACTTCAGGGATATTCACAGACCAGATAAATAGAACTTGGAACGCCCGCAGAGGCGGGAAGGGTGTCCATGGCCCTGATACTCCAAGATTCCAAAGCCGGTTTGCAGGAATGGATGGTCCTCGCGACCAATTTTCCCGACTTGAAAGCTCTTGGGTCACAGGTGGCCCAAGCCAGACATCAAGGCCACATATACAGAGCTTTGTGGACGGAAAAGACATAACTTACACTACCAATTCAACACATCGCCCTCCTGTCCCGGCGGCTCCGCCATTCATAGGCGAAAACCGTTCATTACCGCCACTTAGGCAGCAAAGTGTCGAGATGGGTGGAGGTGATTTCATCAACAACATATCCAAATCTGGAAGTGAAGGGATTACAAGGAAGACACGACCACCGTCTGCTGTCTTCTCCCCAACGCATGGGAGCTGCCCTGTCTCAAGCTATTCCGTACCCTCGGCAACAGATGCAGATGCTGGCCCAGTCCTCGACGAGAATTCAGAGTACTGGAGATCGGGACACAAAGAATGTGAGTTGGTATGGGCCGAGATCCAGGGTCTCCAAGAAGGACTTCGTGCCCACGGCGTTGATGTGACGAAGAACAAATGGCTAGGCGAGACCATAGAGTACATGGATGCTGCGAGAGTGGATGGTCTGACACGAAGCAAGGGCTCGAGTTCGTCGCTTGTTGAGACATAGGGCAATGCATTGCAACGGCAGAGAAATGCCCTTGAGTTTGAAGTATGGGAGAAACACAGGAATGAACTAGGCAGTTGGGAGGATTCCCCTCATAATCCAGAAAATTTGCCACCTGCACGACTAGCTGAGAGTATCTACATGGGCCAGCCCACCGGGTGGGAGCGGACGAATGTACAAACAGACTGGTTGGAGATAGTGGCATTGAGGACAGAATTGCAAAGCAAAAACATAGATTGTGGAGATATTGCCTTCCTCGTTGTAGCAGATATCAGCAACCTTTTGGGAGCCTTCGTAGGTCGAAAGATGACAACGTCGGATGTTCTGAGCAAGCAGTTGGACTTTGTGAGTACTCAACTAGTCGACTTGCAGGAAAATCTGGCAACAGAATATATCTATACTAGGACCACGGAGTGCCTTACCATTCTACAGTGATCATTCTTCACCGAACGGGACCGCAGAAGCACGTCTCCCTCAGCATGAATGGAGGACAGATCCTCAGTGCATAAAACTGTGGGCTTGGGTGACTGAGATTGAAACGAGCTTGAGAAACTAAAGCGTACGGGGGTGGAAGAGTCTCAAGAGATGGCAAGTCGATACTTGCACCGTGAGAGCAGGGGACGCACTGCTTGCAAACCAGACTAGAATCCTTGCGAAGCACATTCAGAGTCTACAGAATGTGTGGTTTTAGCGCGAAGATGTCCTTCGAGAGACGTTTACATTCCGAAAACGTAATACTGAGTGGCAACTCATATGGGCCGAAATCTAGATCCAAACAAGAGAGCTTAAAGCACAGTAAGCAACGAGGCAAGCAAGCAGCGTGTCATAAATCCTTCGATTGCAGGCAAGGAACAAAGAAGAGAAGATTAACTCCTAAAATAGAAGCACGTAATAAAAGGAGCAGGGGAGAGCAACTAGGGAGCTTAACTCAAGCCACGACTCAGACGTTACCGTCTTCAGAAAGAATACTGTGGAAGGAGGCGGATCTGGTTAATTACGTATGTCATTCCATTTGTCTGGCGTTTGGAGCATCGCATTAAAATAAGAAGCCAGTGATTGGGAAATGTGAAGTAATTCGTTACGGTTTGTCTTCATTAGGAGTTTGGAGCAATCGAATGCATTTCCAAGCCACTTGGCGGGATGCAAGGTTGGACAACTGCCCTTGGATGCCAGAAGGGTATTCTCATATTGTTACATAGCATCAAGGTATCTAGATTTGACCATCTATGTGACCACCCGATCCCCTCCATCAGTTCCGCTCTCATCCTTCGCCAAGTCGTGCTCCTTCAGTAATGTCATGATCTCATCCGCACCCCACAAGTGATGGTAGATTCTTCCGTCCTTCGTCTTTCCAACCGTGGCGAACTCAACTAGATAATGTTAGCACAACCTTCCAAACAATGAAGCTTGCCTACTTACTCTTCTCGCTGCTCAACTTGGTCGAATCCATGGTCTTGCTGAGAACCTTGACCGCCATTCCACATGCTTCCTTCAAGTCGCAATCCTCCTTGTAATCTTGCTTCAGCAGACTCTGCGCACTGGCATTGTTCGCGCCCACGCTGGTAGCCTTCCATCCACCATAATTACCACTAGGGTTACTCTGGTAGAGTTGGAATTGTCTTTGTGGATCGTAACCGGCATAGATGAAAGAGACACCGAAAGGTCTTAGGCCACCATGCTGAGTGTAGCCCTGCTTGAGATCGCATAATCGGCGGACGAGCTGCTCGCAAGGGATATCTTCGTTGTAGGTAAGGAGGTACTGTTGGGCGGCCTGTCGGGCGTAGTTGATGAGGATGTTGGCATCGGCAGTCATTCCTGCAACGGCGCAGATCATGTTACTGGTAGGATTTTAGCTGAAGCATATTTCAGGAGATAAGAAGTGCATACTCGTTCAAGATATAGAGCTTCTCTGCCGACGTATCCTGCTCCAGAAGCTTGCTGGTAACCTTTCGCTCTGCTGCCAACACAATACCATCTTTTGCCAATATACCTAGAGCGGTTCCAGCGTGGGAAATGGCCTCGAGCGCATATTCGACTTGATAAAGACGTCCTTCTGGAGAGAAGATAGTCGTCTAGGTATATTGTCAGCTTGATACACGGGGAGGCTGGAGCTTGTTGGAGCTGACCCTGGAATCGTATCTTCTCGACATGATGGTGGTTTGGGGAAGTCCCTGCTGAAAAGAACGGTACGCCTTAGAAAGTTGAGGACAAGTGTATCCTCAATTGTGGGTTGTGGTGTTGTGAGAATCGTCGTCTGGATCTCACAGTCTGTCTTGTTGTTTTAGAGCTCAACCAGAGCTCCAGGCACAAGCAGCCGCGTCGGATTCGCGCTAAGACCATGGCACGTGATCAGAGCCTTGCTTACCAGGCCGGCGCCTTGTCCAAAATTATTTTGTAACCTTTCCATTAGCAGCCTCACATTCGAATTGATCGGGCATTGGTGATGCGCAAACATGTTGAAGTCTACGCATAAATCATCGGCACCGTCACTGGCAGAAGGCTGGACTGAACATAAAGCTCCGACGGGACATTCCTACTACTACAATGCTGCCACAAAGCAGTCCACATACACTCGCCCCGTAGCAGCTCCTGCACCTGTTGCGCCGACTCCTCCTGCGCCTGCGAATCCTTCTGAAAGCTTCTTACAATACCAGAGTGTTGGAGGTCAACCAAGTGCTGGACCGACTTTCAACAATGTACCACCGCAGGGACAATTTCAAGGAGGAAGAGGTGGTTTCGGTCAGAGGGGAGGCAGAGGGGGTCATGGCTCGAGAGATTCAAGAGCCCAGCCGACAGATAAACCGAAATCGAGACATCCAATCCCCGGGCATGAGCCATGGGTGCTGGTACATACCAAGTTGGGCCGACGGTTCGTTTACAACACTGCGAAAGACCAGAGCTTTTGGCGCATACCAGACAAGTTAAAGGACGGTATTTTGGCGCTCGACCAGCAGAGGATTCGGGAAAAAGCAGAAGCCTGGGCCAAGGCAAAGGAACCCGCGGACTCTGGTGAAGCCCCCGGGGCAGCTGGTAGGCCAGAAACTGTAAAAGAAGCAATTGTGGAGGGTGATGAAGGGGACGATAGTTCTGAGTATGAGGAGGTCGAGGTCACGGATGACGAGGATGAAGACGGAGATAATCCAAGCAAACGCCAACGAACCGAAGAGCCAGGTCCTGAGGAGCCTGTGGAGTTCAATGAGGACGACATTGCATTTCAACTTGCTGCAATGGGGCAGGAATATGGTCTGGATCCGGGCGAATATGGTGACGAGAATATGGAAGATTGGGAGGAAGGAGCAGAAGGTGTCGAGATTACCCATGAGGACTCTGCAGCTCTATTCAAAGATTTATTGAATGATTTTGGGATCAATCCATATAGCCCCTGGGAGAAACTCGTTGAGGAAGGCAAGCTTGTCGATGATCTGAGATATACGGCACTTACGAGCATGAAGTCAAGAAAGGAGGTATGGGAAGAGTGGACTCGCGAGAAGATAAAGGTTCTCAGGGAGCTACGAGCAAAAGAGGAGAAAAAGGACCCTCGAATGCCATACCTTGCATTTTTACAAAAACACGCCAATCCCAAATTATACTGGCCAGAATTCAGGCGGAAATACAAGAAAGAAGTAGAGATGCGGGATACAGCGTTGGCTGATAAAGATCGAGAGAAGTTCTACAGAGATCATATCAACCGGTTAAAACTTCCTCAGTCAACTTTAAAGTCGGACTTGTTAGCACTCATGAAAGCTCAGCCTCCATCCGCGTTAAACAATGCGACATTAAGCACCCACCTTCCTGCTGCGATTCTGGCAGACATCAGATACATATCTCTCGATCCCTCAATACGAGATCCTTTGGTAGAAGGATACATTTCAACTCTTCCTCCACCTCCAGAGTCAAATGAGGGCGAAGAAACCGAGGAAATGGCCAAGGAAAGGAAAGATCGCGAGAGGAGGCAGAAAGCGCTAGAAGACCGTGAACAGAGGGTGGCAGAGGAAAAGCGTCGACAAAAGAGGAATCTCGAGTTCGGCAAAGGCAGGTTGCGGGAGGAGGAAGAGGAGCTTGCTAAGGCAATGAATGTCACCAAGAAGGGATTGCAAGGTCATCTCATGGACATCGACGAGCAGCCTGCCTCATAAGTTAGAAATTCAAATGATACCCACCAGTCTTTGCCAGTTGCCACATTTTAGGGTGTTCGAGTTTGGGTCGTGATATTGCGTCGTCCTTCTGTTTTTGTCTCGGCCCTTTAAGCGAATGGCTCGATGCTGGGAACTACGTATATCTCTGAACACTTACACAAGTACCTGAAAATGTTATTTGTTGGACGTTGGTATACATCTTATGTTACTTTTGGCATTGAATGTCAAGATAAGACAATTATTCTGTCTCCGACCTTGGGCAGCTGGTCAACATGACTGATTCACTCGTGTATCGCCCAATACAGCTAGCTCCATCCAAACTCCGCCAGCGCCACAGGGAGCATCCGACAAGATTGCCCAATGGATTCACTCTTTGAAAATCCACAAACCAGCTTGCATGCGACATCTGCCATGTAAGCGAGACGTGAGGCTGTTCTACAGCCTGTATATAAGAACCCCTCTCCACTGAGAAATCCGGAGAAGATATCGACAACATGCCAATCTCAAGCCTCGACGACACCAATTGTGGCCCTTCCCAGACTGTCTCCGATTGCAGCTCCACAACATCCGAGTTGAAGGCATCCGAGAGAGCCTCGAAAAACTCCACTTCAACTTCATCAAGGAGAACCATGGCAAAAGCCTCATCAATTTTATCCACAAAGGCTACCAAGAGAACCTCTTCAACTTCTACAATGACAAGCACAGAGAGCCCCTCCCCATTTCCTTCAACCACTGCTACGGAGAAATCTCCTTCGTCCTTAGTCACAACAACCACGAAGGGCTACTCTCGAACTCCCGCATCATTGACAATAAGACACGGTGGTAATGCAACGAAGGAATCCCCCCCTATGGATCCGCTTGACGTGATTACAGTCTTGATTTCAGTCTGCGCGCCCTTCATTACGGTGTTTCTTGCCGTGTGCGTGTGGGCTGCTTTTAAACGTTGGAAGAAGCGAAAGGCAGCCCAGGAGGAATCCAGAGCTGTACAGCTCGAGGATTTTAGTGGTAGGAGTGGACCATCGGTCGTTTAGTCTCTACTTATTCTGGGAGAGAAAATGGCTAGTTGGTCATGGCTCGCGGATAACTTCTGGTGGACATGTGCCGCCTGCCAGGAAGGACAACCCTTGACTGTTTATTATTGCCTGACACTCAAACATTGATAGGAATAGGTGTTCCTGTAACGCCAGTTCCAGATAAAACCTATTTTGTATTTTCCTATCTGCTTTGCCAACACCCAATTTGTGAAGTTGATGAGGTCAACGACTCCAAGTAGCTTAGCTAAGTTTAGCAACAGGATTTAAGACTTCCCTCTGATAAATTATCGTATATGGTGATATTCAAAGTTTGAACTCTGGCTAAAGCTCTTAACATTGAACATATGTATCTTTGCTCGTCTGCATAATATTTTCAAAACAGTTCCAGCAGACGGGAAGGCTCAGGTCGGTGTATCACGTGGCTGCGTCATTACCCGCTCCATAAATATCATCTATATGATCCGCAAGTACAGTATGATTGTCAGTAATGTCGAATTTCAAAGTCATCAATTTCATTTATCCTGACCGCTTTGCTTTCTCTCTGGATTGCACGTAGCATTGGATCTCTTTACCTATTTCCTAAGTAAGCGGATATTTCCGAGCCGAGCGTGCGGCACAGCATTTCAACTTCACGTAAGCTTGAATATATATTTCTTTAATGCAAACATATGTTATACAACTCATTTTTTGATCAATTCATTCTCAAATCGTCAACTATCAGAATGAGAGGTCTCAAATATCTCCCTAATACCCTTGCTGCCCTATCCATATTATCTCCAGTTGCTAGTCAACAAGATGATCTCGTAACCCAGATCCCCCTCGCCTCTCAAGATCAAACCAACGACTCAGACTGCCACAATGTCGTAAGTGTACAATCTTGCACCAAGCTCTCACGAAAGTTACTCAATAATATCATAGGGCCTTGCCCTCGTCGCTTCTCTAGGCGATGCAGCATTCTACAACCCGTCATCCTCCCTCCCAGGCTTCAGACAAACATTCTTCACATCCCTCCAGAGCGAGCTTATCCCCGCCTGTATCGTGACGCCAACAACAGCACAACAAGCGGCTAAAGCGATATCCATCATCAACCAGCACTCATGTATTTTCGCCGTTAAATCAGGGGGTCACTCTTCGGTTCCGGGGGCGTCGAATGCCCCCGGTGGGGTGACCATTGATCTCAGTGGGATTAATGATATCGATGTTTCAGAGGATTTGGAATCGGTGAGGATTGGGACGGGGAATAGATGGGCGAGTGTTTATAGAAAACTAGAGCCTTTGAGTAGGACGGTTGCAGGGGGAAGAAATAGTGATGTTGGTGTTGGCGGGTTTGTACTTGGAGGTGTGCCTCGTACATTTCCCGTAAAGGTTTTAGACTAATTGGTGTATAGGAGGTATCAGTTTCATGTCACGGCGATATGGATGGGCTACAGATAATGTTCGCAACTTTGAGGTGGGCACTCATTGCTTGATACAACTCTTGGTTATTCACGTTGCATCTCAGGTCGTCCTCGCTAATGGTTCTTTAACCAACATCAACCAAGCCAGCTCACCAGACCTCTTCTTTGCTCTTCGTGGAGGCGGCAACAATTTCGGCATAGTCACCCATTTCGACATGGATATCTATCCACAAGGCCAAATCTGGGGCGGTCAAAGTTTCTATTTCATGGATCCAGCTGAAATCGCAGTTCGCAAAGCATCCTTCAACATTACTCCCGGGCCATTCTCCTTCACTCTCTGGAATGTCAAGAATGCCGTGTGTGTGTCAATACTCAAACTAGCCTGCAAAACCGGGTATTGCATAGATGGGAAGAAATATTGGCAAGCTGTTGAGGATACCATTGTATCTGAGCAGTCCATCAGTATGCTCAATTTGTAGGCACGTTGACGTGGTCTTCGGAGATTGATGCATGGGTTCTTCACACTATGCTCGCCTACACCAAACCCGTCATCGATCCTCCTGTGTTCCGAAACTTCACGTCTCTCAAGTCATTCAAGTCTTCAAATGCGATCCGGAATTTGACGGGATTCTATGACGAGGTTCGGGGGATGAATGTGAGGGGTAGAAGGTAAATTTTCGCGTGTACCTCTCCATGACCCTTGATTTTCTTGTTATGACATGAACAGAACCTACAGCTAACTGGAACAGACATTTCTGGGCCACGGCCTCATTCAAGCCTTCTGCTCTATTGATGGACAAAATAAACAACATTTTTATCTCAGAAGTCGAAACCATCCGCGAAGTGAGCGGCTGCCGTCCCACTATCATAGTCCAACCTCTAAACATCGACGAAATCCAACATTCGAAGAAAAGAGGTGGTAACTCTCTCGGCATTGACGTCGAGGATGTTCCTCTAATCAGTACGTCTACCCTTTCGTCCTTTCTACTCGCATTGTTCATTTGGCCTCCCCCTCTAACCACCTTCCAGTCTTTAGCATCGTCTTCATCTGGGATGATTCCAAGGATGACGAAGCGATGAAAGGGGCAGGTAATCGCCTTCTGTACCGCAGCATTGAGCTTGGCAAGGAGATGGGTCTGTATCATCGGTACATGTACCAGAATTATGCGGATGGTGAGCAGGATGTGTTTGCGGGGTATGGAAAGGAGAATCGGGAGAGGCTGAGGGGGATTCAGAAAAGGTTTGATCCGGAGGGTGTGTTTTCGAAGTTGCAACCAGGGTATTTCAAGCTGTAGTCGCTTCTATGCAATTGTCCATTTCGCCAGTACTGGACCGTTTTAGGATAGTCAAGGACATAAACTCGGCTGGCCGTAGCCTTGAGCATGGTGTTTTGGTATCCCAATCCTGTGCACTGTAGGTCCTTCTCAAAGTTATATGGCAATCATGATCTCCCAATCTCCTCGAATGCAAAGGGCGGTTGTTCAGACTCCCTGTGAGAGTCCAGTATCATCGATGGCACTGAAGTCAAACTCTGGGAAATCTCCAGCGTAAAAGTCGTCAAGCTCGACGTTGCCAGCAGAGTACACTGATCCGCCAGCACCTGCCCATTCCAATTCTGGATGCCTAGATACTCTTTCCACTGGTTGAGGTAAACCTACATTACTTGATACGTGGATGAAGTCCTCATAATCAATCTCATTTTGGGTATATGTAGCTGAGGTGGCCAAGATATTAGCCTTGGTGGACTCCTTGTGCGATGGTGATGGTGTGCCTGACGAGGTGTGACCAGTCTCCGTCCAAGTGTTGGTTATTCCGTCTCTGACAGCAACATGTGCGGTTGGCTGAGCAGTACGTGATTGTTCGGTCTGTGCAGTTCCACCTGTGTGGAGGTGTTCTGGATTGATGCTTTGGTGGTCCCCTTGGCTTCTTGACTCGGCGACGGAATCAGCAACATCGGAACGGTAGTTGACAAATACACGATCTTGGGCGATCCGTATGATACTGTCAAGCTCTCCCATGAGCCGTTCTTCCAACGGTTGTGTCTCGTTCCTCACGACCTCTTCGATTGCTGCCCGGTTTCTCCTCGATGACTCTTCTTCTTACTCTTCAGCTGTTCCACGATCTCATTAGTAACACCATCGCCAATCTGCACATCTTGAAGGTCGCAGCCTTGTACTCTTGTGAGATGTAGCCCCACTGCCTCTTGGCTTTCAAAGACCTCTTTGCACCTTTGACAGGGGTATATCATATGGTGCCTGTACAAGTGTCCCCTACCAAACAGTAAGTAGCAATCCAAATTCTGGTGGAGCTTGGACAGCGTGCAGATAACTTACTTCACCCTGGCTACGTTTTCAAGTGGTGTCAAAGCACATGATCGCCATTGCCTGTGTCTACTTTTATATTTGTGTGGCTGGTTTTTGCGATACGGGCACGCGAATTTCAGCCTATCAGTTGTATCGTCTGGAGGTGAGAGGAAGCCTTTTGACCTCTTGGATTGACGTTTTCCATTGTCTCCTTTATCGTCATCCCCATCGTTACTCTTCCTCTTCTGCTTGCCTTTCCTGACCTCCGAACTCGATTCGCTAGGAGAAGAAGAACTGCCAGTGTCTCTCCTCCCGGATTGCTCTTTATCCTTCGCTTGGTCCTGAGCAGCTCCAAAATCATGAATCTCTCTATCTGTGTCGATGTGATGGTTGAATACGGCCAAAAACGTCTTCATCAAGCGATCGACAATTCCCTGTTTCACTAATGATAGGACAGGTCCGAGAAACTTGTCTGGAAGCTTGGTTTGCGGGGTTGACGACTGCTCTGAACTATAGAAACTGTCGCTCATTTCGTCCGTGCTATATTCAGTCGCTTCATCTGATTCGCACGGCGTACGTCTCTCGGCAGATAAAGGTAACAGTGGCGGGCAAATATCAGAGTTGGAAGAAGCTGTTTGACTTTCACTTTCGTCAATCGACAACCCTGACATCCCAGATTGCATCGAATTGGTTTGAAGTTCGGTATATGCATCATGGATAGTGAGTTCACGGGGAAAAATAGTCTTCGCGTCATACTTTCTGACCAGCTCCCTACTTTGCTCTATCCGACTTTGCCATTGTTCAATCTCAGAACGACTTTCTGGAAGCTTGAGCCCAGGAAAGTCTGGAAGAGCCGTCAGGGTACCTCTTGCAATACCCCTTGGAGCCATGCTCCATTGATCACTGTCCACCATACCTGACGAGACGTCTCTGGTATTCAAGTCCCGGTCAAGGCCATTTACCTCACGTGGTATGTCCGTATAGGAATTCAAAGCTGTGACTGGTCGTTCCGAGCCTTTACCAAGTTCAGTTAGATTGGAAAGAGGCTGTCTGGCAATTAATTTAAACACTGAGAGCCTCGGTCAGTAGTAAAATTGCACTGGGGTTAATGATGTTACCTACCTGTGGGGTTTTCTGAACCCAGGCTTTGGTTCTGATATGTAGTTCGGCGTTTGGGGCTTCCTATTGTAACACGGCTTCCCACTCTCTGAGCCCCCACAAGCCGTTGTAATCGGTTGCCCCATCCGACTCCGGGTGTCTTCTGCCACGCTGGATCGTTTTCGGTGAAGCCTTGCTTTCTGGCTTTATTCTCCCAATAGTCGTCTCTCACACGCATACCACTGACAATAACCTGGCTCCCGAAGTGCCGAAACATAGATCTCGCTGTGACAATAGCAATCTGGCGAGATCGGGAACCAGAAGGTAAGATCTCCCGTTGTATCAAGTCTTCCTTTTCGGCATCTGTTGCAATGATCATATGTAACGATCGGTGCTTGTCAAAAAGCAGGTACGAATCTCGAAATCCTACAGCCTTGGCACACTCTGGTGCTAGCATGAAAAGCTTATCGCCCCTATTTAGTATGAGAAATGTTTTTATGTTGTATTATCGTCTGTGACGCAATTGACCAGTAGGAGTGATCTTTTTTTCACCATTCTCGTCGATCTTTCGAGCGATGTATTCATCGCCGTCCGGTCCAAGTTGAAAGGTGGTATGATCACTGACCGTCGGTAGTGCATTGAGTGAGGGTACTGTTCTTGGGTTCCGCTGAGTAGAGAACGACGCGACACTGGCAACAAAATCACTTTTCGGGGATAGGATATCTCCTCGAGCAGTTGCTATTTGCTGTCTACGCTCAATATAACTACTAGTGGTTCTACCACGCTTCAATAGTCCTGCCTGTAGCCCCAATGTGCTCATAGAGGAAGGAGATTCCTTCTGGCTCTCTAGGCGCGGGTCTCCAGCGTTTGAGTTTGAAGAAGCTGGTGGCAAAAATTGAGAGTCGCCGTAAGAGAAGCCCATGGACAAAGGAGGACTGGTAATTTGCCTGGGTAGTCTTTGTTGCTCTCCAACTCCTGGATCAACCTGGAGACCTGTATAGTAAGATCGTCGTCCTCCATAGTATCCGGAGAAGTCCTCCTCTGGGGCGGTCATATTGTTCGCTTGGGTGCGAAGTGCGAAGCTAACCAAGATTCCCAATCGTATGCATCAGAGGGCTTATGCTTCACGATGCCTCTCAACGTGCTCTGGAGGCATCTCGAAGTCGTGGATCGACTCACGATGAAATCGAAGTATTTGTATTTGTACGGTCTGGTGTCACGCTGCCAGCAGGGCTCAGCCTTAAGCCTCAATGATGATGGACTCTGGCACAATCCGTATGTTAAATGTGAGTTTCATAAGAACACAATTCCTTTATAGGAATAGAATCGGGAAGAAGAAGAAGAAGAGGGTTGCGCTGATGAGGCTTCTCCAAGATGGGAGGAAGGCTCCAACGCTGCTTGAGTCTCAGCCACCGACAAGGATTAATGCACAACCGCGCGAAACTCAACGACGGGCAATTCGCACGTGACGAACAATACACCCAAGCCCGTAAAGCAATCTTCGTGAAGGTATTGCCTTGCGGACTTGGAAAAATCAGGTGTGCGATTGAAGCACTTTTTTCTTCAAAATTTTGCGTACGTGCACTCAATTTGTGCGTTCTTGAATCTCTATATTAAGACATGTAGAAGCCCACCAAGATGAACTCTCGTGATGAGTTCAAAGTAAACAAAACCTCGTCTATTCCACGACTGTCTCCACTTTTTGCTGTCCAAGCTTTCAGGTTGAGTCGCATCACTGTCTTTCAACCCGTCAAGAGCTTAGACATTCTAAAAGCCAAAAATGGCCGATGCGTCCCGAACCATGTCTCCCGAGGCAACGAGGGTGCACAACCCAACCTGCCCGCACTTTCTCAAAGATAGGTATGAACTCAAGTTCCCTGAGATCCTTCTTTCCTTCCACATCCCACTTGAAATTCATAAACCTACAATACTCATAAACTCACCATGCAGTAACTTCCATACCAATCATCAGAACCATCACTGCAAGCTCACCGAATATCTCAAAACTGTACCATACGTAATCGAGCGTCTCACATTTGAAGAAGGATACGAACAATCTGCAGATACTTATATCGAGAAAGCTGTCCAAACTATCGATGACTTCGACAAAGCTTTCAAAGGGTAGAGATAAGGTGAAAGGGGGGGGTAAATAGGAGAAGTCTGGGAAATGGATTATCAAGCGGTGTTGTTGAAGTGAAGTACAAAAATTGTGGAGTTGGGACACGGTTCAGTCTACCCAAAGAAATGAGATCTACAGAATTATTTCTTGTCACTTCTGTATTGATTTAAAAGTTACCCAGCTGTTACCAATCCAGCACGCGTCAGTACGGTTATATTGTAATAGAAACTATTGTGGCAGGGGCACCCTATTTATTTAGAGCCCATTGCTGGCTGCGAAAGCCACTTCACTGTTTTGTGCGTCCATGTAGGAAAATCCGGCAATCTTAATTTGACTTCAATAACAACGAGGCTCTCTCGTCGTTTCTAATCGCCCTCTTACCTTTCTTTCCATGCCTGGCTGAACATTAATTGGACTCCGTAATAAGCCTGAACCTTGGAATATCAGAATAGAAGAATGCACGTTTCAAGGAGAGTATTTAAATCAGCAAACCAACAAAAGAGTGTGTGTTTCATACGTATGCTGCGTGGATATTTGCCTTTAAGAAACTGCATCTCGGCGCTGGTCCATCGCTTGGTTGAGTTCAAGAAACGAATTGGTGAGACTCGCTTACCCGAAGGAGATCATAAGGAGAGGCTGTATTGCTGACAACAAAGGATATCGAGGTTTTTGTCGTCTTATGCTTTTCACAAGCGGACAGATAAGTTTGGTTAACTTGATATTAAGATTGAATAGGCTGATATCTATAACCTATCTATCCAAGGCAGATAATAACATATCTAGCCACCTACCCCAGCCCACCAGACTCCCTGGCCCAACACCATGTATACACCCGCCTAAGCATCCACACCCACCACCCTCCCGGTCTCATCAACCTCAATCTTCGTCTTCTTCGTACTCTCCTTCCTCGGATTCCTCGCACTAAAAATCTCCGTCATCTCCTCCAACGTCTTCCCCGCCGTCTCCACAAAAAAGAAATAAATCGTCGCAATCTCCACACAAATCCAGCCAATATAAACCAGATACAACTTCCACCCAATAGCCTCAATCCCCACACTGATCCCATACGTATTGACCACCATGGCAATATTGAGGAATAAGAAATTCAGGCCGGACCCTTTCGCGCGCGTGCGGTTCTCGAGACACTCCACTGCGTAGAGGGTTTGTAAGGGTGTGAACCCCCATGCGAAGATTATCCCGAAGAGGAAGATAGAGACGATGACGCCGTAGGAGAGGGAGGGGTTGTGCTCGGAGGAGGCGGTGAAGGCTGTGAGGAGGATGTAGGAGAAGAGGGCGCCGGTGAGGCCGGCGAGCATCATGAAGCGGCGGCCGAGGCGGTCGAGGAGGGTAGCGCCGTAGACGGCGCCCATCATGGAGAAGATAGGGTTGATGGCATTGATGAGGAGTTGTTTGTTTTTATCTGTGATGCCGGCGTTTTTGATCATGGAGGGCTGTTGGAGAACACAATTGGTTAGTCTTTCTGCGGTTTTGTTTGGGTTTCCCATTCACTTCTCAAACTTCATGGGAAGAAATAGGGAGCACTCACCATAAAGTACGAAACAACGTTATTCCCAGACCACTGCCCGAAGAAACTCATTCCAATAACCATGTACAGTCTATACCTGGCAGCCCGCGTGTTGACCAGCTCTCTGAAATCCCACCATGGGTTGTCATCCTTGGTGGCATGCAAATTGTCGATAACCTCATGATATTGCAGCTGTACGACAGGCGAGTTCTCGTCACCTTCACCGTGGTACTTGGCGAATATGGCGAGGGCCTCCTCCCGGCGATCTTGGGCGATGAGCCAACGTGGTGATTCGGGGAAGAACATGATGAGTACCATCACGATGGAGGGGAGGCCGGCTTGCACGAGGGTGGGGATTCGCCAGGCCCAAGAAGATGTGAGATTCCTGTTCGAATTAGAAGAAGTGCTCGCCGTGTACATTCGATCATGACTTACTTGTTAGATCCGTAAGTCGTCCATCCAGCAAGGATATTTCCCAGCCACCAGAAGTTATTGTACCTGAAACGTGTCAGAGAGAAAGTTCATCTTCAGGAACAGCCATCCTTACATTCCAGCCATGGTTCCTCTGTACGCAGGATGGGCCAACTCGACAGTGTAAGCAGGTCCAGCAGCCGACGCAAGTGCAGCGCCAAAGCCAAGGACGAATCTTCCGCCCATGAATTGCTCTCGCTTATGAGCCGAGGCTTGAACAGCTGTGCCGACCAATACAATAGCACATCCCACGAAAATACAGATCCGTCTTCCATAGCCATCGGCAAGCATTCCACAAAATGGGAAAGCAGCGATCTGGCCTAGATTGTAGATGATGAAGACGAGACCGGTCGACGAGCCCGCTGTATCCATGTTGAAGGTTTTAAGGTAAGGTTCCATGGCGTTGATGCTGCCCATGAGGGAGGAATCTGAGAGTTGTCAGCATAATTCGGATTAATTTCAAAGTAACAGGACTTACCGAATCCATTCATGGTCGACACGAGGTATCCAATGCCCATGATGAAGTATAGCTGCAACATGCTTTTCGACCAAAGAGATGGCTTCTGGGTAGCTACAGCAGCAGCCAAAGCAACCGACGCAGCTTGGATCTGGACGACATTCCCCGACGCAAACTTCTCGTCAATGTCCCTCGAGACGTGTTGAGCATTGGTACTCTCATAGTGCTCAGCAGCAGTATCACTGGGCTTAGGAGCAGACATGATGAAGGCCGTTTCAAACCAACGACTAAACAAAAACAGAGACGAAAGGAAGCGATCGCTTGAGCTTGACCTCGAGCATGAACTGGGAGTGAATGACGAGGGCTTCCCGTTTGGTACTTAAATCTTTCTTCCCAGGATGCAATATGCAGAATCAAGGTCTAGTCCTAAAGGCCAAACTTGCCCCCGAACATTGCCCGGGTCTGGCACACATGAATGGGAGATGAACCATACCCCGTCTGGACATTCTCCGTTCCCCGCGTGCAAGGAATCCCCTCAACCGCCCCATACAAAGCCCGGAGATCTAGCCAAGAGATGCCTAGGCCCCTGGCATTGCTTGCACGGGTTCTGACGGGAACGTGAGCGGGGGGGAGAGGCGATGATGGAGGTGGAGCTGTGGCTGAAAGGGTGCCACGGTACTGGACACCTGTCAGAAGACCCTTGGAGCCTTGGGTGTATTCTCTTGCCTGTCCTGGAAAGACAAAAGTCTAGAAAGAACGTGGATACAGGCATCCCTGGATATGTTAGATCAGTATAGCCAATAATTGCTGTTATTGCTGGACTGAGACTGACAGCTGACAGGCCATTTAGGAACAGCTGCTCGGACCGATACCTGGTAGTCCTACCGAGGCATGGCTTGCATGTCGGTGGCTGCAGATTCAGTCGTATGTGGCTGCGGGTGTCTCACGAACTATGCTCTTTTCTGAATGGGAAAGGTGCAGAGAGGCTGAAGAATCTTCTCCACGCCTGTGGAATAGATCAAGTGATTCTTGGTCCTGGACAATGTGTACCTACGATGGACAGAATGCAAAGTTTGCTGGGTATCACCTTTACAGGAGCAGGAAAATATAAACGTCCCGGCTGCCCAGCTCCCAGCTCCCAGCCAGAAGTTGGCCGCGGGGTGAAGATGGGATGTGGGATGAACTGTGTGGGGAATTATAATAATGGAGATGATGGGAGAGTGAAAATTCTGGCTGACACGAGTCAGGAGATAGCGGTGGCTGTCCGTCCACGAGTTGGCCCAAGCCCAAGCCCAGCGCGACCTGGTAGTGGGGTTGGCATGTCCCGACTTGGCCTGGATTCCGGCACTCTCTTCCCTGCTTTGCACCGTGTTGCACAACTCCAACTCCAACTCCACTCCTCTCCAACTTCCATCCATGCCATGACTGAGCTGAAAGGATCTTGACTTATACCAGCAATCTTATGCCATTTCATACCGTTATGCATCAATCGTTGTGTATGAGACGCTTCATAAACTAGCGCAGTGCTACCTTTTTTTTATCTAACAAGTACAGAGAGATAGTCCCGTATTTCCTCCCTCTTCGGTCTTCTTGCCGCACACCCCCATCTTATGCCGTCAGTTTCCCGCCTGAAACCCGACTGTTGATTCTTGTCAAGCCAAACAAACGAATAGTGGTGGAGCCCGGCTCCATGCAGAATCGCTGAGCGCATCAATCTTGTCCATCACGAGCCAACAACCTGGGCTGAAAAGAGGAGAGAGGGGAGCGCCAAGCCCCGACTTACCAAACCCACTCCGCAGTGGATAAATCCTAGGAAGCAAACGTTCCCCGATTCCCCCGATTCCCCCGTCATCCCCGATAGGTGAATCTATTCTACGTGGAGCTGCCTGCCAACGCTCCACTTGAAGCACACATTCATATCAAACATGGCTCAAAACTCTCAACTATCACAACGGCCTTCATTGCCAGCAAACCTCTCAACTGACTCACTGGGCTTTGTACATATAGACGTCCCCACGACAAGTCCGGACGTTTCAGAACACACGGACATCAATATGGCAGAGACTCACACATTCCCCAAAGATCTCCCGGACTGGAGCAATCTGAAGGTCCTTCACAGAAATACTCTTCCGGCAAGAGCTTCTTTCTTCCTGTACGATACTCCGGAGGATGCATTGACACGTGATGTGTCAAGGTCGAAAACTCTTTCTCTGTCTGGAACATGGAAATTCGATGTGGTTAAAAGCCCCTTCGATACACCCGAGAACTTCCAGGAGCCGAAATTCGACACTTCAAAATGGGGAGATATCCAGGTTCCAGGGATGTGGCAATTGCAAGGCTATGGGAAGGGCCCAAAGTACGTATCTTTGGTTCTGATGAAAACTCGGTTGTGTTAACAAGCGAACAGCTACCTTAACATCAGATATCCTTTTCCAGTGGATCCACCTCATGTACCATATGATGAAAATGAGACTGGAAGTTATATCCGGACTTTCACTGTCCCAAATTCGTTCAAAGATCATCAACTCAGATTGAGATTTGAAGGTGTTGACTCGTCGTATCACGTTTGGGTCAATGGTACAGAAGTGGGGTATTCTCAGGGTTCGCGAGAACCATCAGAATTTGATATCACATCCCTCGTTGACCTTGAAGGGGACAACACTCTCGCAGTTCAGGTTTACCAATTCTGTGATGGAAGCTATATTGAAGATCAGGTAACTCAATAATGGCCGACGGAGTAACAATTACTGAACATGAGTAGGATCAATGGTGGTTGAGTGGAATCTTCAGAGATGTAAATCTGCTGGCATTCCCAAAATTTCACATCCAAGATTACCAGATCGAGACCAAGCTAGATTCAGAATACAAGGATGCGACACTCAAGATCAGACTCGACATGAGCGAAAGCTCTCAAGTAGACGTCAAACTCTTAGACGCTTCCGGAGCCACCATCGCAACAGTCTCTCAAAAGAGTGCTGCAAATACCAACTTCAACATTCCAGTCAAAGACCCCAAGAAATGGACAGCTGAGACTCCATATCTCTACCAACTCGTGATCTCTACACCCGACTGTGCAGTCTCACAACGAGTCGGATTCCGCACTGCTGAGCTCAAGAACGGCATCTTCGTAGTCAATGGCAAGCCAGTCAAGTTTCGCGGCGTCAACCGTCATGAGCACCATCCAGACCACGGACGAGCCGTTCCTTACGATTTCATGGTCAAGGATCTCCTGCTCATGAAGACACACAACATCAACGCCATCCGTACATCCCATCAACTGAATGATCCTCGAATGTATGATGTAGCAGATGAACTCGGTCTTTGGGTGATGGATGAATGTGATCTCGAATGCCATGGCTTTGGCGAGATTGATGAGAGTGCTATTCCAGAAGAGTTCAAACATCTTCCAGATATTGACAAGGTTGGCATCAGGACACGAGATCCCGGTCGCTGGACTTCAGACAATCCTGAGTGGGAAGAAGCGTATGTCGATCGTGCTCGTCAAGCTGTGACGAGAGACAAGAACCATGCATGTATCATCATGTGGTCTCTTGGAAACGAGGCTTTCTACGGCCGTAACCACCAGAAGATGTATGATTTCATCAAGGCGTATGACCCAACCAGACTCATTCATTACGAGGGAGATTATCAGGCGAAGACTGTCGACATCTACAGTCGGATGTACGCTTCGGTGGACGATATTATCAATTTCGCGACCGAGAGCAAGACTTGGGAGAAGCCGATGGTTCTGTGTGAGTATGTCCATGCTATGGGCAACGGACCTGGGAATATCAAGGAGTATATCGATGCTTTCTACAAGTATCCAAGACTTATGGGTGGGTTTGTTTGGGAGTGGGCGAATCACGTAAGTCATGTCTCGTCAGTTTGGAGAACTCAGCTGACAAAAACTAGGGTCTGAGAACCAAGAACGACGAAGGTGTGGAGTACTACGCTTATGGTGGTGATTTCGGAGATGTTCCTAATGACGGACACTTCGTCATGGATGGTGTTTTGCACTCTGACCATACTCCAAACCCGGGTCTCATCGAATATCAGAAGGCTATTGAACCAGTTCAAGTTCTTAGTGGAACAAAAGACAAAGTCAAGATCATTAACCGCTATGATCATATCACCCTGGACCATCTTAAGTGCGAGTGGACACTCGTAGGAGATGGATTTAGGAGAGCTGGACAGGAAGTGAAGATTCCAAAAGGTTTGTCTACTCATATCCTTGTCTTGATATATACTGACCATTCCAGATGTCAACCCAGGAGATACTGTCGAACTAGAGATTACCGGCCTCACCGACCTCCCCTCCCAAGAAACCTATCTCGAGTTGAACTTCACCCTCCGCACTGCCACCAACTGGGCACCTGCAGACCACCTCATAGCCTGGGGCCAAGTCCAACTCCATGCTCCGCCGACACTCACCCAACTCAAAGCCCTCTCCTCCCCAAACGCTCCAAAATACAAGCAAATCACCCCTCAACTCCTCGAAATCACCAGCTCCAAGGGCATCCAATGGACCTTCAACATCGTCCACGGCACCCTCACATCCTGGAAATCCTCCCCCAACGGCACAAACCTCATCGTCTCCCCACCCACCATGGACTTCTACCGCGCCCAAACCGACAACGACGAGCCCATCGGCCGCACCTGGACCTCCTCCCGCCTGCACCAAACCAAACCGCACGTCCGCTCCGTCTCCTGGTCCAGCACCCCCGACCACGTATCTATCATCGTCGAAACCCGCATCGCACCCCCAGTCTTCGAATGGAGCGTCAACGTCAAGTTCACCTACACATTCACATCCTCCCACCTCTCTATCGCCGTAGCCGGCGAGCCCCGCGGGAACAACTTCCCCTCCATCTTCGCCCGCATCGGCCTCACGCTTTCACTGGCGGGCATCGAAACAGCAGAGTGGTTCGGCCGCGGTCCGGGCGAGTCCTACCGCGACAAGAAACTCTCTCAGAAGATCGGGAACTTCACATCCGCCATCGACGACCTCTTCACAGACTACGAATTCCCCCAGGAGTCAGGGAACCGTACTGATACGCGCTGGGTGGCGTTTAGAGGCAAGGACGGTGATGCCGCTGCCGCTGCCGCTCCGGTTCTGAAGGCTAGTTTTGGGGATTTGAACGAGGCGAGTTTTTCGGCGGCGCATTATGATACGGCTGCGTTGGATGAGAGTAGACATCCGTATGAGTTGAGGAAGAGGAGGAGGGAGGATACGGTTGTTAGGCTGGATTGGGCGCATCATGGACTTGGGACGGGGAGTTGTGGACCGAGTACGTTGCCGGAGTATGAGTTGAAGGCGGGGAAGTTTGAGTATGAGGTTTTGTTGGAGTAGATTATATATCGGTGGTGTTGAGTGGGCTTTGGATGCGACCGGATAAGATGGGATGAGGTGGCTGTAGGATTGGATAGTTTGGAGGAGTTGGTTGGATAGATAAGTAGAATTTACCCTGGGTGCCATGGTGCTTGTGGTGAAAAAATCCGAGTCCAACTCTGCTTCATAATGGCCCATTAAATTGACATTCAACTTCTGCTGCGGTAAGTAAGTCCAATGCGGCACAAATTCTGCAGTATATGGAAAAGAACCTATCTGAATACTAAACCACACTTGAAATAGTTTGAGAATGTCGCATAGTACTTGAAGTTCTCTGTTTCCTCCCAGATACCACCGGTCTCTACTTTTCTCTCGTCAATCCAGGGCATGCATGCACACGTGCCCGATGAGGGATATCGAGACAGTTTCCAAGGTCAAAGGTGGCTGGGATGTTGGCTACCTAGCTTTATTGTTATTGGAGCATTTGGTTCATTCCGCCATTGTCAAAAAGGTCATTGGCACAATGGCATTGGATTCATACATAATACACGGTTTGTGACCACCTTCAACGCCTGAAAACAAACCACCAAACGCCTCCCTTTTGCATTACCAATTCCCTCTGAATCCTCCTCTCCCCCTCCCACCTCTAAACCCACCACCGCCTCTTCCTCCACCCCCTCTCCCCCCATACCCTCCCCTTCCTCCACCATATCCCCCATCCCCATACCCACCATCGAAGCCCCTCCCAGCCGGACTATGATCCCCCCCTTCATCCACAACCGGCATCGGCCTCCTCGTCCTCAGCTCCTTCGGAAACGCATCAAACGTCTTCCGCATCTGCGCATACCCCAAGTGCATCTTCCCATAAAAGTGATCCGCCAACCGCCTATCGTTATCCAGCCTCGACAGGTACGCACCACACACATCGCACACCTGCAACTTCTGATGTCCAGACGGCCCGCTCGTATCGCTCAATGCTTTCAGTTCCCTCTCCTTATCCCCCTTCTGCTGCATCGCAGACCGGATGCGATAGAACTCCTCGTATGCTCTCGAAACCTCGGATTGCTCCCCTAGAACTTGGATCTCCATCAATCCACTCTCAATGCTCTTGCTCAAATCAGATATATTCTTCAGCAGCGCATTCGTCTGCCTGATCTCATCAGGTGTCTTCTCGAGTCGACGCTGCGCCACGTCAATCCGGCGGTTGCATTCATCAATGTACTTCTGCAGGTCGCGCATGTAGTCGTACTCGAAGCCCCATTTCTGGCGCTGCGATTCTGGCGCCGCTTCGTACTCTGTCTTGAGGGGCTCGGAGTGGACTTTGGGACAGGGACCGAGGTCTTGCTTGGTATTTGTGAAGAGGTCGTGCGGGCAGGTGCCGGCCAGAAAAGAGCGGCATACTTTGGGGTCTGTGATGGAGAGTTGGGCGGCGCGGGAGGAGGCGCTGGCTCCCATGAGCTGCTCTGGAGGGGGTTAGCTGTGGTAGGACATGGGAAGCATTGTGGAGGAAGACTAGAATGGCTCTGGATTGAAAGGGAGTAGGGAATAGTAACATACCAAGCAGCTTTCTCTGTTCTGCCGCCATCTTCAGTGACCTATGTCTGTGTAGTTGTACAGGTTTGCAACGACGAGGTTGTTGATGCGGATGTTGTATGGAGACAAGGCGCGGCTGAAATTTATTCACAGCCGCGCCTGGAAAGGCTCGCGCTAAAATCTCAGGAACAGGGCGCCGGCGCGTCTCACTGAAGCTCGGCTACAGCAGCACTCCATAGTGGCAGTACAGTAAATCTTATCAAGTAAACACTTCAATGCGCCGCTCTTCATAACACAATTCTCCTCGGCGCTGGAAGCCATGCGTCAATTCCAGTCTCTACTGCTCGTTCTCAGCGTTCTATTCCTCAAATTTACGCCCTCCCAAGCTTCTGATTACCATGAACAACTCGTCCTACGACCTCTTCATCCCTCCCTCCTTCTCGCATCCTTCAACTTCCAGAGCAACACTACACTCGCATCTTTTGATCAGCAGAACTTCAGATACTTCCCTAGATCTCTAGGTCAGATCCTACAACATGCCAATACGAGAGAATTACATCTGCGATTTAGCTTAGGCAGGTGGGATGCTGAGAGTTGGGGCGCGAGACCTTGGGGAGGGGCTAGAGAGGGTGGGACAGGTGTAGAGTTATGGGCTTGGGTTGAAGCTGAGACGGATGAAGAGTGTGTATTCTGAGTTTTCGGACAGGACTTTGCTAACAGATTCAGGGCCGATGGACGGTGGTTGACTTTAACGAACGCGCTTTCTGGCCTCTTTTGTGCATCCCTGAACTTCATCGACTCGACGAGAACGATCAGACCAGTCATGTCTTTCCAACCAGCTGGAAACCATGCAAACTCTACAGCAGAGAATCTGCACCTACTGCATGGGACTCTTCCAAGGGAAGTGGTGTGTACGGAGAACTTGACACCCTTTCTGAAGCTGTTGCCTTGTAAAGGCAAAGCGGGTATATCGAGTTTGCTGGATGGGCATAAGCTGTTCGATGCAAATTGGCAGAGCATGTCAATTGATGTGAAGCCAATTTGTCCTTCGGATGGTAGCGAATGTCAACTGCAGATTACGCAGACAATTGACATGGTATTGGATATCCAGCGGTCCAAAAGACCAAGAGGTATGTTCCTTGTGAGGCAGCATTTGAATTATTGCTGACAGTCAAAGATAATCCTATTCCAAGACCAGTTGCATTCGAAGAGCTCAAATGCAACACATCCAAGCCATACAACTCCCACGATACCTGCTTCCCACTGGATACCTCAGCCCAGGAAGAAGAATGGAGTCTCTCCCAAATATTTGGACATTCCCTCAAAGGGCCTTGTCCCCTTGCAACTGACGGCATAGATCCAGTCTGTATCAACGTCCCACACGCCCGCAACGTATACACCTCACCCGGCGTCCAAGAACACAAAGACACCACCGGCCACAAGCGCTGCTTTCAACTCAACCCCGAAGGCGACTTCGAACTCGTCCTCCCGGAGCAAGACATCTCCGAAAAATCCCCCCTCGAGCAACCCCTCCTCTACGCCGAACGCTCGTTCATCGGCTACGGCCAAGAACGCGGCGGCGTCCAAGCCATCCTCACCAACCCCTCCCCCACCCAATCCGTCGACTTCGTCTACATGGAATCCCTCCCCTGGTTCATGAAGCTCTACTTGCACACACTGAAAGCCAAGATCAACGGCCAGGATAAGCCCGTCATCCAGGAGATGTACTACCGTCCAGCCCTCGACCGCAAGCGCGGCACCCAGCTCGAAGTCCGCATCTTGATCCCGGCCAATTCCACCGTAGTCCTGACGTACGATTTCGAAAAGGCGATCCTCAGATATACCGAGTACCCACCAGATGCGAATCGCGGGTTTGATATCGCGCCCGCGGTCATCACCATCGGTGACGATATTAGTATCCGCACCACGACCCTACTCCTACCTCTCCCTACACCCGATTTCAGTATGCCGTATAATGTGATTATCCTCACTAGTACAGTGATGGCGCTGAGTTTCGGGTTCATCTTTAATCTGCTGGTGAGGAGGTTTGTGGGTGTGGACGAGGCGGAGAAGTGGGATGTGAGGGCGGTGAGGTTGAAGGTTGTGGCGGTGGTGAGGAGGTTGGTGAGTAGGGTTGGGAAGAGGGAGAAAGTGGTAAAGAGGGAGTGATGGTACTGTAGATATGTAATGAATATATTCGTAAATTTGACCTGATCTGATCTGATCTGATTCAAAACTTCACGTTGCTGGCTTTGGAGAGTGAGCCAGTCTTCTTTGCTATGGAACTCCAGACTGACTGTTGTGCTAAAAGTCCACAGGACAAGGAGAAGCTATCTATCTGATCTTCTCCTCTCACACAAGGAAGAGGGAAATGATTTGAAGCAGGAGGAAGTTAGACAATGTGCCGATAATCCGCCAGCCTCAGCTTCTCACATCACAGTTTCTCACCTGAGCTCACATCAAAGAGAGAGTCACATATCAAGTAGCGATCCAGATACTCAGTCATATCACAATAAAATTTCACACCAGATCACGAGATACAGCTGTCGCATCTTACGAAGACTTTTTCAATTCTCAATCAGAGATATTTTTTTCTCTGATAGCTGCAAACCAAGCCACCTCTCAAGTCCGTAGACGAGTATTTTATATCCTTACAACGCCAACTCCAATGACATGCATTCCATGCTCTGATCTCCGATCCTGCTCTATGGCCACTGATGTATCAAACCTCCAATTTCTTCTCCTCAATCGGCGTAGCCATCTCCTCTGCCCAATCTCCAGCTGGCTTCTCAATCGATGGTGACTTTGCCTTCTCGTCGGCTGTAATATCCGCTTTTAGAGTCTCGGGTGCCTTCGCGGGTGTTGGCAATGACGGGAAGTCTTCTGTAGTAGGTACGGCGTTCGAGTTTGAATTTGCTGCTCTTCCTCCTCGACCACCGCCACGACCACCTCGTCCTCGACCTCTAATCTCAAACCCACCACGTCCTCTGAAACCCTGAGAATCTTGTACATCCGCACCGTCATCCACCGAATACCTACTCCCCGCCAACCCACCACCCCTAATAACACCCCCATATCCACCCCTCACAAACTCCGAGCTCCTCCCCTTGCCCCTCCCATCCACAATATCACTCTCGACCTTCTCACTATCCCACTCACGTCCACCCTGCGCCTTCATCTTCCTCTCCCTATTCTTCGCCCTCTCCATCTCCATGACGCGCTCGTTCTTCCTTTCCGCAATGGCCTTCTCACGCCGCTCCTTGGCGAGCTCCTTTTCGCGGTGCTGGAATGCGGCTTGGTCTGCTTCGGTGAGGCGGTGCTTCTCTGCTTTCTGCGCGTTCAGGATCGCCATCTTGGCCATCTTCTCGCTGAGTTCGGCTTCGGTTAGTTTCTTGTGGGCTGGTCCGCCCGTGGCGGAGCGGTCGCCGCGTACTGCATGCGTTCTAGTGGTGGTGTTATTGTTGTTACTGCTGTTGTTTTCGGTTGTAAGAGGTGGGTTTGAGGAGGAAGGAGGAGGAGGTGCTGCGGTGTCGGATTGTTTGCTGGAGGATGGTGGGACTGAAGCTGAGGTCGTGCTTGAGGTGGTAGCGGTGGTAGATTTAGTTGTCGGTGCGGAAGGTGACGGTATAGCCTGCGAGACAGGGACGGAGGGAGAGGGAGAGGACTCAGCAGGTGGTGCGTATCTGGATTGGCTTAAGCCGTCTGATCCTCCGCGACCACCGCCTCGTCCTCTCCGCTCTCTCCCTCCGTCTTGTCTGCCGCCATTGCGCTGTTGTTCTTGGTGTTGCTGCTGGTGGCTTGGACCTGGCCCTGCTGTTGCTGCGTTGGGTGCTGAGCTTGAAGCTGAGGTGGAGGCTGGATTGGTTGCTGCAGACCGAGGCTGATGGTTGACCGGGGCGGGATCTGGTTGTTCAACGACAGCGGTCGGCGTTGGAAGAGGTTCGAATTCGTCGGCGAAGAGGTCGTCGTCCTCTCTTGACTGTGCGAACTCGTCCATGTTGGCTGGACTGGCGGGGGAGGGGCACGCAGCACCGCAGATCGGATGAAGGTGTTGGCGGGGGGTGCGACCGAGCTTGGATCAATGACTCGGCGATATCTCTCAATGGGCGCAGTACCTTGAGGGATTGTACCAAAGTCAACGGCTGTGGAAGCACGCTTCTTCTTGTTCTTTGCCGTGTTGGCTGCGCTGGGAATATCAATTGGAGAAGTGGTGTCTGAAGGCAAAATTGAGGGGTTGTGGCCGTCCATAGTGCTTCACTCGAAAGGCGGTGGAGTAGCTTTGGCGGAAACAGTTTAGCCTCGAATAGCCGAGTGGCGGTTGTTGATCGTTGTTAAGTGCAAAGGGATTGCGATTGATTGCGCAGGATCTTTTTGAATCGTGTCGTGATTGCTGCCTAAGAATTATATCATTGGCTTTCATGTTGCCGTCATCTGGAGAGGTGAATTTTATTTTGTGTTTGGGAAAGTGAATAGAAGTAAAAGTTCATGAGGCTTGGCAAGAAGGCGGCAACTTCTGTCTATCTTCGTTTGAGAAGCACCTCCTCTCAAAGCTGGAAATTTGAACTGATGGGGACTATTCACTTCTGAGTATATCTTGTTCTCGTTGATCTTATACTTGAAAGGTGAGTGATTGTTTGTTAACCTGCGCACTTTGTCATCATGATCTTGGTTGACTCCTCTTTCATCACCAGCCACTTCACACTTTTTTCCACATACAAGTATCAGACATAGATGTCTGTAGACACTTATAGAACATCTATACAGGTTAATATCAGAATGCTTCAGGCCTTCATGATTAATTTGTGTGCTTAAATCTCTATAGATTCGTCAGACTGTGTTGTACGCCCAGTTTCACGTCTGCAACCCAGACGCCTGGAAGTATGGAACCGAAGATCGACACCCTGATATCACCCAGCCGTCCGAAGTACATCTTACTGTCTTTTACGACGAGCATTCACAATTTTGATGCAGAGCTCATTGTACGTTGCAACTGGAAGCTCTTCTACATCCGCACCTCCCCTTCGAACTTCCGCGACTCTCCCGTCGCTCTCGCGCAGTATCTGGAGTATGTAGAGGCGCTCAGAGCAGATGAGTATGAGGTTGATGATGTCCTAGAGTCTGATTTCTTCGATTGGGTATCTACTCCACTCGAGCCAATACTTCTACAACGAGCGCCAATTGTGGAAAGGCTGCACAAAAGAGTCACTCTGCAAGACTGGCTGTTTCCAGAGTCTTTTGTCTACGACTTGCATGTTGTTGACAACAAAGTGGTGCCTCAATATGCCGACTCGCAGGATTCAGGCTTCATGCCACCAGGCGTCTGGTTAGGGACTGCATTTCGCGATACGTTAAATACATGGACTGCGTCGGTGCACCCAGATGAAGTCATTGTGCCTCCCGAGCTGCTCGAGGATGCGCATGTTCATTCATCTCAACGAGTCTTACTGAACGGTGATCAAAAACCGTATTTCTTCAAGGCCTTTCATCCGGGAGCACCACATGCCGCCAAGTGCGAACTTTTGACATACAGAAAGATTGCTGCCGCAGGGTTGGGGCCAAGGATCCGAGTCTGTCAGCTGTATGGCGTTGTGCAGGACCAAGAGGGCTTGTTGATGGGTATGTTATTGACTCATATCGATCATCGAACGATGTCACTTCAGCAGGCCATGTTGCCTCTTCCTTCTGCTGCTATACGATATCGCTGGGCGAGCCAGCTCCGGGAATCGCTAGCAGCGCTACATGAAGCTGAGATTACCTGGGGAGATGCGAAGGCGGACAATATTCTAATCGACAATGAGATGAATGCGTGGATCATAGATTTTGGAGGTGGTTATACCAAAGGATGGGTTGACCCGGAACTGGCAGGGACGAAAGAAGGCGATTTACAGGGCATGGCAAAGGTGATGGATTTACTTTATGGAGCGGAGTCGCAGCGCGACTTTACGATGGCGAATAGAGCGAATGGATCAGTGAAGGACGCTGCGGGTCTATTGGAGCATGTTGTCGAGACCTGAGGTACGACGCTTTTTCTTTGGATCCAACTTGCGATTGAGCTCTCTAATTCAGATTTATTCGTTGAAGATGCAAATCCTCGAACCTGACATGCGCAGTGCCTCTGCGGAGATGCAAGTGGCTTGAGGTGAATTGTCGGAAACCTCGGATTATTGGTTGAATGCAGAAATGTGAAGCAGGTTTTGAGGCCATGGTCCTCCTATCGCCGTATGATATTCCTTCCAGAAGTGCCTCCATAGCCCGAATCTCTATCTTCTTCTAATAAATTCATCCCTACGTTCTAGCTCTTGTTTGACAACTCCATCGAGAAGCTTTATCTATATAGATCTGTAATGTCATCTTGCCACTGATAACACTAGGAACGTCGTAAATGATCATATCCGACTTGAACTCTCATCTAACAGCAGCCCAAGCATGTGCCCTCTTCTGTTTCTTCTCTTCGTCTGAAGGTTTATCCTTTGCGTGGTTTGAGCAATTGGGGTATCCCTTCCACCCTCAAAGTGTATGTTTTTGGCACCTTCATTTAAGGTAGTGAGTGGACTGAGCTCGAAAGCAATTACTTGATAGGCCTCGACTCTTGAAAGTAGCTGAAAAGTGGCTCTATCCCCGGCCTTTCTTGTCCACTTTGCTCCACTTCATCGTGCACCGACAAAACGTACACTTTGAGGGTGGAAGGGATAGGTATGTTCCTGGTTTCCGCATTATTCAGATCTTGCCTCTGGGGCAGTAGCTGCAATGAACCTCATATGACCAACGGACAAGTTCCAATCTTTCTAGTAGGGATACTTCTTACACCTTTTCTCTGTGAAATTTGAAAATCTCTTAATCACCCAGGCCTTTCAGCATGCAATAAATGTGTGGTAATCCATCAAACCCAGAGTCTTATGAACTGTAGAAGCATTCACATCAACGTCAGCCTCCATCGTGAACTACTCCACTGCAAAACCGTATGCTCAGACGTCTCAGACTCCAGTAGCTTCTCCATCGTACTTTATCTAGTGACATAGCTCGACGCTGATGGCGAGACTCGTTCAAGACGCACGATGGCAGCTAAGTGGAGGCATCACTTTCTGAAAATGAAATCCAATAGTAAGATTGATATCACGCTAACGATCATACCATTACTGCAACATCAACGACTGAGCATATACTCGTACACTCAAACTCCATCAACTATAGCTTCCGCCAAGCCATGATATCCCACGAGAAATCGCCGTTTTCTGACAGGGTCACTTTCTATTTCCTGAATACATGATGATTCTCAGCCCGACAAAGAACAAGAACAAGGATCTTATCCCAATGTTAGTAAGATTTCTCAATCAAGATCGAATCAACAATCCACTCACAAGAGCAAGGTCAACACCAGCATCAACACGAACACACCACGTCGACCTATCAGCCACGCTAAGATCATGGACATCGTTTGAACCGGTAAGTTGAATCACAGCAACACAAGTCTCCTTAAACTTAACCAACGTCGTGATCGCATGGCGATCCTGCGGCCGGACATGGAGTTCTACACCGGCATCCTCATCGCCAGCGGCTTCATTGCGAAACTTCACATCCAGCGCCGAATGCTGTTTGGCGAACCTGGACATGTGTTTAATTTTCGCCAGCTCGCGGCCGGAGGGGCTTTTGACCAGCCAGTTGTTCTCGCTCAGGTAGTTGAAGTGGCGGAGTTCGAAGAGAGGGAGTCCGGATGTGCCTTTGACTGTGCGACGCCAGGACCAGGATTTTATGCCAGGGCTTTCGGCACTGAAGAGTTCTTGACCGCTGGAGTCGGTGATGGTGACGTGTTTGAAGTACCGGTCGTGGCAGTTTACTGTGAAGGTGACTTCGGATTTGGGGATGGGATAGTCGGTTGTAGCGAGAGGTGCAGCTGGAGGCTCGAGTGTCACATCCATTTTACTGGCTGGTGTGAATAAAAGCCGAAAGGAATCGAATAAGATAGGATAACGTCCTCTGAATGACTGATGATATGAATAGGAGATCAAAGATGGTTGTCGAAATGCTTGCCTTTACAGAGATGAAGTCCCCGTTCTTTATCAAAGAGCACAGCACGATCTTAGAAATATGTACACTGAATCAAACACCGCTTCTACAAAATATCTCGCACTTGTCAGGACTCACACATTAACCCAAGATCCGGCTTGGCCATCGTCATCTACAACAGTGTCGATGTTGGTCGCTCGTCAACCTAGGCTATACTCAAAACCAACAACATTTTCAACTACCCGACCACAAACACAGGAACCAACATGGCGAAAATCGATGGGTTACATTCATCTCCTGCAAACCGACCTTTTTGGAACCAGAATACACTTCGCCATTGACTGTCATTCGTAGACTGCTTTTAACCAACGAAAGGACCAAGGACAAAGGAGATAGGAGAGAAGCCCTCGGCGCCGTCAGTACTGCATGTAATATCACATTCATCTGCAACGCTCGCGATACGAAGATCCGGCTGAGAATTCGACATTAGAACGTGTCCATTCATTCATCTGCAATACTGTGTCATCCAACTGATATTTCAACAGCTTTTCTTCATTCTGGCTATGTGAGCTCATCACCGGATGAAACTTTCGCAATTTCAGGCATGAGAAAGGTTTTATCGTAACATCCGGAGGGGAAAAAGTTGAAGATAAGTGATAGCTACTAGGTTAGATTATGTATAGGAAGACTTCCAGTGTCTAGATCATTCTTCTAGAGTATTTCCTGGTGAAACTTCCTAGCTTTGTGTCTCGCCGCTGAGAGGCCTGCAAGGTGGAAATCTATCTTGTGTCTTAAGATGTATGTGTTGGCTGAGGTGGAAGGTACTCGCTTTTACATTGGCATTTGGTATTAAGGAGCGACAACGAGATTGTCTTAGTGACTGTAATGCAGTACCTACCATGGCAGTCTCCTTTTACTATTAAGACCTGTCTTTGCGTTTGGAAGCCGCCACTGCCCTCAAGATCTACTGTTCCTTATCAGTTCCGCGATGTACAGAAATCTATGTCGAATAAACTGATTTAAATGTCCGATACATTCTCTAAACCAGCCCTCTAAACCCTTCAATGCTTCCTTTCCTTTCCCTCACTTTACCTCTCCTGACTCACGTTACCAAGTACCATCAACAAAGCCGCTACGAAACAAAGAAGCGAGCGAGCATATTAAAATAAAATATATTCAGCTATGAGGCTATATAAGAGCTATATACAGAGGACATCCAACAATCCATCTCCCAGTCCATCTCCCAACCGATCAATCAAGGAAATTAGTTTGTGGGTATACCATAATCCCGGACAGACATACATATGAGTTGCTATTCTAAAAGTGGTGCGCGCGCGATGAAAACATGAATATGCAAGAATCAAATTAACACGAAAGAAAAAAGAAGAAAAATTCGTCAGATGCAGGCGTGCAATGCGCTGTGATGTGATGTGAGTGTGAAGAAAAACCGCAACCAAAGAAATATATCGTGGGTGCCAATGTACCCCTGCTGCTTGAAAATAACAGCTTAGTTACCCAAATGTCTTCCGGCCCAATGCACCGATGTAATTTTCGTTCCCATCCAAACCGAACCCGAACCATAATAGGTAGGTAGTTATCCTGCCTTCCGCTCTCATGACGAAGAAGGCTGATTAGATCAAATATCCCACCCAGAATTCTCGACCAACTGATAATGTAAGGGAAAATGGTCGTCGCGACCAAAAATATCCGTGTAAGTCTGTCACTCGGTACTGTGTTGTGCTAGCAGATGATGTACCGCAGTGCAGTATCACCGCATCCAACCCCAAGCACCACCCACACCTACACCCGCCTCTCCCTTCGCAAACGGCAACACATACACCACCATCAACCACAAACACCACAACTTGAACGTCTGCCTATCCGCCTTCAACTCCCTCCTCACCAACGTCCTCACCGCAATGACCAACCCCAACCCCACAGGCACCGTGTACCCCGCAAGCGACAACCGCCAAAACGCCGGCGCCACAAACGAGAACACGATAATCGTCAGCGCGTTAATCCGCCGCGTCTGGGAATCCCCAAGCACAATCGGCAGCGTCCGCCGGGACCGCATCCGGTCGCCTTCTTGGTCCTCCATGTCCTGGAACTGGATCGTGCAGGTGATGGCCACTGCGATGACAGCTAGCCAGCAGTACGTCGTGGTGTTGAGCGCGCTGCCACTGCCGTAGCAAGCGACCTGCGCGGCTCCTGCGCCGAACGTGGTGAAGCCAAGGGCGTTGTTGATGTGTCGGATTAGGAAACACTCTTCGGCGGCGCCGAGGTCGTTGTATATCCAGGTCAGGACCATGAGGAAGAGACTCTCTTTCGTGCCGCCTAGGTAGAGGGTTGAGAGGAGGACGAGGGGGATGGAGAGGAGGAGGAGGAGGCGGGCTTGGGAGGCGGAGAGGCGGCCGGAGGGGATGGCGCGCCAGGGTTTGTTGATGGAGTCTTCGAGGATGGAGTTGGGGAGGCGTTGGTTGGAGAGGTTGAAGATCCAGAGGTTGAGCCATGTCCAGATGATGGATTTGAGGAGGCTGAGGAGGAGGGTGGTGAGGGTTGGTGAGGATGAGGAAGTGGAAGTGGAAGCAGTAGGCGATGATGAGGTTAGGACTCCCGAGAGGGAGGCTGTGAGTGCGAATGTTGTAGCAGGGAGGATCGTGGTCTTCACATCACTTTTGGTGATGAGAAATGCGGTCTTCGCATGAAAGAGAAATGTCCGATCCTGGGACGGAATCAGTATTTGGTGTCGAGATATTGTCAAGTGATGATATGGATATACCTCTGTTTGCGGGGGCAGTTTGCCCTCCTCTGCACACTCCAAGTCTAATGTTCCCATCATCGTTCAAGCATCGCGACGTCAATCAGCACCAAGTGGAAAGTATCACTGTACCACAAGAATGGCAGATGCAGCATAAGTATGAATGTGGGAGGGACATTCCAGAACCCACCTGGGTAGTAGTCAACTCCCCAAAACAAACTACGTACCACACCCATACCTTGTACCCACTCTCTATCGCATGGCCGGCCCACCCACCCTCCACTACGGACCAGAACAACCGAAGGAAGTTTTCTCATTGGTGTCGGCGAGCGATGCCGAGTATTGATATCAAACCGTACGATCGCACCCACCTATTGGCAAAATGGTTCCAAGCACTTAGAAGCCCATCCATGAGGTCTAGACGGGCTGTGAACTAGGCCAAATACGCACAGCCCGGAGATGAGCCCTCATGAGAGAACGTCGTGGACGACCGTTCAGCTATGCCCAAGGCTGTATTAGCCCCCCTCCTGTTCAGACGGTGTCCCTGCAATTGTCGCGAATTGTTTCCTTTGGGGGCTATATTGGTTTGTCAGGAAGAGTAAGCTACGGGCGTTAAGTGGCGTTGATCTGTGGAGACGAGGTTAGCATACTCGGACTATTAGAAAAAATGTTCGAACTTCGAAGTCTCTTCTCTTGACCTTGGCTGGCTGTGTGTGTCCCAACTATGAGTTCGATGAACGAATCATAGTGCTGTCTGATCTGTATCCGAGCTTCCTCTTCTGCACGCATGACACAAATCCGCTCCAAGATAAGACCTGCACTGACATGCTCGGTTGCCCCGAGTGTTTTGAGGGGCATAGAGGGGGGCCTCCTGAGCACTGGCTTGTTTGGAGGATGGGTTTGCGAGTTTGGACGAGTCAGTTCGTCCCAAGCACAAAGATGTGCACGACCAATTGTTATGAGAAGTTGTCGCCTGCATAAGAGACGCAGTTGAACGGCTGGAGATACAGAACGTGATTGGTGAAGATGGCTTTCAACGTTCACACCAAGTAATCAAAGTGGACGTGGTGGATGCGTACGATGCAGAGCAGAGCAACTCCTGTAAGTGTATTAGGCCCGAGCTTACAACCGATAGTGATGTTTGTGGTGAGGACGGTCTCGCGATGCCTTCCATGGCGAGCATGGTAAAAGTGATGTCGCTCGCTTGCTCTGTGGTGTTGAGAGTACGGAGTAGTGTGAAGTGATGTCGCCTGGACTAGTGCCGTCAGGGGTAGGGGGCCCTGGTCCCAGGGGAAATCTGCAGCTTGGCGGCCCTAAAGAAAGCCTAAAGATCCTAGCGGGGCGCCCCAAGTCCCCTCGGCAATCGCTGTACGATCGCTGATTTGAGCATACGCTCCGCTGTGGCTGATCTCCCACGCCCTGGTTCCCTGGGGGGGGGGGGGGGGGGTGGAGGGGGATCTGCTCGCTGCAGGAACACGGCCGTTCAGGGGCTCGTGCCCGACCGTGCCCGCGTCCGTGGGTGCTGTGCTGTGCTGCAGCTGGTCATCACTGCCCGTCCACCCTGCTGTCGGTGTGGTGCGCAGAGATCCAGAGATCCAGACGAGCCAGAGTCCTTCCTGAGCTGATAAGAACCGTTTGGAGACCCGCGGAACGAACGTCTATCTGCACCCACAGACCTCACAGACTCAAAACACTGCGGGGTACGAATTGCATCGCATCACATCACATCACATCAGATCATCTTCAGGTTCCCCTCCTCTTCACCGTGTACGCCCGTGCTTTGCTGTGCTCTGCTCTGCTCTGTTGTGCTGTGCTGTTGTATTCGCTTACGTTCATCTAGAGCAGAAGTTGTTTTGCGCTGGGCGAAGCACATGTGGAAACTTTCCGTTCATCTCATAAATAGAAAAACGAGAAAATGAATTTCGTGGCGTCTTTTCCTGGTTGGGTAGGTCCCCCGGAAAATCCAGGAAAAATTGCCAGCCATGGACTCGTGGATAAGATTCCCATTATTGGTGGTGTGTGGTGTGGTGTGGTGTGGTGCTAGGAGAATGACGCCGACAGCAGTGTGTACTGTCTGAAAATGAACAAAAAGTGCAGGTGTACCTGGCGAGCCTGGACTGGTACTGGACGGCTTGGAACTTGGCCAGTCGCTGCTTTGCCGCGCGCCCTGCCCTGCCTCGCCTGCCCTGCCTCGCCTGCCCTGCCCTACCTCCTGCTCTTGCTCCTGCTCCTGCCTGTCAGAGTTTCAGCCCGCCGCCGCCTTATCCCATAATCCCACTCTTCGACGAATTTCATCGTCCCCATAATAATACTGTAATGTTCGAAATCTCCCGCCCGCCTTCCAGGGCAGGAATAACCTGGGAAAATCCACCGATCGCTGCTAGGAACACCCTACCCTAGGGCTGCCCGGCGACAAGCCTTCGTGTACGGGAAATTACACCACCACAAATTGCCACGCTTCGAGGCGTTCTTCAGCGATAGGTATCCCACAAATGATGCATACAGTGCACTCCTACAGTATGAGCAGATTCATCATTGAAGAACAAAGATGTGTATGTATGATACCTTTTCCAAAGTATTCCGTGCACTCTACTGTAGTGAGCACATTCTGCACTCCACGCAGCACGGAGCATTGCTACGAACGGAGTTCTGTCCGATGCCCGCTATGATCCTCCAGGGGTTGTCCTGGGGAGGCCATGCCGTGCCCGACCACCCATTCCAGATGCAGGGCACGGTCTAAGAGCGCCACGCTTCTAGCTGATATCGGCCTCAACCGAGGAAAATCAACAAGTCACTCGGCACCACCATGGACCTCCCAGAGTCCCAGGAGTCAAGGACTTAGACTCTAGGACGTTTTTTCCTCAACGACGGCGGCATTGGATTGCTCGCATAGGTTGACCACATGCCTGTGCTCCGTGCTCATGGCGGTGGTGGTGGTGTCACTTTTTTCCCAATAGTTCAACACGCACGTCTTTCTACGCGAATCCAGACTGCTGGTGGTGTGCAGCAAGATGAGCTGAAGATACATGCTTTCTCTCCCCCCTTCCCCCTGCTTCGCCTGATTTCATACTTCCCACCACATAATCCCTCCTTCCCTCCCTCTCCATACTTTCTTATTCGATTAACTTCCCGCTATAATCTCCTCGCGAGATTAGAGAACTAAGCACCAGAACTCTCCTCCACTCCTCATTCGAACCGCCGTCACCCAAGGAAGTGAGAGCTAGTTCATAAGTCCGTCTCTCGCACTGACCTCGACTTCCACGTAAAATATATCGATTGGGTCTCGTCTTCGTCCTTTCATTTTCAAAACCGTTCAATATCTTCAAAATGGTTGACCTTCAAGCTGCCTGCTACGGCATTGTCTCGACTTTTTTCGTTGCTTCAACTATCACTATTCTTCTTCGTATCTACTCCCGTGGATTCGTCATCAAGAACTTCGGGTGGGATGATTGGTGTATGACTTCGATCTTGGTATGTGTGAACCTCATCCGCTACTGACAAGACTTTGTGCTAACATATATCAGTTCTTCAACTGTGGACAACAAGTACTTCTATACTACTTCATTCATTATGGTGGTGGACTGTAAGTAATTCTCAAGTGTCAACACCGGAATTATAATAACCCATCCCCAGACACATCGAACAGGTCATGACCACTCACCCAGAATGGCTTCCTAAACTTATTACAGCTCTCTTCGTCGAAGAGCTCTACTACGTCCTCATGCACTGGGTCATCAAGATGGCATTCCTTCTCTTCTATCTCCGCTTCGCCACCAAACGTTTCAGGACTCTAGTATACTGCACTATTGGCCTAAACTGTGCATTCACTGTCATCCAATGGCTCATCTACTGCCTCCAATGCATTCCAATCGATGCTTTCTTCCACCCAGAACTTCACCCTGGCGTGAAATGCATCGACAACGCCGTTCTGGCATTCGTCCCTGCTGCACTGGTAAGTCATCACTCCCAGTCCCCCTCATCCCTCCACCTCAACAGCCAAGCTAACCAACCCCCAGAACATCTTCACCGACATCTGCATCGTCGTCCTCCCCATCCAACCCCTCTGGGCGATCCAAATCTCGCTCCGCAAGCGCCTCATGCTCCTCAGCATCATCTCCCTCGGCGGCATCGTCGTGCTGATCTCCATCCTCCGCCTGACCGTGCTCCTCGAGTTCCAGAAGATGACAGACTTCACCTACTCCCTCGGCAAAATCATCATCATCTCCTGCATCGAGCTCGAAGTCGCCATCATGGCCGCCAACGCCCCCTCGCTGCGCATCCTCTTCAGTAACGCAGCAGCGGCCGGAGGCGGCTCTCAAGCTGCGTCCGGCGGTGGACACCACTCCCTCACCAATATGTCCAGACCGCAGTCGAAGCCGCGGTTTGCGACGACGAGCTCGACCTGCCATATTACGAGTAAGGGCGCGAATATGAGTGTGCAGCTCACGAACGAGCGCTCGCATTCAAACCAGTCGAACAGCTCCGAGGAGTCCCTGACAAAACATGTGATGAGCGACTCCGGGATTCTGGTCACGTCGATTATTGGTGTGGAGACGCATGATGCGAGGAGGGATTCGAGGAGGTCGAATGCCGCGAGTGATCGCTCCGATATGGTTTGATTGTTTGATTGATCAATTTAGTGGTCACTCACTCACTCCCTCGTTCATTCAAGCTAAAAAATCGGAGTCGATGAAATATTCTTGGGTTGTATCTATGTATGTATGTATTCGTACAAGCGCTGGAGTTCTGGGCCGGGCTAGGAATAGGGGAAATACTCATGGAGTTTGGGTTCCTTTCTTTTTTTTTTCCGGCGATTTTGGGTCTTTCCTTGGGTCGGGAATTACATCCTCGCGGGGGTTTCGCCCCAACCGAGACAAATTGCGCTGGTCAACTCGCACAGTGTTCTCATCCCAATATTAGCTTTTTCATTGCAATGAAGAACAAGTATCTAATTTTCCTTTCCTTTCCTTTCCTTTTCTTTTGAAAAAATCTTGAAAGAAAAATACGAGGTCCGTTTCCATATATGTTGAGTTTGATATTATAATATTCTTATCTTATCATATCAGGTTATTTTCATGCCTACCTAGCTCCTAGGTAGCTCGGGAGCGTGTTTCCTTTAACGGGAGGTTTGCCGTCGGGATAGGTACATATCGCCGAGTCGGCTGCCTCGCTTGCTGCATACATACCTACCTAACACAATTCCCGAGGGACGGTCAGAGGGTCGGACCCCTTTTGGAGGGGGCGGCGGCCAGCTAGTCAGGAAGTGGTTTGTATTCTGACCCTTAGACAGACATTCTTTACAATACACACTCTTGAACACCTTTGAATCGAACCTTTGATTACTGCGTATAGGGATATACACTTGTTAATTGTTTATAGGTACGATACCAATAATTTGACAAATAGATAATTTATAATACGATAGCGTTTAGGAACATTCTCAGCTATTTCCTTGCATATATAAGATAGGAAGGAGCCTTGAGACTTTTCTCTTTTATAGGCTGACTATATAGACTATAGACTTCTATATTCTTCTTATAATACCGCTTATAAGGCTCGTTCGAAGACCTTAGGATATCATGTCACCTATAAGCATTGTCCGTATATACGGAGTTTCCGAGCATGGTTCAAGGGTCCTAAGCAGGTACCCGAAACTCATTGTGATGAAAGCCTCGCCCATGAGCAGATCGAGATGAGATGAGGACTCCATCCCACCTTACCGACCTTCGAAGTGGCTGTTCTGAGAGCATCTCAGAACAGGGCTATAGAATACCCGGTCTGAGATCAAGATCAGCAAAGAATTCCGTGTTCGCTGAGCAGATCTCAATACCCATCAGGGTACGAGAGGAAAGTTCCTATCTACCCGTCGAGTTGCGATCACATATCACATACGCCCATCTCCGCCTAAACCAGAATGAGATATGTCGCTATCCCGGGAAGACAAGCGAGCAATCAAAGAAGTATCATAGTCCCCTCCAACGCGTCGAGCACGCGTTAAGTCTCTTCTTTGCATATTCTAGTTTTGTCAGTCGTTTACCCTCCTCACTTATCAGGACGCGAATCTTTAATTCACTTCTCGTTTTACCAAGGGATTGAAACCAAGAATAAAGATGGCAGCAAAAACAGGTGTAATAGCAGCTCCAAAGGCACCCGCTATATTGAAAAGATGGGACCGGCAGTCTAGAAATCGATATCGTCGCTACAGACATTCGAGTCCACTAACCTGCAACTGTCCTTCTCGGAGATATTCCAGAGATGTTTGTGGGTTTCCTCCTAACTTTTCATCTCTTCTCCCCCATTCCCGATTCTCCTATTTAGCTGAAAACCCCATACTCATCACTTCCTAGGGCATATCTCTAATGCCAGATGCCAACATCTCAAGAAACAGAATTACACCCACCAATACCAGAATCCCAATCACATTCCTTTGACTCCTCGTAAGACTTTGAAAACAAGAAACGATGCGGGTAGTGTTTCGAAGCCTTGTAATCACGATTCTAGAAGGCCTACCTATCAACGCAGAAAGTTTTCAGGCAAGCAGGGAGCCCAACAGTCTCGTGGCCCAATAGGACAACCTCGTCAAACGCCGCAGAAGCGAGTTGAAGAACTCCCATTCTCTACGAGTACGTGTAGTTGGGACTACGCACAGCTGATATCGGAGATTGAGAATGTTGTGTCTAATGACAGTCAGCCAAATATTGGGTATGTCACGCCAGCACACGATGTGAATAGGTCTGAACTAACACTCTGAGGCCATACTTGGATAATTTCATCCAAACCATGCAATGCTTCCAAGCCAAAGCTGCAGCCTCCTGTAGTGCGCCCAGCACTTTGACTGATTCGGATATCGCTCATTTTGCAAGTTCTTGTGCAAATCTTGCATCAAGTACTCTCAGAGATGGTCGAGCATTTCCCGAAATAGGCATGCTTGCTCTCCCCAATCAATGCCAGTACATCCTCTCTTTGCAGACGGCAAACAATCGCCCGCACACACCCAAGCACAAACTCGAGCTCACGCATACTCCTCCACCATCCCTTGAGCATCGCATACCAAAACCCATGCTCACAACGCCGCCGAAACGAAACCAAGACAAGCCAACACCAACACCTTCACATACTCCCAAATCACGCAGCCCCTCCACAGACCGCAGCCCCTCCACAGACTCCCCAATCCCAAGCATCGAACCCATCCCACCACTCATGCGTTTCAACCCCCGCAACCCTACAGTCCCATGCGCATTCTCATCCTCATCCTACTCTTTATCCATCTCCCCCTCCCCCACACCTACCTCAGACTCAAGCTCACCAGACGATTCCTCAATCTTTGAGCCCATTGATGAAGAAGATCTTTCTGATGGCGAAGACACGGAGAGTACTCCTGCTATAGAAGATGAGAGAGAGGAGAAGATGTGGTGTTGAGGGGACAGGAGAAGAAAGAAGAAGAAGAAGAAGAAGAAGAAGAAGAAGAAGAAGAAGAAGAAGAAGAAGAAGAAGAAGAAGAAGAAGAAGAAGAAGAAGAAGAAGAAGAGAGAGCTTGAGACTACGCTTAGGTTTCCGAGGGTGTGCCGGGTATCTGGTAATTGGGAGGGGTGGGCAGGTTTGGGAGGATAGGGTGGAAAAGGATGATAATGTGGATGTATAGGGTGACCTCGAGGATACTGAGAGGGGTATGAAGGGCACTCCTATTTATTTGGAGGAGTTGGGTATGGATATGGAATTCGGATTCAGATTCAGACTCAGATTTGGAGACGGAGGATGGGATGGAAGAGGAAGTGGGTGGAGTCGAGGTCGAGAATAACGCTCAACCACCGCAATTATCCCAGGACAAGAGTTAGTCTCGATGCCGTCCTCAAAAACATCTCGAGACCAGCCTGAATGGAAGGTAGAAAGAATCTGGGATATGTGAAGATTCTTAGGCATGTTCTTGATCTACCTTTCCCACTAGTATCAAAGATAACAATCTTACGCTACTTAGCTTAACTTACTCTTTCAGTTGTTTTATTATTCATGTTAATTATCTAAGAGTGGGAGTGAAGCCGAAGAAGAAGCACGCCAGAGTCCAGACGATGACTGTTCTTATCTTTTATCGATCACAGCACCACCTTTCACCGGGAACCACTCACATCTGGGACTAGCCTACTCAAGATAGGATAGAGGGAGGAAGTGAAGCTGTTGTAGTCGGCGTTGATGTTGGTTCAGAAGGTGTTGCGAATCTCAACTTTAAGCGCGGTTGTGACAGACGAGTTGCTGCATACCTAGGTAGTCAGGGGCTAGATCTGGCCCTCAATGCATCCTACTGCAATCCCACATCCATATCGTGGTGCTTGATCTTGGTGGACTCGTTCGCTATTGTTCTTGCCTTTCTGGTAATCTCTGCTGCCAACTTCTGGCTCACCCCTTCTGGACATGTGCATGCATCCTGTAGGCGACCAGACGGATGCCATTTCGCGCATTCATACTTGAGCTGGTCTGGACTTGCAACTTCGTATGATTGTCATTAGAGGCATATCGAGCACACCGCGTAGACAGAGGTAGAGCTAGGATGTCTAGACGTTGTGCTGGATATGGCTTTTGATCAATCAACGTCTTGACGACTTCGGGTACGCTGTCAGCACGTAAATATCCCGTTCTCTTCCAATATCAAATTGCTCAAATTCAAATTCAACTTCAACTTCAACTTCAACTTCAATTTTCAAATCACTTCAAAACCTACGATGCCTTCGGAAGTGGTCAAATGCCCTAAATATGAAGCATCAATTTCCTCCACATAAGCCTGCCGCTTCTGCTGGTAAGCTATTCGTTTCCCATTGTATATTTCTCTAACATCTTTAATTTCGCAGATGGCTCTACATTGGTCGACATTCACTTTCCGGCAGACTTTCGAATAATATCATAGACTGGAGGACAGGAACTTGAGGACTTGAAAACTTGGAGGATCAGGATCTGCTGGGTGACAAGATGATATATAGGCTTGGACAGAGAAGAGTTTCAGCATTTGTTCATTAGTAGGGCTGGCAGGGAAACATATGATCTTCGCTCGTAGCTTATCGCGTGCTTTCGTGCCATTCACCTCAGTCCATTCATTACCGCCGTATCACACCGCCAGAAATGAAATAACACCTACCTTCACGTTGAATGAACTCTACTCGTATAAACAGAATCAAATTTTCTGTACACCCCAAATCCTTGCCTGCCCTGACAACAATAATCCACCTCATCACGAGTTTATCCCTTAAGTACTGCCTCTAGTCTCCTCGCTTACTGCCTAGGTAATTTGGCGAAGTTGTTGTCAGGTGAACGCGTATAAGCCCAATTTCCACGTTGCTGCAGGCTGCAGTCTAGGTAGTAGATGGATAACAAAACACTCTCTCTTTTCTATAACCTAACATCTACCCACATCCCACAAAATCCAGAGATTCTCGATCGATTCCTCATGTACGTTACAAGCAGAGCGCTGAATGACCGGCGCGAGTCAAAATGTATAGCTGTAACGCCAGAACGAAAATATTATCGGGATGGGCTCACAGTTGTGAAACGAAGCCTACGGACAAGCGAATGACAAATGAGTCCTGCGAGAGGTGTTATTCACGTGCCTAGGCAATGATGTGAAAGGACACTGAATGAAGCCGCAGCAATGAGATATATTGCAGACAATACCAACATCCCGATCCCAGAACTGCACTGCGACTTCGAAGATGACGGCGCTGTATACCTCGTCATGGAGTACATTGAGGGGCATACTATGGATCAACTCAGTGCTGAGCAACGTGATGTTGTCCAGCAGGAGCTCGATAGGCACACCGAAACTCTGCACCGGTTGAAGTCTCGGATAGTTGGAGGACCATCAGGTCTGATAGTCCCGCCTTATCGCGTCACTCTCAAGAGTCCCCGAGAAGAATGGGAGCTGGAGGAATCGAAATTCGACGAATACGTATTTTGCCACAACGATCTCTCGCAGCAAAATGTGATCGTTGATACAGAGACTCTTCAAATTCAGGCTATAATTGACTGGGTTTACGCTGGTTTCTACCCCGAATTTTTCGAATTCCCTTTTTTCAAGCGGCTTGGTCCTTCGGTAGCTCTAAACGACGAAGTTGACGACACTGAGAATTTACTCAAATTTCTTACATCGCATCTCGTATGTGTACTCTCTGATAAAGATCCTGAACGCTGCTAACGTCTCGAGACTGATAGAAATGAATGTTTCTGAGCACAAACAGAAACGTAGAGTGACAGATATTGCCTCAGCCCTACAATAGCAACAGAATGAATGCTACTAGTGCCGAGTACTGAACGGACAATCCAAAGCTTGTTTTGCTAGCACACTACAAGGACAGGTGTGTTGTAACTCTCTTGTACTTCTTATCAGCACTAATTTTCAATAGATCATCTGCAAAGTGCCCAAAAACTAGTACCCGCCGGTCCGTCCAGGGGAAAGACAGGTATGGACAAGTTTGTAGCTATACATAACTCTTATTGTAATCTCCTAGGAATAAAGTATATATTTGCAAATTCCCTAGCTAGTAACATTTCGAATACGCCCGAACTATACTATAATATAATACACAATAGTTGACTCTGGAAATGGGAAAGAGAATAGATGATGGCAACAATAACGTATTTGGCTACTCTGTTCCCTAAGGACAATACTTAGGATACATCCTTTGCTATCTGGGCTGCTAACAACGGTGGACATCATTCGAATGATGTCTTCGGGCTCCAACCTGAAGTCTTGACGTCCTAAATCTTGGAAAAATACACGCTGGCGCCTCTGGTGAAAATAGAGTAACCGGCAGGCACATCATGCTCCACGTATTGGCTCTCCTCAATGTCCTCATCAAATTGAAATGTGAAGTGGCATGTTTCTTCGTCGTGGATGAATAGGTATAAGCCTTTGAAGCAAATCGCCCTGTCGTGTTCTACCGGAGGGAACCGATGACTTGGGATGATGCTCTCTTTTCGTCCAGCAAGAGCGTCGTCGCCTCTCTAATCAAACACATTAGTCTACTTTCTGTAACGGTCGGAGAGGATAAGAAAGATGTCTAACCGCCATAATGTACACGACACAGTACAACAAGTCGGTTCTAGTGCTTCTTTGCTGGTTGTTATGTCAAGATTTTTTTGTGCGATAGAGAGGTGTAAATTCGATAGATACTCCTGTTCCAAGACACAGCGAAAGAGAAATCCTGAGCAAGCACTCCCTTTATACTTGGGTCTGACAATAGAGCCTCGAAGACAGATGTTCACCGAGGGCTTCTGACTAGTAGGGCTCGGCTTTTTGAAACTGCTGTTATTGAATTAATATGCTCGTTAAACCTTGTGAGATATCTTTTATCTTAGTATTCAAGGTTTAAAGGCCTACTGCAGTAACGCTATGAAGGGATCTAAGGGTCTCAGGCTGTCAGGGTAGTATCAAAGCCTCAGTTCTAAGGACAGCAGAATACGCGAGGTAGTATTGTGGGTAAAGTTCCTACTCATGTAGTCTTTCTTAGCCTGTTTAAGCTTGCTCGTGTTTGCCCTGTTTTATCATGGAGAGCGTTCCTACTCAGGCCGCACAGCCCTTTAACCCCCCTCTGTTGGTCAAAAGTAGCGGCTCTATAATAAGACCCAGAAGTAAAGGGAGTAGAGCTGGAAGTGATATGATTTATCAGCAAAGGAAACGCGAATCCGTATACCTACTACGGGGATCGTTTTACAGACACAGACTACACTTTTTAAAGTTACAGACTGTAAACAGTAGGTCTTTTGCTTGTTTTCTGTCTGCAATTTAGCTAATTATCTGTATTTTCCCGAGTTGGGATTCTCTGATTTTCATCAGATTTCCACTATTTTAAAGTTTTCCCCGACTCGACCTGAAATCCAGACTCTGTCTGTAATTTTTAGCTTTTCCCCATGAAAATCGTTCCCTCTGCCTCCTCTTCCCTCCCTCCTTCCAAATCTCCCTCTAAGGTAAGGTCTTCTATTCCTCTACTGATTGATACTTCTCCCTTCTCCCCCCCCTCTTTCTTTTCTTCCTCCCTTCTCTTTTCCTTCCACTCTTTCCCCCCTCTTTCGAGTAAACTTACGGTTAGCTAGTATTTCAAGTGAAACATGAAAAAGTAAGAAGGTTATATGAAGGTCTAAGTTTTTGAAACCTTAATCTGTATTTCATTACTACTGAAAATACAGACAAACTACAGACACCCGTAGACGCGACACGGCGTTCACTCCAGTACGTATTGTATGAAATACACTCATCTCATCGCAGCCTTGATGCCTCATACTGTATCGTCGATTGCGGAGATTGCTTCTGCATGCAAACTGACGCAAGTATGAAAGTGTTTGCCCATGATATGTGAATATGCGGCAGAAGGACCCATGTACTATAATCTATCATCTGTGGTGGTGCATCATAGTGCGTTGCCTATTGTAGTAGGACTCGCAATTGCCAGACATTGTTTCGCAGTTGGAGGCTGCGTGTGTTTTTACATCATGATCAGAGTGCCTTGCGTCACAGAAAAAGGTCTCTTTGGCTCCGCTCCGAAACTCGTTCGACAAAATATATTGATTTCGCCATGATACCTGACTGGAGTATCTGACCTTAGCATCAGAATCTGAAAGAGCTTCAAGGCGGATCGTTATTAACCTTACGAGACTGCGAGACTTGGCGGGTAAGAATTTAAAAGGAATTGATGTCCCGCTCGTGGAAGAACAGTAGGAATGAATATTCCCACCTCTAGATAATATCTCAGTAAATACCCAAAAACACAAATCCTCAAATTGATAAACCATGGCTAGTAAAGCTGCCATACAGACCCGAGCGATCTACGAAGACAAGCATCTCATCGACAGGCAATCTCGAGCAAGGAACCCGGTCACCAACCCTCATTTCATTTTCTGGAATCTATATCTAAACCTGCTTTTCGGACTCCAGACAAATACCCTTCTCATTCTAAATGAACTCCCCTTTGAACGCCCAGTCTCTTGAAAGCTGGTACCCAGTCTCAGACAAAAACATCACTCGCATATCGATCATTCTTGATCCCCGCAAACCAAGTCTCGACCTCATCATCCGTCTTCGGTTTCCCCAACCCCTCCGCCGCTTCCTGGTAAATGCGTTTCGTGGTGCTTGCAACCCCCTCGCCAACCATGCTACTCCCACAAACATACAACGACGCCCCCTCATTAAAAACCTTGATCATCTCTTCCCGCTCCTCCCACAGCCTATCCTGGACGTAGCGACACCCCTTGCTGTCGGAACTTGACTTGGAGAAAGCGTAGTACAGCTTCACCACTCCGTCCTTCTCCCATTGTGCCAGTTCGTCGCTGAACAATGCATCCTTTTCCGGGTGGGCACAGCCTATGAAGAGATATGCCGCAGCAAGCTTGCGACCTGCTTGGATCTGCATAGCTCGCTCCTCGACGAATCCTCGGAATGGAGCCAGGCCTGTCCCTGCGCAGAACATGATCACGGGAGTGTTTTCGATATCAGCAGGCGGGTGGAAGTTGCCATGGCTAGGCTTGACTGCCACGTGAATTCTATCTCCCTCTTCAACACTAGAGAGGTAATTCGAAGCGACTCCCAGGAATCTCTTGGAGCCCGCTGCTTTTGACGGGGTGTCGAGAACGGACCATGTTATTGTGGCAGTAGTGGGATCTGCAAGAGGAGACGACGAAATCGAGTACTGGCGAATCCGCATGGGCGGAAGCATCGCTAGGAAATCACCAAGTGGTAGGGCGGCATTGGGGTAGTCTTCAAGTATATCGAGCGGAGATCGTCGTTTCGCGAGGATTTCTTGCTCAAACTTCTCGCCTGCCAGTGCTGAGATTTCAGACCGAATATTCTCGTCCGCACAAGATGCAGCAATCCGTGCAATATTCTGAGGGTGTAGTCAGAAGCTGATTACCGCATAATAGCAACTTTAGGGACTCACCTTGCGTGTTGCCGGTTGGCTGAGCTCCACGTACATACCCAATATGTCCATCATTGATATCGGGTGACCCGTAGGGAGTGTAGTGTTTGCTCCGTCTCTGATTGTGAGCATTGTATCCCACGGTAGATGAGCCCACTTCAGGACTCGGCGAATGTTTCTGGAATTGTTCATTGGGAGTACAGCGAGATAATCACCGGCTTTGTAGGTCATGCCGGTAGGGAGGTTCAAGACAATATGGCGCTTCTCGGGTTCTCCACCTTTGGTAATTATCCGATTGCTCATGACGACCGCCTCTTTGACGTCCTGTCGCAGCTTTGATCGTCTCGAGCCTGTATCAATATCAATTTCCAGGCCGATTTCTTCCTCGGGCTCTACATTGCTTCCAAGAGCAGACCACAACTGATCATCCTGCCACTTGTCGAAGTCGTTGAAAATATCACCAGCTGCAACATCACCGAGACCCATGCCAGCAATTCGAGTCGCGCCGTGAGCTTCGAATGTAGAGTTGAGGACTTTCGGAACTCGGTGAAAGGTTGAAACCCAATCATCTGAAGCCATTAGCAAATCGTGTTCTTCAAGAGACACCGGAGGATTCTTCGAAGGGAAAAGGTCGTGTCAAAACACCGAAAGCGCTACTCACGATTTCCGCAGCCGAAGACTGCATATTTGACACCCTTGAGTACTGGACCTTCTAAGTTCTGAAGCCATTCAAAGAAGTGTGCTGCATTGTCAGGAGGTTGCCCTTCGTAGCTCGAGGAAATGAGGACAACTGGCTGGTCCGTTGGCACCTTGTCAACTGCACTGTCTAGAGGCTCAACTTGAGCGTGGTAGCCACGACCAGGAGCCATCCTTGCCAAGCTTTGGGCTAGAGCCTCACATGTACCAGCATTCGATCCGTACAAGATTGTCATAGGCTTCTTGAACTTGCCAGTTGATGTATTATCGATGCCTCTAGTCTTGACCTGTGCCTGGCCAATGGGTTAGCGATTGGTTGGAGAGAAAGCATGGTTGAGGAGAAGTGGGTGAGCCTCCAAGGAGCTTCAAATCATTTGAACATAATAGCGTGTCACCTACTTTGGCCTCATTGGATGTATCTACATGAAGCATCTTTTCAAGGTAGACAGGATCGATATGCTCTCGCAACGAAGCGTGCATGTAGAAGTCCTTAGGTTTCAGAGTCAAGGTCTGCTTGATTTGCAGAGAATAGCTTGGATCATCCTGCCGAAAATTAAAAGTTTGGAGCAACATCGCAGTCGTCAGAATCGCCTCCTGCCAAGCAAATGGTCGTCCAATGCAGCCTCGCATCCCATTCCCAAACGGCTTCCAACTGTTATTGGGAAGTTTGGAGAATTCTTCATCAAGCATCCTCTCTGGTTTGAAGGCTTCGGCGTCGGAGCCAAAGACTGCGGGATCTCGATGAATTGAGCCTAGAAGAGCGATGATTGATTGCCCTTTTTTCACCTGATATTTGCCACCGAGGATGATATACTCATCCGGTGAGTCTGGGAGTGGCTGAAGTGTGAACGCAGGAGCAGTAGGAGTGAGTCGTAAAGTCTCTCGAAGGCATGCTTCAATATAGGGAAGCTTCGACATATGATCCACTGTAATTGGACCTCTTCCAACAACTTCGTCGACCTGGCGCTGTGCTGCCTGGTATGCTGCTGGATTCTTCAAGAGGTAGTAGAACAAGAACGAAAGCATGCCGCTCGTAGTTTCGTGGCCTGTAATGAGGTTAGACAGTTTCCTTTATGGGGCGTGAGACGTACCAGCAATTAAAAATGTAATCATATTGTTGAGGATGCTTTCCTCTGTCAGACCTTCGCCAGTCTTTGGATCTCGACCATTTATCATGGCATTAAGCAAATCTTTCTTATCGCTTGGGCGTATCCTCCTCTCTGCTACCACTTCCGCAGCCACTTTCTTCAAAAGAGCGATATCCGTGTCGTATTTCTGCTGGGCAGATCTGTAGAAGTAGTTTGCGACTGCTGGTCGCCTCGCCCTCGCCGCAGATTCCTGTAAGAGTCCAACCATAGCATCAACGAAAGGATGTATGGCCTCCTGGTAAAAGCTGTTGAATCGGGTATCCATAGCACAGCTATTGCTATCAGCGAAGTAGACATGGGGTGGAGGACAACATACAGAGCGATTGAATCTAAAGTCAACCTCGTAAAGTCATCTGGAACGTTGATCTTCTCCTTCGGCCCAAATCTAGCCCACTTGACGACTAGTTGAGAAGCAATATCATGCATTTCGTCGAACATGGATCGAATAGAGAGCGGCCCAAATGCTGTCTTTATTAGCCCAGTCCTCGAGCTCAACGTGAAGGCTCCCTACCTGGCATCAAAACTCTATGCGCTATTTCCCAATTATGTTCTCCAGGGTATGCTGTAAACAAACCGTCGTGTACACCGTTTCGAATCTCGTCAAGGGCACCCGATACCATTTTCGTGAATCGTTTCTCGTCGCATACTTCGTTCATGAGCTCGTGGGTGGATATGAAGACTTTCTCGCTGCCCCCGAGGGTGAGTTTGTAAATTGGGCCTGGTATATTAGAAGATGGAACATTATCTAAAGCCAGGAAGCTTACCATATGTATCTGCCAGTCTGCGAAGACTTGCCATAGAATCTGCAGCATCAACATCATTGATATTTCCAAGTAATGGAAGCCCTGGCGGGCCAGGAATTGGCTCGGTCATGGTTGAGGGAAGAAGAGGACGAAGAACCACGAAGAGGAGGTTGGAAGAAACTGAGAGGAGGTTTAGGGGAAGACGAGAGAAGAGAAAGGAGGTCTATGTTGGTCGTGCCTCTGCTGAGTATCAGAACCTAGCAATTCAACAGGCACGGAGCTGAAGAATGGCGCCGACAGTGCGTGGATCCGCCCCGTAACAATGCAATGCAAACGCCGGGAGCCGCGAGAAGATCATGAGCCGAGGAGAGGAGGAAAGAAAGTAGACGAGCATAGAATTCGAGATCTGCATAGTATCGCAGCCCACCTCTTGTGTCGCCGGAATGGATGTGTTGTCCGGTGGCAGTCCATGTCCGCCCTGAGGGCACACGGGGGGGAAGTGTATCTCTCCATAACATCCGAGTCGTGTAATGACTGAATGAAGAGTCGAAGTAGAAGTTTCCTCTGCATTGCAGAGCAGTGCACTGGCAGAAATCAGTTGTTTCACATGCAATAACGGCCACCATGATATACGTGAATTAAGGTCGTCGAAGTTGGGATGGGGACAGGGACAGGGAAGAGACAACAGACCTCGGTAACAGCATGGATGTGGCTTGTGGCGGCAGCTTATCGATGATACCCTGGAATTCCACCTCGCGGCTCTCTTTGATACAACATCTATAACAGTTACATTGTGTATTTGGCCAACCTCCGCTAATTCGAAAATGTACTTCTTTCAGGCAGCTACAGACGAGCAAATCACTTAATTCTCGTCGGCAGCTGTAAGCTTAAATCCATGCGCATCTCGTTTGACGCGAATAGAGAGATCGGACGAGTCTAGTACTCCGTCACTGGCTATTCTGACGCTGGATATTATTATTCCTAGAGGTGTTTAAGGAGCGTTTTCGGACCAATAAGCTAAGAGGGTAGAGGAGTGTAGAGCTAAGTACAAAGAAAATATCTAAACTATGTTATCCTTGCTATAAGCTTCTGGCTTTCATGCTCTTTTCTTTCTTCCGGACAAGTACAGGCGTGAGTAAAATGTAAGACGGGAAATTGCGCTAGAGAATGGACAAGAGGAAAGATAAATCCTCGCAATGTAGCGCGCCTTTGCTTCTCGGACCGACCGAATTGACTTGGTCCGATTCTACCAGACTCTACTCTCATTCATTATGCCATTCATCAATCAACTTTATAAAGAAGCAAATCGGGGGTATCATCCATCATAAAGACATCACCAGAAGAAGGCCTCTTGTAGGCTTAGCCGTAGGCTGTTCTTGCTTCCAGAGATTTCAAGATGAAGCCCTGTGTGACGGTCAGCCCGTTTGAGAAGTCATTTTGTCGCTGTAAGATGGGCATACCATATCGATCCAGTTACCACCTCCGAACGTAGCCTCACTCTTGCCAGTATTGGTAAAGCCGAGCTTCTCATACCAAGAAATCTTGTGCTGTTGCAAAATATCAGTTTGAATAGGTTCGCGGCTGCCAGTGGCTGGAGAAATGGCTTACATCATGAGCAATCAACGACAGTTTATCAGCAATACCAGCTCCATTCATATGCTGCATATAAGACATCATCAAGACCCTTCCAATGCCCCTTCCTTGAAATCCAGGTAGCACAGCGACAGAATGGAGAACGATAGTCCGTCCATCTTCCTGGTGGCCCAGTTTTGACGGCTTTGGAGACGCTGATTCCCAGTCCTCTGGTACACCCATGGACTGATCGGTAGCTACTGCATCGTTTGTCTTTGTTGAAATCACATGGCCGAGTAACACACTGACAGCTCCGTTTCGACGGCTTGTCTCAACGGGTTTGCCTGCTGCGAGAGTCTCGATTTCGAAGCCTGAGCCTGGTACTACCGTACAAAATATCCCGTAGCAGAGCTCGCCACACTTGGTGAGTCTGTACTTGAACTATAACCACATGTCAGGATCAGCTAAAGGGTGGGGTAGAGCAAGACAAAGATGTCATCAAAAGGAGCAAGCTGTCACGTGCTCATAATATGCATCCGATTGAAACTTGCCTTCTCTCTCGTCGCCCGTTCCTCTGGGTTCGTGAAAGCGGCATTCTCAAGAGCAACACAGGAGTCCAAATCTGAGATGGTAAGAGGTCGTGTGTAAGGGTGAAGGTTGGCCGGTGCCTTGACTTGCTGACTCTCGGGAATGATCACGAATTGGCGCTGACGATCTGTTGACGGAGAAGCAGCGGCTGCCTCTTCCTGGTGCAACGGACTGTCTGATCTCTCGGTCGTGACGCTATTCGGACTCTCTGTGAATGGCACTGGTGGCGCTGGCCTTTCTTGCTCCAGATCACGAGGCATGGCTGCTAGATTGAGGTAGTTGGCTCTGGACTGTTGCAATGCTATTTTCTGTTGCTATGAGAGAGCTTTGTGTGTGACGCGGGGTTGGGTTCGTTTTCGAGGCCGGCCTGGGAGAGCTGCGGCTGAGTTGGATGAGTGGGTAAGCGGATACAGTACCTAGGTATGGATGCAGGTGGATTTGCTCGGTTGCTCAGAAGTTCAAGTGCATCTGGCTACCTATGGCCATGACGGGATTGGACTCGACGGCGTGTACACTACCTTGGGTGTTTCTAATGCGTTGTTCTTGGAACGAACTACAAGCTTGATTGATTGTTGGAAGTGATGCGTGTGAGTTGGAGAAGTGAAGTGAAGTGAAGTGAAGTAGGTAAGGTAGTGTTTAGGCACAGCCATGGCCTAGTATAAATTCGGTGACAAGACAGGACGCCAGTGGAGGGGAGGCTCAGCCATGATCCATCCCCCGCCTCAGCCTCGTCATGTGCTGCAAGGGCACGGATGGGTTTCCAATATATGAGGGGATGGTATAAGTAAGCTCTGGTTCAGGCTACTGTTGCTACGACTGCTGAGTGAAGAAATGGCTGTTGAAGTCTAAGTTTGAGTCTGATTCTGAGCTCTCTATGAGTACAAACGAAACTGAGGTAGGTAAGTATCGTGCTATTTAGAGGAACGACAACTGGCATGAGATTCCCGACCCGATCCAAACAGCTCTGGAGTGGCAAGGTGCGGCCCGAACCAAGCCAGGGGTTCATCCATCAAAAGCTGACCGACCTCAACTCAACAATCAGCAACCTCCACTCTCCGCAGATAATGGAATTTTAAATTTACAGTACACGCTACCACGACGTACTGAAGTCCTTCTCTACCACCCTCCCACATTACCTCCCAAAACCCACTTAGTATGGCATCAACAACAGCACAGCGCAGACTCCTCCAGGAATACCGCGCCCTTACTAATAACCCCCCAGAAGGCATTACAGCCGGCCCAGTATCAGAAGACGACTTGCTCTACTGGGAAGCACTGATCCAAGGACCAGAGGGCACACCATTCGAAGGCGGCGTATTCCCCGCCGAGTTGAAGTTCCCCAAAGATTATCCGCTCGCGCCACCGAGCATGCGATTCCTAGGGGAGGTGTGGCATCCAAACGGTGCGTTGCGTGTCTCCTGCTATCGCATCCATTCCAATTCCATCCTCCTGCCCCGATTACCCCCTACTATGAAAAAGGAAAAAAGGTACATACTGACACTATACTACTTCTCTGCAGTCTACCCCAGCGGTCTCGTCTGCATCAGCATCCTACACCCACCAGGAGACGACCCAAACCACTACGAGCACGCCTCCGAGCGATGGTCGCCTATCCAGAGCGTCGAGAAGATCCTTATCTCAGTGATGAGCATGCTAGCGGAGCCGAACGACGAGAGTCCTGCGAATGTGGAGGCTGCGAAGATGTGGAGGGAGCAGAGGCCCGAGTATGAGAAGAGGGTTAGGGATGGGTGTAGGAGGATGTTAGGGCTGTGAGAGTTAGTTGAGGTGGGAAACTTGGAAGGGACCGGATTGCCTGGGAGTGAATGGATTGTTAGATAGAGACGTTATACGCAGTTAGAGAGATGGATGACTATAGAGACTAGGGAGGGACAGGCGCTGAGCGGTTGTTACGCATGGCATGTATAAATCAGATGCGCTCTGAAACTAGGGCGTCGGTGAGTCGCGGACTTGCCTGTCTATCTGCCTGCTTTGTATCTGCCTAGCTGCGCAGATGAAGTGATGCCTAGTTAGAGGCAGAAAGGCAGCTAGGTAAGTAGGCAAGTCAGCGCGTTGGGTCGGCGATGAATGATATCCACAGGGGAGAAATACGAGTCGATTCAGACTAGTCAATACATCGATAAACACTCTTAACATGATCGAGACTCCACAATGAAACCCGGACTCTATAATGGAACTCAAGATTCATGTATCGCCCTGAATAATTTGTAAGAGTGACTTCTCGGTATCCACAGCTATACCAAAAAGGTGGTAGATCATGGAATATTTGCCTAATGGATGGAGGCTTATAGACGGGGGAATCTTCTTTATTTATATCGAATTATCTAGCTTGGATTTAGCAATATTCGTTCTATCATATGTCCCATGCCCGATTCTGTCCCGTTATCCCGTAATATTTAAAGTATCCTCATAACAGTTCCAATTCCTTCTCTTCGTATTCCGAGCCTCGCGGTGACCTTACTACGCACTAAGCTTCATTTTACTACTTGTATCCTAGAATAATACCTAGCTCGGGTCTTATTCTGTCCACGAAATACGCCTATCTAATTCGCAGCTAAAATAACTTGTCCACCTTCCCAGGTCTCACCCTGCTCAAGAGTCAACCAACCCTTCACTGCACCAGCCTCGACGCAGATCATCTCCTTATACCCGTCTTTGGGTGCGAAATCGCTAATGGTCTCTGCATCTTCCTTCCATGGGTTCCAGACCACGACCTCGTTCAGGTTATCTCGCACAATGCTATACTTCTTCTTGCCGTCCTCGGAGATAACCACGGCGGATGAAGGGCCCTTGGCAGGGGTATACACACGGTCGATCTTGGACGCGACGGTAACGGCAGATGTGGGGGAGGTGTAAGGTTCAGCGCGGAGTGTCACTTTGTCGCTGTATGGGGAGGATTCGAGTCCTGTTACGGAGACGGAAGAAATGTCCTGTAATGGAGAGAATTAGCTTTGCGAGTATTCAAACCCAACTAATGCAAGCTTTTGGTGTCATTCAGAGAGGGGGGAGAAAACTACCTTGACTCTGAAATAAGTATGCATCAAAGTCTGGAAGTCCCAAGCGGTCTCTCCCTCATTGCGGACTACAAGACTGGTAGTCAAACCCTCCCGACTCAGCGTAACGCTGTAAATCAGGCCGAAAGCGTACGGCCATGCTTTCTTGCTCTGCTCGCTGAGATTGCTGGCGCTGAGTCCGAAGTCAAGTTTCACGCTATCATCTCCGGCAGAGGAAGAAGACAGGCTAGCTGATTCAGATGTACTCTTGCCGAGGAATTCCCAGCGCGATGTTCGTGCGAAACCGTGTTGCGGAAGAGAGGCAGTTGCTGCGTGATTGGGAGCTGTTCCGAAAACCTGGATAGGATGTTAGTATGCTTAGGAGATGCTGTTTTTCAGCAGAACAAAACCCTGCCAAATTTTGCAGAGTATATGTCTCTGTATCTTTAGATACAAGGTCCAAGCTGAGGTCTTATAGAGTACTTCCTCTGACTCTGCCGACAAAAGCCTAGACCATATTATGGAAGTAAATGTATGAACATACCGGGAATACTAACGGCACACCACCTCTGACTGCTTTAGTCCCATCTAACTTAGCTGCCTCACTCAACCACAATCTCTCCTGGCCAGCTCCATCCTTCCAGCTGATGATTGTTGCTCCAAAGAGCAAGATCTCGGCGCTCTCGCCTGTTGGCAATACAGCTGAAACGCGCGAGTGCGAGTGTGTAATGTTCACTTGTGCTTGCGGCGGGAGACCTGGAGTCGTCGCGAGAGCGGTGGGTTTCTTGGGGCGGTCGACCATCTTGATTGAGGGTATGGTGTTGGTGGTTTTGGATTTGGTTGTAGTGTGGTCGAGTGTTGTTGGTTGACAGTCTAAGAGAGGGGCGAAGTGAGGAAAGGAAGGCGGGGTACTCAGTGGTAGGGAGCGAAAGGCTGGCTTTGTTCAATTTCTCGCAGTATTGCAGACAAACTAATTGAATCGTATGGTATGAGAGGATTGGATATACTCTTCTACAGCAGTGAAGGGCGGAAAGAGGAAGGGAGAGGAACAACACAGGATGAACTTCAGCAGACGAAGAGAAGCTCATGCTCATGCAAGCTGCTCATAGCGGGGTTGGTTGTCAGCAGCGCACTGCATTCAGGCTTCCCTGCAGCATCCTGAAACAGATTCGGTACGGTACGTCCATTGGCTAGATCCGAAGGAGATGCTGAACCAACCCCCAAAGGTGGTGACGCCCGAGGTATTCTTTGACGCTTGCAGGCTCGCATAGCTGACACGGTCTGAAACTTAGGTCATGAAGTAATTGAGAGCTTACGTATCGTACGGTAGGTATGAACTGAAGTCTGAGAGCTGTTCTGTGGTCTGTACCTTACTTGGTAGTTGACACGAGTGCCAGTCGGAAGCCGGAAGTCGGAAGTCGGAAGTCGGAAGTCGGGTCGGCTGACGGGGAAGGACGGCCCGATTCATACCCGGATCTCAAGTTGGAGGAACCTCTGTTCGTTCAATACCTTAACTGCCCTCAAGCCGCCTACACATCAAGATAGACATGAACATCGAACTCAATCCAGAGAATCTAGTTGGCATATCTCACCAGTGTCACGAAAGTCAGACTAGGTACCTCAATAGCATCATCATAATATCAGGAGTACAGGCTTGAACGTGTATGTACAGAAGCGAAAGAGTAAAACGAAATCAATGATCCTAACTATCCAGCCGGCCATGATCTCGTAATGGTATCGTAAAAGACGCCCACCTGCCTTCAAACCTACTGTAGCTCTTTGCTATGCCGTGGCAATTCCTCAACGACGTAGAATGGTCCATCATCAAAAGAAAATAATACGCAAGTTGCGACAAACATCATTTACACAGTCATTCCCTCCGCAACTCCAGCCATCAGCATCCTCAATCCAGCTCAGCGATGAGCTTGTTGCTCATGGCTCTGCATTCTGACCTCCAATACCTGGCTCATATGCTGCAAGTCCACACGTGCCTTTTCGTCTTCTTCAAGTATGCCACGAATGATCTGCCACTCGACCGGCCTCATCTGGTATGCTTGCGGCATCAGGAATGCTACAGTGGGTGCATCTTTGTACGGACCAAGAATCTCGCCTGCAGCAGCCTCTCCTGCCTTCTGGTCTTCCATTTGCCGACGTTGCGCTTCGTCGTGGGAAAATCCTTGTTGGGGAACGGGAGGCGCGGCGAAAGCTCCTTGAGGATTGATAGGGGACATTGCAGGGCCAGCGCCAATTCCAGAGATTGACATTTGACGCTGCGGGTGGTTTACGACAGACGGAGAATCGGCATTGACTCGTGGCTGCTGATCAACGTTGATATCATTGCGGATGACCAGGGCTACAAGTAGTATGGGATCGGTGCGGCTTTCGGGTACAGTGTGACCTTCGAGGTTCGTGATGAAATCTGGCAAGCTTCCAGGACTAGGTGGAACAGGGACGAGGTATGTATCGCGGACATTACCCAACCCTTTGTTTGTTAAAACCCCGTACCGCTTTCTAGACTCAAAGTATTGGTATAGCGCAAGGAAATCAGGGTCGGAAGATTCGCCAATAGGTGTGATACTGACAACAGCGACATCAGTGGGAGGGCTGTATCGCAGACTGCACAGGTATTCGTTCGCCTTATCCTGATCGATCCTACCTGCAATCTTGAGGTCCTTGTGGAGGTTGTCCTTCCATGATGCAGCAATCTTCTCGGTAAATCCTGCAACGTGTTTTGCCGAAGCAGGAAACCTTGCAATGGATTCCATCGTCACACTCCCATACCAAACAACGTCAGGATCGGTGGGGTATGCGGCTGGTGAATAAGCATCAGAATCTCCTTCGTCATCCTGGAGCATCTTGTCGATTTCTGGGTCAACACCTGGACCACTGACTGGCGGCAAGTTATTTGAAGATTCTCGACGAACATGTTGGGAAGTAATTGGAGACGGGGCAACTTGAGAGATGACTTTGTTGTAATCAAAATCTGGTTGAGATGGCTTTCTTGTCTGGACCGCCAATTTTGGAGCAGCATTTCCTCTGATGTCGTCAGTGCTGCGATACGAGTCGATGTCTTCGGGGTCAATATTTCCTGGTGAATTCTCCCGGGAGCGGACAGCCATCTGAGCGTTTGGATCTAGCATGCTTCGTCTGCGAGAGATGGGCATAGCGTCACTTGCGATGGCAAAGTTCTCGTCCTCAACAACCTCTTCGCCTTTATGAGTTCGACGTATTCTTGGACCATCATCTGTGACCATGATTGCCTGCTTGTCTGCACGCGCTTTGAGTCCTGCCACTTCCTTCTTCAGCTCCTTGCTAGCCATATCATCTGATGACATGGTAGCAAGTGCACTAGGTAGCAATGTCCGTTTGAGAAGGCGGTCTGTGAGTTCTTGATTCGTCTTGAGATTGGCGGCTATCATTCGACATTTAGCGGTATACGAATGCTTGTCCTGGTGGGCATTCGTGACAGCATCTTGGATCTGAATGGCAAGGCGTTCCACCTTCGCATCTAGTGTATCATTCTCCGCCAGGCTGTAGGCGTGATTGTTGATAGCATGGGAGATGGCACTCTTGAGATTCTTCATGATGATTTTGGCACCTCCTTCCTTGAGTATGTCGTGAAGATCGGAGAGTCTGACAGGAAGTTCGGATGGTGGTGATTCTTGTCGTGGTGTTTGTGCAGCAGATACTTTGCGAACTTTCGATTTGGATTCCTGGCCTGTTAGCAACGAATCAAAATATAGAGAAAATTAACGCACTTCTTGGGATTCATCTCTGATCTTCCGTTTGGCACTGCCAGCACGAGGTGTATCCTTCTTCAGTGGCGTAGAAGGGGAGCTCGCCTTGCCGTTGGTAGCTGGATCACTGACTCGCTTGCCCTTCTTCTTCCCCTTTGGCTTCTCTTCCTTTTCATCTTGCTCGGCCTGAGCCTGTTGTTGGGCGTGTTTCTTTTGGCGTATCTCCCAAACTTTGATTCCTTTCTTCAGTCCGTCCAAGAGCTCTTTGTGACCCGCGGGGCCGCATTGCTCACAAAGATAGTGCTCGGGTATCTCATCCTCGAAGGTGGTGACCCCAACGCAGACGTTGTGCTGCCAGACGGTACAGTTGTCGCATGCGATCCACGGCTCCTCGTCCCCAGGAGGACTGCTAACTGCACCGCAGACACAACGAATGACTTCGGCTTCTTCCTCCTTCTCTACCTTCTTCTTCTTGGATCCTTTCTTTTTGGGTTCGGGAGTAGACTCCAGGTCCATCTTTCCAGTATGGACGCCCTTCGTCGCGCGGACGGATCTTCGAGGTTCATCTATTACTGTCAGCCCCGCTCTCAACCGCTTGGAGAACGAATCTGCATACCTGCCATAATGGAATCCTCACGCGACTTCGATATGAGATGGCAATAGACTGCGCGATTTCACGCGATCTGGTTCTGGAGCTTGCTGAGCAAGTGGATACCGGGTGACTTGTGGACGCGCTTGGATCGTCCCCGCGCGTGCGCCAACGAACCGATTGAAAAGCAGCCGGCAAATTTGTATGCTCTTGTCGCGTAGTCGAGGCGATTGTAACGGAGTCGCGCAGACGCCGCGAGGGTGTCGTTGAGGAATGGGGGTGTTGTTATTGCTATAGAAGAGATGAGGTTGGAGGCAAGCGGCGACAAGAAGCTAAAAGGTAAAGTTAGAGAGTGGCTCGAGTGGTCGAGCTAAAATTCGGAGCCGACTTTTTTGCGGGGAGCCATGTGACCTGACGGGGTAAACGGCGCTAAAAAGCTCGAACCTCAAAAAATATGTATCAAGAGAGGCGCTCCGAGCTAGAATTGTGAACATCAGTTCTAGATCCTTGAAAAGCCTTTGATCAGTCACCTGCTGCTTAGGATCGAGTCACCGATTCGAGACATATAATTCGATCTTTACTGCGATATCAGGTCGATTTAAAGCTCCATTTCACCTTGACTCCAGCTCTTTGTGGTGGATTGGACTGGATTCTCGAGACCAGCCATCCACCTCTTTGTTCTCAGCCTCGTGCAATCGACCAAGCAACTGCTCTCCTAGTATATTGCCTGACCGTCAGACTTACCGACAGATTGAACTGCCACTACTGCTCACCTCTGTTTGCACACATTCCAAACAGCCTCGACGCCATTCGAGTCGCATACCTGGGTCCGGCGACCTCCCTCCTGCGAATAGTCACAGCACAACCCACGAACTTGCCGCGAAGTCTATCTTCCATACCCAGATACTGATTGATTCACCAGTTCCTAAGGAGATCCGATATACGCTTCCCACAACCTCTGTCGAGCTTCTCCAGTAGCTCCTGCATCCCACGCTTCAACATCCTATCCACGATAGCCAGAACTACATAAATTGAGCCATGGCCGACGTAAGGTCCCTTCTGAAGAACGAAAGAGCTGCACGGCGAATACAGCACCAGCATGCAAGCTACTTGACAGGCGGGCTGTCATGTACGATCTGTCACCTCCAAATGAAGGATGCACTCTGGGATGCACACCTACGATCTACTGGGCATATGATGCGAGTTGAGACGGAAAGTACTTCAAAGAAGCGGAAGGCCACCGATGAGGATGGAGAGGACACAATTAGAAAGCGAAGCAAACCTGCCAACGGTCTTCCTGATGGATTCTTTGACGGACCTGGCGAGACTATCGAGATGCCTTCACGACCAGCAACACCCTCGAAGCCGGTAGCCAAGGTTGATGAGGACGAATGGGCTGCGTTTGAGGCGGATATTGCTACAGCCGAGGAGGAGATGAAGCAAGCAAACGATGCGGTGATCTCAGCACCAGCGATAATGGCGGCAGACGTTGCGAAGGAGGAGATTGCTGCGTTGGACGTTGAAGCAGAGAAGGAGGACGCGGCAAGGAAGTTGGAAGAAGAATTAGAGGAGATGGAGAGTTTGGAAGCAAGAGTCAAGAGGCTGAGGGAGAAAAGAGAGGAGTTGAGGAAGAGGGCAGTGATACCAGTGGTTGTTGCAGAACCGGATGACGATGGAGAGGATGATGATTATGACGACGAGATTGATGATGGTTTAGGGATATACTGACTGGCTATCACGCCAACATTTCTGGCCTTGCTTCTGTTCGGCTTCGCATTGATCGAAGGCACATGACATATCCCTAATCTCCTCCCAACCAGATCGATTCTTGTCGTTTCCAGGTGGAAGATTTTATGGATCGCCCTGGGCTTATTGGAGTGTGGTCTCTGGGGTCCAATTTCATAATCTCCGCCTGCCTCGCATGAATGGGCACGAACTAATCAGCTGCGCGTGAAGAGTTCTGCTCTCTATGCAGAGGTGTCAACGCGGAGTCTGTTGATGGGATTGTGCGATGTGTTCAGACTATACTTGCAGAGACGTAGGACTAAAGGTGTGCTTGCCATACCATTGAGCTGACAGATAGAATCACATTTGGACCAAATGTATGGTGTGCCTGTACTGTCAGGTCGACGCAGATCTCTATTTGAAGCCAAACAACTCTACAAATACACCGGCTTAGAATTGTGTTATGCTTGTTTCCCTATCAACCCTAGAGTAAAGTCCTGGCGAGAAAGGTTTCTACCTAGTTCTTAAATACATGAGGGGAACAAAAGTTCGATTCCATAATGTGGTCTTAGGCAAACTTTCTGCCGCTTTTACCGAAGTCCACGCGTGCAAGAGGAGGAAGTTGAAGCTGGAGAGTTGAATTCGTAACAACCGTAGTGAAGTGGTGGAAGTGAAGAAGGGGAGAGGAAAGAAGAAGAAGAAGCTGTGGGGAGAAGGAAGGATACCGACCACGCACCACGCCGAAAGGCAGAATGCACGAGAGGAAAATCGGAAGCATACCTTATGTTGGGATGATCGGCTGCTCAATACTATAGCAGGGGAGTGATAGAGCTACAATTCTCCTACAATTTCGGACTCATGAAGTAAGCAGATAAGTCAGTTGTCAGGAATATGCCGAGGATCCTCGAGTGTACCTAAGTAGGAGGCATGTGGATGCTAGCTCTCCTAGCTACAGTAGGTCTAAGGTACCTAACGAGTAGGCTCACCGTATGTCTCCCCACCTAAGTTAGGTGTTCTTGCAGCCTACTGTACCTATAGGTACCTAGCCTTAAAGCCTCGCAGCCTTGCGAAGTCAGCCTCGTCAACATGATCAGTCTAGGTATCAAAGTACGAGGTAGGGATTTGCACTGTATTTTTAGATCTGGTGATACCCTAATAAACTGCGCGTGTTGTCTTCTAACTATTTAAAGAGAAAACTTCCAGTTACACATATATTACTATGACTTGAACTCCTACCTATAGGTAGGCTACGCTACAGTAGAGAACCGACCACTGTAGGTACTGTAAAGGTGGGGTTATTTGGTATATTTTAAGTAAAGTGAGGTCGCCAGGGCCAGGGGTTCTGCAGGCTGGGCGAGCTACCTTAGGCTTGCAGAGGGGGCGGCAGCGGCAGTAGGCGGCTCCGCAAAAGGACAACCACATCACACATCACACATCACACAACTTCCCCATGTAACGTCCCCCTCCTCCATCGTGCTGTCTTCGCCTTCGCCTTCGCCTTCGCCTTCGACAATGACAATGGCAGCCTTTTCCACTCTGGAAGCGCTACAAGCCCTGTGTAAATCCATTCCTGAATGGAATACGCGATTAGACGAGCTCAACAGCCAAATAGCTCTGAGACAGATCGAGCTCGCCCGATTGACCGAGGACGAACGACCCCCCACTCGATCCCTTAAGAACCAAGGCTCGACAGAGTCCTTACGACCAAAGGACAGCAACGAGAATAAGAACGAGAATGAGAACCCCTTCGCCTTGAAAGAACCCGAAAGTACCAAAGACGGTCAAACAAACTCTTTCGACACTCCCAAGTCAAATCAGAATAGCTCTACGCGACCAAGTTCTGCGGCTGCGCAGGCAGCTACTACGTCTCTACCTAGGTTAAATTCGAACGCTCGACCCTCACCTGGTCCATTAACACGAAGATCTTCACAACAACATCCGGCACAGGGCCGGACAAGTCCTGCGGTATTGCGAAAACGAAAAACCGAATCTCTCGCTTCTGGCGAGTCAGTAGCTCCGAAATACAAGACAAGGTCAATGATTATTGTTTACTACGACAGTGCAGTGCAGACTGCTTTCGAAGATCTGGTTAAATTTGTGAGCGGGAGTCGAAATTCCATGCGGAAGGGGAAGATGGCTGCAAAAATGGCAGAGATGAAGAGAGCTGCCGAATTAGAAATCGGAGACGAGGATATGGACAATAAGCAGGATAACGCAGATGATAATCTCAACAATAGCAGCGCAACTTCAGGCACTTTGTTAGTAGCTCAAACGTCCATCTCTCCTGGTGAGAAGGGAGCGGGCCCGACTGCTACGCTGGGACCTGGACTAGAACCAGATGCTCTACTAGAGCCAATGCTACCCAAGCTTAATTTTGTCTCGACGAGACAAATGGGCCCATCGAGAGGCAGGGCGGAGGCAGACAAGTTTGGTGGTCGGCTTAGTGTTAGTATGTTACGAGGGTATCGAAGAGGTGGGGGGGAGACCCTAGACATCTTCGACGACTTGGACAAGGGGCTAGAATGGTGTCAGGCGCAATGTGAACACGCCGCCCACCAATTTCTGCGAGAGGGTGATTGTAGTACTGAGATCGTGAATATCAAGCAGAGATTGGAAGAGGTTAAAGCGACTTCAGAAAAGGAGATTAAGAAGCTGAAGAGACATGAGGAAGAGCGATCTCAGGCGATCCCTATACCAGCTGATCCAACTAAAAGTCTTCAGATGAAAGCACCGAATGTGCGGAAAGAGATGCCAGCGTCGACGAGTCTTGAGGTCGACGATAGTATGGAGGTTGATGATGAGGGCGTAGTCGATCTTGAGCTTCCTTCCAAACTAATTTTCAAGAGGTCGAGGGATATTTAGTACTAAACTAGCAGATGTTGCATTTTGATAATTCTACAGTCAAGTAATTCAGCGAGCGAACGTTAGATGTGTAAGGAGAATGTTGATTATGATTTATGATTGTGGTATCAACAGGTAAAACCTTCACTCTTCTATTTATTTGTTTTCCTGCATGTTAGGCTTGATAGGATAGAAGTCATAAAAGACGGGATATAGATTTATTGGAGGTTACCGGAATGACAGTGAGATATTACCTATGCCAATCAGTTCAAAAGGGTAGAGTTATTATAAATGAGAATGCACGAAACTGCACTGCTATATGAAAGAAAGTACAGTAGTGAAGTGTATATTAAGTGTCGGTGAGATCCTGAGAAGTAATAGCAGTTCGCTATAAAGAGAAGTTAAAGCTTAGATTTGTACATTTACATCAGGGTAGCACTATGTACTTCTCCAAATGCTTAGGTATCGCTCCTAGCAATTTCTTCTCCGTCAGCCACTTCTTTGAAAATAGCCTGTCCGCATATCTATATGCACCATCACATAGTACAGTCACAACAGTATGACCTTTTCCGAGCTTCTCTGCAACCTCTTTTGCGGCAGCTACGTTCAAACAAGAACTAGCACCAAGATACAATCCTTCCTCATCTAAACATCTATAAACCATCTCAATACTCTTCTCATCACTAATAGTCATCGATCCGTCTAGCAAGTCGATATCTGGCTGCAGGTTATCCGTCACTCGTCCCTGGCCGATGCCTTCCGTAATACTAGATCCAGACCTCTCAATCAGGTTCCCACCAGAGCTGATGTACGAGTGAAGAACGCTTCCCGGAGGATCTGCTAAGTAGCACTGTACCTTCCCGTCTGACACAGTCTTCAGATATCTCGTTATCCCAGCCAGAGTCCCACCAGTACCTGTAGCACATGTAAACGCATCTACCTTTCCTTTAGTCTGCGCCCAGATCTCAGGGCCCGTCGTCTCAATATGCGCCTTCCTATTCGCGATATTATCGAACTGGTTCGTCCATACGGAATTTCGCATCCTATCCGCATGACGCTTAGCCTGGTGGTTGTAGTTTTCCGGATTGTCGAACGCGACCGCTGGGACAGGATAGACCTCTGCGCCGAGAAGTCGCAATAAGTCGATCTTGCCTTGCGATTGTGTATTCGGCATATAGATCACTAGTTTATAGCCCTTCGACCTGCAGACATGCGCGAGCCCAATGCCGGTGTTTCCAGCTGTGCCTTCGACCACGGTCCCGCCGGGCTTCAAGAGACCCTTCTCCTCTGCATCCTTGACAACGTACAGAGCAGCTCGATCCTTGACCGATCCTCCGGGGTTCATGAATTCCGCTTTTCCTAAGACTTCGCAGCCTGTTGCGTCGGAGATGTGGTTCAGACGGATAAGAGGGGTGTTGCCAATTGCTAGAAAGAGAGTTAGTAGAGCTGTCTAGTAGATATGGAGGGGCCAAAATCACCTCCGGTCAAGCCTTGGACAATTCCTTGGGCTTTAGAGACACTGATGCCGTATGTATCTGCTGCTTCTATCTGTGCAGCTGTATCTGCTACCCTCCTAGCTGTGCTAGTGAACGTTCGTACCCCGAGTCTGAACATGTTTGCGGTGTCTATCGAAAGTTATGGTTTCGAGGTTCTCCGATTGGTGATTTGTTTTGAACGAAAGAGCTTACGGAAATGTGCTGGCCTTAGGTTAGCCGAGCTTGTGGACGTTGAATTTAAGATACTAACAGCGACACTAGGCCTCTTCAACAGCGAGGAACCTGCCGTTTGTGTATGAGAACAGATCTTCCTGGATAATTGGATGTTCTGACTTAAATCAGTGACTTTAATGCAAGAGATCAATTACTCTTACACACTGAACTTGGAGCTCGTCCTACTTCTTGAATCTAGATCCCTACGCCTGACAAATAATTGAAAGTTCACAGATCCTCTTTCACAGATCCTCTCTATATTATCCTGCTTTTGGGTTCACATATTCTTCTATTATAAACATCGATGATATCACGTCGAAGAAAGGTATTCGGGGCAGATCATAAGCCTGATTATTTGGCAGTTAAGATCATGCCGAAAAGATTCATCTGATTAGAGGTTTCGTTAGATACATCGTCTCTAGTTCGAGTCTGAGCCCTGTTCTGCTTTCACATCCTTCTTTATAGCCACTTGGAATTTTTGGACCTGTGAAGAGTCAGCACTAGTTATCAGTATCTCGTAGTGAACTGACCCAAGTCGTGAATTCGTCTTCCTGGCCTTTCCAGTTTTTGTTCAAGAGCTGCAGAGTTGGAAATCCAGAGAAGAAGCATTGATCCATCCTCTTATCAATCTCCTTTACGTCCAACTCGTAGAATGCACTGGCTAGTTCATCAACAATATCCGGAATATCCTTCATAACTTCGAGAACTTGGTCTATAGAGCTTAGAATGTTTGGATTTCCGTTCGCCTGCTTTCCTTCTTCGGTACGTGGGTCAGGCAGAGGACTCTTTGGAATTGTTTTGAAGCGCCGCTTAACCACTGCTTGGTACATCAGACTCAGGAGTTTCAGTCGCTTCAACGATGACTCCAGCCTAGGACGGATCTTCATTGGATCCTCGCTAGGGATGTACCGTTGACTGCCAAATATATCATCCACAGCAGCCTGAGCATCATCTTCATCGCCACTCTCTGCCTGACCATCCTTCTCCTCATCGGACTCTTCCTCTCCCCATTCCTGCAGCTCCTCCAGCGCATCCCTTAGAGTCGCCCTGTACTGCTCTGCCTTCCTAATAACTAAGCCAGTAATCCCTAAATTCCTCAGCTCAATCACTGCATCGCAAGCCTGCCAAACAGTTCCTGTCATCGCCAGACTTCCCTTGCCTTTCGTTGCCCCTGTCCCATTCTTTGCATCATCGCTTAAGATCTTGCCATCCAAGGGTATAGCCTTAACTAAAGTCTCGAACTCTTTCATAACTCTGCTGACCTGGTACTTCAACTCCTCGTTCACTGCCTTAGTGTATGTAGACGCATCGCAGAGCTCGACCGCGGAAGCAAGGCCGGCGAGAGGACTGCTAATAAGCTCTCGCAGAACTTTAGTGATTGCAGATGCCGTGAACGGCTCGTTGATTATTAGGAGAGAGATCTTTGTGGAATATGCGCGAATGAGGGATGCTGCATCGTAGGCAAGGTCGAGGGCGTTGACTTCTGCCTGGGTTGACTTTTCTGCCAGAGTAGGTGTCTGGAGCTGGGAGAGGAGTGCGAGAGTCGTAGCCACTGTGGATTTGAGTATCTCCAGATCGCCTCGTGATTTGATGTCGGATTTGGCCATTTCAAAGCTGTAAGCTTGTGTTGTGCGTAGTTGTGATCAGAGTAGTGTACGGGTACTGTGTTTTGTTTAGAGGCAAAAATAAACTCCAGAGGCGGAATTAGCCCCGTACAAGTTCAAATCTAGTAAATTAGTTTCTGAGGGGACTTTCACAAGGAAAACTTCCTTGTTCTGCCGCGGGCGGTGAGCCTAAAATTAAGGCCATTCGTAAGGACAAACGATATTAAATTGGAACTTTGAAACAATCAATCTCTTGAGTTCAAGTTTATCAATTATTATAACTCCTTACATATCACCAGTTTTCGAACTACAAGAAGTCCTTGAGAATGCTGGACTTACATCAGATTTTCCCTTCGCTGATGCGCCGGCAATTCCTATTCTGCTCTTCAGCAAATCCACCAATGACAATATGTGTGAATCTTCAAGACTCTAGATATATACAAATTTCTATGATCAATACATGTCTCTTTTCCAGCCCTACCTACAACTTGGACTTAACCATCCCTGGCGCAAACGACGTACCCTTCCCCTCTCCTAACGCCTCAACAACAGAATCCACCGCCCCAAGCAACCAAATATTCCCCTCATCTGTAGCTAACCATTCCCCACCCTCAACTGCAAACTCCCCCTTCGCTTTAAAGCTCTCATCCTCGAATGCTTTCCTCAATCCAAACACATGACTAGTAACCTGTGGCCCTACACCAGTCTGAGCCCTCAAACACGCCACAGCAACGATACTAGTCAGGACTCGTCCAACCTTAGCTCCAGACTCGTGACCTAGAGCCGGAGGATCAGCGAACAGCGCGCCGTACTCATGGTTCAGAATAAAGACCGGGAGGTCGGGATGGGATTCTGCGAGCTTAGCGTAGAGCTTTTCGTCGAATGGCCGATAGATGGATTCCCATAGAGAGTTTCCGCGGGTGATGATGTCGTCGATGTTGGATTGTGATGCGATTCTGGAGGGGAAGGTTAGCAATTGGCTCGGAAAGGACTCAGTATAATATAACTGACCTTGTAGGTTTCGTAGATAGCGAAGACACAATCTCACTAGGTAGACTGGCTCTGAATGCTCCCAGACAGTTAATGGTTCTTGGGACCTGTCACGTGGTGTTAGTATCCAGGCATTACCTTATGCTATGTAAGGTGGGAGTGACGCACTCCATTGAAGCCAATACATTTCAAGCCGACTTCTCTCATCAGTTCAGCTGTTTCGACAGACTTCTTCTTGTCTTTCGACTTTTCCGTCGCCAGGTTATACAGCTCCGTTAATGATTCGGGCGAATTCATCGTCATAGTTGCGGCAGTCTTCCCCGTCAGCTTCATCTAATCTACACTCTACAGCGTAAGGGTACTTACAGATAATGTCAGCCATGCTGGTGTGCCTACGTTCTTCGCTGAAGCTTCCTGTCGTAATCTCTCATATACAGATGTGATTCGAGGTGTAGCTGGAAGGGTGTTTGGTCGAGCGAATGATGCTCCGATCAGCGCTTTGAGTGATGACGACAGCTTCGACATTGTGAAGTTCAGAATATACACTTTCCGCAATACAGCAAACAACAGCGCAATTGATGACTGATATATCAGATCAATTGTAGCTTATTCCTGGTCGTCAGTTGTAATTAACTGCTCGCCGTCGGAATAACAACGTCGGCGGAAAAATATTGCCGCTGAAAGAATAGCCGAAAGTTTGTGGACCTCGGTCTCCAAAAGAATGGCCGAGACATCGAACCATTAACAAATCCAGTTACACCGGCCAGTCCCTGCAAGGCTGCAAGTCGCCTGATAGCGCTGACCCTCTCTCGAGCCTCTGCGCATTTCAGTAGGCTTCACTACTAGCCGAACGACCCCGTCTTCCCCTCGTTACACCTCCTCTTTGGGGAGCCTTGCGCTGCAGGGAAGGCTGGAATCAAATAGTGGTGCGGAGAGCTAGAACCGGCCACTACAGTACAAAAGTAGGCTTACACAGATTTTCCCAGAAGCTTGTTTTCTTTTTCCCTACCAACCTAGGGCTTTTGTTGTCTTCCAAGCAATATTCCAAGCCTTTCTCTATCTTGGTGTCGTTCCCATATTCGACGAGATGGCTACTCACGATCTGCCCCACAAGAAGGACAAGAAGGACAAGCTGAGGGTATTCTCTAGGACCAGCCGAGAAATCCAGAGTTACGAGCTCATATATGGACAGTAGAGGATGATCTGAGGGCAGGTTTGACTTAAACTTAAGAGATTCAAAACTCGGGTTCAGTTCAGCAAGAGTCCTCAGTGCAGCGAGAGTCCTCAATTCAGCGAGAGTCCTAGTTTATATAATAACAGCGATAATACCTGGCTTTATCACACAGTGGAATTTCTCTTGAGTTAAGAAATGTGAACAGCTTTCAGGTTTTGTCGCCCTGAACTGAGCTGAAGGGGCTCGCCTACCACAATTGTAAACACTACGTGATTCTCCGTCAGGTAAAGAGAAGCTTCTTGACCCTGTGGCATCTCATATAGACTTTTAAAAATATTTGAGATTTGAAGTGTAAGATAAGGTTGATGCAATTACCCAAGTACTCTGCAGTCTGATTCTGAACAGGGCAGGCCATCCGATAAGCACTCCTTATCGGGGAAGCTTGTGATGCGCCAAGATCTCAACCCTTACCTATGTCATCGTCACTTTCCATTCTAACCAAACCTCATTCCTAACATCGGAAAGCTACATTGCACGTCGCATATCGACTTTGCGGGACAAGATGCATTCGTAAAGTCCTCAATCATCAGTGCTCCGTGCCAGAACTTGGACCAAGCAGCTGTTCCAACCCCCTGAGCTACCTCTGACCGTTTACCTGAGATAAACAACAGTCGTTCCCTAGCATTCCTCGCAGCAGCGCAACTATGGTTAGTAAAAGTTGTTACTACAAGTCTCGATATATATAACTTATACTCTGTAGGATCTCATACTAAAGCCAGTGCGAGTCGCAACGTCCAAGCCTGCGCGAAAAACCTACCTCAATACCATCCTGTTTATGATAACCTCCTCGATCCTGCTTGGCCTAGCAGTCTTCGCATACATCCTCTTCTACTACAACTATGTACCCCAAATAGGAATTGAGCGTGTAATCCATCTGCAATATGGGTATACTCCCTCGTTCTGCTCCTCCAATCCACGATACGATGCTAACAGTCCCAGCGCCGGTCCCCACCCCTACGGAATAACCTCCCTCGACGCCTCCCTCGTCTCCCAACAGCCCTACGACATAACACTCACCCTCCACGTCCCCCGCTCCCCACCTAATCTCCACCGCGGCAACTTCATGCTCTCCCTCACCCTCCTCTCTCCAACCTACAAACCTCACCCCCCTCCAACCCACCTCGACCCCCTCACATCCCCAATCGGAACCGCAACTCTACCTCCACCTCTACCACCAACCCTCTCCCTCTCCAAAGACGACATCCTCTTCACCTCCCGCCGCCCTACAATCCTTACCTACACCTCCCGGCTCATCTCCCTTTCCTCGCGGCTCCTCTCTCTCCCCCTCTACCTCCTCAACCTCAAGCACGAATCCGAAACCCTACACATACCCATGGCAGAATCGGCTTCCTTCCCCCGCGGTAGGAAAAACATCCCCGGCTTTGCAATGCTGGAACTCCAAGCCGGGCAAGAGGTCCAAGTCTACTCTGCAAAGATCACATTTACAGCTCGGTTCGGCGGCCTGAGATGGCTGATGTACAACCACCGGGTGATCTCATTCGTGATTTTCACGTCGGCGTTTTGGGTTGCGGAGGTGCTGTTTACTGCTATTGGGTGGCTTATTGTGCGGTCTATTTTCTCGTCTGCGGCTACAGTGAAGAAAGAAGAAGCGGGGGCTGTTAAGGCCGAGGAAACAGACGCGAGTCTTACTGGTATAAAGAATGAAGGTGACGAGACGGATGAGTTGGATCTGTCTGATACGCCGCGGACGTTCCCGACGTATGGGCGGCAGGCGCCGTTGCGGTATGTGTCGAGTGGGAAGGATGAGCCGCAGGTTAAGGACGAGGATAGCGAGGAGTATGTGGCGTTTCAGAGGGGGGCGCTGGCTGAGGCGGATGATGAGGATGATGGGGAGGATGTGGGGGGGTATAGAGGGGGGAGGACGGATTCGGGGATTGGGACGAGTTTTAGTGAAGGGGGTGAGATGGGGGGTGTGAAGAGGAGGAGGTCGAAGGGTGGGAGGGTTTGAGAGCTTGCTTGGGCGGGCGTGTTGGAATTGGTGAACGGCGAGCTTAGATACGATACTCTGGGTTGGAATAGGAATTTTTACACAAAATAATCGATAATAGGATTTGGCTTTCTTTTCACCTCAAAATTCTTCCCTATATGGTTAAGCAGGACTGTTAAGCGAAGATGCCGATGTCAACAATAAACAAACGCCTAGTCTTGACACTCATAAGGACATATACCCCCATAAAATATCCAGTAGAGATTCAATAAAGCGGGAAAGAGAGCGCAGCACATTTCACTTTTTGGGCAGATTGGCTGATGAGACAGGTGTGTGAGAGTATCGAATATTGACTTTCTTTCTATACATCTATATACCTAAATGGACCCTTCTATTTCTACTTAATACCTCTAAACTCCATATCCATATCCAATATGCACTACCTAACATATTTCCAAGTCTTCTGGGTTCTCTTACAAGCCAGTTTCCAGCAAGCACTGCCGCTCTACTGCACAGGATACACTCTCGCCATTTGCTGTCAAAATGTTAGCATGGATCTCTAAGGTACTCAGACATCAGAACAACATACCGCCGCCTGTCTCGGCTCAATAAACAACGCACTCGCCTCCACCAACACAACCGGCTTCTCCCCCTCCCCCACCAACGTCTCAATATGCCCCTCCACCCACGCCTTCCTCCCCTCCACCTTGGTAGTCCTCGCCCTCAAAACCACATACGCACCCGCCTTCGCCGGCGCCCTATAATTAATATTCAGATTCGCCGTCATCCCCACCTTATTCGGCAGCGCCGCAAAACAACACCTCGCCAACCCCTCATCCAACATCGTCGCTAGCATACCGCCGTGCACGAGCCCAGGGTGTCCGCACAGGTCGCCACCTAGGTACTGGATTGAGACGAGGGACTTGCCGCCCTCTTCGCTGAACACGAGGGGTGGGACGACGACTTTCCCGGGCCCCATGAGCGTCCCTGCTGTGAGGCTGTGGGAGCGTTGCGCTTCGGGGACTTTGAGGTGAGGGCGGGATTCGGAGAATTGGGGTTGGGCGCGGAGGGAGATGGCGAGGGGGTGGTTTCTGATGAAGGTTTCTACTTCTTGGGAGAGGGTGTCGTCGCCGGGTGTGTACATCGTGAGGGTTTCTTCGTCCGTGGGCGGGTTCAGGTACCCGTTTGCGGCCTGGATGACGGGCGCGGCGGCCATAGTGAAGCCGAGGGTGGTGAAGACGATGCTGAGGAGGAAGACGTTGGCGGTGCGGCGGAGGAGGGATTTCTTGACTGGGTAGGAGGAGGAGGAGGAGGCGGTAGAGGGTTGTGGTGAGGATGGTATTGCTTTGGGGAGAAGTTGATTAGCAATGGAGCTTTGTACTTTTGTAAATTAATATATTTCGGGCTTGTGAAGTTCAGAAATGACAGATAGGAAAATAGACAAACCTTGAACGTTTCCGAGACGCTTACTCGTATGGAAGGCTTTTGACTGGAGGTTGAGGGGTAGAGTATTGACTCGTGCAACTCTCACGATGGGAAGACACCTCGAGGCTCCCGGCCTAAACATATATTTTTCTGCCAAGCGAGACGCCATTGCCACGGACATCGGAGCAACTGAACTTTTTTGTTCTCTCTCTCTCTCTCTCTCTAGTACTTATCAATGGAATGTCGGCCGTGAGAGCGTGGACATGCCGATGCCAATAGGTGCTATGCGCAAGTGCTGTTGATGTAGTGGGGCAGGAGAGATAGATATGGAGCAGGAGAACCTTGAAGACGGGAGGGAGGCGAGGGAGGCAAAAGAAAAATGTCTTGTCCTGTCTGTACGAGTAGCCTCGGTTGTTTTAGAGTGCAGTACCTGCGTCGGAGCTGAAGGGACCGCGAATACAACCTTGACCACGCTGAAGGACGCTGAAATAATAATGGTCCGAAGTCCGTCGAGGGGTCCTTAACATATCGACCTGGCTCAGCGCACTCGCTTACTTTGGTATAATATCGTCGCTGGCCTCTACTCATTCGGTCTCTTCCTCCCCATCATCGTGGAGCTTGGATACACCGCTAGCAAAGCCCAACTCTGGTCCGTTATCTCCTACGCCGTCGCATCCCTTCCTCTCTGAGCTACAAAGTCTCAGGCTGACTATATGGTACTAGATATTTCTACCAACTAGTCTTATGCAATAAGCTGCTGTAGAGTCTACTGGGAACGAGAAAATATACGGTTCTCTTTGTCTTGGGCATCATGCTTGCTTGCTCTCCTGCGTGTGGAAAGATATTGAAAGAGAGAGCTAAAACTGGAGGGAAAATACAAAAGAAAGGAGTGGAGAGATTTCATTTTGATCGGGGGAAATAGTCAAAATCAAATACCTCAGAAATAACGAGAGTTTTACATCGTCACAAGTCTGAGGCCGTCTTAGAAAACCAAGAACGCAAGCTCGTCCATTCAGTGCACGGAATTCCACTGCTCTAACAATGTACTGTTGTCTCTTCCCTTTTCCCCTCACCTACCAGGAGCAATTTCAACGCAAGTTCGTAAACTAGGCAAAGCGCATCGAGCAAGCATTCATTCTCATTTCATATTTCTTATTCCCATCCCAAACGCCTAACCCCTCTCTCCCGTTTCCCCCGCTCTCCTCTACCTTCCCCCCCCTAAGCAGCAGCAACCTCCACACTCCTCCTCTCACCATCCGCCTCTCCCGTATTAACCTTCTTCCCCGTCTTAGCAATTGTAGCAAGGACTTTATCGTATGAGAGAGAGGGTTCAGTGACGACGGTAGCGGTTTGGGTGTCGAGGGAGACGTCATAGGATTTTACGCCTGAAGTGGGGAGAGGACGTTAGCTGGTTGGGAGATAATGCGCGGTAGGGAGGGAAGGGGAAAAGCGGAGAGAAAAGAGGGGATAGGAGAGAGATAGAGAACAAGAGACAGGGAAATAAAGGAGAGAGATACACCTTCAGCGAGGATTCTATCACTCTGCCCCAGTCCATTTCTTGTATTCACGAATCTTCGTGCGGCTTGCAGAATTGTAATACTGAATAGTAGGTGGAGAGATGATAGACAATACACAGAAGGATAGAAATTGAACACAGAGAGACGCAGAACAATGAAATTTAAACGTACCCTCCAACTTTCCCAAGACTCTATTAACAGCGCCTGAGCACCCCCCACAGCTCATACTGACGTTGAACTTATACGTATGATCTTGTTCTGTGGACATTTTGATTTTGATTTCTGCTCCTGTTCTGTTCTGTTCTGTTTTGTCGTTGTATTCTGGTGGAAGTCTGCGGAATGGCGGGGTAGTTCTAGCTGGCTTCGTCCTTCTTCCTTATTGTTGTCTGTTGTATGCTGGAGATATGACACAGAGAGAGAGAGTTAGGGCCGGGTATTGGTATTTGTATACGTATCACCTCTCTTTTGCGCGTCGTCGTCGTACTAAGTAGTAAGAAGCAAGTTGTCCTGATATTACGATTAGAAATACACCACCGCTGAAGGCGCAATCAGGAACGGGAGCGCACGGCCGCTAGTGTGGAACGCCTAGCTTCAGCCTCGTCCGTCTGGAACTCTGCCGCGTGGTGAAACTTGCTCATCTGATATGAGGATGAGCATGTTTTTTCTTGTTTGGAACGAGCTGGATACTGTATTGTAGGGTATATCTTAGCTTATATTTGGGCAGATTCAATGATCTTGTTTGGGTGAGCGGGATTTGAGGGAGTTTTACACGGGTATGGGAAATGGGAATGCTATGGCTGATCTGTAGGAGTTCCATCTTGCAGGTGGTGAGTGGGAAGGTCACGTGCTTGGCATCCTTTCTTGTTCCCTGGGTAGGTAATAAGGTAGGTACAATGCTACGGTCCTTTTGGCCGAGTGCTTGTGTTTGTGTTTTGATGGGTTATGTCTATGGTGTACAAGGTGGAATGAGCCGTTTTGAGAAGGTTCGGGACGGAACGATGCGATGCGTATCGATCCTGCTGGCTTTAAATAGATTCTTCTCGGTATTAACCATGTCGCTGGACTGTTGGACATGGAGATGTGCAGGATATCCATATTAGAAGCTACCTCAGATACATCGTGTGCATACATAGGTGTGCATATTTCCGGAGCCTACCAGAATACCAACACTGTCTTCTATTCTACCTATCTATCTATTTCTCGCCTCCGGCCCACCACGACCCACCTCATCCTCCCCCAACAACTCCGGCATCTCCTCATCCGTATCCGTATTTTCACTCTCGCCCTCACTATCCTCATCCTGCTGGGCCGGCGGCTGTCCCGACCCCCACAGCATATTCAGAACCCTCCGCGCAAGACTCCCATCCGTATGTCTATAATCCCCACCAATCCCATCAGCCGGCTCCGCGTTATCGTCTTCGCCATCATCTTCCCCTGGCTCCTCCTGTCTCGCGACATTTTGCAAGATAGCAGCTTCCAGTTCGCGACGCATAGCTTCGGGAAACTCCTCATCGCTCATATCGAAATCGTCGTCGTCTGAGCCGCGAGGGAAACCAGGGATGAGAGCGCGTAGAGCAGCGAGTGGGTTGAGATAATTGCCCCCAAGACCTCTGGTGTCCCGAGCGCGGCCTTCGATTGCGAGACGCTGCGATTCGTATGAGTAGATGTTGATGTCTGGTGGTAGGGGGTCCGCGTCTGAGTTGTTGCTTCGGTGGAGGAGGTGGCTTGGTGCGAGGGCCATAATGGCTGGTGTGTTGTCGAGGTAAACGAAGCGGACGACGTCGAGCGTCATTTCCTTGTTGTCGAGTTTGGGGATCGAGTCCGCATTGACCTTTGGAATGGTGTGTGCGACTTCCATGATTAAGGCAGTGGCTTCGGGGGTATTCCAAAGATCTTTAGTCTGAAGGACGTACATCTCTGTGAAGAGGGACTCGGCGTCGGTTCGAGGCATTATACCCCATATGCTCGGTGGCGCATCCAAGTTGAGTTCTTTGAAGAGGTGAGTGAAGAGCCAAGGCAGGGCTTGCATCGAGGCGCTCAGCAGCTTCCTACATTGAGTGCTCTCCTTGAGTTGAATTGCTGCAAAAGCAAGCGAAGGAGTCGTATGCGATGCTGCATGGCATTTTCCATCGAGGGCTGAAGGAGTCCAGATTTCTGGTATCTCACTTTCGGAAACATCCAGCAACCAGTTGAATTCTCGAGCTTTGAGCGCAAGTTGGTGGATGAGAAGTCGCATGCAATATGGGTCTCCCTCTGGATCCAGGCTGAGAATGAGCTTTGCCCATTCCAAAGCTGTTCGGTATGTTCCCTTCATCAGCAAGGACCTGATATATTGGTATGCCGCCAGCCATAGTTCTCGGTTTTCTGGTCGAGCGAAATCCAATCGAGCTTTGCCTTGCGATAATTTCGTATGGAATAGCGATGTAGCAGCTCTCCCAAAACTAAACAATGCTCGTTCAAGGAGATCTGCTGACAAGGCATGATCTGTTTGGTCTTTAGCGATTTTGCTGACTTGGATGAGGAGGGAGATATGGTAGGCTAGGTATTTGTTAGCAGTGCCCGAAAAGGATATGGACTGAACATACGATTTCTAGTCAAAAGTCCAATCAAATTCTGAGGATCTCCCATCTCCACAAATCCCTGGAAAGTCTGTTGTAAAGTCTGGTATGCCTGATCGTGCACATAGCGAAATTCCACAGTCCCGTCATCCGTCTTATCATCTACCACAGCCATTGTCAAACCACCCGTAGTAGCTCTAGGCCAATCATCCTTCCCTTGTATGAAAACATTCCGCCGTAGTGTCAGTTCCGAGAGACCCTTTCCAGGCTGGTGATGTCCCTTCAAAGCAGTCTCCAAATCAACCTGCTGGTTCTGACCCCGCTGTCTCGGTCTTCTTCCTCCTCGTCCACCTGGTTCCTCCATAACCTCCACAGCAGCTTTCCCAAACAGATTCCGCATTTCATTTGCTACCTTCAAATGTTGTGTATTTATCCCCAACAATGCGCACACCCTCTCATATTCCGGATCTACCGTGAGCTTCGTGTCTGCATATTGGCCTCCCGCCGGTTTCTTGAGTGCCAATTCCCTCAACGCGGCATCAATATCATCGACATCTGCCTTAGGAGCCTCTTTCTCCACGGGTTCCTCTTTTGCTTTTTTTGCCTTCTTCTTTTTCTTCGACTTCTTTGCCTTCTTCGCCGCAGAGGGTGGGGTAGCTGTTACTATGGGTTCTGGAGCCTCGTCCTTCTCCTCCTCATCTTCGTCCTCGTCGTCTTCATTCTCATCTTCAAGAGCGGCGAGGTTTGCGAATAGACTAGGCTTTGCTTTCGTAGGTGCGATGGGCTCGTCTTCTGATTCTTCCTCCTCTGCTTGTGCTTGAAGTTGCGCCTGCTCGAGTTCACGTTGCAGTTGCAGCTTTCGTAACTGTCTGCTCGACATGATGTGGACAATACAGATACCTTGCCAGAAATGACGCCGTAAAAGTCTCAAACTCGGTATCTTAAAACTTGGGAAATGCCTGTGGGGAGAATGTGATCTTGAACTTTGAGATATTTACAAAATAGTCCCTCTCAGACTTCGGCCAATGACGCATTTCATCGGCAGAATTCCGGATCTGGAGTTTCGCCCTGTCTATCACGGAAAGAGCAGAAAGACAACACTCAACCACCTTCACAACCAGGCGACATCGCCCAAGGTACTCGAGCCTGTCACATATCCACTTCTCTTCTTCTTCTCTCTCACCTTACACATAATGCCACAGCGATAATATTTCTTTCCTCTAAGCTCTCCTCTGTGATCTACCAGGCTCATCCGTCCTGTCCCTCGGTCTTCCTTGCTGCCTCTCGTCGCCTAGAGTTGAGATAAGCCCTCTCCTCGTCGCGAATAGAGCCCTCGAAACACCCAGGCCTCAGACTCACTTCTGAGCCTCCGCCACCCACAATCCAATGCGTCGAGCAGCAGTGAGGGCATTTCGGACAGCGCGTCTGGTTCCACGCAACAGCATCTCCCTACGAACTCGCAGCGGAACCTTTCAATCTTCAAGCTATGCACTAGGCATCCGAAACTCATCAGGACGAGCAAACTCGACCACGAAGACTACACCCGCCTCAGCCAAGATCGCTGCGACCGCAAAAGCATCGTCGTCGATGTATATCCGCAGATTCTCGGTCGCTGTGGTTTCTGGTTTGGTGGGTTATGGAGCTTGGTATACATACAAGTATCAAGCTGGGGACTTCAACGGTACATCTATCGCGCAGGCTCAACAGTCTAGAGGCTTGACTACATCGCCTACGCTTTACGCGCCTCTACCAACGGGAGAGCCGGATATAGAGAGGAAGGCGGTGATTGTCGGTGCAGATACTCTATACACTGGAGCTATTACTGGCGACGAACCAATATCTAAGGACACAGACGAGTCGGGTAGGAAGGTCTTGGAGATGTTGACCCCAGACCAAGCCACGCAGAAGTTACGGAGGAATGAGGAGTCATATCTGGTGGGACGGGGAAAGGGCGTTGTGAGATATGATGTGGTGCAAATACCCAGTAACGATCCTATTGAGGACGATCATGTGGAGAAAATAATCGAGTTGCCGCAAGCATTAGCAACTGCTACGGCTGCAAAGAATAATTCTAGCGATTGGATGTTCTGGGGAGTGTTTGATGGTCATTCGTAAGTGTTTTCCCCACAGAGTGGTTGCATAGCTAACCTTAACAGAGGCTGGACTACTTCTGCTAAGCTTCGACAAGTTTTAGTAAGCTTTGTTGCTCGGGAATTGAACTCCACATACAAAGCTGCTCTCGCAGATCCATCAGTCGACACACCATCCTCAGAAGCTATTGAAACTGCTATCAAGACCGGTTTTAATAGACTGGACCATGAAATCGTCCACGAAAGTGTAGAGAAGGTCTTGAAGTCCAACTCGAAACTAGTTGCCGCTGAACTCCTCGCGCCCGCTCTTTCCGGATCATGTGCGCTTCTCTCCTTTTATGACAGCAATACAAAACTCCTACGAGTAGCTTGTACCGGTGATTCTCGAGCCGTTCTCGGTCGACGAGGAGATTCCGGGAAGTGGGTCGCTACCCCATTATCTGTCGATCAAACCGGAAGTAACCCAGACGAAGAGGCCCGCATGCGTAAACAGCATCCTGGGGAACCAAATGTCATCCGCAACGGCAGAGTACTTGGTGGCCTCGAACCATCCCGAGCATTCGGGGATGCAACGTATAAATGGTCCCGTGAAGTCTCCGAGCGTCTCAAGCAATCCTTCTTCGGCCGCACTCCCTCGCAGCTCCTCCGTACACCTCCGTACGTCACAGCCGAGCCCATAGTCACAACCACCAAGATTCAGCCTGAAAAGGGAGACTTCGTGGTCATGGCCACTGATGGTCTCTGGGAAATGCTTACTAACGAAGAAGTCGTTGGTCTCGTAGGCCAGTGGATCGAGAAGCAATCTGGCGAGTCGAATGGTAGTTCGTGGGCTAAGATGTTCTCCCAGCAGAAAGGTCTACCCGTCGAGCAAGGCGGTAAGAAGTCAGAGGGTAAAGATGGTCAGAAGACTCCCATTAGACAGCAGCAGTGGGGTGTAAAGGGTGGTGAGATGGAGAGGTTTGTCGTGGAGGATAAGAATGTTGCTACTCATCTTGTGAGGAATGCGCTTGGTGGAAAGGACAAGGATATGGTTTGTGCGTTGTTGACTTTACCAGCGCCGTATTCAAGGCGGTATAGGTATGTTCCTACTTCTTCTTGCCCTTTCTCATTCCCACCTCCTTCCTTCCACACACAAATCACTCCCAGTAGACACTAACTCTCTAAATAAGAGACGATCTCACAGTCGAAGTCATCTTCTTCGGCAACAGCGACAAGAGCGGCGACGTAGTCCTCAACAAGGAAGCCAGCGCCTCAGCAGCCGAACCTAAAGCAAAACTATGATTTGATTCCGCCCCCCTTTTCCCACACCATATCCTATCTCGTGCGTATCTCTCTATTCTGCTATTGGCATCTAGCATAGAGCATAGACGGAGCTTGGTAGCGTGTATTTTGTAGCTTATATATTGATCTTCAATAAGAATTTGAGATCCAAGACAAGCACTTCATGGCAAGATTGTGGGAACAGTACTTGAGAAAAACCCAATCCTGGTTCATACTCTAAAGTTATATATATTCAGACCATGATGTGTTGATACAGCAACTAATCTACGAGCGCTGCTCATCCTAAAGTCAAGTGTGGGATGACGTTCGTGATGGCCGCGGGGATGTATGCCAGTGTCCTATGTGTGCTTGTTTGGGACTCCGACACTTGTGCGGGATATTACAGGAGGGCTACGACGACTGCTTTGCGGCTGATGATTGCGAGTATCGGCGGGGATTGCAAGGAGCCGTACGCTGCACATAGATAGCGGGCAAGCTAATGTAGGTAGGTAAGTCAAAGACAGAATCCAGGTACTTGAAGTCACGTGAGTGTCATGAAGCGTTCAGCGCTTTGGGATTTACCTAGGCAAGGCTCAAGGCTTCTTAGTGGGGAGACCTCATGATATCCCATGGAAACATCATGCATAGCCTATGCTGAGTCTAAAAGTGCTTGATCATGATGATTATCACCACCAATAGCGGCTCGGTGTAACCTACGGTCAAGCTGGTGCTCGAAAGTGCGAAGGCAGGTTGTGTGGTAGGCAGGCTCGCAGGGACGCTGTCAACTATAGCAAGACTGATAACTGTTGCAAGTTGCGAAGTATGTGAATACTATTCTCAAGTCAAGCACGCAACTTCTATCCAAGTCTGTTCTTAAATTGGATCATGAATAACTTCACTTCACTCGAATCATGACAGGAAAAGAAAAGGTGTTTTGTCCTCAGTAGGTAGGGTCCCCTTAGCGTGTACTAGGATTTTCGCTGTATACCCGTGCCAGTATTAGGAAATAATACGATCACGTTGGTAAGTCGGTAAGAGAGGTACCTAGGTACGATTTGATTGATGCGATTGACTGATGGAAATATTGGCCCGTACAAGTACCAACACCAACACCTATTCTGTGAGGGTGTGAAATGTGCCTCGCCCGTGGCCTAGGTAGTCTCAAAAGCGTCCTAGAAGTCGTACAGTTTTCTGGCCGTCAGTCTGAAGTATTATAAGCGCCATGATAAGTCAGCATTTGAGCAAGGTGCAACAGGTATTGGTAAATATACTGTACCGAGTCTCTGAGTGTACTGTACCTATGATATGATCGACTGCTGCAGCCTGACAGAAATAACGGGCTGGCTGTACCTCCTTGATTGGGACTAGGTAAGCTATTCCAGCCCCGAGGAGATACCAGTTCTTGCACGGGTCCCGTGATCTGCTGTCCGCTGCTTGGCCTTGAATGATGGCTGCCAATAATTGGCTCTCAACGTGCGGGGTGGTCTTTGCAGAAAAGTCTTTTTCTGCGCAAGCCAGGCGAGCCAGGGCAGGGCACGAGTCTCTACGCAGTAGGACTGTTGATGGGATAAAGCCGCATGTAGTATTTTCTTCCTACGCCTGGATTTTTCTCAAGTCTGGCTTGCAGTACATGCACCTGTCTGTCTGAGAGGATTTCTAGCTAAACCACGACAGAAAGAGCAGGTGACTTAGAACTAATAATGGAAGTGCCTGTGCTTGTTATTCAGTTTACAACAGTGCATCTCGGTACTGTACTGTACTGTACACCTATCGCTAGCCAGGCGAGCCAGGCTATGAGCATTGAGCATGTCCGTCCCGAATAGTACTAGACGAGGAGCGAGACTTGTTAGGATTTTTTGCACTTTGACTTGTCTGGGTCCGTACTTCGTACAGTAGGCTGGGTAGGCGAGTGAGGAGATCTGATCCACAAATAAGCTACCTAACCTTCGATTATCCTAGCAGGCGATCGTTTGTCCTTCAGTTTACAGACATATCTGGTAAATTACAAGCAATGACTTTTGAGGCTTAAATACTTATAAATGTAACTGCAGCGAAGGCGGCATCTACCTAGATATGAGGTACCTGTTCAAAGTATCGGTCTGCAGCACGGCGTTGGCTGAGTTGACTGAGTTAACCTCCTACTGTAGCTAAGCACAGAACTACTGTACTACAGTAGGCAAGAAGAAAACTCTTCAATGCAAGCGACCGGCACACCCTGGACCGTAGGGCAGGGCACAGACGTTGCAGGCGAGGACCCCTTCTCCACTTCGTGTGTATGGAAGCCGTGGAAGCCATACAGTACAGTAGAACGTGCAGGATTTTGTGGAGGAGCCAATAACAGGGCAGGTCCTATATCTTGGTAGGTAAGGTAAATTTTTGGCTAGACCTGCGGAGGCCAGTCAGGCAGGAGAGACAGCCTGTACTGTAGACAGACCAGTGCAACTCAACCAACATTTCAGGGCTTCAAAGGATTCCAACTTATCGCACTTTTTCCAGCTTCTGCTCCGAGTCCCAAAACACCATGCTACAGTGTGGAGAGTGGATAGTTAGGTATGGTAGAAAATTTGATGGTCGATGCGGCCGGCTAACTTATGTAATGTCTGGGCTGCAACTACACCACCCCTACACCCCACCTCGCACTACCTTAGCTCGCTTAGCCCTCCTTCCTCTACCACATGCACCTCTCACCAGACCAGCCTGCCAGCGAGCCAGCCAATCAGCAGGCTAGTCTTGGCAGCCTAGCCCAACCTGTCGACCTACCTACCCAGTACCTACCTACCCTACCCAGCAGCCAGCTACCTTGCCAAGTTGCCAGTCCCGACTCCCGACTCCCTCCTTAGCCCCTGGTGGCCCTGCCTTCCTTACCCTGCGACTCTGCGAGCCTGCCTACGAGCTACTACTGTACTACTACTTTCGTACAGGAGGCAGTCGCCGCTCCCTCACTCCTCGGCTCCGCTCCTAGCACGAAGCCTTGCCCCAGCCGTATCCGCCTTCGGCCGTCCCAGCAGACTCTGCAAAATTCAAATACCACACTCCCCTTCAAATCTTTTACGTATCCAATTCCTGATTCCATTACTCTACAATCACCCGCTCACTCAATCAATTCTCCCTTCTCTATCTGTCTATCTTCAGCCTTCTCTCTCGACCGTCGTCTCTAGCTCCACGAACCCAGGAACCAAGCTCTCGGGTCCCAGTCAGTTGGGCACGCCGACACACAGACGAGCTAGATCTGATACGATATCGGACATACTCGCAGCCACACCAAACAAACACTGCTGGTTGTTTACGTTTCTCAAGACTCTTATCAGTCGCGACAGTGGCCGTTCGATTCAGGAGCGACTGCCGTGCAGTGAGTGGGGTTGTCTTAGTGGGGTAGAGTAGAGCAAAGCTAGGAAGTTAATTCATTACCACCACTGTTGGAGATGGCCGACACTATGTCCATTGACAAGAAGGAGTCCACCCGGGAGGGCTCCGAGGAATCCATGGACCTTAACTCCCCAACTCCAGAAGCCGAAACTGGAGCACCCCAGGAAAATGCTGCTCAACAGAAGAGGAAGGGTGGCCGGAAGCCTGTGTGTTATTGCTATGACCCCGCATTTCCAGGTTCAAGAGGTACTGATGAACTTCTAGATTTATGCCACCTCTGAGGAACGCAAACAACGTAACCGTCAAGCACAAGCTGCTTTTAGAGAGCGCCGGACGGAGTACATCAAACAACTTGAGGAGACCATCCGAGTGCATGAGACTAATTTGCACAATTTGCAGACCGCCCACCGAAGTGCCGCTGATGAGTGTCTTATGTTGAGGTACAAGAACTCTTTACTAGAGAGGGTCCTGCTAGAGAAAGGTATGAGCCACTGAGTCACTTAATTTGCCCTCCCATCTAATTACGCTCTAGGTATCGATGTTCAGGCCGAACTAAGGGCAAAAACTGGAAGTCCTCATCTTGGACCAACCCACATGCCAAACATGGCTCAAGCTCCTACTGTTCAGAGAGCGATCATGAATCGGCACCATCAAGCAAGACGATCCAACTCTAGCATTGCTCCTAAACTAGAACCAGGAGCGCCTCTGCAGTCTCCGCAGACTCGACCGACACCGTCTTCTCATGCCTCCTCCCCAGCCTCTCATTCGCCAGGATTCAATCCTCCAGGTGTCATGACACCTCCAGCTTCAGAGTCGCAGATGCAATTCCAACATCATCATCAACAACAACGGCTCCAAGCCGCCAAACCACAGCAATCCCACCCAGTCCCAGGAGCTTCCGGGATACTTGGACACGCCGCGGGCATGGGAGGCCTTATAGGAACCAAAGGCCAGGGAGTCGGTGTGGCAGGTAGTACGGGAGGTGCTCCCATGGGCGCCGCGTATTATCCCCCGTCCGCCGACTACCAGAGTCATATTGAGCATATTAAGCAACTCGGCAAGCTGACCCCTCCCCTTCTCAATTTCTTTAATAGAGCTATGTTCGTCCTAGATTGATTCCGTGAGTACAGAACAGGAGTACGACGCGCAAGCCGATATGATCGATGACCAAGATCCAACCGAATCTGGGCCCGGGCCTTACCCTGAACCAATTCCAACGGCACAGCAGCAGATTCCGAATCAGTTCCAGCAGATAGGGAATCAAGGATCAAGTCAAGGCATACAGACTAGCGATCATCCCCAAGGATACACTTCCATGGCACAGCAACTTATGGACCCGTACGACCCAATGCTCGACATGGATCCATTCGGCCTTTCAGCTTCAATGTAAGTCTTCGCTATAGTTTACTCTTCCTCGTAAATCTGAAGTTTCCGGGACTCGACCAGGGCTCTGAGCATACAACTTGATCTGCGCCTACCAAGTTGTCTGAAAATGTACTAACGCGTTATCCAGGCAATTCCCTTCATCCTTTTCCTTTGATACAAGCTCGATGCGATGATACCTAGGAGCGAAGGATATGAATCGAGGAATTGCGGCGTTATTTATAGCAGTGCATTGCGTTGGTGTTTTGGCTTGGATCGGCAGCATTTATGGCGTTGGAAATCACCGGCAAGCATAACCAGTGGAAATCGGACACACCGTCTGTCGGGAACCACCAGGGGCCTCTGTATAGCTGTATGGTACAGCAATAAACTCTTAATTCAAGAGACAGTTCAAACCAACCTGCACGCTTGTCGTATGTCTCTGGTGGGTTACGTTGCAATGTGAGAATGGCAGAGTTTGAGAGCCCTGGCCATGATATTGCACAGATTTGCGTGTAAGACACAGTGGAAGGTCGGGTGACCCGCAATAAGAGTTTCTATGTACCTTATCGGGGGCATTGTTAAAGGGGATACTTCTTACCGCTACTCGTCAGCTTTGACCGCCAGAGAGCTTCTCGAGAAGGGTGTTGCGATATATTTGGGAGGATTATCGGTTCTCATGATACAATAACAAGAACAGAAGGAACCCATCGGAGCGCCGGTGTCAATAGCTTAAGATTTTACAGGAACTGCCCTCCATCTCCAATAATATTGTGACATTCGGGATCATCATCTGCTGTCTCGGGGAGGAGGTCGATGGTCAGGGCAAGGTACGAATTGGTTCGTACGCTATAGCACGAATTGTGATAGACTGATCACGATGACAAGGCTGATGTCGCAAGGCTGCGAGACTACCTAGGTAAGTGTCCAGGACGTTCAGAAAGGAAGTCATGCTGCACGGTACGGCGAATCTAGGTAGGACCAGCCGAGTACTGTAAGCTAGCGGCCGCATCTCTCCTAAGCGCTCCGACCTCTTGAGGTTCCTTGCGATCCTCTTACAATCCTTATCATTTCTACTTTGCATTAAAGCTACTAATAAACATACGTTGTGCCGTCACACAGACTATTCAACAAGGTAGTCTCTGGCTGCGAGCATTTAACCTAATCAGAGAGTCTTTGCTGCAACTAAGCGCTGCAATTGTTCCATAAACAGGAACATTAAGACTGTATTCGGACTGTTCTCGTTAGCTTCGACTAAGCGGTTCAACTGGATTCAACTTACGCAAGTCTCAACCATGCCGGAGTCCATCCTTTCATCAAAAACCCGGGCCCTTCATTTCTTAGCGATTCTGTCACAATTCTTACAATTCCCTGCACATCATTAGTATTCGATGGCGAGGGATTTTAGAAAATGGTAGACCAACAGGGGATTTCCTTTCTGCTGACGCGGCAGCACTTTGCATCCTGCTCTTCAACACATCCGCTGGGGCACAAACAGTTGTCGCAACTGTTCCAGCCACTAAAGAGGCTGCGATATGGACCGGAACTCCGTCAGAGATAGGTATCAGTTCATTCGTAAGTAGCTGACGTTTCGCTGATGTGTAACTGCGATCGGGTCAGTACGTTTTCTTTGTTCGCTTCAGGCCAACCTACACCGCGATCTGTGAGACATCTAGGTCTGTTAGCTGAGGCTCTTTACTGAGGCGCTTTATCTGCTTACTCATCAATATGCTTCTGACAATATTTGGTGCTAGCCCTTTCGTAAATGCGCCAACTCCTTCCTCTCGTCCGATCCTGATCAATCCGCTAACAGCATTCGAATACAAGTACCGCTGAGACGGACTTTTAACTCCATCCGCGCACATTCGTACCAAGACAACCTGAGGTCCGTCAGTAATCGTATACTAGCCTTCGCAAAACACGTTCGTTCGTACTTCGGTAGGATTTCCAAGCATGCCGGCAAGTCCTCCAGCGACTCCCGCGCACATAATCGTGTACCCCGCAGTCAGCTTCTTCTCGCCCGTCCTTTGCTGTACCTGGCGCGCAAGGATATCGTACAAGGCGAATCGTGCAGTTGAGTATGTTGTTTGTCGGAGGATTGAAGCAGAGAGCCCTGACCAGAGGGACTGGATACCTGTTCTCCCGTCAGTTGAGACTGGATAGAAGCTGCGCTTCTGAGAACTCACCATCTCGAACCGCAAATGTCTGAAGGGCCCTCAGCATGGGTTGTTTTGACGACAAGACCTGCATACAACTTGTGGCTGTCAGGATAATTTCCCACAGTTTCTTTCTATCATTTACTCACTATTTGGTCCTATCAAGAGGGTGTGCTTCTAATAGTCAGATAAACCGTGGTACACGAAGCGGATAACCTACTGAAACAAGCTGCCATCGAAGCAGACGCGCCTCTGTAAACATTAGCATCATCATTTTCATTCCGAACATAGTTTCACGTACCCAAGCCATAAGGGTTGCTGTGCTTTTGCCATTTTGGAATTTGTTCACATGAATATTTTACATAGCAGTGATGAGACAAACCATCTTTCTTTCACTTGCTTTCCCCCATACGATCTATATCTTTCGATTCACAGCAATCGGCAATAGAAATACGGCCGCGCCATCTCGGAGCTTGATTCCATTACGAGCGATGATCCCTGTTCTCACGTGCCGTCATCTAGGGCGGGGGTGGCTGGCGGTCCTAAGTAAAGCCCGGGAAAGGTACCGACCTCCGTAACATCCGAACGCCTGCAAGATCCCGATCCTGTCACTTCTCACACGAGCCAATCAACAGAAACAAGAGGCAGGCTGTAAGGTTACAGGCAGGTAGCCAGATTTACTGAATTCCTTGAGAAACTTTAGTCGTGGGGATGTAAGGCTACCAATTTTCTATGCAAGGCTGTACTGTACTAAGAACAGTTCTGTCTTGGCGCCGGGTACAGTATGGTGACCCCTGGATCTCAGGCTTTCACTAGGTAGACTCCAACGTTAATGTACGCGCGACTGAAGTTTCCTATTTATTTACCTCCTCAGGCGCAATGCTTGAACTACACGTCTGGGGTCCGGCGTTCGGCCTCCCTTCAATTGACGCCCATTGTCTTGCAGCAATCGCATACTTGCAGCAAGCAGTTCCGCGTGGAAAATGGCAACTTATCGCAAGCAGTGATCCAGGCTTAAGCCCCTCTAGTATGTATTCATTGATCCCGCAGTCATTCCAGACTAATCGTTTGCAGAAACCCTGCCTGCCTTGCGCAGTGGTGACGTATGGATCAGTGGTTTCCGCAACATCTTCCACTATGTTGCGCAGTTCTCTGCGGGTGAATGGATACTTGATGCTGGACTACTAGAGCAGGAGAGTGCGGATTGTATCGCGTACGTTTAACGACACCTTATTCAAACTCCACAAATAGACGTTTAGCTAATAAAGCACAATTCAGATTCTCCTCATTCGTAGACTTTCACGGACAACCCCTCCTCGACCTCTCCCTCTATGTCTCCTCCCAAAACTACACCACCGCTACCCGCCCTCTCTACAATACTATCCAACCCTTCCCCCTCCCGTACATCACCCCACCAGCTATTCGGGCCGCGTCTAAACTCCGCTCCTCTCACCTTGGCCTCTCTTCTCTAGATATCGACCTCGATGCTCAAGAAACAACCGAACCATCCATCATCCCCGATAGCTTACGCCGGCCCAAGAACACAGTTTCCAGCCTCCTCGCCGCATCCCCAGAAGCATCTGCACAGATCCGACTCACCGCTCTCGCGACGGATTTCCTCGAACCGCTTCACCACCTCCGTGGAGACAAAGCCTTCTTCGTCTCAGCTACGCAGTTCTCGAGTCTAGATTGTTTGGCTCTAGGATATTTAGCACTGATACTGGTCCCTGAACTGCCACAACCGTGGCTATCTCGTACTATGCGGCACAAATTCCCCGGCTTGTGTACCTGGACAGAGGAGATGTGCAAGATGGTGTATGGAAAGGAAAAAGCTACTCTGGAAGACGCATTTCTTGTCTCGGGCAATGATTCGGAATTAGATGCGCGGCTGAAGAGACTGAGGGGTCGGAGTCACCTCCCCTGGAAACCGCCGTATGATAGAGGGGCGTTGAATGTTAGTGGGGTGTTTCTGTCGAGTCTTGTGGAGTCGATACCGGTCCTAGGGCAGCTGACTATGACTACGAGGGTGAAACGTTATAGTAAGACGAAGGAGAATGAGGTGCAGAATTCGTCGTCGGTGACGTATTAGGGTCTGCTTTAAAAAGTGTGATTACAAGTTGTAGGATAGGTATAAAGTATATGTTACACATAGGTATTGTGTCAGTCAAACGTGAAAGGTCATAGAGTAAGAGGGAGATAAAGAGACACGGTGATCTTAGATACCCTGAGAAGACGCAAGGTTGTATGGTATCGGACGGATTCGATACGTTAGACACAAGAGCTATTAAGAGTGAGCTGTCTAGCGAGCCGGTTGTAGAAGTTGAGGCTGGTAGTAGTATAGCAAGGAGTACAGAGACAGGAGATTAACATAAAGATATGAAGGGACGCCTCTTACCTTGAATCTGTTTTCTTTTCTTATCTTTCCATTTTAAGTATTTGCAATCTTAAGTAAAAGATTTAACCTGTTAGGCTTCACCTAACATTGCTAGGTATGAGGTGAGTAAAGACAGTCGAAGCTGACGGAGGAGCACTTAGTCAGGCCCCAAGGCTACATGTGCACCTGCTTGATTTTCCAGCGGAAGGAAACATCATCGTTATAATTCCGTGATATTAGTTAAGCAGCTATCTTATACATCAAGTATTATTATAATAGCACCCCTCTCTTATCCTATTCCCTTTCGATTAGGCTTCAGTTCCTTGAGCTTGAACTCTGTCCAACCAGCTGATCCCCACTCTGTCTCGAATCAGTATTCTTGTTCCCGTTCCCTTCTTCTGCAGCGCTCTGTCCCTTTCCAACATTAGAGTGCTTCACGGGATCAAACACATAAATCGGGAACTCTAGGAAGATCGTTCGCTTGATAATTGTAGGTAACTTCGAGTATATCTGTGGCGGGAAAGGAATCAAGATGCTAGTCCTGTTCAAGTAGCGAGAATACTCCTCCCAATGATTGTTCTTCTCGTATCGTTTCTTCGCACCAGGTCGTTCTTGAAGCGTCAGGCCGGAGACAAACATGAGGAGGATGGTAAGGAAGAATGGCCCGAGAATGGTGGCGTAAAGAGCTTTATAAGCTTGGCCGCGGACGTAGCCATTAGCTGCTGGAGAGACGGCAATCATGTAAATTCCTGACATATATTAGCAGAGAAATAATTGGTATAAAGGGCACTCTTACCAAACTGGATGATAATCTCCCCGAAGTAGTTTGGATGTCTTGTCCAGTTGAAGAAACCCTTGTCACAAATAGCAGACTTGTCGCTCTGCCTAACCTTGAACAGGTATTTCTGCACATCGCTTACACTCTCCATGACAATCCCAATCGACCACAATATCACGCCTGCGATATCTCGTCCAGTTCCAAAATCCGGCTGTGCGTATTGCGTGACATTTGGAGAGTTCAATACAGTGACTGGCAGGGACACAGTCCAGACCCAGAGCATCTGAAAGACCCAAAATCCGAGGAAAGGGAAGAACTTGTCGCGCTTGTCGTCGAAGCGGTCGTCCTTGCCGGTCTTGATGATTCGGAAGAGGAGGAATGCAGATAGTCGAGCGCCCCATATCATTATGAAGAGACTGACCACGATTTGGCGCGCATGATGATAGCCGCTAAATGCGAGGGTTATGATAGCTAGGACGACGAAGTTGGTTCCACCAGCGAAGTCTGGGATTGTTAGTTGAGCTATTGAAAGATTGTCAAGGAGCGTATTACCAGTGAGCTTATCAAATTTCAGCGAAAATGCGATCGCGAAGAAGAAAAGCTGATAGCCGATAGTGATCAAGAGGGTGATAGCAAGATAGTAGTCGTCTAAAACATGGACAGTCATTTTGACAGGAATGAAGTGTTGCGAGATTAAGGGCAGAGTCTAATACAGAAGGAAAGCTCGAGTTTAAGGATGAAACCAGACGAGGCTCAGCCTGGTATTATACTGTCTGGACTGTATGTATCGTTGATGTCAGCCCAGCGGGCTCTACCACTTCTAGAGTAGCTGCTCTTGGTGACTGAAAAAAAGTTGACCGCTACTCAGTAGGCGATGCGAAATTATACAAAAATTCGAGATGTGTTAGCGACGATAGATCGACCTTTACCTTACAGTAGACTTTGAGGACTCATGTGCGTCATCGATTGATTGTTGAAGGGGAACAGGGTACGAGCAACAGCGAGTAGCGGCCGGCTTTACGTACAAACGGAGGTACAGGGCCAGGGCTTACCTATGTTTAGGCTCACCGCCCGCGGCAGAACAAAAGAGTTACTAGTCTCGGTTTAGGTAGGCAAATGGAAGGCGGTGAGACTACTGTAAACTCAGAGCGCTACTCGTACTCGTAAGCTGGAGCTTGGCCGTTGAGCCCGGGCCCGGGCCCAAGCCCAAGCCCGAGCCCGATTATCTTATCGACGGGAGTGTCAAGAATGTCTCCACTGAGGCCTTAACCCTTAGGCCTCGACCCGACTAAAACCGACTCGACCAGCTCGGCTCGATACTTAGGTAGGAGTACTAGTACTGTAGCCCTGAGAAGATTGGTCCATCCGCATCGACTTCTCAATATGCCCCCTCCCCCTCCCCTATGCCATCCTCGGCCTCGACGGCATTATTATTATTCTCTTTTCCCGTCACAGTACTACAGTATTGCAGTACGAAGGTGTCGTGCACCTGACGCACCTGAGGCACTCCTTAAAGCGCTCTAGCTAACTAAAGGCTGCTTATGTAACTAGAACTCCTAGAGCTTCCCTTTATAAGAGAGCTTTAGAATACCTTAATAAATCAAGACTTTCATACTACATAAAGCTCCTCCCTATAGTATATAATAATTAAAAGTTATATTCGCTCGTTTAAGCTACTATACAAGTATACTATATAGTATAAGTAAAGTTGCAGGTAGTATTAAGAGACACTTATACCGCTACTTAAAGAACTCCTTTAAATACCTCTATCGAACACCAGCGCTATGTGAGCCTGTCTTAGGTTTAGTGTATACTTAGTAAGCATGTTATATATATATAACATACTCTCAGCTTTTGATTTTAAAGAGTAACGTTCTTTTAAATACATCTTTTGATACTATAACTTTCACTTGATTAAGTAAGCCCTTTATTATATAAAAGCCTGCTTTATTACTATACGACAGTTAAGAGCTACACTTGTCTCCTGAGTACTTAGTGCATACACAGTTCTGTTACTTTAATTAAGCTTTTAACTAAAACCTCTCGATTATTTCTTAATTCTCGAATCTTTACAACTCTTCTATAATTATGTCTACTTTCTTAATAGATCTAGAATCTAAACGATCACTTGACACTAATGTTATATACTTGAAACTAAAAGACTTCCTTACTTAAATAAAGCACTTAACACTAAGTGCGAATATTTTAAGACTTTAGCCTTATATTAATCTAAAAGCTCTAAATGCTCTTTCTCTTATTTAAATCCTTAATAAACTCCCTCAGACTATAAAGCAAATCACAGCTGATATAATAGCTTATAAGATAAAATCATATAAAATCTCTTATATTAAGTATAAGACAGAGCTTGTAAGCTAGATAGTAACATAAAGTTCAAGAACTCTATAAAGCTCTTTAAGCAAGAACTTTAGATCTCTTTAAGCTATTTTAAAGGCTTTAACGCAAGTTATACTAATAAAAGCTTTATATTATAAAGTAATAGCAAAAGCTAAGTAAGAGCTATAAAAGATAAACGCTAAGATCTGGTAACCTTAAACGACTTAGTACTAAAAGCTCTACAAATAGATTAAGAAGATAATAGCTAAGTAGTACTTTAAGATCATAAGCGCAGAGATTATTACTAATAAAAGCTTTAATATCTAAGCACTTCTTTAATTACTTAAACGTATCTTAAATCAGATAAATAACACTATTTAAACCTTGATTAAAAGTAAATACTAATCATCACTTAAGTTAGTAAAAAGAGCTAAGCTCAACCTTAAGACTTAGATTATATCTCACTAAAAGTTTATATGTAAAAGTATCTTATATTATATTTCAGACGTAAATAAAACGCTTAAGATCACAGACTTCCTAATCGCTGTAAGTAACTTTAATCATATATAGTCTTATAAGTATTACCTTTAATTTAAAAAAGCTAATAATCTTAAAAAAGAGTAGCTATATACTTTTTTATAGCTTACATAACTATTCTATATAAAAAAAGTCGATATATAGTATTATAAGCTTGTGAGCAGAAAAAGCAAGAGATATAGTCATTTTATTACCCTTAAAGGAAGAAGTAATAAAGGACAAGGTTCTCTTGCTTTAAAATCCAGTAGCGAAGCAGATCAAGCGTTTAGTAAAAAGTGCTTATACTCTTATAATAAAATACATAAGTAAGCCCCTAAAGATTACGGCAAACTCTAGCTAACAGTATATAAAAAGCTCTTTACTAACACTAGTAAGTATAAACTAAACTTAAGTAAGGAAAAATTAAAAAAGATCCGTAAGCGCTTTACAAGCAAACACTAAAAGCCGCTTAAAGTAAAGTTTAGTAAAGACACTAACTTACCGCTTTTACTGAAAATTAAAAGCATTCTATAAAAGTAAGAATCAAGTAAATCCTTAAATAAGCTAAAAGGCTCCTTCCCTAGAAACCTAATAAATAAGAGAGAAAGATAGCCTAGTAATAACTACGTTATTATACTCTTAAACCTAGACTAAGTATTTTAGCTTAGAGTCTACTCTACTTAAAGAGCCTATAAGCGTCACCCGTTATTAGTAAGCACTCTTTTAGATAACTATAAAGCTACTGTGGTGAGGTAGTATGGTTCTGGGTCAGAAGATAGTTAGCTTATTCTATAAGGTTATATAGATAGGCGCGATAACGCGTAACAAATATATTATCTTCTCTCTCTTACTTTTACTACTTGTTTAGTTAGTAGTCCTTTATATCCCTGCTTACTATATACTTTAATAGTATTACTCTACTTCTTTATATTAGTGACCTACGCAGGGAACTGGAAGTAAAGTAGAGGAATAGTTAGGATATAGTTAAGCTAGTAGTAAAGGTAGGAGTTAGAATTTTATTACTTAGTAACTTAGTTATAGTAATAGATAGATACATAAGAAATAGCTAGAAAAAAAGGGCTTAAGGAGCCCTTATTTAGTAGATAGGATATTAGGAAATAGCGGAATACAAGTAGAGAGAGCTAAGGAGGTATAGAAGGGAAAGTTATCGCGATAAGCTTAGAAGACGAGGTTACTATAGTAATAGAGAAAGTTTATATAAGGAAAATAAGTAAGGAATAGATAAATATAAAAAGAAAGCGAGTCTAATATAAAAAAGGGGCCTGAAGTAGGGTGAAAAAGGGATATAAGGAAAAGGGGTTAGGGAGATCGGAGTAGTTAGGGGAGCTAAGTCTAGAGGTTATAAGGAGTGTGATTACTATACTCCTACTAGTAACTCTAGTACTTTTAACTCTAGTAATATCAGGTATATTGTACCTTATGAGTAGGCACTAAAGGTTTAAATTATTTACTGAATTCCTTAATATAACTGTATTTCTAGGAGATCCTAAGAACTAGAGAACGCTAGGTACGAAGGAAAGTGACACGGTGGAATATATTTAAGTCCGGGAGGAAAGCTATTAAGAATCGAGGACTATGAATTCTAAGATAGCGGAAGTTAAGTATATTTTAGTTATACCGGCCCCGGGTATACTAAGCGCGCTATACTTTAAGGGAGCTAATATTACGGAGTTCTTAGAATAGTATACTGATTAGTATAATAACGCCTAATTAAAGGATATAGACTGAATTAAATAGCTTCCCTGATATTATAATCTTACTATTAGTTAGTATATTAAGATATTACTAGAGTAGATAAGTAAGAATTAGGAAGAGCTAGTAGTCTCTCTTTTAGAGGAGTATAAGGATTAAGATACTTTTTAATAGATAAACTCCCGATTGTTCCTCGAGGCTCTAAAGTTAAAACCGCGAACTATAGAAAGTAATATAAAGTAGTTTATTTAATAATTTACTATAATATTAGCTACTCTAGTAAAAAGGGGCTAGTTAGAAAATTATACTCGGGGAGTATAGTTCTTGAATAGGCTACTAGGGGATATTCATGGGAAGGTGATACATAAGAATAAGGTTTATATTAATAAGTTAGGTATAATTAAGTTTAATAACTTAGTTAAGATAGCTACTGAGATTTATATATCTAATAAGATAGTCCAGGAGTTTTCCGATAATCACGTGAAATAAGAGAGCCTTAGTAAATTAGTAGATTCACTTAGCTAAGTACTTATCGCCTTTAAAGTAGAGGGTCGGTTAGTTCCTCCTATTATTAGCTTAAAGACTATATCTATAGAAGTAATAGAGGAGATAACCTAGGTATTTAATACGCTAGCGCTAGCTATAAGAGTATCGCGGGCTTTATAAGTACCCGGGGGAAGATCGGGATTTAGCTCGCCTAGTAGGGGAAATCAGTTAGGAGCTTACTTAGTAGGACCCGGTAGTCGAGTTAATTCGTCTAAACTGCTGTAGGGGGCTTACTTAGGCTAACCCCGGTATCTAAATAACTCGCTAATTGGAGTATATATAGTAGGTACTTATAGGGATCGCTAGAACTAATATTTCTACTATTTAGAAAATAGGTATTTCCGTAGGGATTATTTAGATTTCCTAATAGATATAGAAAGGGGGCTTATGTATAACTATTAGGGCTAGATATATTATAAACGCGCGGGTAGCGGGGGGCAGTTAGTCAGGTAGCGTAGGGGGGTCCTAGTAATAGAGGGTATATGAGCTAGTTAAAGGGGAACTTTAATATAGGGAACTAGTGAGAGATAAGCTAGGAAGAGTAGTTCGATAGTATAGCTAATATAAGTACTATAGTACTCTATAAATAAGGCTGAACTTGTGAAAGTAATAGTAGTAGGGGTAGTAACTTGGGACGAGTTAGATATTAAAGAAGATAAGGGGGACTAGGAAGCTATAAGAATATTAGGGGCTAGAAGTGAAAAACTAAAGAGCGGAAAGGATAATAAATAGGTAAACCCTAGGAAAGTATTAAAGAGGCGAGTTAAGAAGGAAAAGAACTTAGTAGCTCTAAAAGTTCTATAACTTAGAAAGTAAAAGTAGAAGAATCTAATCGAAAGGGTATTAGGAGAGAGAATATAGTAAGGAGAGATTATTAAAGAAATAG